GGGGGGGGGGGGGGGGGGCTGCTGATTCTGCTCCACGCATCCCCAGTCCCTGCTCGACACCTTCACCCTCCTTTGTTTTACTGCAGCGAAAACACCGCCTTCTTCGCCCTAACTTTCCCCTGTCCAACGTCCACGATGGCCGTCGGCACCGCCTCTAGTCCACCCTGCAACACGAGCGGAGGATGTGGCTTCAACAACCCTTTCAGCACCAGCGGTTCAGCCACATTCTGCCATTGCTTGGCGAACGCGGCTTGCTCCAAATCCGCCGGAAATGGTGGCATTCCAGGTAAATGAAACTCCTCTCCCAGCAGAGTATATGCGAGCGCCGTGGTCGCCTGGACGTTCGCCTCCGGTCTGAGTTTCTTGAACACCTCCGGCAACGGCGCTTTGACGGAGTGGTAGTGCCCACCACGGCCCTCCGTGGAGATGAATTTGGCGCAGAACGACGCGGTTTCATCGTGGCCGATGCAGTCGACGATGTATTTGAAAGAGTCCCCATTCGTCCTGATGGTTTCGGACAACTGTGTCTCGCAGCTTGCGTCGTTGTAGTCGAAGGCATAATCGGCACCTCTGGATTTGACCAGGTCGAAATTCGAGGCCGAGCAGGTCGTGTAAACGCGGAAACCGGATCTGATGGATAGCGATAGCTTCAGTAGCTACTCATCCAACGTTTACTTCGGTCGGTAGAGTCTCGGAGGGTCTGGCGTGTTCTGGCATGGCGAGGTACTTACAATGTCGCCAGCTGAATCAGCAAGGTGCCTGTCGCGGAACTGCCTCCATACACGAGCATGGCCTCCCGGGATGTCTGTTCGATTTCCCCCGGCGAAGGAAAAGGCAGTCTCATGCAATAATAAAGTACCTGGGCACAGGTAGCTAGGCCGGCTCCAAACGTGGCGGCTTCCTCGAAGGAAAGCCCTTTTGGTTTGTGGATGGTCGCGATCTCCTTGCACGCAACGACTTGTGCGAAGGCGCCGTCTTCGTGCTCGTCATTATTTCCTACATAATCAGTCACATAAGTACATACCCATTTCCCAATGCTCGCTCTGCTGAGGATCCACTCGATTATTTGGGGCTCACCTCCATGACAAACCCCGAATACTTCTTCGCCGGGCTTGAAGCGCGTTATATTCTTTCCTGTCTCAAGGATAACACCAGACCAGTCACAGCCAAGAGTGGCACCGGGTTCTGAGAGCATGGTCATGTGGTGATAGTCCGTTGGATTCAAAGCGATCGCTCGGGTCTCTGCGAGAATATAGTCATCGCGTAATCTAGGGATAGGCGCATCGGTCACCAAACGCCCCGTGCCCTGTGGATCGACTATAATCGCTTTTTGTGACATGCTCAAGGTTCAACATCCACGTTCTCGACGTCAAGTCAGCACTCCAATCTGGCGGACGTGGGACACGATATTAGATGCTGTGTTTATATACTCGCCGGGGGTTACCATGCCTATAAGACATGGAGCGTCCTTTTCGATCGAATTGGCCACTAAGCCTGAGGTATCAGCAGGAGGCCAACTCCTATAGATATGTCGGCCGGATTTCGGCCGGATTCACGGACAAAAGGGGTCTGATGTCGCAAAACAAATCGTTTCTCAACAGAGACGATATGGGATTCGCCGAGATGTGACAAGATCCCCCGTGAGGCGTTATTAGTAAGTCTTCATGAAAGAGCACCAGGCTTGAAGGGCCATCATTCGCTCCTGGGGACTTCGATGACCTCCCATGTCTTGCTTTCATCGCTGAGGATGTTGGGAGATCTGCCAGGGACGGAGGGTGTGAGCGCTACCTTTAACGTTTCGTCATGTGGCTGACGCGAAACAAAGCTCCCCCACGAATTTAAGTTTCCGTCTGGATTACGAGATACGAGCCCCTATTTCGTTTCTAGAAATCTCGCGCGGACAAATCTACATGGCAACATGTTGCGCGGGAGCTTGGCAATTTACACACAGGACTCGAGAGCCATTTGCCAGGGTTTACCCCAAAGGCGGTTTTGTTTTAAAACGGGGGTTCAAAATCTCACACAATTTTCATACATTGCCGTCATAATCTTTTTTGTAACCTCATAACTGACGAGGATGATTCTCCCTTTCATCGTTGGCCGGAAGCTCAGCGATGGTCTGTGGCTTCGTCCCTAACCCATCGAGTTCCGACCTCAAATTACTGTCCGCCTCGAAACACGGCGGCCTTGACCCCGCTTCCACCAGGTCCTCGTGAGGCACGGGTTGGAATTTTTGGTCTTTCTCGTCAGGAATAGTGTGAGCTGGTCGGCGACGGCGGCGGAGCCAGTACCAAACTCCAAGTAAGATGACGATCAGGGCAACTCCTCCAACAACACCCCCCACGATCGCACCAGTATTGTCACTGCTGTCGGAGTCGCTTCCCGAAGAATCCGATGAGGAGCTGCCGCCTGATGAAGTCGAATTCGTCGAACTGGTTACCGTATACGCTGAGGAGATATGGTCAGTTACGAGCGCAACACGACACGGGAGAACGAAAGGGACTCTCACCGAAAATTGAAGCTAATGTAGGATCACTCCAAGCCGGTTCTTGGTAGCTTGATGCATAATATTGCTTTACCAGGTCAGGTGAGTCGTAGACCTCTGCGGCGGCATCGTAATGATCTACCCAGGCAAACTCGGTCATATCGAAAACTCCAATGCCATTTGGCCAGGGATCTTGCTCCACGCCAAGGTCTTGAAGGGAGCTGGGAAGTCTTCCTCCGATGGAGACCATTTGTCGGTTTCCAATGACGCTGCAAGTATGGCAGGCTCTTCTCACTGTGGTGGTTGATGGTGATTTGAACCACTGGAAGGCTGGCAGTGAAAGTGCGTAGACGTTCAAATACCCTTCATCGTCAGCATTATTGAGGTCGAACGTCGTGTTGGTCGAGCCACCGTAGACGAATCTGTCAATAAATGGTCAGCCACATGTGGTCCCGGGGGGGAAGTTTCTTTCGATCAGTCTTACAGGTCGAAATATTGGCCGTCGCCGGTGGCCGATCCCACTGCACAGAATTCAGACCTTGGTGGCGGGATCTCGCCTGTCGCTTTTTGAGTGTACCAATTCCCAGATTCAATGTCGTATAATGTAATGACCGACATATCAGTCATCGCGGTACCAGTCTCGTAGAAGGATGCTTCTGTCGGAGGAGATTCTCCGCCCACCACCATAATAAATCCTTCACCGCCAAAGTTCGGTACATGGACCGCGCGTGCTTGAGTTCGATATTTGCTTTGGTTAGGTATATCGGCCGTATTGTTGCTCCAGATCCTGGACGCATAGTCCTGAGTGACCAAGCCCGAAAGGACGGTCATATTCGGTAAAGCATTAGGTTTGAACACGTTGCCGCCAAAGTTGTAGAATGTCGAGTTGGTATATGCTGACGCAGACGCAAATGGTCCGTGGGAGTTGGCCGATAAACCATTGTCGGCCGGGCTGGTACCGTTCCGCCAGTTGACACTTGTCCCCCCGATGTCGAAATACCATGCCTCCGAGGGCATACTCGTTCCTTCGTAAGGCCATCCGCCATATCTCTTGATTATATTGGTCTCCTCCTCGTAGAAGAGAATCGGCTGCCTGACCGCAGGCATATCATCTGGCTGAGTGGTTTGACTGGCCGGGGTGACTGTTTGGTTCGTCCATGACTGCATCAAGTCGATAACGTATGTGTCCGTTTCTGGACGGGGTGAGTTTCGTTGGCCTTCTAGCCGTGACGATGAATGTCTTACGGGTATAGACGTTCACTCCACCGCCCGACGAATCATACCATTCCCCTCCCGTTATATACAAGTAGTTGCCCACGGTGATCGCTGCAGGCCTGTGAGTAATACTTCGTGGTAGGCTGGAGAAAGTCCCTACAGGAAAGCCAGAACCATTCGGTGGTTGTGGAAGTTGTGAGAGCTGATTGAGCGCCATAAATGGCGAGACTGAGCGCGAAAAGCGCCCTCAGCATGGTGAAGAACATCAACAACAGCACTGATTCATCGGAAAAAGGAAGCAGTGCTTGTGGAGGTAAATGGGAATTTAGAGGTATGAAACATGGAACAGCCCCAGGCAACGTCGCACAGGGTTGTTCTTCTGGGTGGGGGCCGGAACTCGACTTCGGCGCCTAATTTTATTGTTGCGGGCTCGTCCTGAAAAGATCACAGGGTAGGGATTTGAACCAAACAACGTTTTGTCAGGAACCCGTTCCGCACAAAACTCACTTAGTTAAAGGGGTCCTCTATGCTAGTGGGGACTCCTGCATCCTTCCGCTTCGGTGTGAAATATTGCCTTTACGGAACCGCTGTCGTTTGGAGATATCAGCGGCTATGTTTTCTGTTTGACTGCATGCGTCAGAGTCTTTGGGGATCTCAATATAGGAAGAAAGCATTTGCTGAGACAGATAGAGCAAAGGTGCACTAGTGCATTGCCCATTCACTTAGAGTCCTTTCTCGGCCTCATTCGCCTCCTAGGCCAGATGCTAGCCCGGCGCAGGGTGTGAGTGATTTACATGGGATATGCGTCGGAATTGGGAGTGTCGTACCAAGAGCCTCGAAGAATATCGCTAAGCCACTGAAAGGGGTAGACGAGAGCGAACTTTGTCAGCCATTGCGGGCGATAAAGCTGTCGGCTGGTGGTGTGAGCCCGCCAGCGGCCAAGCCTGCGTTGAGAGGGCTGTGCCGTCCATATGCATCTGCTGAAGCAGCGCAAGGGTCTCGCCCCAAATTATCAGCTCCGGAAATGATGTCCCGTCGCCTCTCTTCAGCATCGGAAGCTGCGATTTATCGGGTGGAACGACTATACATTTGGTGACCCAAGTCTACAAAAACATATCTTGAATGTTACCGGTGCAGTATACGTGGCACGTGACTTTTCACGTGATATCACGTGACAGACAACCTTGGCGTAGGATAGCCCCTTTGGCCCTCCCCCTGGCTCCTACACTGCCACTAATTTTGAACTGGGGGGACCAAAGTCGTGCGACACGTCCAAATCGATTCTGGTCTCGAACAGCCGTTTTAGGACGTCAGAACGGTGGCAAGGGACCCATGTCCATCCTCCTAACCTCTCCGAGTCTTTGCTCGATGAGATCTGTTCATTACTCGAACGAAAGATTTGACATGGAAAAGACCGTCTTTCTAATGTCTAGATCCGCTCGTGTTGTGCTGAAACCGCGGCTGCAGTTCTTTCTCGCGTCACGGTCACGAAATTTCACGAGCAGCATCCAGCGGAACTCAACGGCTCCCAACCCCAAGAAAGACGAACCTCAAGATGGTTCGACTCCATCGCAAGGACAGTCCCCTCCGAAACGTCCGTCGATGGAAAAGATCCTGGCCGAGACCGACCCGAAAGAAAATCCTCTCGTTGCTCCCGTTCACATTCCCTTCGACACGAATGGTATCCTCAAGCCCGACCATCCTGCGGCCAAGGTCCTATCTCAGTCGGGCATCGTGGTACAAAGGCATATAGAATTGATGAATATACTAGTGGGGTTTGAGCAGGCAAATCGATATGTGATCCTCGATCCGCATGGAAATCACATTGGATACATGGCAGAGGTCGACGGGAGCTTGGGAAATCGTATCCGGAGACAGATGTTTACCACACACCGCGCGTTCACCACTCATGTGTTCGACCGAGATGCTAAAGAGGTGTTGAGATTTGATCGACCGTTTTCATGGATCAATACACGCATCCGGGTCTATGATCCCCTTGGAACCTCTTCGAGTGGACAGACCTCTCCATTCACCTCGGTGTCGCCAAAAAGTGATCCGGAACTAGCGGTCGGGCACCAAGTTTCGCCTCTGCCATTGGATGCAATGCGTGTCATTGGTGAGGCGCATTCACAATGGGCTCCCTTGCGGCGTAAGTACGATTTGTTTCTTTCCCATGATCCCGAACTGAGTGAGCCCGGACCCGCGGTCATGCCTCGAAGGAGTGCGGAAGACTTGTCGAAGGCGCAACTACAGCAAATTGCGCGCAACCGTCCGTCTAACTCGGCAGCCTCTTTTGCCCAGTTTGCATCGATCAACGAACCATTCCTGTCATGGGATTTTTCTTTGCTCGACGAAGATTCACGCTTGATTGGCTCTGTGAATCGAAGCTTCCGTGGATTTGCACGAGAAGTCTTCACTGATACTGGCAGCTACGTTTTGCGAATGGATTCAGCAGGGTTACAAGAAGAGGCCACCCATCGGCATGTCGTTTCTCAGACTCATCAATCCAACACGGCCTATGCTGAGGTCTTTGGACGGCGAGACAGCAAATATGGAATGACACTTGATCAAAGAGCCGTCATGCTGGCCACAGCGGTCACAATCGATTATGACTATTTCTCCCGCCATAGTGGAGGAGGTGGTTGGGGATTTTTTCCTGTTTGGATGGGAGGTGGAGGAGAAGCGGCGGGTGGTGCTGCCGGCGCAGAGGCCGCTGGTGCCGCCGGTGCCGCCGGTGCCGGTGAAGTCGGTGGCGCTGTCGTTGGGGGTGCAGGACGAGCAGTGGGATCGGCTACAGGAGCCGGTGCCATTGGTGAAGGTGCCATTGCCGGAGCGGGAACAATGGCAGGGTATGAAGCCATGGAGAGAGGTCTGGGACGAGATTCCCAAGCTCCAGAACCAGAAGTCCACCCTCAACAACCAGCACCACACGACCAGCCTTATGATCGTCAATCACCACCCAGTGGCCTGGACGGACCGGATCAAGACGGTGATCTCTGGGGCTCTGGTAATCAGGATCCTTGGAGTAGTGGCGGGGGGGGCGAATCAGGTGGTGAAAGCGGCGGATTTTTCCAATGGCTATGGCATCTCTTTTTCGGTGATTAAAACGTGGGAACACGGGAGATATGCAAAAGACGAAACGATTCAGGTATGTGACAGACGGGGTATTGACTCTCCTGTTGCTCCACCAAACAGTCCGACTACAGCACAACAACCACGGCGACCAATTGCGCCCGAAGTCTTGTATGACGAAATCGACAAATAGAGATAACCGACACGCGGCTAATACCGGTTTGAAAGTCTTGAATGAAAAAGTCAATCCTCCGATTGTATGACGCCGTCCAAGCTGTCAATCCTCGACGTGGCCCACAGTTTTGGCAGAGGGATTGTAGGGCAGACCGGCATCGCCTACACATTCCAGAACTTCTGATCCTGAAGGGCGATCGTACTTGGCAAGAACCCACAGAATCGCTCCGCACGGCATTTGACCAATAAACCCTTGATTGGCTGTATACCTGGTCCGCAGTTACAATGGGATCCCCACCCTTGGCCACAAGGAAAAACCTTGTCTACACAAGGCTCCTCCCCGCCGCCCCTTGGCCTCTGCTTGGCCTCAGCTTGGCCTGATTCTCGTACTGATCGCCTTGCACCGCCTTGCACGACCTTGACTTTCAACAAGCATCGAATCACACCAAATCGCCACGCTCTCGTTATCTCTTAACAGGAGTCGATCTTTCCTTGGTATTTCCTTGGGTCACCATGATGTCCACCTTGTGAACTGGCCTCAACCCTACGAATACGTCGCTGACATAGGGACCGATCTGGGTGAAGGTAAGAAGCCGAGCTTTCACTTCGCCTCTTTTTTTTTTTTTTTCTTATTTATTCAAGTGGAAGGCGGATGTCACTCTCTACTCTATTTTCTTGACTCACTCAACTCGAACCTTTCTTTGGTCAACCATCACCATTACCATCACCATGACAGGTCTCCACCACCGACCCTCGAATTCCTCGCCCGAGCACGACATGATGGAGAAAACAGACTACAGCACTCAACAAACAACTCTTTCTCCCGTGCACAGTGGGGTTATCCATGGCGTTGAATACCAAGAAGGTACCCGACTTCATCGAGGCCTCAAGGCTCGTCACATAACTATGATTGCCATCGGAGGCGCTATCGGTTAGTCAGTCATGCGTCCAAGCACGGAATTCATCATAGCAGGAGATATCCTGACTTTGAACTCGGTAAATAGGTACCGGTTTGATCATTGGAACCGGCGCCGCCTTGGCACGGGCGGGACCCGGCTCGATCTTCATCTCATATACTGTGGTCGGATTCATTGTATACCTCGTCATGTGTGCTTTGGGTGAAATGGCCGCCTGGTTACCACTATCATCTGGATTCACTGGCTACGCTGTCCGATTCTGTGATCCCGCTCTTGGATTCGCGCTGGGCTATACGTAAGTCCTCGGTCGCGCTCTCTTCTCCCAAATCCCACCTTTCAACGCCCCCGCCGCTCAGTCAAGATTGAAAGTAATCCTGATACTGATCTTGTATTGGTGTTGTAGATACTGGTTCAAATACATCATCGTGACGCCGAACCAACTCACGGCCGGCGCGCTCATCATCCAATATTGGGTCGACCGTGACCGCGTGAACCCCGGCGTCTTCATCGCCATCTTCTGGGTTGCCATCGTCTGCATCAACTACTTCGGCATCAGATTCTTCGGTGAATTCGAATTCTGGCTGTCTACCATCAAAGTCATCGTCATCGTCGGCGTCATTATCCTCTCCCTCGTGCTCGCGCTGGGCGGCGGTCCCGACCACGACCGCAAGGGCTTCCGCTACTGGAACAACCCGGGCGCGTTTGCCGAGTATATCGACGACGGTGCCACGGGGCGTTTTTTGGCATTTTGGTCGACAATGGTCACCGCGACATTCGCATACCTGGGTACCGAACTCGTCGGCGTCACCGTCGGCGAGGCGCAAAATCCGCGCAAAACCGTGCCCCGCGCCATCAAATTGACGTTCTACCGGATCTTGTTCTTCTATTGTCTCAGTGTGCTGCTTCTCGGCATGCTCGTCCCCTACAACTCAGAAGAACTCGCCTTCGCCAACAATGCATCCAGCTCGGCCTCCGCGTCGCCCTTTGTCGTCGCCATAAAGCTCGCAGGCATCGAAGCCCTGCCCGGCATTCTCAACGGCTGTATTCTCTTGTTCGTCTTCTCCGCGTCGAACTCGGACCTCTACATCGCTAGCCGAACCATCTACGGATTGGCATCTGAAGGCAAGGCTCCACGTATCTTCAAACACACCGACGCTCGCGGCGTGCCCGTCTACGCGCTCGGCGTCTCCGCGGCCTTCGCCTTGCTCGCATTTATGAACGTCTCCGACGACTCCAAGACCGTCTTCAGCTACTTCGTCAACCTCGTGACTATCTTCGGTCTTCTCACGTGGATTTCCATCCTTGTCGCACACATCTACTTCGTGCGCGCGCGCAAAGCGCAAAATGTCCCCGACACTGCATTGGCGTTTAGAGCGCCGCTCGGCGTGGCCGGATCTTACGGTGCCCTCTCGCTGTGCATTCTGATCGCAATAACCAAGAACTTCTCCGTGTTCACGCACAGCGAAGACTATGGCGACTTTGACTACAAAAACTTCATCACGGGATACTTGGGCATACCGCTGTATTTGATTATGATCTTCGGGTATAAGTGGTGGACGAGGTGCAAAGGGGTGAAGCCCGAGGAGGCGGATCTGTGGTCAGGGAAGGATATTATTGATCGGGAGGAAGAGGAGTTTTTGGCGGCGAAGAGGGCGAGAGAGCTCGAGAGAGGGCAAATGGGCCACCGTGGAAATTGGTTTTATAGAACTTTCGTCGCGTGGTTGTTCTAGATACCCGTTTCGACACTGGCGAATGGTCCTATAAAGAAATGGGACTGGGCAAGTTGTATCTCCACGAGCTTGCAGATGAAGATAGGTCTCGAATGTTACTGCCCCAATGGGAAACACCGCGAAAAGAAGTACGACCATGGTAGTGACAAGATGAATTTCTTGTCTTTTGAGAATGGTCCAGCGCATGCTAATGATAAAAATGTCCCAAAGAGTCCGCATCCGAGTTCAGGCTATGTGCAGACGAAAGATCCTATCATTAGCTCCTTTTAGTCCCTGACTTTCCTTGACTTCCTTACTTCTTGTCACTAACACCTGAAACGCACCTTGGGAGGGACTCCTGGTAAGATCTGGGAAGGTGTTACTTTGTGGCTAGGCGGATTCGGATTCTGCCCTGGGCATTCTCCACCAGTCAGCCTCGCCTGATTGAGGCAGTGAAAGGTGCGCCGGCACGTCATCCCCTCATTTCTTAAATCATCCCCTTTCCGCAGCCTCCTCCTCCCCCTCCTCTTGTCCAAGATGAAAGATTGATATAACATCCAGCTTTTGATCATTTATCACTCTAAGCCGTTGTCCTTGATCTGACAGAGACTGCCAAAGCCTCGTTCTCTGTTCAAACCAAAGATGCCACGTTGTGCCAACTCCCAAAGCCCGAGCCAAGCAAACGACACCCCTTGGATCGGCTACTATTCTTTTCTCATTATATTTTTCGGGATTGTCACTTGGTTTTCGGTGTCCAGGATTGAAGAAAGCTTTCCTAAGCTTCCGGATACTCCAGAAGGCGAAAATCTACCGTCCAAAAACCCAGCGGCCACTGAGGGACAAAACGTACCATCCACGGCACCTGTGAGCCCGAACACCAAGGAACACTCAGACTGGGCGCACGTTGACATCGACCAAGTGGAGAAAAATGATGCCTCTAGCCCAAGTGTGGCGCCAGATTCGGGACAAGAAATTAGCGATGACCAGAGAAAGAGTCTGTCAGCACCACACCGTCGTGCCTTAATGCTTGGGTCATTTTGGCAAATGGTCCAACTTTGCCTCTTTCAACTCTATGGCGGTCTTGGTGCACGACTCATAGTAAGCAACCGGCGAATGGGACCGATTGTATTGCCGGTCCTTGTAATCAATACCTTTGTGATTTTGCTATCTATCGTACACATGGACAGAGGATATAAATCGGCGGTTTCCGGACGTCGACTTGCTAAAGGTGAAGAGAAGGATATTAAGTCGAAGTCAGACTTGTTTGACAACTTTGAGGGTGCTGTCTTCCTGTCTCTCTTCGTTCCATGGATCAGGATTTTCTGGGCGCTACTGTTTTGAATCTGAAGACCGAGCAGGTGCATGGCTCACTTCGATGTTCGTCTCGGGCTTGCTGGACTTCTTTCTACGGTCCGAGTTTGCGTCAAGAGCACATTAATGTCCATTTTGCTTGACTTCTCTCCATCGTTCCGCCCACTTTGCCATCATCAGGCCTTAGACCTCACCAATGAAACGACTCGGGTTAGCCGGGAACACAAAGGGCTCGAGCCTCGGAAAGTAAGACCCCGACCCAGAAAGATGCAAATGTGTATTCAGCAAAAATGCCGAGTTCGTATCGATAAAAATCAGCAGTCGAGACATCAACCCATCCAGCCCCAACGTATGCAGACCGCCTCTCACCTTCACCATCTCCTCCACGCCCTTCATATGGCTATGGTACGCCTGCTCCGTCCCGTAAATTGCCTCGTAGCTTGCCATTTTGGCGGTAGCGGCAATGAGTTCGTCACGAACCATGCTGCCCTTGCGGACTGACAGCGATTGCCTAATGCCCGTGAGAGCGCATTGTTTAAGCGACAGAATGGTTTCGGCGAAGGCTCGGTCTTGTCTTTGCGCCGCGTAGTGGGAGGCAGAGAATAAGACGATGACCTGGAAGACGAGGGGCGAATTGATGACCAGGGGAAACCATCGCGTTCGGAGCAAGGCAGATTGTCCTTCGCCATCGATTTCTGGGATGGCCACCGCGAGATGTTGAAGATCTGCCACCTCATTAGTCAGTACCAAGAATGCGCATTCAACGTTCGGACATAGGTCTTCGCATCGGAGTCAACCCAGGGGAATCATAGAGCAGAGGCAAAGAGATGGTCCCAAACTTACAATTATGCAGCACAACAGAGACAAAAGGCTGATGATATACAGGACTTTTCGACGCAGGTATCAGAGTGGTTCCCGAAAGCGCTGTCAGTGGAGAACTCGACTCGCTGCTCTGTTTGTGATTCTGCACGTCACTCTGTTGCTGTTGGTGTTGTTCTTGAGGGTGTTCGGTCTGCTTGATCGGAACAGTCCAACTGAGATACGGTCGTCTCCGGCGCCTCTTTCGCGGCACGTCCTTCTGCGACGATTGATCCTCCGTGTCCGGAATATCACCTCCTGCACACCTCGCTGCATGAGACCTGACTTGCCGACGAATCTGGGCGGTCTGGGTCTTATCCAGTGGAGCGCAGTCGATGAACTTGAGGGCTGGCCTTGTCATCATTTTAAGTCGCCGCCTTCCAGTTTGACGTAAAACGCACAAGGCTGAGAAGAACCCCAACGACCCACTGTGATGCAAGCTAAGTTGTTCAGCGAGTCGGATACAACGCTTTCAATGTAGGAGCATGCATGAAGGCGTGAGGATTTAGGTCGAGAAATAGTGTTTGTCGAGAGTAGCCGGTAAAAAGTCGAAGTAGAGTTTGGAAGAAGTCGCACAATTGACGTAGAGGGCCTTTACGTAAAGGACGGCGCCCACCAACCTCCCGTTTTGTCTGCCTTCCTCGGCAAGTCCAGACGAGTGAAAATGATAGGACACCCTTGTTTGAAAGATACAATATATCCGCTCCATCCCTCGTGCGTATGTGGCTACCACGTTGAAGCACGTGCGCCTCTCCGTGTCTGCGTCTATGTCCGACGGATTGACGCTCGAAATTTCGTTCGCGGCTGCCACCAATGGCACTCCTTTTTCCTTTGCTTCATCCAGACTTGTGGCCAACATGAACATTCAAATTGCCGAGTCAAGCTCTGCTACTATCTCATTTTGATCGGTATTTGACCAACGTCCCATCTATTAGAGCCTCAACGGTCTCCAGCCACAAGCCCCAGCTCCCGCCTCGAACGCTAGCGTGCCGGAGATATAACCCCTCCAGAGGAACCAAGTCGTCAACGGCTTTTGAATTATTCCAGGACGTACCACGTTTACACGCGCGGAGGAATAGTCGCTTCATATACCATCGACGGTTGGGAGTGTATGCCATCTCACACGAAGCATCCAGGGGAGCACATCTGCATTGGCTCGCACTTTTGCGTTCTCACGGTGTGAACGTGCTCTCGCCTGGTCTTCGTTTTGCTCGAGAAGGGATCGGAGGACCTCTTTCAGATGCACTGCAAAGCGTGGTCTGGGCCTAACAACCCATAGCTCTTGTGGCAACACTGATAGCCGGAAGGCACTCTGATCGATACCAAGGGCCCTTTTTGCAGGCAAATATTCATCGAGCACGAAGCACTTACCGACTTCTGTATTCTATCATAAAAGGAGGCAGGACACGACGTGGCTCCATGTTGAAAGGATCACGTTTGCTTCGGCCCGACATCAAATTCGGACAAGGTTCGCAACACGATCATCGACAACCATGCGCCGCGAATGCTTTCGATTATACGACGTTCTGCAGCTGTGGACGGTGACAGATGCTGACTGTGGAATGAGATAACCACACCCAGGTGTGACTGTAGTCGCGACTCTCATTGCCTATATCACACCAACCAAACATGATCGTGCACCACAATCGCCTCTGGCCAGCGCTCTTGCCGCCTTATATAATCCAGGTCAGGATCGAGCCGCAACAGGGGCGGCTACCTGAGCGACTCGGCCTGTACCGGTTCTCAGACCAGTGTCAGTTCATATTTCCTTAGGTTTCTAGGTGGCTCTTCCCGGGTAAAGGATAATAGACCTGCTCCGCGTCCTGCTAGATTTTGGACGATTTCGTATGAGCAGGATACCCTAGAGGATAGGGCCGAGAACTGCGATGCTCGAGTGGGGACTGCTGGACGAGACTCCTGGGAAGTGAGCTCCTTCAGACTAGACTTCAAGCCGTGAAACAGGGGCTGAAAGTAAAAACTTGATTTGGTAGCGAATTACGAAGAACTATAAGCGCCCGCAGCGAATAAATCCGAATGTTGTTACTGAAGGGAGATTCTAACATGGATCCCTACACCGGTTTGGAAATGATCAATCAGAGAACAAACAAGGAGGCTCGAGGCATTTTGCATGGTGCAAGCAAATGGCCATGGATTGGGGGGTTGGTCACCCAAGAATGTATCTCATGCGAAGAAGGCACATTGACCACGATGAGCCAGATGGAGGTCCTTAAGTAGGGGGTTTGGATGCCACGTGTACAGCTTGCCGACGGGAGTGGGGCTCTTCCAGCTGAATTGCACCCGAGGATCCACGTCTGTGCGACCGAGCATACCTTGCAGCGGCCTCAATGTTATTGCGACGACCAAGGCGTCGCTCAAGCTGCATTTTCCGGATAACAAATGGCCCATCGGCCCTGTGAGGCTAGACACACGGCGCATTCCCCGTGGCCCAGACAACCCCTTCAGTACGATCAGGAATTTCTCTTCCAGTGCTCTGTACTACGTGTGCTGCCTGTTCAGGGAGATCTTGTCAGTGCAAGCGCTGTCAAATTGTCCGCCCCGTTTTGTAGAGCACACGATAGCCAGGCGCCGGGCCATTTACGCTCTCAGCCTCACGGTCTAGAGCACTCAATATGGGATACAGAGATCTCTCCGCATCTTATGACCTTGGAACCAGTCGCGATATGGGCCCATCAGGATTTACCGGCGCCGTGATTATTGTGGTGACCGATGTCCCGCGCGCCTGGCCCAACGTTCAATCGAAGAGGACCCGGAAATCGTACAACATTATAAGACGCTCGAAAGAGAGCAACCTGCACACCCTGAGCTCAATGGTGAGAGCCACGAATACTATTTGGACGTGAGTTGATAATGGTATAGTCTGAAGACGGCACACGAACGGTCTCGATAATGGCCAACAAAAAGGGTCCCGGTCCGCCGACACGGTACGAAGATGGGCAAATGCACCGAGACTCCGGCGTGGATTGCTGTGTGGTATCGAAATCCACGGCGGATCGGTTGCTGGGTGGATGCGCACCAGAGTCCCTGGCCCACGATCGGATTGTGTCGACGAGCAGCGGACAGACGTATACCTGCTCTCATAAGTTTGACGCTCGGTGGTGCTGGAAATCGAAACCGAGTAGTAGGGCAGTCACCTTGTTCATCGCTCCGGGTCTCGAAAAGGAAGCCGTCTTCTCCGAGGACCAGGGAGCCGAGACCAGCTCATCCGGAGGACCCATTGCCCCAGTCGAATGCCGTCCTCCCAAGCCAGGTATGTTCGTCCACGTTGATGAAGAGCAGGATAAAAAGCGTGCGGTCGAGGCTAACAAAATCAAGGAGGACGTTATCATGAAGCAGCAAAACCAGAAAAAGGACTTTTATGCCAGCCCCAAGAAGAAGTTGTGTGAGGCGGACGAGGGCTCCAAGCTTCGAACCATGGCCGGCGTGGCTCAAAGGAACTAAAATAGCAACTCGGAATCGGTGGATGGAATGGTGGAATTTCGCTTTAGATTGTGCGTGTTTGCATTGCTTTACCAATTGCGGTCGAAGTTCGGACGTAGAATGAAGTGAGTGTTCCAAGATGCCAATGAAGCATTTCTTCGTCAGGAATCAACACGATCAATGAAGCCATGACACCAAATAGCTGTTGGCGCCTGAATCGGACTCTGCGCGTAATTTCTCAGTTGCCCTTCTTCTATCAGATTGTGGGACTCAATCCTGCTTGGTACCGATGTTGATGACGTCGGCGCCACCGACCAAGACGACTTGCACGGCAGCAAGGGCGGTAGTGGCGGCGAAAACGTCCTGCCGTCGAGCTTGGACAACAAACGTCATCACCAGCGAGAAGGCAAGGCTCAAGCAGGTTATCAGAACGAAACGGGTCAGTGCTTTTTGCACGGTGTACAGGACAAAGATACAACAAGATGGCCGCAACGAGGAAAGGAAGGTGCATAGTATGTCGCCGATGACCATGAACGGGCCCTCCTTGTAGTGCCAGAGGTCGCCGAGGTCATCTCGTTCTCTCTTTTGATGGATCCAATGTCCGATGCGACGGTGATAGGCAGGGATAACGACGTTCATGATCCACTGCGCAAACCGGTCGTCCAGATACCGGAAGGCCATCAAGTCTTCTGAGCTCTCCGCGTCCCACGCTTTGGCCTCGACTCCGGCCTGAGCGAGGAAGTGATTGCCGCCTTCCTCACTGGCCAGCCATTTCCGGAGGGATTCGAGATTGCGAGGTTCTGGGCTCCTGATCTTGGACACCTCGTTCATCTGGAGAGCGAACGCGTCTGGGATACGACGGCCAACTTGGTTTCGGGAGAAAAAGCATGGGGAATGGAATACCGACAATAGTGTGCCAACTTGTCCCGTGCATCAGCGACCTTCCGTTTTCTCCAGTAATTCGGCTTGCATACAAAGCAGGACTTTGGCGGAGAGGTGGCCAAACCGACGAAAAATCGCCAACTCCGGATATGAACCGATCAAAGTCGCGAGCTCGTCGTACCCGGTCATAATGGTCGATCCACGCGGGGATGGATCAGGAAATTGATTGAAAAATACAGCGGGGCTGATCTAGAGGAGATGGTCCAGCTTCGCTCGGTCGGGGCTCGCTGGCGTCTGCCCGGTGATAGCCGCTTGCCCTGATTAGGAGAAGCCAGTCTACCCCATACGGGGTAGAAATCAGCCTAGAGCTTTGCAGCACAGGGGCAGTTCGGCTCTGACTCATTACCTTGCCTGTGACGCCCCAAGGGCGGCGTCCCAAGGGCCGTCCCGAAACGCTAAAAAGATTGAACATCAACACGCTCACCCACGGCAAGATGGCGGGCTGGTCCAAGGCGGACCAGATCTGTTTCCAACACCGAATGTTCGCGGCTGACGATGGGACTTTTCATCGCACAACGAGTTTGTTCGCCATCGACTTTGGCGGGGATGACAAGAAAAGATGCAGTCAAGCTAGAAGCCTGGGAGTCTCCGTTGGACAGCTTCTCAGGCGCAGGCTGTCAACCCAATCCGTGCTCATGACTCGGTGTTTTGTTCGCGGTCTATGGAATGCGAGCCTGCAGGAAAGTCGGTCAACCGAACTCAACCGTTGATCTTTCATCTTCCGTCGGGAGAAAATTTCAGCTGGACCTTCACTATTGACACAGATCTTATCTTGGGATACTGAAAATGATGTGATCGTGAAACGAACAACAAGAGGGCAACTTCACCGCTATGGGAACCCAATCCTCAGCAACCGTGACCCCGTTCCTCGTCAGGGCAACCATGGGGGTGAGGGTGCGGTGCCCGTTGTTGGGTTCAGCTGAGGCCATCAGGCTTGAAAAATTGGCTAGCAGATGGCAGGGCTAAGAAAAACTAACGCATAACCAGGCGCGTTGGGTCTCGCGCCCCGCATATCACAATCTTTGGTTCTGCCAACTTTTCTGCCGTGAGACACAATATGCTCGTTGTGCCAGTCATTTTCTTTCTCTTCCCTCTGATTGCCAATCCATCGAATCCGTACCTGACCACACGTCGCTCGTCAATTATGCTGGGGTGACACGATCAGAAAGTTTGATCGTCTTCTCCACAAGATGAACGATTCCACCGTGGAAACCTCGCGGTCACCGCAAGGACATCCAGACGTTGAAGTTGAGCCTGATGTGAGCACTCAACCTCGTATTTTTCCTGTCCTGGTCCAATCCTGACAGTTGTGACAGGTACACGAGGCTCATGGCCGCCGTCCCGGCTCCCAAAGCTCGCCCAGCCTTCCATTCGATTACCAACCGGAAAGAGCTATTTGTCGAACTCGGAAATCTTTCACTTCTCCGATCAAATCAGCCGGTCACAAAATCAAAGAGTTTGTTCTCGATCTTCTCAACGCCAAAAACCGAGTCATTGTGATGATGCATCTGCACCTGGCGATCGGGGTTGACAATCGAAGGGATCTGCAGGCTCTCAAAACGATTGTCTCTGAGTGTAAAAAAGACCTCGTCGACCCAGAAGAGGGAAAAACGATACAGCTGCACATCCCGGCCAACCACAACTGCGACAAGGGCACTCAGGGTTTCTGGGCCCGGCTGGACACAGGCTCCTTGGTCCAATCCTTTGTTCGTGAGGGAGTGATCCTGGATATCAATGGAACGTATACCCCTCTAGAGAGTCTCACGGCGGGGCGGCGAGCACGATGTCAGAACATCCGCTCTTTAGGCGTCAATCAACTTCCCCTTCCGGTTCTAGGAATCGCCAGTCTTCAAGTGTTCCACCCAGACGCTCCAAACGTCCTCATCACTTGGCCGTACATGGTTCTCTCGCAAGAGTGTGATATTGAATGCGACTTCCTCCTGGGCACAGATTGGTTATATGCGTTAGAGACTTGTCTCCAAGCGAAGAAGACACGTTCGAGGCAAAATGCCACCACCGTCTCCATGGCCTACGTTGTGGATGGTAAGTTCCATTCGTATCGACCGGCCTTTCGAATGCTAAACCCTCACCAGGTCCCGCGGAGAACGACGTCCGAATGTCACGAGACGAAAAAAGAATACACGAATTCATCAGCCATGCACACCTGGCCGCTTAACGGCAGGGTTGGACGTGGCCCCATCGACGAACCGGCGTATTGGGGAGGGATTGAAAGACTCGGGGTTCAACGAAGAGGGGCAATCTATACGACGATACAATGGGGGCGAAACCAGTGACGCGATGACTTCTTCAGGAGATACCCCAATTGGCAGCGTGGAGCGGCGTCATCATTGCATGACTTGCCGAAGACCAGGGTCCTCCGCCGACAGCGCATCATTTGAGACACAGGGCTTTGTGCTATGAAGAAACAAAATTATCGCGTAGAAAGGGTGGCACAACTCACCCGGCGGCGTTCGACGGCAATTGTGTATGGTGGTCAAAAAGTTCGGTAAACAAAATGTGTCCGATGGGCGGCCTTTCTCTTCCGATATAAACCACGATCAATAGATTTCTGTCTATAATGCGAAGCTACATCAGCGGGCCGCTTCGGATCAGACAAAGCCTAGTCCGACATTCCAATAAGTGCAATGCAAAGACTCCGGGACACGATCAACTCCCTTGGAAAGGCAACACGAACTGGGGAACCTAGTAATCCAAGCCCTGTATATTTCGTGAAGCACACTCGGTTGTCGATCATTCGATCATGAATAGTCCATGACACTTTTCTGGTGCTCCGGGCTTTCCTCTTTGGATTGGCTCTGTAAATGTGCTCATGCCATGTTCCTCGCAGGCCTTCCAAGGTCCCCGGTACTTCACTTTTCTTTTCGTAACAGAAGGAACGAAGCGTCAGAGCCCACGGTCACAGAGCGCTCCACTCAAACATCCACAACGGTTAGGTGCCGTTCGTCAGGAGCGTTAAACGGATCGTCAAGACCATCGTCATCATTGCCTCTGATTGGAAGATACCAAATTTACGGTGCGATACTTTCGGAACTCGAGGCTGGCTACGTTGGCGTGAAACCGCCCCATTCATGAGGCGGAACGGCTTCCGTTTCCCCCCGAGCCCGCGTATGCTGGTCGAGCTTTGGGCCGTCCGAACTCTGTTGGCGTTGGATTGACAAGAGAAGTACGATGACGCATAGTCTGTTCGGTCACGGCGAACACGGCCATATCGCTGGACTCTTCGTCGACCGCGATAACCTGAACCGGCCTTGCTCGCCCACCTTCCCGGGCGGGTGTATAACGATACTCACCGCACCCAGCTCGTGGGAAGCTTTCCTGAACCTTGAGCTGATTCCTGTCAGGAGGATGGGGACCTCAATGAGAGAGGTGATGGGGGGAAGTGATAAACCTGGTCCGAAGGGAGGATTAACTCGAGAGAATGCGTGGTTATTCTCACTAGAAGCACGGACGTGGAACAAAGAAAAGGATCTTTGTTGGGAAAGGAAGAAATGTCATCAGGCCACTGGCCATCATCGTTCTTTTCGGCGATAACAAACATCCCATTCGATGTGTTCTGAGAATGCATGTTGCCCAGCTCGAGAATTCAAAGTGAGAGGGAAATGAGTGGAGCGTTGTAGTTGACTCGCTTTGCCCCGCCAGTCCTAAATGACGTCAACTTTTATATTTCAATACCGTCGTCGTTTTCAATCCTGTGACCAATTCCATTGCAGATGTTTATAGCATGCCAAAAAGGTAACAAATTGTATTCTTGTGGCTCCAATCACTGGCACTATGTATTCTGTACTCGTACATGGTCTGGCGCCTTAAGTGAAACCTCATCGCGTGGTCACAGCGGACCGTGAACTTCAACTCAAACGTCGGTGACGAATCAGTGCGTTCCTCGGTCAGAAAGCTCAAAGCCCCACTGATTGGGCTTGTTTGCAGAAGCCGAGACACGAAATCCCTATTCGCGCGTCTGGAGAAAAAGCCACCATTGGCGGAGGACTACAAACCACGAGCGTGGTGAGGCTGAGCGATAATGTTGCCTCTGCCGCCCTGCGCTGGCTGGAGCAGCCATTGTCACCCTGCCCAAAGCTGCACAGCATCCTCCTCTGACCAACCCTGTGGACTGATTCCTATTGACTCTCCGTCTCTAGCAGCGCGTGAAACGATCCCTGAATCCGACTTTGTTTCTACATTGGCGACTGGACCGAACGGAACTCCTACCTATCCGATGCTGCTCGTCATATTCTAATGGCATGCCTTCTTCGTCCCCAGAGCCGGGACGCCTTCGAGATCGCCATTATCTGCGCCTTACCCGTCGAGCGTAATGCCGTCGAAGCACTATTGGACGAGGAGTATGAGACGGATGGTTTCTCCTACGGCGAGGCGGCTGGGGATTGGAATATTTATACCACAGGACGGCTAGGCAACCAACATGTGGTCCTGGTGTATATGCCGGGCATGGGGACGAGCAGCGCCACCGCGGTGGCCGCCAATCTTCGCTCCAGCTTTGAAAGGACTCAAGTCGGCATCATTGTCGGTATTTGTGGTGGAGTCCCAACGACGGCTGATGGCGCCGAGATTCTCCTGGGCGACGTTATCATCCGTACGTCGGTGATTCAGATCGACTTTGGCTCACAATACTCAAACGGGGTCATCAGAAAGAAGGAGGTGGAAGATACTCTGGGTCGAGCGAATCCGGAAATTCGGGCATTTGTCGGGAAGATGTCAGGCTATCTGTTTCCCAAAAGACTCCAAGAAAAGACCAGTGTCTTCTTGACTCAAATCTGTACAAAGGAGGGGTTTTCCGGGTCGGCCTATCCGGGACCAGAAAACGATAAACTTTACCCCGCTAACTATCGGCACAAACACCGGATACAATGCTGTGACATTTGCGACCATGGCCAGGAACAGAATGATGACGTTTGCGACTCAGCCTTGCGGAACTCTTGTGAGAACCTTGCTTGTGATGAGACCTCGGTGAAAGAACGCAAGCGCATCCTAAGGGCATTGGGCATCTCCCCGGACGGAGGTCAATTGACGGCAAGAGAAATCCAAGATGCGAGAAAGCCGTCCATTCACGTGGGCCGAATAGCATGCAGTAATCAAGTCATGAAGAGTGGTCTGCACCGAGATCGGATTGCCACCGAGGAGAAAGTGATTGGGTTCGAGATGGAGAGTGCGGGTACATGGGATTATGTCCCCACGATTGTGATTAAGAGCGCGTGCGATTACGCGGACAGCCACAAAAGTGATCGGTGGCACGCATATGCTGCAGCGACCGCCGCGGCTTGTACCAAGGCTGTGCTAGAAGAATGGAGACGTGCCGACAGGCCCGTTGGAGATCCAGTCGACCAGGAGCGTCGAGGTTAGTGGCGATGCAAGTTCGTTGCATATCTGATGGACTTCTCCGAAAGGGCTAATCCACCTAGATCCCAATTCAATCGCGAATCCTGTGCACTGGACCGTTACTCGCTCTGCCAACACGCTGTTTACAGGCCGCGATGACATTCTTCAGGAGCTGGATATTATCGTTCGGGATGCTGCCAAGAACTCTTCACATCGGAGTCAGTGCCGGATTGTCATTTCCGGTATAGGTGGTCAGGGCAAAAGCGAGATCTGCTTGCAACTCGCGCAACGCGTTCGCCAATCGTGAGTACAATGGCAAACATCGTTCGAGTCGCCCATTGCTCACGTGACCAGATTTTGGGGGGGTCTTCTGGGTCGACGTTAGCACCTCCCATTTGGCAGAAACCGGATTCTTAGATATCGCGAGCCGACTTCACATCCTGGCACGGACATGGAAGGACGCTCGGCAAGGTCTTGCCAATCTGAAAGAACCGTGGTTGTTGATATTGGACAACGCCGATAATCAGCCCCATATTGACTACCAGCCATATTTTCCGACCGCTGCGTCAGGCGTGGTGATTTTAACATCACGTAACGCCGAATGCCGGCAGTATGCCACGGCAAAATGGGTCGATTTGGAAGGACTGTCCGACGCTGAGGCTCGACAACTACTGCTCCGGGCTGCACATATTCCTCACGATCAACATCAGACTCTCAAGGACGATGCTCATGTCGTCGCACTCCTTTTGCGATCACACCCTCTCGCACTAATCCAAGCTGGATCTTACGTGTCACGTGGTCATTGCACGCTAAAGGAGTACCCCATCGTGTATGAGCAACAACGGAAGCGTCTTCTTACCTTCCGGCCATTTCAGGCACAGTCACGCTATCGCGACGTCTATGCGACGTTTGAAGCGTCGGCAGAAATCCTGCAATCGTCGAACACTGAATCTGCCAACGATGCTCTGCAACTGTTGCCCGTATTTTCGTCATTCGGACCCAGTCGATTACCCCGACCATTGTTTGAAGCCGGGTGGAAGGGGGCTCAAGCAATATCTTCAAATAAAACTGATGAAGGCGACTTGAGTCGCCTAATGCCATGGCATGTCTCGCACCTTCCACCTCTTATTCAAGCAGGTGTCCGGACGTGGGATTCCTTTCGACTCTTTGAAGCTATTTACCTGCTGAAGGCATTCTCGCTGGTGTCGACCGATAGCAACGAGGGTTTTTTGTGCGTCTCGATGCACCCGTTGATCCACGCCTGGGCGAGGGACCGCCTCAGTCTGGAGCAACAGCACGAATGTTGGATCACAACTGGATGTTTGATCACCATCTCTCGTAAAGATATAGTGTCGTGGCAAAAAATCGGGCGGCAACTTCGGCCTCATCTACAGACAATGGTATCGTGGGAGATGAGTCTGATGTTTAGTTCCGAGCCCTCGATGATGGTTATTCGTATTTTGATGAATTGTGGGTGGCTGCTGTACGAAATACGCGATGACGCAAAGGTCTTTGTCTTGATGGATCGTCTTTTCACTTATCTTGGCTTAGATCGGTTAACTGTAGACCCACGATGGCTACAAGTGTACGATCTCACCGCGCGGAACTTCCGAAACTATGGCAAAATCAAAGAGGCTGTGTCATTACTGGAACAGGTGGTCAAGATTCAAGAGCAGACGCCGCTGGAGGATCGTCCTGATCGAGCAGACACTGGCGGAGGATCGTCCTTCTCGACTGATGTCCCAACATCAGCTCGCTATATCCTACTTGGAGCTCAGGCATCATAATGCTTCGATGCAGACGATGCAGCAAGTCGTTAAAATTCAGTGGCATCCACTTCGGAAGGACTCCCAGGATTGACTTGATTATTTTTAACCTAAGACGGGTCATCTCGAGTGGACATAGCATTGCAACGAATGACGAAGTGTACCAGAGGTATTGGCGCCTCTGCGAGTCGTTGCCTGGAGGTTTTCAATTGATCGTCAACAGTAGAGTAACTGGATGAGATTCTATTGTCACTATTAATTTCGTCGGCACGGACGTAATTGGGGTGAAGCTGATTTTGCCAAGGGACTTTACCTACTAACCCGGGAGGGATCATGGTAAATGATATATACACACACACAGAGAGAGAGAGAGAGGGGCTGCTCGTCACCAGACTGGTGTTCGATGGCTAGTTCCGAAGAGCAGACCAGGAGCAGACTATTAGGGCTTCGGCTTTGTTAAACGAAGCAGCGAAACCGAATGTCAAACCCCTGCCAGCGTGGACGGCTCGCCAGGCATGCCGATAGGTCGTGCACACCAACTCGATGCTTGGTGGTTATGACGATGGCCGCTTTCCGACGACGGACAGTTGCCTGTGAGACAATCTATCCACCTACGAGGACTCTCGTGATGGGTACAAGAAAGACTGCCCGGAACGGTCAGAGCTCAGTTATTGGGACAATCCGGAGTCACAGTTGAATTGCTGATGCTCTGGAACACCTTCTCCGTCGCTGAATTTGCCGCACCTTATTTGGTTCTCACCAGAACAGCTTCGAATGCAGCGGCCGTCGGGAGCCCTGAGGATGGACAAGAGGCGTGTTGAGACGTGCACATCTCTCCTAGCACGTAGCAACAATGAGACTTACCCGGGGCGACCGGGGAAACTCGCTGGCGCGATTTGCTATGGTTTCACCAGCGGCGACGACGAGGACATCCCATATGACAACCCACATGGGGCTAATTATTACGACTCGATGTACGAGGGAGCCGCCAATGGCAAATCACAAATCACCAAATATGCTGGGCGCTGCCCTAATTCCAAGTTCGTCGCGGGAGGCTCCTCGAAGGGGTGCGCGGGTTGTGCGTGATGTCTGTGGCGGAGGTGGCACTTTTTCCCAGAGTTGCGTTCAAGAAGGATCATTGCTGACTAGGATATTGTGCCCACCGTTGTCACGGCACTTTGCGTTCGGCGATACTCGCCATCCGGCAGGATAGTCATGTAATGTGGAGTTCGGAGCGAACGATTCTGGTCTTGAAGATGACGAGACACATCTGAACTACTTCGTGGGTCATACAAATGATCGACGACACTTTGGTGGGGGGGACATTGTCAACAACGGTGTCAGCGCTGATAACGGTTCAGCCACCACCACAAGGAGCGCCTTGCTCACGAAATGGTATCTCAACGTCAATGAGTCCAACCTCGATAAAGCGTGACGACAACCGCTACATCGTCTGTCTCGGTTGGCACGACTTCATCCGCAGCAGCGACTGCTGCCTTTGCGACCAGCACCAACGATGGAGCCGTGCTTCCATAACGTCACATGAGTGCCATTCCCGCTATTGTACAAGTGTTGGGCAACACCGCGTTCATCAAAGGGAGCTCAGACGGTGGGATGCTTCCCAAAGTAATGTCTCCAGGTACACATAATGGCACTCTCACTGCTGCAATCACCGTCCCAGTCGATTTGGAGGTCCTCGAATACGATCCTACGTATTGAATCAGACTTTCTTGTCCTCCACTGAACGGCGTCGTCAAATTCGTGTTCGTCTAGGAAGCCCCGATCCGCAGCACGGACATTCACAAATATAAAAAATTGGAAAATATCGTATCCCAAAGTTCTTCTCTCCGGGGGGCATCGACAAACAATCTCAGCATTTTGTGTTTCATCTTCATGCATCAATCCATTTACGTAAATGGCCAAAGAACCCGGAAAACGTCACTTGCGATCCATTCCCTCCCTAAGCAATGCAGCCTGCGACCACCTGCATTACACAAAAGCGGTTAAGTATCCTCGTTTATCCTCGTTTAACCTCGGACGTATTGCTACGTCATTGGCCGCTTCAACCAGAAATTCCCTTAACTTGCGATCGCTATCGTAATAGATCTCGCTGCAATGAGCGAGCCGCATCTATCCCGGGATGTTATTCGTTAGGCCTTTGACATGACGTGCAGAGAAAACAGGTAAGATGAAATTCGTCCGTCCGACTCGAGGTGAGAGGATATATAAGTGCCTCCCGACAAAGATCAAGAGCCAGGCCCCTCAACAGCTTTCAATATCCCCTCCCTTTCATTCCTATCCAAAATGTCTCTATCCGGCAAGATCACCCTCATCACTGGCGGCTGCAAGAACCTTGGAGCTCTCATCGCTACCCTTTTCGCGGCCGACGGTGCCCATCTAGCCCTGCACTACAACTCCTCCGCTTCCAAGTCCTCCGCAGACCAACTCACCACCGACCTCACGTCCAAATACCCAAACATCACGGTGAAAACTTATCAGGGTGACCTGACCACCGCATCCAGCGTTGCTGCCCTATTCGACGCCGTCTCCAAGGACTTCAACGGCAAGCTCGACATCGTGATCAACACGGTGGGCAAGGTGCTCAAGAAGCCGCTCAGCGACGTTTCCGAAGCCGAATATGATGAGATGTTCGCCGTGAATTCTAAAGCGGCGTTCTTCATTACACAAGAAGCGGCGAAGCGAGTCGGCGAGGGCGGCAAGATCATTAACACCGTCACGAGCTTGTTGGCGGCCTATACGCCTCTATATACGAGTTATCAAGGCAGCAAGGCGCCGGTCGAGTTCTTCACGAAAGGTCTGAGTAAGGAGCTGATGCCGAAGAAAATCAGTGTGAATGCTGTTGCCCCAGGACCCATGGTAAGGACTCTATATTTGATACGCTTGCCGCTTGGTTCTGTTTGCTTAGAGTGTATCTAACAATTGAAAACCCATAGGACACTCGTAAGCCAACCTGACCCAACCTGACGCAACACCGCATGACCTCATCCCCTACCCATGTACAATTCCAATTCCGCCACAGAAATCATCCTCGACTTATCTATCATCACAATGACGAGAACTTTCCTCTTCCCTGTTCCCCCGTCCCCCGTTCCTCCCTTACCATCTGTGCCATCCCACCCCTTCTTTCCCGTCCTGAGACTCTGATTGATATTCGGTACAGCATTTTTCTACGGCCAAGAAACCCCCGAAGCCGTAGCATTTCACAAGTCCAACGCCATCGGCGGACGATTGACGCTTGTTGAAGATATTGCCCCCATCTTCAAGTTTCTTTGCACCGAGGGTGCGTGGATTAACGGTACGTTACTTACATATCCTCATCAACAACGAAGGAGGAAACACAATCCCGCCCTGTTCCTTTCATTAACCCAACCTGCCATCTATCTAATCATGACCAGTTGAGGCGGCATTTTCAAGTCCTCAACTTTTCATTTCTCCAACACTTACTCCAACGCATGCGAAGTTATGCGACCTATATTGGTACGTTCTTTTCGCTGACTCTTTCATGAAGGCCAAACTCTCTTCGCCAACGGTGGATATACAAGCCGCTAGTTATTCGTCAGGGCCCAAATCAACGTATGCGAAACTGTCCGAGCAGAGATCTGCAGACTTGTGAGATTGTGAGGCAATGAGAAGGGACGGAGAAAAGCTTCGGAATTCAGAATCAAATTTAGATTCAATATCAGATCCCAAAATCTCTTGGAGACGAGAAAGTATGAGTCCTAGTATATTTTCCACAAACGAGTTGATTGATATCATCCTGTGTGCACGACAGTCAATTTCAGCTGCTCCTTGTAAAGGAAAATTTGAATGAATTGTTCTTTTCTCAACGATTCAGAGCATGGAAGGTCGAAGAAAGACAGGTAGTCACTTAGCCCTTGACGCACGTTGACTGTTGAATAAATGATTGAGGCTGAATCTCTTTCCCATGACCACTAGACCACCCTGTTCATCTCGTTATCCCCCATCGACTCATACGCATTCATTCCTATTCATTCCCGTCTATTTTCTCCATCGCTGTCGACTATATTCTCCCAGTGACACTAAGGGCCCTGAGCAACTAAAGCTAAAAACATTCTTTCATTGCTTTCAGGGTCATCCTCGTTGTCGTCGGCTTCGCTCACCATCATAATATTATTAAACGGATTATGACTCCTGCTTCTGGCCTCAACAGTCACAGCGGAGTGACTCGCCACTCACCTATAACGAAACCAATTTTTTTTTTAAAAAAAAAAAAATACCATAAAATTAGCGCCATCGCTCAAGTTCAATGTTTCGTACTGGGTATCGCATCGATCATCTCTTGTCTTGAAATAATATCAGATAATTTGGTATCGCTACCAGTTGTCATGCTTTGCGTTGTGTGTGATTTTCAAATGTCCCTCCCGGCCTACCCAGTCTATCGATAAAAGGCGTCATCATGTTTGGAGATTATGCGATGGTCGGAACATCGTCGGGTCTCAATGGATAATTTTTGACTTGCTTCCGTCGTATTTGTATTTGAGAGAATCCGGATTTGACTTGTTGCTCCAACGATGGATGTTGGAAGCTGAGGCTCTGAAAGAAGGGGGTTTCGGAGGGTTCAATCGTTTCGGGTAAGCTTGAAGACATGCTTCAACCCTCCCCTTCTGGATCTCATGGTCTCAGTACCGAAATTGTTTTATGGAGCAAGTCCGCATGGATTTGCGGAAAGGGTCAACTCGAAGGCGTCCTTTTTGGCCATTGGCGGCGTGGAAACAACCCGCAGCAAATTGATTGCCATCATGCGACCTTCTCGTGCTGGGTGGATACGCGGTTCAATGATACAACTAGGATTTTTGGTCAGTAGCGTCCGGCGGGTCAAACGTCGATGGGTTGACTCACGGAAATCCTCCATGTCTCTCTTCTTCAGCACTTTGTTGCCCCTTGATTTTCTTCCATGGACAATGTCGTCAAACGTAACACTGTCTTGTAAAAGGTAATAGACTCCAGCCATGACACAAAAGACTCCAAACGAATACAACCAAATTCGGACCACGGCAACGATACTGGTCTGTTCTCCACCAACGAACCAACCGAAGAGACAAAAGAATGTGGCGACAATATCGACCAGTAAGATTGCTCCGGTGAGTTGCCATGACGGGATACTGGACCAAAAAGGTCCATTGGCCCGAGTAATGAAGATCAGCCAATTTTCGGAAAGGGAGATCTGCAGGAAAAGAACAGCATCAGTATGGCCGAAATTTTGTACGATGCCTCCATCTTCTCCTCCCACTATCATCGTGGTCAGCGCGATCCAGGTGCCAGCAGCGAGGATCAGCCCGAGCAGAATGGATATTCCCCATAGTTTAGGGAGATTCCATTTGACTGGAGTTTTGGAGTACGGGGCGTTGTCGTAGGCAATTGCCAACGTTGCAATGTCGGCAAAGATCGCGATGAAGACCACCAGTTTCAAATTGAGAGACTGGTTGAGGATGGCAATCCACAGGCCCAGGAAGATTTCCAGGTGCAGTGAGAGAGCAATGCGATAAACGACGTAAGCGTACATTCGGTGGAAAATTTGTCGAGAAGTTTTGAGGGCGTCGATGATGGCGGAAAGGCCCGGGGCCAGGAAAACGATGTCGGCCGCTGAACGAGCTGCATCGGAAGCGCCCTCGACGGCAATACCGGTGTCGGCCTTTTTCAACGAAGGAGCATCATTGACACCGTCACCGGTCATGGCCACTAGGTAACCACGCTGCTGTAGAATCTCCACCACATTATATTTGTGCTGGGGGAGGACTTCCGCAAATCCATCCGCGGCTTCGACGAAATCATAGACTTCGGATCCAGGCATCGTACCGCCACCAGCGAGTCCGAGGCGTTCGGCATTGAACACATTGGTTCCCAGTCCTAATTGTCTTGAAATCTCGCGCGCAATCCCCACGGCATCTCCCGTCAGCATCTTGATGGACAGACCCAATGACTTGGCTTCATTGATGGTCTTTGCTGTATCGTGACGAGGTGGATCGGCACACGGCGTGATTCCCAGTATCTCCCACGAGCTGTCGCCTCGTTTTCGAGCGACACCGAGGGATCGAAAGCCCCGAGTTGCGAACTCGGCAACCTTGTTCTTGTATGCGACATCAATCTCCTCGGGAACGGGATGGTCTTCTTCCACGGTTCGAAGGACCGGCAATGGAGCCCCTTTGACGCAGATGATGCGTTCACCCTGCGGTGATTCCACCACAGCACTGACCTTTTTGGAGACTGGGTCGAAGGGGTGAAATTGAACCACTTTGTATTTGGACAAGGCCTGTTTCGCTCGAGGATAGTAACGAAGTGCCTTGAGGAATGCCTTATCAATGGCATCCATGCCTTTTTTCTTCCGGGACGCCGCGAGGCAAGCCGTCAGGATGAGATCCTCCGGTTCCACGCCTTGAACAGTGTATGGCTCATGGAGGGATAGTTTATTCTTGGTCAAGGTCCCGGTTTTGTCGGAGCACAGGATTTCCACGCCAGCAAGGGACTCTATCGCGGAAAGTTTCTGGACGATGGCCTTTTTCTTTGCCAGGTACGCGGCACCCACAGCCATCGTGGTGGTGACGACAGCAGGCAGACCGACCGGCACTCCGATGATGGTGATCGCCAACGTAAATCGGAGGATGGTGACAATATCGTTGGACCGGTAAAATGACGAGATCCAGACGACCAGGAGAGTGAACACCACGAGCGCCAACAGAACGGTGCCGATGCCGTTAAGGACCTCAGTAAAATGGCCGGTGCCGCCAGAGGCGGCATTGACCAATGCCGCCGCCCGACCCACGAACGAATTGTCTCCGGTCGCGGTGACGATCATAAATGAGGTTCCGCGCTTGACCGCCGATGAAGCATAACAGGTGTCGCCCAGGCCCTTGTCAACAGCCAGCGACTCGCCGGTAATGGAGGACTGATCGACTTGGAGATAGGCATCCTCCGTCACAATACGGCCATCGGCAGGGATGATGGTGCCTTCCTCGAGCTGCAAGATATCTCCAGGAACCACCATTGGTGCCTCAATTTCGATTAGACGGCCTTCTCTCAGCACCACAGCCTTGAGAGCCAAGGTCTTTTTTAACTCCTCGACAATGGAGCCGGCTTGAAACTCTTGAACGAACCCGACAGTCGCGTTGAGGAGGAGCAAGGCGCAAATGACACCGAAATCCACCCAATCTTCCAGGCCGGCGGCAAGAATGGCGGCCGCCTGGGGGGACAAAGTGTCAGCATCAGCATCGCCGAGATGGGTGTCGGCGTGTTATAATGACGAATCTTCATACATACCTCCATGACAAATTGAATAGGACCGACAAAATAGCCCAGAAACTTCAACAGTAAATTCTCCTTCTCTTCCTTCATCTGATTGAGACCATACTTTTTCCGTCTGGCGACGACCTCTGGTTCGATCAGGCCCACACGCGTATCGGTCTGAAGCATCTCTTCGGGTACGTTTCGGGCGCCTCCCACTGTCTCGATCTCTGCTTCAATTTCGGCATCGGGATCAAGAGATTCCAATTCTTCAATCAGGGCGTCCAAATCTTCCTCTTCTTCATCCTCATCCATCCTTGAAAATTTTTTCTCGCGGAACAGATGGCCATTGTGGTGCATGGGCTTCTCGGTGAGAACATTGTCACTGTCACTCACTGGAATGCGAGGAGGACGAGGACGTTTGGCGGGAATAGATCCCGCCGAACTCACGTCAGATGGTATGTCTGACATGTTGAATGGGATCAGGGGATGTAAAAGGGTGATACTATGTCCACTCCATGAGGAACACAATGTAAATGTCGCAGGAGGTGACCAGAGAGGATGTGGGATGGGAGCAGCTGATAGGAGGTATATTTGTCCGGAAGGAACGATCCACGCGCAAGGGTTGTTGCTTCGACAGCAGGCGGCTCTGGCCGAGGAAAAATGATATCCCTGTATCTGTTGTCGACAAGAGTGGGGAGATGTGGGATATGCTTGAAGATTAAAGGTACCGCATGGGTAAGAGTGTGAATGAGCAGGAAAAAAAGAACGGAGCGCAAAGGAAGAAGTTGAAGCGGATTTGCAAGTGATGGCTCGGAATTAGCCCCCGCAATCTCGTAGGTGTATGGCTTTCTTAGCGGGTGGGAGGTCCCTCAATGCCAATCCAGAGAGCAGACCACCTGGCTCGAAGATACGGTGTTGCTGAGCACTTGGCATGGTGAGATTGATGGCTCGCACAGGAGCCTTTTGTCTTGGAACCTCTTTTTATATTCCCCTCGCAGGAAGAAATCGATACAGGCCTAGTCGATAAGTTGATGATGATTGTGCGACATTCGGAGACTCCCTCCGTTTTGCTTAAGCCATCCACGTGCTAGAACATGTGGGGAGAAGGTGCTAAGTGATCCATTGATCAATGATTGTCGATGTATCTGCAATATTTTTGCTGCGACGTGCTACCCACTTTGTAATTGTTATCCAGTGCCACATGAAAAAAAGACATGTCAATGGTCTAAATAGGAGGTGGTTACAGAGAAAGCGAGTTAATATGAGACCTGAAGTCCTTGAAGCCACGCCCATGCCAATAAAGCAGATTCCTCCGTCTTTACAGCAAGTTCAGCTCTGTTCACCGACGAAAAATTCCAACAATCCCCGATCGAAAAGCTTGGAAGACAACCTGCGCCCTAGATGCAGGCTAATTTGAGATAAGAAAAACCCTCCCAATCCACCTGTGACCGTTACCAATGAGGCTCTTCTTGTCCATCAAGACAGAAACCTCATCCTCCTTCACAACGCCTGGAAATGCACGAATCAAGATCATATACAGGGGGGGTATCATCCCAAAGGGCACACTGAGTTGTCACAGCCGAAAACCTTTTTCGCCCAAGGCTCCATCCAATGTCGCCTCATTCATGTGCAGACATGCTCTTTTAGTCCTGTTTGTTCTGTTGCTGGAATGGAGCGAACGGGAAACCCGGCGGAAGCATAGGCATCCCGTTGGGCATATTTCCAAAGTTCATCGGAAAGGGCATGGCAGGCATCGCACCATTATTGTCACTTGTATTGCTCGAAACCTGCCGGTCATTTCGGTCCATTCGGCGATCGTCGTCTCGGTGTCTATCGTCACGTCCAACATTCTGGCGAGAAGACTGGGGTCCACGTCGTCCACCTTGATCGGTCGCAATACGCCGACTCATAGCTGTGGGATCAATGTTAGACCCATGTACAAAACGGAAAAGCAACCGGAACACACCTTTGGAGGAAACCCCAGCACCGATTTCAATATCCGGCTCTTCTACAACCATTCCCTGCGCAATCGCCAAACCACCCGTACCACCATACTCGGCTGTGAGCAGCCACTTGCGGTCGGCATCCGTCAATCGATCAATAGGAATGATGCTAATACCGGTTTGGTAGTCACTGCAGTCACGTGGTCCAAAGCCGACACCCCATTTGGTCTGGCAAGGAAAAAAAAAAAAAAAAAGAAAAAACCGTCAGTATTTCGTTTTTCTCTCGGTTTCAGAGAATTGACTTACTCGTAGTTGTGTGTCTCCGGATTTGTAGTCTTCCATCCCGTCACGGGCATTCTCGGCATCTCGGCGATTGATCATTTTGACGAAAGCGTGGCGTTTATCGACATTGACAATGCATGTTTGAACCACTCCGTACTTATTGAATAGTGATCGCAAGTGAGCTTCGTTAGAAGTGACACCACCCACAAACAAGGTCCGACTGAACACTTTGATGTGACCCTTCGGTAGCGAGGGATCCCATGATACATTCTTCGGGCCTGGCGGTGGGAGTTTGGTATCACTGGGAGGTGTGGGAGAGCGGCGTCGTCCCCTACCAGGGCTTCGTTGACGATAGTCATTGCCGCGTCGGCCATCACGACCATCGCGATCATTACGATACTGATCTGGTCCTGGACTATCCCGACGGCGTCGGGGAGACAAATCTCGTCGTCTATCGTAGCCAGGCGAGCGAGATCGTCGTCGATACTGACTGGGAGGAGAGCGGGTGAGGGCGTCACGTGATTGCCCGGCGGGCTGAGCCTGACCGACCCAATTGTTGGATGACATTGGAGGCGGAAACGGTAAGCCATTCACGCCGCCAGCATTGGCACCTTGCATATTCAACAATTGAAGAGCAGTGGCCCATTGATCGGGAGGAACGCCTTGAGCAGCCAAGAGCTGCAAAAGTTGAAATTGAGCTTGCGCTTGAGCATCTTGACTTATAGGAGCAGGATGCTGCGGAACCGCAACAGGAGCTTGTGGCTGAGCAAGAAAAGTGGCAAGAGGGTTCTGAGGAACATTCGCGGGACTTTGACTTTGTGCACCATTACTCAATCCAGCAAAAAGAGCTCCCAGCGGGTTTACAGCCTGCCCACTGGCGGCAGCAGGAGCAGGGCCTGGGTTTACGGTACTGTTCGTCTGAAGGGTCCCATTTTGCGTGCCTAATAGATTATTCAAACTAGCTTGCGCGGGGGCGGTGGCCGGTGGCTGTGATGCAGCATTCTGCTTTGCCATATTCTTCAGAGCCTCGAGGATGGCAGACGTATCTTGTTGAGGGGCGGCTGTGTTCATACTGTTAGATGCTCCTTGTTGACCGAGGGGAACGAAACCGGGGGCAGGCGATCCTTCCGGGGTCGTTGATGCTACAATAAAAAGGTCAGACGGTTCCCACCGGCACATAGGAGAAGGAGAAGAGTGTGAGAGCTCACGTTTGACGGCTGGGGCATCAAGCTTTTCTTTGAGTGATGCAAGCAAAGGCGCCGGAAAAGTGTTGGAACGCTCCCAGATCTCAAGGAGTTTCTTTATTTTGACCTGTCAAGAAGCGGAAAAAGGTGAGTACCACTCATTGAGATGGGTAGATAGAAAGGGGAACGCGGCGGGCGGGATGTTTGTTTAGTGTTTCAGCGCCGTGATTCAAAGTGATCAATACGCATTTGGTGTCCAGGTCGCACGGTAATGACAGTGAACGTAACCATACCTTTTGATCTTCTGGGGCTGTTGCGGTGATGTCGTTCATGAGCACGGGAAGTAATTCAGTTACTCGAGTCACACCAGCAGCAAAGGTCCCATCGGGAGCTCCGCTACCCAGTTGTTGGCCTGTCTTTCTGGCTTGATCTACCCATTGTCGTGTTACCGAATCTACAACATATAGTACTCCCAATTTGTGTGTTCCCGGCGTCTTTTTGAAGTGTGTGTAGATCTTTTGGATGAGGACGGACTCAGACTGCGAATGAGGTCAGCGGGACAGATGGACGCAGGAAAGGAATCGACGTACTTGGATGTTGGCCGTACACAGTGAGGTGATCGCCGTGATCTTGGAACCAGACACTCCTGGAGGTTTGAGATTGAGCATGGACTGGAGAATGGAGTCCAGCTCCGCTACTGCAGACGACATGGTGGACCAGGGGATCTCCCTACAGAGATTGATGTCAAGAGTACTTTGCAAAGAGGATGATTTGGCTAGATGGATGATCGGGGTGGCGGGTGCAAAATTCTTCGCAGGACGGTGACTTAGGTCCAGCAGTGGTCAACCGCGACGTGCAGGTAGCAATTTTTTTTTTTTGTTTCTCTTTTTTTTTTTTCCCCTCCGCTGCCGGCAGATGTCTTACAGACTTCAAACACAGTTGAAGTGGGAATGAATGATGCGAGATGCAAAAACGGTAGGTTTGGGGGGTCCCTTTCTCCGTTCAATACCGTGACGACGCAGACTTCTACGGTCCTGGTGGCAAGGATGCCTGCGGATGGGAATTGCAGGAACGAGGAGCCTATCGACCCAGCGCAGTAAGAGAAATACACTGGACGGAGTGATTACGAAGTGATGGCGCTACGTGCGCAACAGGAGATGGATAGATGAAACCAAATGTGATGAGAGGATGAAGAAGAAGCAGTGAAATTAAGGTAGAAGAGGTTGGAAGAAAGGAAGCGGAGATTTGAACTTGGGCACTTGCGGCAGAGGGAAAAAGACTTTGCCTGGCGACTGATGGATCCAGTCATAGAGCGGCCAGACGGCCGCACTTGGGCTTAACACGTGACTTGGCTTCGAGGGTCGATGGGGAGTTTTTTCGGAGTGCGAAAGCTCGACTCTTCCTTCCTACAAAGTTTCCTCGGTGAGCCTTTTTTGGCTGGTTAATGGTCATCGGGGCTGAGGACGCGGACCGCGTGGGGCAAAAATATTTACGGGGCCTCACGGTGCTTATGGGCCAAGCCTCGCTCGCTAACGATCTAACTGATGTGAGTGAGAGTGCATTGGCCCTTTCTTACTGTGTGACGTCCGTTTCCCGGGCTACAGACTCGCAAGCTGGCTGCCAGACAAACCCCCCAATGGTCCAACTGCTTCAAGGGTGGCCCCGGTCAAAATTCCCCCCGTTCACCTCTATGGCTCTCCTCCTTATCACCATAACTTTTTTCACTTTTCTTATTTTTTTTTTTTCCCCAATTGCCTGCGCTCTCTCTTTCTCTCTCTCTCTGTGTGTGAAGCTTTCCTTGTTTCTTCTCTCCTTGACTTCTCCTTCTTCTTCTTTCTATCGGCATGGCCTCTTCACTTCGCCTTGGAGGCTCCCTGCTACGTACCTCTTCCGTTTACTCTAGATCTTTCGTCCAGAGAGCTGCCTTCAATGGTGTCCGCTGCGCAAGCACCCAAGTGAGCGAGATCTATCCCAGGGGGTGGAGCTCTCCTGCTGACCTATGCGTACTCTAGTCCCTGAAAGAGGCCTTCGCCGCTAAGCTTCCTGGAGAGATTGAGAAAGTCAAGAAGCTAAGAAAGGACTATGGTTCCAAGGTCATTGGCGAAGTCACACTCGATCAAGTTTACGGTGGTGCTCGAGGCATCAAGTCACTTGTCTGGGAAGGCTCCGTCCTGGACTCAGAAGAGGGTATCAGATTCCGGGGGAAGACCATTCCCGAATGCCAGGAGCTTCTCCCCAAGGCCCCAGGCGGCGAGGAGCCATTGCCAGAAGGCCTTTTCTGGCTTCTCCTCACGGGTGAAGTTCCCAGCGAGCAACAGGTCCGCGATCTGTCTGCTGACTGGGCCGCTCGTTCCGATCTTCCCAAATATGTCGAGGAGCTCATCGACCGCTGCCCCAGCGACATGCACCCTATGGCCCAATTCTCCATTGCTGTGGTCGCTCTCGAACATACCTCTGAGTTTGCCAAAGCCTATGCCAAGGGCATGAACAAGAAGGACTATTGGTCATACACCTTTGAAGATTCCATGAACCTGATCGCGAAGCTGCCCACCATTGCGGCCAAGATCTATCGCAACGCATACAAGGATGGCAAGGTGGCTCCGATTCAGAAAGATAAGGATTATGGCTACAACCTGGCAAACCAGCTTGGATATGGTGACCAGGCCGACTTTGTCGAACTCATGCGCTTGTACCTCACCATCCACTCTGATCACGAAGGTGGCAATGTGAGCGCACACACCACTCACCTGGTCGGCAGCGCTCTGAGCTCCCCGATGCTTTCCCTCGCCGCTGGCCTCAACGGCTTGGCTGGACCACTCCACGGATTGGCCAACCAAGAAGTGTTGAACTGGCTCACGAAGATGAAGGAGACCATTGGTGATGATCTCAGTGACAAGGCCATCACCGACTACCTCTGGGCTACTCTCAATGGTGGTCGTGTCGTTCCGGGATATGGCCACGCCGTTCTTCGCAAGACCGATCCTCGTTATGTGTCGCAACGTGAATTCGCCCTTCGCAAACTTCCTGAAGACCCCATGTTCAAGCTTGTGAGCCAAGTTTACAAGATCGCACCCGGTGTCTTGACCGAGCACGGCAAGACCAAGAATCCTTACCCCAATGTGGACGCGGTAAGTCACCTTGTTACACTGACCAGGGTTTCGCTGCTGACTTGACTCGAGCACTCCGGTGTCCTCCTGCAATACTATGGATTGACTGAGGCCAACTACTACACCGTCCTCTTCGGCGTCTCTCGTGCTCTCGGTGTCCTGCCTCAACTCATCATCGACCGCGCCCTAGGTGCCCCTATTGAGCGACCCAAGTCCTTCAGCACCGAAGCTTACGCCAAACTTGTCGGAGCTACATTGTAATTTGTTGTGGTGATAAAGAGATGTACAATGCAAACACACTTTGTGTAGGTCTAAAAGGTTGGGGGAGGGGGATGGTGATGGGCAATAGAGGTCGGGTATGGTTGGGAGTGGATTCAAACTTGGCCGTTCAGTCGGCCCCTTTGATTGACGAGCGCTCTTAGATCTCGGGACCTGCAAAGCACTTTTAATTTTTGGTTCACGTGTATTCTTTGGCAACTTCGTATTCACCCGGAGACATGTTCCAGCTGTGTGCGACGTCAAGCTGACTGAGGCTCAAGCGTGCTCATGGATTCACCCTTTCCCCCCCCCAAGCTGTCTGGCGTTGAGATGAGCGTTGGGGTGGCCCGACGGTAACCCTGGCGGCTTTCCTACCACACGGCCCACCATTTAGGAGGCCGATTCCGAAGTTTAAGCCCTATGGGTTACTTAGAGTGGCTAATAGGAAATGGGGGCTTAGAGGGGGATGAGAATTGATGTCCGTTCAACACGCCGAAAAGGTCTGCCTAGTCTTGTTTTGGCCCAAACGGTCGAGCAGCCTGCGCCGAAGGACGATAATTATAATCCGGGTCTCTCTGTTTTTCCTTCACCGAAACAGCTGAACAAAAAAAAACTCCGACCCCCAAACTTGAGGATTGTCAGCCTCACCGTCTCCTTAATCTCCGTTCTGGTGTCTGTTTGACCGGGCTATCTCATTCCTGCATCTTTCGAATCTCCTCTCCTCAACCACGACCCCATCTCGACTCTATCCTTTCCTCTCTCTAATCTCAAACCTAAACTCTCCAGGCGACGAAGCCGACCTCCTCCCTTGGTCAGGGCCCGACAATAGCAAATACCCTTCTAGCAATGTCCGCTCAAGCAGTCATGGCGCCTGCACCACCGGTCCAGAAGATTGAGAAGAAACCCGTCAAGTTCAGCAATTTGCTCCTCGGCGCTGGTCTGAATATGTTCGAGGTGACCACTCTAGGACAACCGCTAGAAGTCATCAAGACTACCATGGCCGCCAACCGAACCGACACCTTTGCTGGTGCGATGGTGAGAATATGGGGTCGGGGTGGTATCCTTGGATGTAAGGAAACGGCAAGATGCCAGAACAACTGATAAGGACCTCGGCTGACTTTGTATCTACTAGACTACCAAGGTCTGATTCCCTGGGCCTGGATCGAAGCCTCGACAAAGGGCGCCGTCCTTCTCTTCGTCGCCTCCGAAGCGGAGTACTATGCAAAGACTTTCGGCGCCAACAACTTTGTCGCCGGTATCACTGGAGGCATGGTGGGCGGCGTCGCCCAAGCCTATGCGACCATGGGTTTCTGCACATGCATGAAGACGGTTGAAATCACACAGCACAAGCTTGCCGCGCAGGGTGTGAAACCTCCTTCGACATTCAAGACGTTCGCAGACATCTACCGAAAAGAAGGTATCCGGGGGATCAACAAAGGCGTCAACGCCGTCGCCATTCGACAGACTACCAACTGGGGTTCTCGGTTCGGTCTGTCCCGACTGGCGGAGACCGGTATCCGAAAGGTCTCTGGCAAGGAAGGTGGTGAGAAGCTCAATAGCTTCGAGAAGATCCTGGCTAGTGGCCTTGGTGGGGGGTTGTCTGCTTGGAATCAGCCCATCGAAGTCATTCGTGTTGAGATGCAGAGCAAGACCGAAGACCCCAACCGACCCAAGAACTTGACTGTCGGAAAGACCCTGAAGTACATCTACAACACCAATGGTATCAAGGGTTTGTACCGTGGCGTTACTCCTCGTATTGGTCTCGGTGTTTGGCAGACAATTTGCATGGTTGCTTTGGGTGATATGTATGATTCCCTTCCCTCTTTCCCTCGACCCGTGTTCGAAAGTACCGTCAACCCTTGAAAAACTTCGACACTAACGAATGGTGACCGACAGGGCCAAAGATGCCGTGGAGAAATTGACCGGTGAAAAGGTCACCGCGAAGCACTAAATGGCGTTATACGGGAGCCCTCAAAGGGACGGAAACGACGATGAGCCTGTACGTTTCCGGGAAAGTTGTCGGATGGTCGACTTTCCAATCTTTTTTTCTGCTTTATGGTTTCTTTTTGCCTGCACGACTTGTCTACAGGAACGGGGAGACTTACTGAAACCGGATAAAATTTGTTGCCAGTACTCTACGGCCATATCTGTTCTTGGCGTTTAAATCTCTTTCGATCCCAAAAACGCACTGCTATACTCTTTTGCTTTATTGCTGTTACGTGCTTGTTCAAGTTCGGGATATTGTTTGATGGGAATGGATGAGCAGGCTTTATAGACGTGGGGATTGGGTGGGAAGGGCTGCCCGCTGGTGGGTAGGCCGGATATGATCAGAATATAAACATGTCCATGCCTCACCTTCACATCGTCTCGCATGTTTTGGTCTCTGAGTTTGAGTCGAACTGACACAGTCAACGGGATCTGCCCGTCAAGGAAGACAAAGGGCGTCGCTGTGAATGTGAAGGCCATCAGTGTTATTGTGAAAATGAGATGTTTTTTTGCTTCGTCTACCTCGATTGATGTTGCCTCACATTCACATCCACCTTGAATCAAAGCGCCTTTGGATTCTGGACCTCCGATTCCATCATGGCTCCGATTTCTTTGATGTGTAGAATGCGAGGTCTGTCTTCACTCTGGTCGACAGCAGTATCAAGAGGAGTGAGATTGGTGGACGGTCAAAGCGAAGTGAACGTCACACTCATTGTGAGATCCTCACTCTTCACATCTCGGACAGACCACGACATCTTTGCAGGTGCGCGACTGCATCTTCGTGGATAGCACATTTTCCTTCGTTCCCTTTTTGCTCTCTGCTAACTCTGTCCCACCCCGGGTCGCGAATTCCTTCGTGTGCGTCGTCACCATCAATCTTTAGTCTCGCACCAACCTTCATCATGCAGTTCAAGAACCACGTCATCACAGGCCTTTTGGCTGTGTGGCTCATCTTCACCCTCACCGACACTTCCAACGTCAACTTTGCGATGGCCATGCCTTCCAACCTCACTCTCGCCAATGACTGTCCTGCCTCACAGCCCGCCGACCAAGCTGGATGGTAAGTAGAGCTTCCCTGATAGATGATTTTCATTTTGATTTCTAACGAAATTCCCTAGCTCCACCTGCACTGAATGCTGCATCTTCAATTTCAATACTGCGGGATGCGGGGAGCCGAGCGTCGAGCAACTTGTCTCCCCCGTCACCACCAAGTGCCAACCTTTGATCATCGGAATGTATAGTGTCTGGATCACTGAGTGTACCGGTTGGTTTGCAGAATGTTACCTGTGGAAGAATGTCGACTGTTCCGGAAACGGTTCCATTCTCATCGACAATTGTCAGAACGTGTGTCATACTCCGGGATACGTCATCAAAGCAATTCAGTGTTATGGTATCTGAGTGGCAGAGGGATGGATCGGTTCAACCGTACGAAGTAAATTGTGGAAGAGAACCTCGAGTGGTTCTCGCGGCGGAGAGATCGGAATGGCGATACTCATTGCTGGGGATCGAATACATGGTGCTTGTTGCTGGGAAATCAGATGACCCCGAAAGGCGTCGGGTTCAATTGTTGATTGAGAAGACAGCAATGCTTCCAGCTGACAGCGGTGCTTCACATTGGCTTGTTGAAAGAGGTCTTGGACTTCATCTCATTTCTCGCGTCCATTCGTTAAACAGGCCATGTATCGGCGCGGAGGAGAGTGAGCAGTGTCCGGATCCAATGCCGCGCCGAGCGAATCCGCGATCTCAACCCCATGCCAGCGTTGATCCAGATTGTTGGGAAGTTCGATTCGATACGTCTATGGTAGGACAATGTATTTCTCCAGATGTGGGGGAATCGCACCTCTCAAGTTTTTACTTCTCAACCATTTGTCGCTAAATAAGCGGTCTGCATATCTATAGGCTCCGTCGCAAAGGATCGTGACGACAGTATGATTGGGCCCCAGTTTCTCGGCGACTTCTTTGGCAGCAACCACATTCAAGGCACTGCTGGCACCGAGGTAGAGTCCTTCTTCGTCAAGGCATCGATACACCATTTCGATGCTCTTCTCGTCGGAAATTTGAAGGGCACCATCGACCTCGTTGACTTCTAGCTTCAAATTGTCCGTGACTCGACCTTGCCCAATACCCTCGGTTATGCTACTACCAGTTCTCTCCTTGAGTTGGCCACCGGAAGTAACATAGGAGTAGAGCACGGAGCCAGGAGGATCGGCGAGAAATGACCTGACGGTCCCGTTGCTAACGTCCTTCAGATATCGCGTTGTGCCCGCTAGTGTCCCGCCAGTTCCAGTCGCACAGGTGAATGCATCGATTTTTCCATCGGTCTGAGCCCAGATTTCAGGACCGGTCGTTTCGATATGTGCCCTTCTGTTGGCAACGTTGTCGAATTGATTGGTCCAGACGGCACCATGCTCGGGATCTTCCTTCTGAACTCTTTCCGCGTGCCGTTTGGCTTGCCAATTGTAATTTTCCGGGTTCTCCCATGCCACGGCCGGGACAGGATAGACTTCAGCTCCCAGGAGTCTCAGAAGATCAATCTTGCCTTGTGACTGTGTATTGGGCATGTAGATGACCAGGTTGTATCCTCTAGCCCGGCAGACATGTGCCAGGCCAATGCCGGTGTTGCCAGCTGTGCCTTCGACAACGGTTCCCCCCGGTTTGAGTAGTCCTCGTTCTTCGGCATCTTTCACCACATATAAAGCCGCCCGGTCTTTGACACTGCCACCGGGGTTTTGGAATTCGGATTTTCCCAGAATATTGCAGCCCGTTTGTGCGGAGAGCTTCTGTAATCTTATTAGAGGAGTATTTCCAATAGCTGAGCACCCATTAGCGTCGCAAATTGAAGTCGTGCTGGAAGCATACCTCCGGTCAAGGAATTGACCACGCCTTGAGCTCTGGAGACACGGATCCCATAAGCATTGACCGAGTCAGCGGCCGCAGCGCGCACCGCTGTGGTTGCCAGACGACGAATGGATGTCCTAGAAATATTCGCCATGGTTGGAAAGAAGAAGCCTTCCGATCAACACCTGAAAATGCGCGTATAGGCAGCGAAGGAATGAAGATTTTGTTTCTCGAAGAGAAAAGGTTCCACGGCGGATGTGGGATGGCATCATCGACAGCCGAGGGTGCTGACATAATACCCTCAATCTCCTCCCCCCTTTTTCTCAGCCCTCTCTGAACAACCGTGTTTGTTCAAACAATGATCTCCGGAAGAGGCATTTGGACTCATTTCCCATGATAGAAACGCCAAGTTTCCCTAGAACAATGCAGAGTATTGTCCCTGGACTTGCCCAGCCGTCTCCCCAACCTCGATTCAACTGGTAGCCTCGTGAGTTGTTGAAGGCAAGTTGCTTTGTCGCAGAAAATGACAATGTTCCATGGGCCCCCCGCACAAATATCTTCAAATATTCGTTTTGACTTGGATTTTGCCATGAGGGAAATTCTTTCTTTGACGAGCCTTGTTCTCCAATTGTCGCCAGCCGCTTGTCGTCAGTCGTTTACCATCCGAGATGCCTTTCTATGTCAAAGAGTGCTCTACTTGGGATGAGCTGTCCACGAAGCTCCTTCTCCCCATGGCTGCGCCATATATCGACCAGTCACAATCTAATTGAGCTTCATAATGGCCTATGATGTTGCCTTTTGCGTTGGTTGCCTGGAGACCCTTTCATTGAACACCGTCTGAAGTGATATTTCCATCCAGCGACGCTCATTAAAAGAACAAAAGTTTCTCCTTCTCTGTCGCAGAACTGCAGACCAAAAACCCCATTCGACCTTCATCGCTACTCTGAAAGGACTCGGAATTCCCCTACCTAAAACGCAAGGCTGCAACAAAGGAATGGCTAGGCCGCCTGTCCGCTCAAAGCGCAGGGATGTAAGAGCGAATACCACTTTCAATATAGAATATTCTGATCCCAGAAAACAGGATAATCCACCTCCGGAGAAACCTGCTCGACCACCCAAAGAACCCGAAAAGGCACGCTTGACCGAATCCACAAGCAAGTCCACACCCGCAGCAGCACTCGGCAATTATCGCTCGACAACGACACTGCACACTCTCCAGACGAGACAAAAAATGCTACAGTCGCACTAAACCAACCACCCCAAGGCCTGATATCGACAAGACAACACCGGTGAAGTCGACGTTTTGTTTCTCCAACTCCAAGCGCGAAAAGAAGAGATCCTTTCCCTCGAGCGCCGCAATAAAAGCCGCTTGCGCAGCAATGAAAGACTGCAACAAGATTATTTCAAAATCATGGAAATACAACGATTGGGTGGCCAAATTGGAATGTGGGAAGAAGGAGGACAAAAAGGAGTCGAGCGAGTTGGGCCAGGCGAATAATAGGATTCATGGATGGGAGCATTCTGTTCGGCATTTGGAGATTCAGTTGGGTTTCGACTGGTTGATTCATGGAGATTAAGGAATGCAGTGAAGAAGGGGCTTCGTTCTGCATGGCTATAATCAGAGAGAGATGTACAGTCGAGGTCGAGGTTGCGAGCTGAAAAGGATATGAGTGAGTGGCTTGGTGATTGATGACCTCCAAAGCGCACTGGTGACAATTGAGCTTATATGATATTCAGTTGGATTGGAGACTCCCCGTCAGTCATACTTGATCGAGTGATGGATGAAAATGGAATACCTCTCACGACAGATCGTACATGTTCATCCGGATCAAAAGTATTCTTTGCTCTTGACATACACCCAGCCTCGATATTTACTCCACGGAGCAATCCTGACGTGAAAACGGCTTTACAAGCCAGTGTGTTCAGGGAGAAGAATGTACACAAAGGTACAGGGACCTGAATACTGCATATAGCGAGACCTTTATGTTCATCTGTCGTCTAAACCAATCTACAGTACATCACACGGCGTATCCTCCTGTCTCTCACTTACATCCACGTCTCCCTCTCCCCTTCCAACATCCCCGCTGGCGTCTTCCCGACCCTCCCCATTAGGACATTTCCTTTCCCTCTTTTCAAGAATCTCCCATCCGTTTGCTGTCCTAAAATTCCTTTCCCATGCCCGTCTCGTAATTCCACATTGCGATCCCATTTGACATCGCCCCGCAACAACACGTACCTGGGCCAATTACACACCTTCATGCCCTCAAATGGCGTGTAATCGATACTATGATGCAAGATACCGTTCGTGATCGTCGTCTCTGCGTCCGGGTGGCCGGATGGGTACCAAATAACCAGGTCCGCATCGTAGCCGGGCGCGATACTGCCCTTTTCTCCGCCGAGACCGTACATTTTGGCCGGATTGAACGATGTCAGTTCGACGAATCTCGGAAGTGAGAGTGTCCGACCCTCAGGAGCAAAAGGGGAAGTAGCTGCAGAAAAAAGAATCGGAAGTCGTGTTTCCAATCCCGGTAAACCATTCGGGATCTGCGCAAAAGTCGGCACGGAGTTGGTGACTTGGGCATCGGCAAGAGGCTTCCTTTTGCCCGCAGGGGAATTGTAGAGTGTGGGCGCGTGGTCGGAGGAGATGACGGTGATGGTGCCGTTGTTCACACTATCCCAAACACTCTGCAAGTCGGACTCGGAATGGCGCAGGGGAGGAGCGCATACATGGCGTGACCCAGCCCATTTGTCCTCGGTCGAGTGGGTGTGGCCGTGTTCGTCGGTGTGAGAAATACTGGTCGCAGCAAGGTTTGAGGAGAGCAGATACATATAATGAGGGCATGTTTCGGCGTGGACAGGTAAGAGAGCTTTGGACTGGGCCTTCCGAGCGTGAGAGAGCGCAACGGACGAGGACATATGCACAATCAGAATGGGTGTAGAGGTCAGAGTGGACAGGGATATGGCGCGATGGGTTGCTTCGGATTCAGCGATCTGAGGGCGCGCGATGGCATGGTATTTGGGAAGCGTATGAGAGCTTTTGAGAAGACGGGTGGTTATCCTGCTCACTCCAATCGTTGGTATTAGTGTTGTGTAAGAAGAGAGCAAAGGGATAGCAGAATTCTCGTTCTTGCGAGGCTGAACTGAAGACCGGCACGTACAGGTCAATCATGTCACTGTTCTCGGCATGAATCATGGTGGACATCCCTAGTTTCCTGGCTCGCATCATGATCTCTAACATGTCGATATCGCCCAGTTTCATGGCTGGATAGGTCATATAGAGCTTCACACTGGTGATGCCCTCCTGCTCGACCATGGCCTTCAGTTCCTCCTGGAGAATTGTCTCGCTGGGCCGGGTCAGAATGAAGTGGAATCCATAGTCGACGTAACTTTGTCCTCTGGAGCGATTGTGGTATTCTTCCAGAACGGGAAATAAGGACTCGTCCGTCCGTTTCTGCGAGGCAAATGCCAGAATCGTGGTGTTTCCGCCAGCCAGTGCAGAGCGTGATCCAGAAAGCCATTTGTCGCCGGTTGGAGCATTGTCTTGGTGCAGATGAACGTGAGAATCGACGCCACCGGGAGTCACGTAGGCGCCTTCCGCGTCGATGACTTTGGTATGAGGGCCGGCGATTAAGTCTAGAGCGATTGCGATGATTTTGCCCGATTTCACACCGATTGAAAGCCCTGGTTGAAGGATCTCTGCGGCCGTGACCTACTCAAGGGATGAGCCTTGTGTAGCATGTGCAGATTTGGGGGGAAGGCTCACAATCGTCGCGTTCTTTACAATCAGATCGAGGTCCATTCTTTTGAAATCATCGAACTGGAATTCGGGCAAACACCGGTTGGGGTGTGGGATCACAGGTTGGAACAAACATTCATAGATGGAAAGTTCTGAATATTCTCAACGATTGAAAGGCGACATCCAAATGCTGTAGTAGGTCTTGATCCGCAAAATCCAATCACGAATAGACTGGACAACGCAACAAAAGAATGGATGAGCTTCATGTCTTGATGAGATCGCATTAATGCATATCAATGCTGGCGGCCAACTCCGACCAAATGTGGTCTTTTCCGTTGCGTCGAGATTGAGAAAGCATAATATGTGCGTCGAAATCAAGTTTGATTCTTTTTCGTCTATCTACTCATCGTGTCGTGACGTTCCTCGAGATGTTGGTGGTCATGAGAGAGATCTTCGTAACCGAAGCTTTTTCCCTTTGGTCGTTGAATAACTCAATTCACCCCCAGAGATCGCTCCATTAGCACAGCCGTATCGCCGATTCTTAATCTTTTCCAGTTGGGATCTTGAAGAAAACGCCCGGTGAATCTCTGGTGGCAGCCTTGTCACATCTGAAATATCCTTTTCGATCGAATTGTAAGACATCGTCCGCTCTCACATCCCATACATTACAGTCAGCCACGGCAGAGGATTTGAACTCGGATTTTGGTGTCAAGAAATCCTCCCAATGACTTTCCTCTTCCTCTGTCAATTTGTCCTTGGCCAACAAATGGTCGAAGTCCACCAGTTGAACTGGAACAAGGTCTTGATCCTTGGATAACCAGGTAATCTTCTTCTTGGTTGATTTGAAATCGCCCTCAAGGTGCAGCTCAAGTTCCATCGACGTAACATTTCCCAAGGAATTGACACCATCCGCAATGTCAGCCTTGTCGCTTGTTTTCTCGTATTGTATGTTTCGAACGTAGGCGTTGCCCCAGTTCATCAACGTTATTTCCTCATCCTGGGCAAAAGTTCGAGCGTCCTCCTGCTCAATAATGATGTTCGAGCTGTACCAGACCGTTTTCTCTCCCAGATTGTATTTGGCATGTTTGGGTTTTGACTCGGAATAGGGTTCATCCTGGACGCCTTTGACCTTGCAAACAACGTGGTTGTCATCAATCGCGGTATATCGAGCGCCTTGTAAATCGATGACTTTTTTGTTCATGGTCCATATTGTGTGCCAGTCCATGTTGACAATGTTTTTGCTCGGCCCCTGACTAACCATGAAATCCCTCAGTCCCTCTATAGTCATCCCTCGCCGTCTGATTCCTCTCACGGTGGGGAACCGTGGATCGTCCCAGCCGCACACAATGCCAGCATTCACAAGCTTGGTCAGCTTGCGCTTGGACATCAAAGTCCGCACAAATTGAATTTTCGAGAAGGTCCAGATATACGGCGCCCTCAACTCCAACGCTTTCAGAATCCATTTGTATTGAGCATCCTGATCATTGTATTCCGTCGTTCTCAAAGCATGAGTCACGCCTTCAATTGAGTCGACAATGGGGCACGCGAATTGGTATGTAGGGTAAGCTTTGTATTTGTCATTGGTGCGATGATGAGAGGCTTGATTCTTCGGACATCGGAATATGACAGGATCTCTGAGAGACGCATTGTCATTGGCATAGGAAATCTTTGCTCTGATGCACCATTTTCGTCCTTCCTCAGTTCCTTTTCTCATTTCCTCGAATCGGGCCAGATTGTCCTCGACGCTGTCGTCGCGGTGAACACTAGGCTCACGCGCCAATCTCTGCGCACTCATAACATCACCGGGGGTGTCATCTGCGAATGCTTTGCCTGCTTTTATGATTTTGACACAGTACTCCTCTATTTGATCGAAATAGTCGCTTGTGTAGGAGATAGCGTCTGGCCTAATGCCCAGCAGAGCGACATCCTCTCGAATGGCGTCTTGGAATTCTTCATTCTCTTTCTCCGTGTTTGTGTCGTCAAAACGGAGAATCATCTTGCCACCAGGATATTGGATGTGAGCGAAGTAGTCGTTGAGGAGAGCGGCTTTGGAGTGGCCAATGTGAAGATATCCCGAGGGCTCGGGTGGGAAGCGTGTGACCACGCCGTTGGCGGCATTTGGCAGTTCCAACTGTTTCACTTTGGGAGCCTTTTTAGCTTTGGGGGTGTTTTGAGGCGCCATATTGAAGATTGGGAGATAAAACGAAGGAAGAAAGACGGAGGAGAATGAAAGCTGTGTGTGGATTTATCGTTGAGTCATGTAGAACATTTTCACGCACATTCAGTTCAGCCACAGCCTTGTGCCGCAGCCTTACGAAGTTCTGACAAACCGATGAAAAATGCCAAGCAGAAGTTCTATTGGTTGCTCGAATTGCTGATGTGCTTCTGCGAAGCAAAGCCTAGCAGATACTCTGACGGGATGGGCACTGGCTCAGAGTCAAGCCTGGGCGTGTTTTTTCCCGAGGAGGCAGAATACAACTCCAGACTGAATACAATCAATTTTCACGACTCTGGCTTAAAGGTCTTGAGGATATAAAAACTCGTTCTTCTCCTTTTTTGCCTTTTTGTTGGTGGGGGAAGGGAAGTGGGTAATAATACCTTCTTGAAACGTCATATAAGAATTTTGTTAATTGGATTATATTTACTACTGTCTTGATACGAAGAACATTTATACCAGCGCGAGTGATCAATCCTTGATATTGCCAGTTGACTGAATTGCTCCGCGGTAGCCCACGTGAGCCCCAAGCTCCGCCATTCCAAGCAACTGCGGCTTGAAATGTATCAATGGAATTTTTTTGAAACAACCACTTCAAGTCTCTCATCCTTCATCAACCATGGAAGCATCGCGAGGCATCCTGACGGCTACTAGAAGACTCTGCCGATCAACGACCGCTTCATTCCTCGCTCCTATCACATCATTACCTACTACAACGTGTCGTTCGTTCTCCTCCGTGCCAGTCCTTTTCGCTCCTCGACAATCCTCGGCCGCCAAAGCCGCGAAAGAGAAAGCCAAACGAAAAAAAAAGAAGTACCAATTCTACAAACAATATGACTTGAAAGAGATGCAACAATTTACCTTGTGCGAAGCGATGCGGTATGTCCCCAGATTCTGCGTCGGCACAGTTTACAATGTAGCTAAGTCATTGGGGTTTGTGTTGAATAGATATATCAAGGCCTTTGAAGTCGGGCGAAATCCCGAAGTACCCAAATACGACATTCACATCAAGCTGCGAACGAAGAAAGACGGCCCGGTCGTTAGAAATCAAGTCCGATTACCGCACGCTGTCAAAACTGACATCAAGGTCGCGGTGATTTGTCCTCCAGATTCGCCAGCGGCCAAAGCCGCACTTGAAGCTGGTGCTACCCTTGTGGGCGAGGAAGAGGTCTTTGAGACCATCAAATCTGGCAAGATCGAATTTGACAGATGTCTGGCTGTTCCGGCCTCTCTCCAGAAAATGAACAAAGAAGGAATCCCGCGGATATTAGGCCCCAGAGGTTTAATGCCCAGTCTGAAGTTGGGTACGGTGGTGGAGAGACCGGGTCCTGCTGTTAGGAATATGTTGGGTGGGAACGTCTATCGAGAACGGCAGGGTGTTGTTCGCATGGCGGTAGGGCGGCTCAGCTTCACGCCAGAGCAGTTGAGGGACAATGTGAAAGCCTATATTAATGCGGTCAAGAAAGATGCTTCCCATTTAAGCGATCAGGCTATGAAGGAGATTTCCGAAGTGGTGAGTTATGGCGGGCTGCGAACAAGTATTGCAACGCTGACGCCGTGACAGGTCTTGAGCTCGACCAATTCTCCTGGATTCTCATTGAATGGCGAGTTTTACAAACCAGAGCAAGGAGCTCCCACCCCCAGGGAGTTGTCTGTCGCATGAAAGCGATCCCGACTGTTGTACTAAAATTCTGACGTATTATCAAGCACAGCCATGGCGCGTGGGTATCAAAATGCATTTTTCAGAAAATCTAGAGATGGGAGAGGGTTCCTGGCCATCATCTAGTGTCCTGTTTATATCAATTTTCCATGTCTGCTTGGATCTGCAACATTTGTTGTTTGATTTTGACCTCCGACTCTTGCTTAATGGCAACGTCGAGGTCGGCTAACAGAATCTCCTGAATCTTCCGGATCCTGCCCTCTTGAGCAAGAATGAAGGGATGTTGTGATCCGTGTTTGCTGGCAAGGTGCTTCAAAATGAGGAATTCCTCAGTCCTCCGCTTTAACCTGGGTGGGATGCCGTCGGCTTCGTCAGAGGAGTACTCCTCGTCACTTTCATTATTTGTCATTTCCGTCCAATCCTCACTCCAATTGGGACCGCCATTTTCTTGAACATCTTCTTTACCTGGATTTGCGGGTCTGCTCGGTGGAATATTTAACTTCTCTTCCAACTGGTCCAAACGCTCTGCTATTTCGAGCAAAGCTCTGCCAACACCAGTCTCTTGCTTGAGAGCTTTTCTCTTCTCTAGTAACTCCACCACCTCATTCCGTCTGGCGTCCACTTTGTCCTTTACTGCTTGAATTTCTCGCTGGAATCCCAGCAAGCCCACCCGAATGTCCTCAATTCTTTCTTCCCCGCCGGACAGTGTGCTTCCTAATGAGAGGAAGTCCTGGTAGTTGTCATTGACCAAGTCGACGAGTTCCTCGTTGAGTGTTTGGCTCAATTCGCGCAGTTCGGTGTGCAGGTCCTCCAGAGTTTGAAACCGATTTGAGAGGCTGGATAAAAATGCACCTGCTTCAAAATCCGGGGCAAGAAAGGCAGACCGATCGATGGGTTTGGGGAAAGGGAGGAGGGAGGCATCGTTGTCGTCAACGTCGGAACCGGAGTCTGAACCACCAAACTACTGCCAGTGAGATTGTTGATCAAGAAAGAAGGTGATCCACAGACATAAAACCGGCTACTCATCTTGACTGCCTAAGGAATGGTGGACTTGTTTCGCACACCCCATACATGGCCATCATCGGGAGGGTTTGCTATGCTGCCATGGTCTTCATTTGTCGGGACACAAAGGCAACAATTATCAAACTTCCAAGCTGTAGTAGAAGCGAGAAAAAGATCGCAAATCGGAAGAACAGTGTGTCGTTCACGATGAAATCATATCAAAGCAGACATTCATCTCCTGATTGTGACTCCAAAGTTTCTGTGTGTCAGTAAGAAAACAAAAAATGCCAACTTTAACTGCAACAGTGAACCTGCACCGGACTTGGTGGATTTAAGCACCGAACTTCTACTCTCTTCTTTACCACACACCAAAGTCACGCCTCGCGCACCACGTTCCACTCTCACAACGTGACAGAAAGGTGATCACCTTCATTTGCCAAACAGACTCCTAGAACAATGGATCAGGCGCAGCGCGGCGCCAACGCGCTGGCAGCCTCAGATTATCCCGGCGCTCTGGCAGCATACACCCAGGCACTCATCGAACATCCCACCTCCCCAGACTACTTCACCAAACGGTCATTGGTCTTCACCCGTCTCAAGCCCGCCCGTTACGACCTTGCCCTTCGAGATGCCGAGTACGCCGTCCTTCTCGCTCGAAAGCGCGCCAGAAGAGAGTTGATTCAAGCTGCACAACAGAGAAGAGTGATTGCTCTACACGGTCTGGGTCGTTATGCAGATGCAAAGTTTTTACTAAGTACCATGGAGCGATGGGTACCCAAGGAATCCAGACCTGCTAAAATGGAAATCGACATGTGGAAGGCGAAGGTGGAATCCAAACTGCAGAATGTCCCGGAGTCGGAGAAGGTGGCCACTGTGAAAGAATATCCTGAGATCGAGTTACCGACCGACGCCAAAATGACGGAGAAGCTGGAAGCACAGTTGAATGCCGATGGCTCGTTCAAACTAGACCAAGATTCGAATGGAAAGTCATCGGACCCTTCTACCATCTTAGCTGGTGCTTTACCTTCAACAAATGGCACAGATGGCACAGCCAACGGAGAAGCGAGTGCTGCCGCTCCTAAACCCACAACTGATCCAGTCCCGACCCAAATTCGACACGAGTGGTACCAGAATGCGCAATCTGTCACTCTGACTCTCTATGCAAAGGGAGTTTCCAAGGATGCTGCCCAGATCGACATCAACGAGGATTCGGTTTACGTCTCTTTCCCACATCCGTCCAACCCATCCACCAGCTTCACTTTCGCTCTCGACCCATTATTCGCACCCATCGATCCAAGTCGAAGCAAATCCGCCGTCTTGTCGACTAAAGTGGAGTTGACACTCACGAAGGCACAGGCCGGTCAGAAATGGCACACTTTAGAAGGATCAGCTCCTCTGAAGCCTTCGAACAACACATCCAGTGCCACAAATGAAGACGCCGCCAGGGTAGCTGTGATGGACACGCTGAACCAAAAACAATCGGAGTCTTCAACCAAGCCTACTGCTTCAGCTCCATCATATCCAACCTCCTCCCGCCACGGCCCTAAGGACTGGGACAAACTCGCCAACGATCTCCACGCACAGTCCAAAGCAAAAAGAGTCGTCAAGAAATCCGATAATACCAACGAGGCTGACGAGGAAGAGGATATCGATTCAGACTACGAAGGAGGCGATGCCGTTGATGGATTCTTCAAGAAACTCTATGCAGGAGCGGATGACGATACGCGTCGTGCAATGATGAAATCATACTACGAGAGCAATGGGACGGCGCTGAGCACGAATTGGGCGGAAGTGGGCAAGGGGAAAGTTGAGGAGGTTAAGGGCAAGGATGATTAGATTGCCTGCTGGTGGGACGAAAAATGTACCTCACTGTATCAACATTAAATGAGAATGATGGCATGATGGAATGAATGATGACGACCAAGCGTGCATCATAAGCTGAATGGGAATGATGAGTGAGATCGATAAAATCGCAAGACCTCGACGTCGCTCCGCAGTGGCTACCTAGGTAATAATTTTTAAAAAAAAAAAATTCTTCCATTGTGCCGCACGCATCACTCAGCAACGTAGTATCAATGATCTAGCCACGAAGAGAGCCTTTCGACGTAATAATAGTATTCTATTCGTACAGAGAGACTGCTCAGCATAGACAAGACCAAAGCCATAGATTCATCTTTCGGAGAATTTCTCCTTTTTCATGGTAGGGAAACTTTCCACCGTGGGCGGAGTTTGAACACAGATTATCAAAACTCAAAGCCTGTTGGCACGGGAATCAAATGAATCAAATGGAGTCCATATTGTCGATTGAATATACCGATGAGATCTCTCTGTTCAGCTTGTACTTTTTGAACAAGACCAAGCATCTGTACAGCCTCGTAGTGTCATTTGTTTTCGAATTGAAGCACAGAAGGTATGGGGATGACTTGTCGACCTTATTCCGTCACATGAGAGATGTATACGGATTCCTCGTCGGGCAACCAAAGCTCGGTTGATCATGATACTGCAATAGAATCAGTTCGAAGAGCAAAGAGAAGAAATTACGCCATTAAGAAATGCGAAAGAAGTCATGATCGAGTCTTCAAATGCGCTCAGGGCTCTGGAGAGGATATATGAAGGATGGCCATTTTCAAGGAATACCACTCAACGTCAGAGAAGGAGGGGCAGAAATATTGACAAAGGTAAAAAAAAAAAAAAGGGGGGGGGGAAGGGGAGGGGGCAGTTTGATCAAGTGCATAGATCCCTTTCCACTGTACAGCGACGGGTATCGTTGGGGGATTTGAAAAAAACCGTAGTATGGGTATCAAGAAGGCACAAATCCAAAGGGTGTTGTACAAGCAGGCATTTCCAACCAGCCTCCTTAGCCTGCGAACTCGGCTTCATCATCCATCTCTTCATCGGCGTCATAGAAAGTGTCTTCTTCAGCAACTTCGGTTGTCAACAACAGGCCTTTGACCAACTTGGTGTCGACTTTCATGATATCGTACATCCCTCTCGTCATGAGGACCACTTCACCTTTGTGGTGCAATGCCTTTAGCTGACAGAATTCTCGACCCGCTACAAACCACACCCAACGTTGAAGACCTCCTTTCCTGCAGACATAGTAATGTAGGCAAGATGCTCGAAGCAGAGACCAATAAGGGAATGGATGTTCTTTCTCAGCCTCATAGCGACGGCGGAGCTCGTGATCAACATACTTTGGTTCTATGGCCTGAAATTGCTCATAAACCTTGTGTATAGCTGTGTGGAATTTCTTGCTACCAGCCTCGTCCGACGGTGAAGATTCAATGGCCTCAGTGGCTTTCAGATGCGTCCAGAAGTCGTTCAGTTGCACGATCTGCTGCAAAAGGCCTTCATCGCCAGTCAGCAAGTCTGCCAGAGTCGAAGGAACCGGTCTCAATGATGTTCTATTCAAATTTCGCAACTCTCTTGCGAACTGATGAGATTTCTTCTGCAAGGGTGCATCGTTCAGTCTGAGGTTCTCCTGTTCTGCCTCACGCAGAGCTTGTTTCCAATAATCGCTGAGCTCGGAGTCGTAAGTGCCAGCCTCCCGGCTGATGTTTGCAAATTCGGCCAATGCTTGCTCCTTCTGTCTCTCGGCTACGCCAAACTTGAGGAAGTCCATGATATTCGGATATTTTCCCATCCACATTCGTGGGGTATCTCCCATTTTGAAAGCTGGTTCCGGTAGCTGCTTAGGGCCGCTCGCCTCACGACGTAATGCGTGCCATGCTTTTTCGCTTAAATTCCAACCCTGCTTATTGCTGTCGACCAGGTAGCCAGCTAGGGCGGCCAATTTCACAGCTCCTCTGTTCGACAGCTTATCCGGTTCACCTATTTGGCTTAGGAAGTAGACGAGTCTTTCGTGCTCAGACGAGCACATGCCCATGAAACTTGAAGAAGCATTGAAGGAAACACACCCTCGAAGAAAATCCTCCATCGCTTCGGCGAGCGGCCGAGTCGTGGTAAAGATATTTGTCAGGGGCGTTGACATCTGAATCATACCACATTCTTCCTCCCTCGGCATTCGGGGTGGTTCAGTATTTTGAAAATGTTTGACAATTTCGGGATCCCAGATAATTGTGCAGCAATCTCCGTCATAGTCTCCTCCGGAAAGCAGTGAGGCGAGAGGCGTCTCGCCCCTGGTCGAGAAGATGACAACGTTCCGATAATAGCGCAGCTCTCGTTTATAGACTGCTCTGCGTTTTTGCATGTCAGATGCCAGATATGCTGGATTTCTAGCCACAAGAACGTCCATGTCGTCAAGCTCTCTCTCGCCGAGACCGGTCCTGGGGTTTTTTATTGGGTGCGAAAAGGAGATGAAGATTTCACCCTCCTCCAAGACTCCTACCGGGTCTGGCGCACAAAATGCCACGGTAGAGCATGGGATCTTGATCCAGAGTTTTTCGACATACCTGGACATATAGTCGCGCAACAGGTATGAAGCATTTTTTCCGAGCTGCGCACACTCACGAGGACGGAAACCAGAATTCAGAAGGAGCTTTATCTGTTCAGCGGTCTCCATCGGAAACGAGCCCAGAAGTCTCTTTGATTCCGATCGAGCATAGCCCTTCTCCTGCAGCCACGCCCCAAGGGCTTCAGGACTATCCATCGCGGCCCTCAGAGACTCCAGGTATGACGTCGTGTCCAACTTTAATGCCTCTTCGAGAACATCTCGGGGCACGCCGCGGTCATCGAGCACTGTTATCAGTTGCATATTCAGGTGGCCTTCCTTGCAATCACCTGCCCATTTTAACACTTCAAAGGTAAGTTGGGTTTCGTCGGCATCTGCACGATCTCTAGGATGTGGCTTTATCTTGAGTTGTGAATCAGAGACCTGTATCCAGTATTTTCGGTCGCTGACATCAGGGAAGGAATTGTGGTAGTCCACCAACCATAGTCCTTTGGCCCCAGCAGTTCGTCCTTGGACCGCACTGGGCAAGTCGCCCTTCCCTCCGTAGCTGGCCCAAATCGCTAGAGCAAGTTCATGGGACATGAGGGCACATCCGTCATTCATCACAGGCTCGGGAGGTGGGGGGTCGTGTAGATACAGAAATTCATGCCGATTCAGGGTAACCGTGGGGGTTGTCTTGGAAAGCCCAATACTCCACCGGGAAAAGAGCCTCAGGTCGGTAGAGTCCATGTTTGCATCCAGTGGCATGTGCCACTGTGTCAAATCTTCCACCGTGATCATCTGATGACGTCCATCTACCTTCGGAAATTGCATATGGAGCTGGGGAGGCCGTGATGGGGCAATGTCATATCCCCTCTCGGCAAACAAAACCCATTTGAGGCGCGGACCCTGCTGATTCTTGCGATTCTTGCTCTTTTCTGCTTCGACATAAAACACTCTCCAATATCGACCAGCGATGAAATGTGGGCCTTTCGCCAGAAATTCTGTGATCTTCTTGTGTAGCGATTCCGTGCCACTGCCTTGGGGGCGGAGCTTTTCGGGGTACGGGTATCTTTCGAAAACAGGCGTGGAGAGTACGAGGAATCTGTCGGCGCCGAATTTTCTGTAAAGCCGACAAGACTGCTCGCAATGAATCGCGTTTGGACGAAACTTCAATAGGCCGTTCGCCGGGTCATCATTCCAATCCAAGGTCCCTGTCAAGTAGATGACTTTTCTGAGATCGCTACTTTCATACTGCCCGTCCTCCGTGGTCCATGCCGACAAGTCGGACTTTGGGGGTATTGGGGTGTTGGTCTTTTCCCGGCAGAGCTGCTTGACAAAATCCCAGAAAGAGTCCAAGGTCATGTTGTTTTCTTCACGTTTGGCGCGAAGTGTCTTATACAAAGTGATGGGAATCAGATCAAGGGAAAGAGAGATTCGGTACAACTCCCAACAAAGCCAAAAGGGGACATCTGAAGGTAACTGGGCTTTTTGTTTGAAAGGGTTGTTTTGAGTGAGAGTGAGGTCAAAGGCGTCCACTGGATTGGGAAGGAGGCAAGCCTCGTTGAAGGATCGGTTAAATTCATCATCGTCCAAGTAGTCATTAACGTCTTGAGTAGGAAACAGATCCTGAGAGTCCTCCTGTTGACCATGGCTGATCATTGAAGTCTCGTTGGAGGGAGCATCATTGCCATCTTCTGCACTGGTAGTAAAGACCGAGGAAACTTTAGCAGATGTTGCTGTGTCGAAACTGACTGGATCTGGTTGTTTTATAATATCGGGCTCATCAAAGGCCGTCGCAGACTTGAAAAACCGGGTTTGAAAGAGGGTTTGCTGGCGCTTGTTCTTCTGATTTCTCCATTAGCCACCTCGAACTATATTTGGAGCCCAACATCACCCACGACATCTGGAGATCCCAAGGAACGTTTGGCGGACTTTCTCATGGGGTCTTTGATCTCGGGCTCTTCTAAGCCTCTTGTGGTTATTTCAGAGATATCCAAGACTTCTCGACCGGGAACAGCGACTTTATCCTGCTGGCGCGGAGTGGTTGGTGCGGTGGAATATGTCGAATCGGTCGACCGCTCGTACGAGTAAGAATCTGTCATGCGTGCTAGCTCAAAGTCATCATTCAAGACGTTGTAGAGAAGTTGGAGAAGGTCGTTCCTCTGTGAATCCGAGAGTCGGAGGCCAGTCGCGTATTTTGAATGAATGTCTCGCGCAACGAAGCTCTTGGTCACCGGAAGGGATGGCAAAGTACCGCGTTCCTGAGAAGGTTTGAAAATCCATTTGGAGTGAATCTGCCGCGCCCTCTGTTCAAACTCTGCCAAAAGACTATCAATGCCATCAGTTCGGAAGCAAAGGTATCTAATCCTGCTGGAACATTTTCTGGCCAGAGGCCCTTTTGCCTCGGCTGCTATAGCCTCCTCTCCGTGAAGTCGAGGGAGTCCGAGATCCCATTGGGCGTTGAGATGATGAATTGCCTTGTCCACCCTTCCACCCACATGTCGCGGCGTCTCAGGCATCCAGACAATGTGATATGGAAAAAAGGAATCAGTGACATGTATCCGATCTTGGCCTGTCACACTGCGCCAGCGCAAAATGGATTCTGTGGATGTGGGACTGCTGACAGTTTGGGGTCGCCCACGGCAAGGAGTAAGAAAGACAGGGGCTAAGGATGGACAAAACAGAACTCCCCTAACTCCGTGAAATCGAACAGAAGGGGGGGGGCGGCGCGGACGCTTCTAAAGGTCAGAGCAAGTATATTCGACAAAATCTATGAGTGCCTGAGGCATGAATGAAAGACGAAGGAGAAGGGGAAGGAGCAGGAGCATGATATTGGACGTGGTCGATTTAGAACAGCGGCAAACAGGCGGGGAAGAGCGGCTCGTCCCTTGCGAGCTTTGCGATAATCAGCCACCCACCGGTGGTGTCAGGAACCAACCAATCACCCACCAAAACGCACAGCCACCATCACTGACATTTCCCCAGCAACGGCGATGCCGGCGCTTCGTCGCGTCATGGCTGATCGATACGCGTAAAGTGGTTTGTAGATGGAGGAGTCAACGAGGCTTTCCGGATGAAAAAAGAGTATAAAATCAACGGTGGTGCTTGTTTATCCCAAGTACAACTGGGGTTCTCCGTGGTCCTCGGGCTGAGATAAATTCTCAGCATGATGGAAAACTCTTTCGCTCCATGGACGTGGAAGGGGACGGAGGGAAAAGCATTGTATCGCAGGGCAGGAGGCGTGTTTTTATATTTGAAGAAACTTTGGGCGCTCCTACGACTGACACCCCACTGACACATGCAGCGGTGCCTCAGGCGTTGTTAGTTCTACCAGACTCGACCCAAGCATTCCAACCAACTGGCCAACCAACCGACTCATCCATGCAGTCCGCATCCCGGTCACACTCCACTTTTTCGGTTCGTGATGCCATCAATTCCAAAATACGACCATCACTCGTAGCTATGCCTTGTAGGCATCATGAAAGTTTCGTTGGGATTGGTTCATTGTGGAAAAAGGTTCTCGCATCAAAATGAGGGCGACCCTGGTGGTGACAGGTCGCTTATTCCTTCCGGCGATGACCACGTGGATTGGATGAGCCACTGTTTCGTGTCAGTCTCTCTTAACTCTGCTGCCAATAAGGAAATACTTACAAGCTGATTCGACGGGCCACGCCTTGTAAATTCGTGTCATTCTCTGCCTCAGTGGCAGCTCTTTCGAGTGCCGCTCGTCGGTCTTCCGCACTGCGCTTTTCGATTTCCTCGGGCGATGGTGGCAGCCGTTCGTTCTGAAGATCGACCTTGCGGGCATCTTCGAAATTGCGAATGGCTTGCTTGATCCCCTCCGCGCCCAGCATCAAGGTGCCTGCAGGAAGTCGGCCTCCAGATTGTGTCTTCAACTCAGTCACACGTTCAGACTCCTCCCGGAGCACTTGGAAGACTCTGGAGAGTCGGCCAACGGCAAGGATCTTGTTCTTGATTGCTCGGCGCTTGGCTTCCGTGGATTCTGCATCTGCAAATGGTGGCGTCTCCGGTCCCATGCTCGAGCTTCGAGTGTCTTCTTCCAGCTCTTCTTTGGAACATGTATTGAGGATCGCAATCAGCATATCGGTAATCTTCTCCCACACAAATGGCAGCGACCAGGTAAACACATCCATAAAGTTGGGCAGCCAGTATGGATGAGGAGTGCAGTTGAATTGTCGGATGTTCATCACATTGTTTTCGTATTTGAGCACGGCCGCTTTGTTGTTGTAGACGTCGAGATAGTTGGGCGCGCTGAAGATCGTCATAACACTCGGGAAGCCTGTCGTCCGGGTCTTGCGATACATGCGATACCCAGCATCTTGAGCTTCGTGCGCTCGAATGATAGAGAGGAGGTTGTTCTTTTCCAAGAAGTTGCACGCGGCCGGGTAGGAGAAAAAGTACGAGCATCCTCTAACATGGTTGTGCACAAAATATTCTCCAGTCCTCTCTTGCCCAAACTCTTCCAACGGGTCCGCCCAAAGAATATCGCACATGAGACCATGGGTGGGAGGTTCACGGAAACGGTCAATCTGCGTCTGGTCAGCAAGGTGAGCGGGATCGCCCCCGACTCGGACAACTTACTCCTTTGATGTCTTCCAACGTATGCAATTCGGGACTTAGCCCACCATGTATACACAAGAATTGCTTGTTCATGACAGCCGCCAATGGCAAGGCGCAGAAAGACTCCATACACGCATCATACACTTTTTCCGAGTATTTGTGTTTGCATTCGAGCTTGAAGGTGAAATAGTCAGTGAGGTGCCGGCATTCGTGGTTCCCACGAAGAAGCCAGAGGGTGTCGGGGTACCAGATCTTGAGTGACCATAGATATAGGACGCACTGGATCATCAGCATCAATACCATTTGTCCCCACGGTGAGCCAGACGTACCTCAATACTGAAATATCCTCGGTCAACATAGTCGCCCAAGAAGAGATATCTCGTCTCTACAGGATCTCCTCCGACCTCAAATAGCTTCATGAGGTCGAAGTATTGCCCATGAACGTCACCACAGACGGTAATAGGAGCATCCATCTCCAGCAGATTGGGTTCCGCCTTCAAAAGCTTTGTTCCTTCAGTGATGATCCACATGGCTTGTTCTTCCGTCAATCTCCCTTCTCGATAGAAATGCGTTTTGAGAAAGGCCAAGTTAGGTTTCGACCGATCCGTCGGTGACCAGAATTGATCATCTGTTGGTAGCTGCATGGCCGGAGCTTGAACATCTGCCGTGAAATTTAGAATTGTATACCTGTGAAATTTATTTTTCAAGAGGCCTACCCTTGCATACTCGCTCCTGTGTGCTCACTTGGGAACCATCTTCCATGATATGCAAGGTGAAGTCGATCTCCGGGACGGGCTTTTTGTCCACCACGGCCTTGTGCAACGGGCCATCCATGACGACAAAGAGGCTGCGCTCAGGGCGCAAAGAAATCTGAACTGCTGGACTATGCACCAAACTTCAGGTTTCGACGGAATGGGATCGTCAATGATCTCAAATGTTCGATGAGAAAAGGGGGGGTTAATCGAAGTCGACAACGGCGATATTGGCGCTGACGGACAGGTTTGTATCAAATGCAGGTAGCCGATCGAGGAGGAATTGGGGCGATTTTCGAAGACGACACAGGAGGTAAAATCTACTAGGACGTGAGATGATTTCGGACAAAGGTCGCCGACGGGTGTGAGATGCAGGAAAGGAATGGTCTTGGATATGGTGAAGAGAGTGAGAGCTGAAAATTGAACTGTGGGAAAAAGTGAGCAATTGATTTCGGGGGCTGAAGCCGCAAGAGGACTCCCGTTCAGTAGAGCCGACAAGGAAGGAGTTTAGTTTCGATTCGTTTGCTGCTAGGGCTGAGATTCCCCAAGCGCAGTGGAGTTGTTCAATACAATGTCAAGTGTTCAGTGGCGGATGGAGGAGTCGATGGCACCGGGGTCTGGCTGGTAGACAGGTGAATTCACCACAGCTTGGGGCCGTGGAATTGGGCTCCGAAAAAGCACGAGAAACGAGAAACGAGAAAAAAAGGAGGGGCCGATGTGTGTGTGCCTCATCCTTCCACTAAGGAAGAGAAGCACGCGCCTCAGGTAGAAGTTCACGTATCAAAGCTCACTCGTACCTCTTCATACAAATTTGTATTGTAGGTACCTCCCTACTTAATCATTAGTCCAAGGCTTGTGGCTCCCGGCCAGCCTTGACGGATCGCCAACTACCACAGAAACCTATCACCGTCTTTAGGACACAGCTTCTCTACCCCTGCAGCCATGTTTGACTCACTCCGTATGTCCTCCAAAAATTTCGTCACTCTGAAGCCATTGACGCTGACCGTTTGACCAGAGCCTCATCCTTTGTTGGCCCAAGTTCCGTTAACCGTCTCACCATTTCTGTCGCTGCCTACCGCCGTAACGCTTCCATATACATTTCGATCCGTACCAACGTCGCTTCCTCCTTCCATCATCTCTGAAAATGGCGCTGGAAAGCCCAAATATGTTACTTCTTCTTCCGGCCACACTGCCCATCCTGAAGACATCATAAATTCGTGTAAAACCCTCCAAGATCATCTTCAGAAAACCTCGGAAGCGGCAGTGAAGGCCATCCGAGACTGGGAACAAGACATCAAGGACCGAGATCTGGCAGAAAAGCGAAGAGTAGCTCCAGGATGGTTAGACCGAGAAGAGAAGATCTTAGAACCCATCAAAGCATCCAAGTCTGGAACCGATCAGAACTTGCTCGATGGACAGCCGGCAAACGTGATTGCAGCACCGGCAATATCACCGAGTCGAGAAGGTGAAGAAATAGATCGAGCATTTGGCGGCCTGGGTCTGAAGTGACGACTATTCAAATCGCCACTCAAACCCCCCTTCTTCTTTTCCATCCGTCACAAAGAAATTACTTGCGTCACGGAAGCCGTTGAACTCTTACACCTTACAGTGATACCAATACAGGGTCATCTACTGGTCCTGGGATCGCACTGACGTCTGAAGATGTTCCATATCACTCCGAAACACGACTTTATATCGGATTCAACGATGTCGCCAGCACAACATACGACCGCCCCCTCTCCGCAACCCACCGCCGATGTAGTTTCACGATTCCTTGACGAACCGTTCAAGACATGGCAATCGACTCTCCTTTTTGTCGTCCTAATGATGGCATTGGCCAACGCAGCGACATTTCTCGGCATTCGTTACATGGAGACACTCAGGGTCAAGAAGGACGACTGCTGTCAAATTCCACCGACTCTTAAAAGGCGAAGATGGCCAAACTCAGGCGATAACGAGTCGACGACTGAAATCGAGCAAGGAGAAATGAACTCAAAAGCGCCGGAAGGTACTCAGTCAAATGATAATGAGTCCGATATCAGACGGTGCCTGCAGACTCGGTATATCAGGCCAAAAACTGTGTCGATTGGGGAGGTACGTGAAGGAAGAATCGCGCAGAGAAGAGCTTCATCTTCACGCCGTGTTGGATGAGAGATTGCCATCCACAGCGTCTGTGACAAGGAGCCTCAAAATGTCGTGGAGGGATTGGCAGACATGAGACAGGACGACTTTTCCAACAATTCTCGGCGGTTCACCGCCTGAGATCAATACCGAATACCAAAGTTGCCCGCGACTTGGCTCTCATTCTCTAAGAGTCTGGCTCTGTATTACAGTCTCACGGAGCACAATAACCTCCATCAACAATAATGTCGGTTCCGGTCGTGTATGAACTGGCATCGCTAGCGAGATACAAATATGCGCCAACCAATTCGATGGGCTCCCCTTCTCGACCCATGGGAATCTTATCTCGCCAAATACTTTTCGTCTCTGGAGGGATGAAGTTGCTGATCTCGGTGGCTATGTAGCCCGGACTAATACTGTTGGCGCGGGCAAATTGCACCCATTCGATAGCCAAACACTGACACATATGTTTCACGGCAGCTTTGGCGGAATTGTACGCTGTCTGCAATTGAGGAATGTTGGCAATATGACCGCTCATGCTGGCAGTCGCAATAAATTTGCCATAGGTGAAGCCTTCCAGCTTGTTCTTCTTCTGTTCTCGCCAGATTCGTCCTACTGTTCGTGCACAATAAAAGACTCCGTCGATATCAATTTTCATAACGTTCTGATAATGCTCCAGTTGGCCACCAATCATAGGGCCTTGTGTCCATGGAATGCCAGCATTGGCAACAAAAATATCCAAACGGTTGTTGAACTCCTTGACTTGAGACACGATGGTTTCGTCAACCGCTTTCGCATCTCTGACATCGACTTGATATGCCCGACCTAGAGGAGATCAGTTGAAGGGAACGACAATTCGACACGTATCCTTACACATGACGCCAAACTCCTTTTCAATTTCCTTTGCGCGCTCAAGAGCCTTCTTGTTACTGTGATACCAAATAACAACATTCGCCCCCGCCTCAGCGTATCCACGTGCCACAGCAAGTCCAATACCAGCTCCGGCTCCACTAATTATTGCTGTCTTTCCTTTCAATGAGAATAAAGGCATGATAAGTTTCCCAGTCGGAGGCTCCGTGTTATGGTGCTTGAAAGCACCTCCATTCATTGCGTCGTCCATCTTGTCTTTGTCTCTCGAGTTCGTCGGCACAGGTCCTAGTCGTCTAGTCGTCTCAACTTTTAGCAATTCTCAGCGTCCAGATTGATTATTTCCAGACAAGCAACGAATGGAATATTACCGGCGAAGAGAGGAATACGATAGACCCGGCCACCAAACCCTTCAGAAATCTACTCGGGATAACTCTTGTTCCCGGTGAAGGAACCTTTCCGCTCCGATACACGGGATCCCTGCCACAGGGTATTTGTCCTCGAGAAATCGCGGGGTCCACCACTATTAAACCCTCGAGGAGGGGAACTCCTACACACAAAACGATGATCTGCCGAACAATGAGATTGAAGCCCGATGCGGCCAAGCTGTCTCCAGTTCGGGCCCGCAGTGGTTACTATGGACCACCGGAACCATACCCCATACGTCTGCGGAAGCCGAGTCTTTGCTTTCGATACCACCTCAACCATCTTCTCCCCTTCATTCTTTTCAACAACGTCCATTCTTTTCACCAGTCGACAGGATGAAGCACGGATTCAGTAGAACTCGAGAAAGACTGAACTTCACCCTGCGGCCTCGTTGATAAAAGTATTTCAGATCGAAAATGTGGTCGCTTGTTGCTATCATCCTTGTCGCGGTAGTGGGGGCAGTAACTTCACTAGTCACTGGTGTAGTTATTGTGGTCAGCAGAGAACGACGACGGCATCGACATATCTTACCGGCTCACGGATGGACCAGAGGCCTCAGTACACATTATCGAACCGACCCCAGCGCGAATGAAATCAATTATTCCCACGTCAGACTCCCGAATACACACCCGAGGCAAAGTATTCAGCTGCTGTATGGCGTGCCGGCCCTTGGTCGATCTGGTTATGGGTACAGAGACGAGGAGAAAGCAATCATAATACATATCCCCTCGTGGATGAGTCCGATGGCTTCGCGCGGTCTAAAGGCAGAAGAAGTATGAGGCGGTCATTCAACGGTCACTCTCTTCATATTTCAATAACACAGACAAAAAGAAGATTCGGAAGGTGACACTATTCGAGCATGGCAACTTTCTAGATCGTACAAAACATTCCAGTGCCCTCAATCGTTATGTAGGATTCTGGATTAAATGTTCTGGTTCTTCTCACCATTTCATTCATCATCTGGCTTTCTCGCCGAGGTAACTGCGATAGTTGAATTAAACCTGGGAATGGGTTTGGGTGCATGAAAGATTTGGGGGGCTTACCATCCATGCTGATGCTGACTTGGACAACGTATTGGACACGCCACACGCACTAAGACACGATGTTTAGACATTTGGTTCGGCAGTGGACAGCAGAACCCTCGAGGGATCGTCCCTCGTTGCGCGTTGCGACGTGTATTTCAGCCGGTCGCCTGAAGGATTTCAGGATTCATGATTCGTGAGTCGAGACATCAATCACTGATGAAGATGAGCGAAGAACCTTCTTTGAACCTCAATCATTTCGTCTATGATCTTATCTATGTTCTTTATCCTCCCGTCTATTTTCGCCCAGATATATATGCTATGGACACTATGCAAGAATAGGTCGTACATTGTCTAAATATATCCCGACACCATCGCTATGCAAAAGCCTGCAACATGCTACAGTCTATACGTTTAGGGAAGGATTCACACACATACACACAAAAAACCCTATGCCTGAGTCTCTGACTTCTCCTCTTTCTCTTCCTCTTGGATTCGTCTGTTCTGCGCTCTGATCTCGGACATGACCACGTGGGCCTGTGCAGCGTACCTGCACTTCATTCGAATACTTTCGCCATGTCGGTAGAAGATGAAAAGGAACGGTGTACATGCAAGGGCAAGGAAAGCTGGGATCGAGCTAGCCCAGTGAATGCCAAGGTTATGGTACATGTACGTGGTGAAGAGAGGGAAGATGGCGCCAAAGAGAGATCGCAGTACTGAATTGGCGGCAAGGACGCTGGCGGCATAGATCGTGTAGGCGTCGATGAGGTAATTCATGCATGCCAGGAAGACAAGCATCATGCCAAACCCGAAGGGCACGGTGGCAATGATACATACGATCCAGTGGATGGACGGATAGTTTGTCCAGGCAAACCAGAACATACCGATAGGAATGGCGACCGAACCCACAGCCCCAGGAGGAAGACGTGCTTCTGGAGGGGCTTCACCATTATGTTTCCGCTCCACGCGCTCATATCGTTTGTTGTCGACGATATTGTAGGCGACTCCAGCAATCATTCCGACGGCCACGCCACAGAAAGCTAATCCACCAATGCCTTGGGACCAACCTCGCTTTTCTTCGAACACGATTGGGAAGGCGCCGAAAAGCATATAAAGAGTCCCGTATAAGATGGCCATGTAGATGGAAATGAGGAGAACAATGGGTTCGAGGAACAGCAACGCCCAAGGGCGTGCCAGGGCCTTTTCGAAAGCGGCGGCGGGGGTGACTTTGCCTTGTCGGCGTTCGATCCCAGACATGTATACTTTACCCGTTCGTTTGGTCAGTTCCTTGGCACGTCGAGCGAGGAGAACGGGAGTATAGGTCTCAGGGACTGTGAGAGTGCCGAAAATCCATAGGGTACCGGTGAAGATACACATCACACCTTCGACCCAGCGCCATCCCACGGTTTCGCTCACAAAACCGCCGACGATAGGACCGATCACAGGACCGAGGAAAGGAGCGGCCGCAAAGATGCTCATGGCCAGACCTCGCTGACTGGAAGGAAACATATCGGCAATGACTCCTCCGGCATTGGTCAAAGGTGAGGCACCGAACGTTCCCGCGAAGAATCGCATGACTAAGAGGGTTCCGATCGAGTTGGCTCCCGTCGCACCGCCGTTAAATGCCGTCACAAGAGCATATGTACCGAAAAAGAGAATTTGACGGCCGTAGAGCTCGCTCATCGGCGCCCAAAGGAGGGGCCCAATACAAAAGCCGAGAACGAAGAGAGAGATCCCCAGGGTTGCCACCTCTTGACTGCAGCCGAACTCCTCAATGATCTGGGGTGCACTGCCCGAATATGCGGCCGAGACAAAGGCAACGGCGAGGGTAGCGATGGCGACATCCATGGTGATGGCCCATTTCTTCCATTGAGGCCACTCCATCGGGTTTCGAGGGTCGAAGGGGATGAACTCGACGACATATGGGTCTTCATCTGTGCCGGAGCCCTTGTATGGGTGTTTCAGAACCTCCTCGGTGACGAGCGACTGGCTGGCGACCAGGCGCCAGTGAGGAACTTTCTTCGACGCGGTTGCAGATTTCTGGCTTTCGATATCGCCGTGGCCACTGGGGAGGGAGGAGGTTGAAGAGCTTGCAGGAGAATTCGACATGGTGGCGTACGTTGGCCGGCCTGGCCGATATGGAGGACAATGGGACGGGTTGAATGGTCTGGGAGGAGCAACGCAGGATCTATTAAAGGGGTGGCATGTTGTTATGTCCGCTGAGGACGAAATAGTGCAGGATCTCCATTGCTGTGGTTCTATCTCCGGTCACGGTTGGATGGATATCGTCGTAGTCGCTGGGCTCAAGATCGATCTTCGCGAGCCATTTTGGTCCGAAGGCACGGGCGAGCGGGGCATGGCGGAATTAAATGGGCGAATGCCACTCAAATGACTGTCATATGGAAGTGGATTTCGTCGGACGTGCCGTCATAACCGTTCCAGCAGCATAGCAACGTACTTCCCTTGTTTGACTTCCACTGCCGAGGGCAGTTCTCATTCGCTCAACATCAGTCAAGCTTTATCTTGGTGGGGCTTTACATCACAAGCCCCTTCATAAGGCAAAAGTTCAGAGTTTTGTGCTCGACGCATAACGAGCCTTTAGCTGAAATGCTGGCGCTTCCAGCGTGAAAAGGACCCTCGAGGCTGTGCTATGCGGGATTCAACCATTTCAGACCTCCGAGCAAGGCAATCTTTCTCGACAGTCGTGATATTTGCCGTATGATGTAGCCTTGTGCATGTCTCTCCTTTCAATCACCGCCCGTCGGCTACGGTGCAACCTTGACGGTGACAAATTCTATCCGAGCCATTAGAATTTCTGCTATCTTGGAAAGAGGGCACACATCTCGTTATGTTCTGCCCTTGTGTAATATTACGCTCGTTGTGATGACTTGGGTATTACTAATTCGCACCGACAGTTCCTTGATGGGATCCACACGCTGGTGAGCCCTCCTGGTGTTTTGGAAGAATGGGCCATTGTCACTCAACGTCGAGCGCCGTGGCAGGAGACATGTGAATGAACCCAATGAGTGGCAACTGTCACGGCATCAGCCCCATACCCTTATCACGTTCGAAATATGTCGTTTGCTGTATCAAGCAGGGTCCTAGCTGAACAAGGCTGGCTGTGCAAGGGCATTCTTCACATGCAACGGATTAGTGTACGTGTAATACCATAATTTGTTGTGGATTCGTAAGCATAAGATGGAGAGTATTTGCAGACCACTGTGCTGAACAGTGTCATGGAAACAAAGCAGAGAAGGGTTGGGCACCGTCAAGATAAGGGGATGTCCCGGTACCTCTTCTCAAATACCACCCAAGGGGGATTGACTCAGTTTTCTCTCGGAAAGTGAATCGTCCACCGGGGATATCCATCCCTTTTTAGACCTACAAATATTGAGCGTGTTACATATTATGGAAAGCCCTTGATCTAAAGGATGAACACCTCCAGTAGGCGGATTGTCATCCGGGAACGACTTGGAGTGGGATGTCTTCCTGTACATCCGATGAGGATGACCTGGTCAAGAGTGCTGGCAAGAGGTGCCTTGTCTCTTACCAAAATCTACACTCAACGAGAGGGTGATTGCCGAATTGCTGAAGGGAGCCGGGCTTAGCGCGCGATAAACTGATCGAGACATTACACAGTGGTTCTGATGATCCATCGCAGAGATCCTAAATTAGCCCGCCGCAAGATTCTGTATACTCGAGAAGACCGCAAATCCGTTCCTGGAATGGTATATGGAGTATTGTGAGCGACAGAGACCAAAGGCATGCAAGCATGCAGCTGGCTGAGTATGGGCTGAGTGAAAGAGGCACCCAACTGGTGAAGAAATTGACGAATCCAATCGCGAGGCTGCAATCTCCTCAGCGATCCAATGGCGCACGTGTCCTGGTGCGATGAAGATGTTCCGAAAAGGGCCTGAAGCCGGCAAGCCGCGAGGTCGAGGAAGTTGGCGCCCCCGAAGCGTTCCCGGATTTGCTCGTTGAGGTATGATTTCTACCTGGTCCGGTGCTTGATCATCCACATTGCATTGACCCTGGACGCCAGGGACCAAGAAAATTCTTGGGACTTCGCAAGCAAGAAAACTCTCTTGACCAGCCAACCACCTGACCAGAGAACTGCCATATTGAGTAGCGAACAGCAGGGGCTTCATGCCTAAAACTCTAAAAAGGCTGTTCAGTTCCGAAGGGTCTTGTCGGATGGTGTTGTTCTCCAAAAGCCCGGACCACTGACACCGTCTTCAGGCCTCAAGATGCGGCGGCTTCCTACTTGGCATCATGCACCGCCCTTCACCCCAGTTTCGATCCCGGAAATATTCTAACCACCGCCAATGTCAAACTCTCTGCCTTTCACTCATGAGAACCTTGATACTTTTCATCGGCATGTCTATTTCTAGCATTCATGGCCTTTGTTTCTTGACCATGTCTCCATCCAAGCCTCCCTTCTGGACCTGGGGCAATCCGCAGTTTTGAGGGCGCGCTTTCTCTCCAATCCCGAGTCCGAACCATCCTCTTCCCTATCCTCGTTCGCCATGGTTTCCTTCGACTGGACCAGACGGGTCTGGGAGTTTAGCAAGAAGAACATCATCCCAGATCTCTTTTTGAAGAGGAGGCTCAATTTCATCACCATACACTACCTGTATCTAATCGGAATGGCCCTCTTCATATCGGTCGTTGTCTATGGCATCGGCGGCATGGCATACATTGACGCTCTGTTCTTTGCTTCTGGAGCTTGCACACAGAGCGGTCTCAACACCGTCGATGTCAATACCATCAAGCTGAGTCAACAGATCATGCTGTATATAGGTGCGATGATCTGTAACCCCATCGTCGTGCACTCGGCGGTCGTCTTTGTGCGGCTCTACTGGTTTGAAAAAAGATTCCATGATGTGGTGCAGGCCTCGATGCTGTTACGTCGCACCAAATCAAGATCGCGAACCCAGACCATGAACCGAGATGATCCCGAGTTGGGGGCTCCCCCTCTGGGCGTCCGCGGACGGGCCATTAAGATTCTGCAGCACACGGGGCGGAGCGAACGAAGACAGACGACCGAAAAGCCTGACATACCCAGTGGTGTGAACGGGAAAGCGGTAGACTCATCCAATACATCTCCGGCAGAAAGTGAAGAAGCCAAACTTTCTCCCTCTTCCGACCACCGTTTGCGTCTCCAAACCGCTCGTTCTATGGATGACGTGCGTCTACCCCAGCAGTTGAGCCCGGAGCAGCACATTCAATTTCTGGAGAATCAACGGAATCCCCGCGACGACACCGCGTTAAGAATCCCCAGTCCTCGGGAGTTTGAGCGGGGAAGTCGACCTCAGAATGTGAATGATCACAGCATTGGCGATAACTTGCTCCGCCAAGTCACGAGCGAACCCGATCTCCCTAGTTCTCAAGAGAAGCGCAGCATTGACATGAGTACGAGCGCCCAGGCGGGAGGTCCTTCGACACATATCACGATCAATGAACCGAGATTTGTCCGTGATCGGAGCGATAAGACGTCGACCTTTCCGCGACTGAATTCCAAGCAATCCACCCAGCCAGCCCAGATATCCGACCCCACGGAGAACTTGGGTCGTCTCCGACCCAAGAGAACGAACACGTTCAGGTCTCTCCAGCGGAGCAATACGGCCCGAACGGCGGAACCGGCACCATATCTGAGCTGGCAACCCACGATCGGGCGAAATTCGTTATTCGTGGGGCTGACCGAGGAGCAGCGGGAAGAGTTGGGCGGCATCGAATATCGAGCTCTCAAAACCCTGGCAGTGATCCTCGTCGTCTATTTCTTTGCATTCCACATCCTCGGGATTATTTGTCTGACTCCGTGGATCGTGACATCGGAGACGTATGGAAAAGCGGTAACCGATCAAGGGCAGGGGCGCGCGTGGTGGGGAATTTTCACGGCCGGCTCAGCATTCAACGATCTGGGGTTCACCCTCACCGACAATTCGATGGGGTCGTTTGGGTCCGCCATCTTCCCCCTGTTGTTGATGACATTTTTAATCATTATTGGCAATACGGGCTTCCCATGTATGCTCCGGCTTGTGATTTGGGTTTGCTCCGAGTTCGTCGAGTATGGCTGTCCTCTGTGGGAAGAACTCCGATTTCTCCTCGACCATCCTCGCCGATGTTTTACCCTCCTCTTCCCGCGCCACGCCACGTGGTGGCTGTTTGCCATCCTTGTCATTCTCAACGGGGTGGATTTGATTTTCTTCATTATCCTGGATTTGAACGACCCCACTGTCACGGAACTGCCACCGGGTGTCCGTTTCGTTGACGGACTTTTCCAAGCTGCGTCGACCCGAACCGCGGGCTTCTCGGTGGTCAATCTGGCCGAACTTCACCCCGCCATCCAAGTCAGTTATCTCATCATGATGTACATTTCGGTGTTTCCGATCGCCATATCGATGCGGAGGACGAATGTGTATGAAGAAAAGAGTCTGGGAGTCTATGCCAACCACAGCGAAGAGGATTTTGATGAGTCGGAGCCAAGAAGCTACGTGGGAGCGCACTTACGGAAGCAACTTTCATTCGATTTGTGGTACGTCTTCCTCGGAATGTTCATCATCGCCATCGTGGAAGGTAGCCGATTGGAGAACACCAACGAGTACGCCTTTACGTTGTTTTCGGTCCTCTTTGAGATCGTGTCGGCCTACGGAACCGTCGGACTGTCTCTGGGCTACCCGACCAGCAATGCCTCGTTTTCGGCGCAATTCCATACGCTATCCAAGTTGGTGATTATCGCCATGCAAATTCGTGGGCGGCATCGTGGTCTTCCGTACGAACTGGACCGAGCTATTCTCTTGCCTTCGGAAAGTCTGCATGCCAAAGAGGCCCAGGAAGGCCACCGGATAATGATGCGGCGACGAAGATCGTCGGCGGGACAATCGATCATGTCCGCAGTGGATGGTAACATGGAAGGGCACCACTTTCGAGCGGAGACAGGACTGTCCACGGGAGTCAATGGTCCTGACGGCGAGACACCGCTCCCACGACCTCGGGCGGGCACCAACAAAACGCACAACAGTACAGGCAGCGGTTCAGATGGCCATCATCATGGTCCACGGCATGGAATAGGAACCGCCATGTACAAGTTGGCGACCGAGATCGATTCGATCAAAGAGGAACGAAGTAGTGAATGAAACGTCTGGAGGGGGTTATCAGTTCACTCACCCTTCTTTCCCACCCTTTCAGGATTTATACGTACCGTATATGATTGGCTTCGGTGGTATTGATGCATTTGAGCGAAGGCGAAGGAGGAACCACTTTTAACCCACATCAAAATATCGTTGGGAGACAACATTTCTGTGGCACATGATAAAAAGGGACATTGTAACGAACACATGGATGAAAAAGAGAACGGGCTGGGCGGTTGAGACTTGCATAGATGTTGAATGAAATTCATGTACAACCTCGTAAATCCCCAGAAGCGGTTCTCGCTTGTGGCCCGGCTGCTGAGAAGCTTGATTGGGTAAGACCGGGAAACAAGATTCCCTCATTCTGGCTGACGATGGGGTAATTAAGCCTCTGCCGGTGGAAATTTGGAAGGCTTAGGATCCAGACGTCGCATAGAATTGAATTGTTTTGGATGAAATAGATTGAATAGCAGGAGATTATGGCATGTACTATGGTCTGGTGACACGGGAGATTTGTATACTGCTGCGCCTCCCGCGATCCGAACGTTGCCCCTGGAAAATTCGGTACATGAGCCTCCGGCGGCAACGATTTGGATTTTTGCATTTCGTTAAGATCATTTCGAGGATTGTGGAGAAGCCCACGGAGTCATCTTATTGGTGGCAAGATCTGACACAGTGAGACAGAGCCTGCAACAGAGCAGTTTTGTCCGGCTGCCCTAATGCAACGATCTGGTGGGATCCCGGTTTTTGGGGCACTTCAATGCAATCATCTCAGGGCCATTCAGACTTCGTCGCCACATCCATCATCCATCTTTCCTCTATCCTCTATCTCCACGCGTTCTTTTCATCGACCACCAGTTCCGCCGACGTTCGACTCCTCCATCGTTGTTGCTGAACACCGGACAGTCCTTTCGCGGTCAAACCTGCCTCCCTGGTCTCTCGCTTTCGAACCCCCCGACACGCGCCTTTGCCCCCCTTCGAGTTTCGAACCCCCTTCGCATCCAAATCTGTGCCTTGCCATCAGGTCTACTATTCCTCTCCTTCTCACCGGCAAGGCTCCAGAGCCCCGACTTTCTCTACAGCATTGGAGATTGAGGAACCTATGTAAAAAAAAAAAAAAAACATCTACCCACGCGACCCGTCCTCCTATATTCACTCCAGACATGATGAAGTCACAAGTATCATCCATCCTTGCGCCGCTGGCCGGCCTCCTATCTCTGGTTGGCGGCCTCGAACTCGACCTGACCAGTCAGGACTCGATCAAATCCGTCACCTCGACACTGGCATACGATATGATGACCTTTTATTCGGGAAACCAGAGTGGACAAGTCCCCGGATTATTACCCGGGCCTTGTGACTCGACAGCATGCTACTACTGGTGGGAAGCTGGGGCTATGTTTGGTTCTCTCATCAATTATTGGCAATATACGGGCGACGACAGTTACAACTCCGTCGTTTCTCAGGCATTACAGTTCCAGATTGGGCCGGACGAGAACTACAACCCGCCGAACCAGAGCAAGAACATGGGTGTCGATGATCAAGCGTTCTGGGCATTTTCGGCGATGGATGCGGCGGAGGCCAACTTCCCTGACGTGGGCGGCGAAGCTCCATCTTGGCTGGCCCTCGCCCAAGCCGTCTTTAACTTCCAGCGCGATCTTTGGGACGCCGCCACCTGCGGCGGTGGTATGCGATGGCAGGTCTATTCGTTCAATGCCGGTTACAATCTGAAGAATACCATCTCCAATGGCGGCAACTTCCAACTGGCCGCTCGTTTGGCCCGATTTACGGGTAACCAAACCTACGCCGACTGGGCCAACCAAATGTGGGATTGGATGGCCGCCAGCCCCTTGTTCCAATATCAAGATGATACTCTCTATATCTGGGACAACACCAACGTGGACAACAACTGCAGTGATGTCGCTCATTACGCCTGGACCTACAACTATGGGACCATGTTGGTTGGTGCCGCTTATTTGTATAACTTCACCAATGGCGCCGAGCCATGGGGAAGCCGGGTCGACCAGATCTTGAAAGGAGCTTTTACCTTGTTTTTCCCGGCCGAATACGGTGGTAACATCATGTCTGAATTCCAGTGCGAACCTGCCAGCAATTGCAACAACGATCAAAGCAGTTTCAAGGCCTATCTATCTCGATGGCTTGCCGTGACCAGCTTGTTAGTTCCCGGCACCGCGGGAGATATTATGCCCAAATTGCAGGCGAGTGCGGCGGCGGCGGCTCAACAATGTACTGGCGGTAACAATGGACGGATGTGTGGTCGGCGGTGGTACTCCACTTACGATGGAACCAGCGGTGTCGGCCAGCAGGTAGGTCATATGGAGCGTTGCGCTTCACGAAATTCGTGAATTGGCTAACGATCCATTCAGATGCAAGCCCTTAGTGTCATCGGTGCCACGACGATTAACGACTCAATCGCTCCGAAGTCAGCAAACACCGGTGGTACATCCAAGAGCGATCCCAACGCTGGATCCGATGCCAACTCTTCGCCGACGATCGAGCATTCCCCCATCACGACCAAGGACAAGGCAGGTGCTGGTATTCTGACAGTATTGGCCATTCTCGTCATCATTGGAGGGAGTATCTGGATCATCATGTAGATTGCGGTTGGAGGAGTTGGTCGAAGATTTCAGAGTTGGGACAGATGTATACCATCTCATTTATACCCTGGTTTCATATCTTGCGTTGAGGACGGAGGAAGAAATCTATCGGCATATTTGCAAGAGATGGGATGGCCCCAGAATTTTGTGGCCAGAATGACTTTATATCAAAGGTAACCAGGCATGAACGGCACTCCAGATCACTGTTGTATATTGATGGAATTTCTCCATGTGACAACATAAAATCATTCAGGATGGAGCTTGTGTGATCTTTGTTTGAATCGAGCAGTTGGATTGGGATGAAGAAAGGATTCAGAGATACATATGGCCACTAGAATACGCAGGGGATTTGTGATAAACATGTCCCTCCATACCTGTACAGAATGTATTCTGTTTACAAGCAAGATGGACTCCGTAGTGGAAGAGAACCATTCGTCCCAAATCAGACGATGGTATGCAAGCATTCTCTCAGGAGAGACTCCACATCCCTCCCCCAATTAATTACCGATTCACCGTTTTCGGCCCTCAAAAACATCCCCATCCTCCGCTCCGGTTCTTCTCTCGTCGCAAAACATTCTGAACCTTGCACGACTTACGAGCCGTTATGATATGACTGCATTTTGAGCATTTTCTTTGTATTGTCATGGTTATCTGGCCTCTTGCCATGACGTAGAGTTAGCAGATCTCCCACAAAGATCCGCACTGAGGCATGATCGCCACCTGTCAAGGTCAACTCTGACAGACTCTGAACGGGCCTAGCCATCGAATACGGAGTCACGAGCCATGTCTGTTCTCCCGGAGACCGCGACAAGCCCCCTGAACGATGTCAACACCCAAATAGAGGTTCCCAAAAGCCCAACGAAAACACCTGCGACGGACAACGCGGCTACCAGAAGACACACAAAAGGCCTTTCATTAAATTTTCCAGTCCTCTTACCTGCAAACGGGCAGATTTCGCATTTACGGTCTCCATCCACTAGTTCGGGGATCCAAAGCCCAATCGAGTCCGCTCTATCCTCTCCTCACCCACGAACAGCGCCATTCAAGAGCCCTGATTTAATGCACGAAAAACAAGAAAAGACCAATACAAATGGAAGTGCGGATTTCCTGACTCTTCTTGCCGCTCAAGAGAGGAGAGTCCTGGAGTTAAAAGAAGAGCTGCAAAAGGCGGAGGCAGATTTACTGCAGCTCAAGAAACAATGGGCATCGTACGAGGCGAATAAGAAGAGAGATGAAGTGAAACATATCAAGAAATTACAGCCTCTGGCATTGGATGATGTTGCTGGCCGGCACCCAATCGCGGAAGAGGAAGTGGACGAGGAGCGACGGAGGAAACGAGCCCTCCTGGAGAGGAGCAATACAATCCACACCAGCCTTGGAAACAGTAGGACAAACAACTTGGGAAGGAAGAACTCCAAACGCGTGTTCGAAGGAAGTAGGCACGCCAGAACTTTGAGTCTTCTAAGCCCGACTACTGGCAAGCCAGGGCATGCCGCCACCACCAACCCGACAGATGATGTGACCACTTTGCCTAATGCCCGGGAAGCTGAATCCGACACTGTGGTGACGAAATCTCCATTGCCTCAAATGTCAAATCTGGACGGACTCATGTCGGCTGATTATCAACTGGGGTTCGGTCAGACATACAAACATCTCGCCGCTCATCGAAGATCTTTACCCCCGGCGGCCGCGGACTTGTTGGTCAAACAAGGCAAGCAAGTATATGACGGGTTCAGAGAGGGTCTATGGACTTTCTTCGAAGATATCAGGCAGGCAACAGTGGGAGAAGAAGGTATAAGTGGAACCGCAGCACAGCAGCGTCCTGTGAGGCCGAGGGAAAGAAAGGTGACACACAAGTCTGAGCCTGGATCCGCAAAGAACAGCAACCAATCACTCTCAAACAATAGCCAACAGTCATCGAAAGAGCCATCATTCTGGAAGGAATTCGGTTTGGATACGCCTCAAAGACCTGGGTCAACCCAATTGACGAAAACAGACCAATCCAATGGCCACAGTCAACAAAAGAGCAGTACGGACTCGACGAATCCACCGAGCCTTTTACCCGATCTTAACGACAATGATGATGTTGAGGATGGATGGGATGCTTGGGATTCGTCTGTCAGCATCAAAAGCCCGCACGTCGTCGACGAGACAAAGAAGACATCAGGAGATGGCTTACCTTGGCCAGAGATTCAGAAGCTCACTCCAAGTAAATTGACGAGAACAGTCAGCGATCTAATGAGAGAATGGGATGCCGGCCAAGAGGAAGGGAAGGCCCCGGCTGGCGCCCAAACTGATCTACTCGACAATCCACATATGTGAGATATTATCGGACATGAAATATTGCAACCGCTGAAGCACGGATGGGGTAAATGGCAGCAGCCTCAGCCCCGGACCATGCTCATTCAATATATAGCGCCTTCGGTCTGATCCCCAGATTTCTTACGTTCGACAAACGTGTGTACCCTCGGGCCTGACGGTGCGCACGTTCGTCATAGTCATGAGACCATGTTGCAGAGCCATCATTATCAAGAAACACGTTTATGTTTGACAGGGGGGCACGAGACGGATCTCGGCCCGTGAAGAAAAATATATCTTCGGGATCGGGAAGGAGAGACAGTGATTTCAAAGTTTGACAGGCTTTTAATTAACCAATCGGCTGGTAGCGTGGGCGTGAAATGTGTTTGGACACTTTCCTGGCTTTCTCTATCGAAACGCGACTCGCATTCGCTGAGGGGAAACGGGTTGATCTGGCGGGCAGTACAACGAAATGAGATAAAGGGTATGGAGATGCCCAATATTTCCCCTAGCAACCAGTATCGACCATTCTGGAAAGCCAACAAACTTCTGACAAGTCCCGACCTTTGGGGACCCTTTGATCCCGATTTCCGGCGGTCCACCAATGGAGATGGGGGACAAAAAGATGGCCCACCGAGTCTTGAACCGTTTGAGACTGGGGCTGCGAAACGGGCCCCCCTGCAGTAGTGGAAGAGCAGGTCCACATAAGGTTAGCCTGCTAGTCCTCTTCGGGACGTAGGACCTCGGTTCGGAACCAGGAGAAACGCTTTTTCCGCGCCGTTGCTATGGTAAACAAACCTCCCTATTGCGAACTAATCATGCTCCATCTTCAGCCCAATCCACCGCGAACTGAGCCTTTTCGGCCTGGTCATGAGGCAGAACACCCCCCGGCGTAACCTCCTGGGTTGGGTTCACCTCAAAGAACTCTCACATCCATGCTTGCATCACGGCCATCAGTTCTATTGCATTTGTCTCTGGCACATTTGTTCGCATTCGCATTTTCGGGAGTAGACGCTATTATTGGATTTGCGCCAACTACAGATTGTCTTTTGTCGCATTCTACCCGTTCCTCCGCACATGGGCACTTAGAGCGCAAAGATCAAGAACGAGAGACGATTGAAGGAAGAAACGGGCGGAACTCCGCAGACGCCATCGATATACGGACCGGGCCACTCTCACCATGACCATGATATCCTATTACTCCGAGATGGTGCCTCACCAGGCTAGAACATCGCAGGCACCATTTGAGATTCAAGGTGACGAGGCGGATGGCGACACACTGGCGGATAAATATCAGATGCTGGAGGAATTAGGTCGTGGCTCATTCGGTGTCGTCTACAAAGCTATCGAGAAAGCCACGGGCGAGATTGTCGCAATCAAACATGTACGTCTGAGAGCAGGATCGGTGCGGAGATGGATTGCACACTGACATCTGGGTAGGTGGATCTAGAATCCTCGGAAGAAGACCTTGCGGACATCTTATCCGAACTATCTGTCCTTTCATCATGCTCGAGTCCACACGTCACCAAATACCGCGTTGCGTTCCTACGTCGTCAGACTCTCTGGATCGTCATGGAATATCTCGGTGGGGGATCCTGCGCAGACTTGCTCAAACCGCCCCCGCATTTCCTGTCAGAAAATCATATTGCCATCATTTGCCGAGAATTACTTCTCGGCCTTGCCTACTTGCATAGCGAAGGAAAATTACATCGAGACATAAAGGCAGCCAACGTCCTGCTGGGCATGGACGGCCGAGTCAAATTGGCGGACTTTGGTGTTGCGGCGCAATTGGTCGGGTTAAAGAGTGTTCGAAATACATTTGTCGGTACACCCTTCTGGATGGCACCGGAAGTGATTCAACAAGAAGGACATGATGCCAAAGCCGATATCTGGAGTTTGGGTATTACGGCCATGGAACTGGCAAACGGAGAACCTCCACATGCCAATGTCCACCCGATGAAAGTGTTATTCTTGATTCCCAAACAATCTGCCCCGAGGCTGGAAGGTGGAAACTGGTCCAAGGATTTCCGAGATTTTGTAGCAGCTTGTCTTGCCAAGGACCCGGAAAAGAGAAGTAGTGCAAAGGAGTTGCTAAAGCACCGCTTCATCCGATCGGCGGGCAAAGTTGAAGGCCTCCAGGAACTGATTGTCCGGAAACAAGATTGGGAAGCCAGCAAAGGAGGAGAGAGAAACTTAAAATATTATGCCGAGACACTGAAGAATCTCTCCGGCGTACCAAATGATGACGGGTGGGTGTTTGAGACAGTCAAGGCCGGCCCAACAATGAATTTCAAGGTGAATCAGACTCGAAAAAAGAGAAAGGTCGAAGGAGACTGTCCTGAACGGTCAACCATTCAAATGATGAAGGATTTGAGCCTGGAACGGAAATCGGAGAACGAACAGAGTCCAACCAAACTGACCGTGCGAAAGATCTCAGAGTCGGAGGGGGGACAAGATGAACGCAGAAATTCGGGCGATTCACCTTTAATCAGACGAACAACCAAGAAGAGATTATCTAGTGCACAACAACGCCAGCCTCTCGGAGTCAATATGTCCTTCGGCAATAGTCCCAGCACGGTCCGACAATTTAGACGAGTTTCACCGAATGGAGACAATCCCAACTCGGAAAATGAGGATCCCAATTCTAGTGTGATCAGGACACCTTCCAAAGCGACACCGGGGTTGAACTCAATGGTCGACATGGACAAGTCGCTGCTACACGGGTCCAAATCAGATAACAAAGATTCGAGATTCTCTTCCGCAGCTGCAACAATGGTAATGGATTCCAAAGAAGCACGCCTCGGTCGAAAATTATACACCAATGCTATTGGGATGTCATGTCAAGATGTCCTGAATGACACGGCCGACGCAGTCAAACGCGAGGCTGTCGCTCGATTAGCGGAGGCCTTCTCCGATCTTGAAAGTGTGGACCCGGATGGCATGTATCATATCATGCAATCCATCATTTCCAAGATGAGGCAAGATGACACGCTGAAGAATATGCTCCCACAACAGCCGGCGATCTCATCAGCTCTGCCGTCTTCACCACAGAAAGTAAGCGGATCGTCATCCCAGCAACCCATCTCCGCCAACGCGAGCCGACAAGTCACCCCCAGCACACCAACGGGCAAATCACCTGTGAAATTGGTCCTCGCACAGAATAATCCGCACTTGAAAAGCCATCGGCGCCGACAAAGTGCACAGGCCGCAATGAAATCGAGAGAAGCCAGTAGTGTTCTGCCGACGAGTCCATTGAAGAATAGTACCAGCTCTACTGGTGCTGTGGTCAATGCGGGAGAGGAGACAGATGCCGACAGAGAGATGATGAAGGGCCTTGTCGGTGGGCTCGAGCATACGAGGCAGCTTGCTGATGTGTTGTTCGAGAGATGGTGTGAGGGCTTAAGGGTGAGGTGGCCTGCTGTGTAGCCCATTGAAGGAAGAGAAATGCAAGTTCACTATGCGCACGTCCTGGGAGAAGCGGACGTCACGTACTTCATCCTTCATCTTTGATCTGTTGTTTCACTTTTGCACAGCGGTGGATGGACCAACGGACTTATGGACTGGTGGCCGGCTTTCGGTTCGAAGTTTCGCATTTTCTTTCCGTCCCTGTTGGACTATGGAGTACGTGATCTACCTGATGCCGGCTCTTTTTAGCACTGTTGCAGCAGGAGATAGGTGCCTAAGTAGATAGATAAAAGTCAGAAATAGATGTACACAGGCTCGATTTTCGAGAGCCTCTGCAATATTTATAGAGATATGATCATTCATTCGTATTTATCTTCCTGCTTTAGGATGAGATGCCGGATGAATACAACTTTGTGAGATGTCCCAGCAAGCTGCACAGTGACCCGTTCACGATGTCGACTCAACCGCTTGTGACCGCGGGTGGTGCTCTACTCAAGCCGTCGTATCGGGCTCGAGCCTCACCAACCCGGAACCGGTTTTCAAAGGCTGTTCTATACACAAGCAGCACTTGATCGTGGCTCATTCATAGCTTGATACCTGCAACGCCAGCCTCGGTCTCAATTGCCTTGCGGTCTCGTTCCCAGACCGCCCAGGGACCTTGACCCGTTCGACTTTCGTCAATGTCTCCAACGACGTCGCCTAGGTACCGCAGCACGGCGGCGCGCATATCTATCAATCGTGCCGTGCATGCGCTGATGGACGCACCGGAGATATCGTGCAGTGCGTTCCTGATGATTTGCGAGTGTGGCGATAGGTATGCCTGAACTTGGGGGTGCGAGCCAGAAGACGACGATGAGGGCGTTTCAATAGCCTCCTTCCATCTGGCTAGGAGATGCGCTTTATCAATGCTCTGCGCGACGTGCTCATCGCTGCCAGATGGGATGATCAAGACGGCTGCTTTCGATGGATTAGAGGGCTGTACTCGACCCGCTGATCCAATACGGCCGAATGTATCCACGAGTCTCGCGTCCGTCAGGTCACTGGAAAAGTAGTCGTCCATGGCCGGGTTCTCTGGCGAATCGGGTGAGGTTAGGCTTAGGAACCGCGTGATGTTCACGGGCGCTGGGCCGACGAGCGGTGTTGAGACGTGCAGAGGCAGGATGGTGGTCGCGTACTTGTCCTTGGGTGTGGAAGAGATGATTGACATGGCACTTTTCCACGCGGATTGCGTGGACGGATTACGGTTGACGTCGTGTATGATTGCTTCGCGGTCCGAGACGGGTGCTTGGAGGATTCCGCCTGCGATTATGGGTCGTGGTGCTGGTGGATGTGAGCACAGGTAGTGCAGCACATCCTGGCAGCCTGTGGAGTGGCCCATCAGGACGACCGGTGTGGCTGGAGAACAGGTGACATGCTCGCGGATATAGGTGATCGCGGCGCTGATTTCTTCGACCTGGAATTTGAGGGAGTTCATGTCAACATCAACGTCCTTGTTTGGAGCTCAGGACTTGACTGGTTTGTGACAGCTCTCCATCACATTTTGGGGGCCGGGTATATAAGCTACCCATTGGCAAATGTTCTCGGGAATATATATTCCAGATGACATCCTATAACAATTGCCAGTGGTAAAAAGATGGAACTTACATCGCGATCCAAATCACACAGCCCAAATTGCTTCCCGGCCGAGGACATCTGGACGTGCATCACTCGCCATTTCTGCGCTGGTCCATCGCGTGGGAATAGAGCTGCCAGATCATCGATGTACCGAGGTGAGCGGAAGTTGTCGTATAGTCCGCCGATGAAGAGGAGGACGTTGGGTGGTTGGGATTGAGTTTGGGAAGAGTGGGTGGTGTATTCGAGTAGTAGCAGGCGGCGTTTAGGATGGTAGACGTGTATGATTGTGTCCATGACTGGCCGTGGATGTTAACGGCAAGAAGATAGTACGTAAATCGCAACAGAGGGATCAACAATAAATTATTGAGAGGAGCATCGTCTTTATATACAGTGTCAATAGTCACCCACAAGTGCCAGAAGGTGAGTTTGGAATTGGTGCCGGAAAAACAGTAAATCCGGCGCGAAACTTAGCAGCCTGATTTCCCCTGCCGAATGAACTTTTATCATTCATTCATCTTCCATGCTATCTTATGCTACCAGCACGCCCAGAACACAAAATCTTTTGGGCCGCATCGCGTGGAAGACTCGATACTGAGTGGATGCGCCACAAATATCGCGTTCCATACGTGGTTTGTGACATCGATTAATGTGCCATACTGAGGGTTTGGGGAGTGAGCTCCTGACCTCGCAATTTCGAGTGCGTCTGCCTCTTTTATTTATGCGACATTGTCTCCAAGAAGTACAATTCACTTTTAATCCAGTCGGGAAGTTCTTTCGAACAGGCACGAGCATTCGGATGTTTGAAGCATTGTCCATCAGTGAGGTGAGTGTGCGATAGCCCCTGTTTTCCCAAAATGTGCTCCCTCGTGGTTCATTCCAAGGTCACTTATATGTACAAACATCTTCTGGCTCTCCATCTCTTGATCCATCTTTGTGGCAGGACCTCGAGGTCTAAGCCCTGGATGTTGCCTCTGTCAGGGTCAGTTTGGTTACCTTTTGCGGTCAACGAGCTGTCACTCATTACGATGCAACAGACACGTGCAACAACTTCCTTTGCACATGGAAATCGTCCGTATCTCCTATATGAACTCTACGTTCACCCAAGATATCTGGAATGTCGATCACTGCAGAGCTCCCTCCGCCAGTCGTTACGAAGAACAGCACATCAATTGGACTAGGTCGCGGTTCCTATGTCGTGTCGGTAAATGTCTTTTGGCGCGGATGAATTGCGGCATTGCACAAACCGGAAAACGGATCCCATTATGAATCTGCATGCTACCTCAGGCCATGTTCATATGGCTTCTGGAATTAGCAATACGTATCGAAATACCATGGAGAGCCTGACCAGATAGAGATTGACCTTTATCGCATCACTGTCGAAGACTTCATCCACCTCTATTGACAAATATGCATGCACCCGTAAAGGAGCATACCATCGACGAGGGCAACGGCCAATATAGGTATGAAGTTGTGGGATGAGAGGAAGCGATGGTCGATCAGCCCGTCGTTGCGACCCCAAGTCTCTATCTGAGAGATTGGCAATGCTCTACAAACTGGCCTTCGCTGGATTAAAAACATGCCATAAGCGAGAAAGCTGATAAGAAGTACAATACCAGCAGCCAGCATTCCCAGAACATGGCGGCTCATCGACGGGTATGCGTTTTCTCCCCAAGTCAGGGAAGTGACTATTCCGACGACGCCCAGCAGAAAGAGGATGATGCCAATGTCGTCTACTTGCTTGACTTCAGTGACGACGGTATTCTCACGCCTCGACTTCGTTGGTGGCGGCCAATAGGACAAGAGGATCAGGGATGCCGAGTTGAAGTAGTAGAACTAGCGGCAACCCCTCAAGCTCATACTGGCGAAACCGCCAGCTGTCACAGATCAGTCAGTGACTATGATGTTCAGTCCGATGTAAAAGCTGCTAAAGCTGCTCACCTTCGATGAGGTCGACAATCGCCAGGACGCCATTGATAAGTCCGAGATGCCCTTGTGCAAAGACGACTTCCATGGAAGCCGGAATCACAGAATCACAAGTAGCTGGCCACTGTTAGTCTTCGTCGTCATATAGCATTGAAAAAGGTCCGTTACCGTCAAGGATGCTCCAATCCTGTTGGGCCCCTGACCCTCAATGACAGTGTTGGTGTTGTGGGTTGTAGCTGCAATGATAACACCGTCATGTTCTCTTTCGACTTTCTTGGACCGAGAATTGCCGAGGGTAATTTCTAGCTGTTTTGCATACTACTCTCTTTCACCTTTCTGTTCATTTCCCATCTTCTCCTCGGTGTTCAGGTAAGAAACATCAATGGCTAGCTCGCATCCCGCCAAACGCCGCTCGGCACGGGCTTGCTCCTCATGCCGACTGAGAAAGGTCCGCTGCGATTATACCACGATGGGTCCACCGTGCACCAACTGTCGGCTGGACTGCGTCGACTGTATCCTGGCTCCAAACAAGCGTCGAAGGTCAGACCCGCATGCTCCCAAGATATGACACGGGTTCCGCTCCGGGTTTCCCTTCTCTAGACAGCTTTTGACTCTATAACAGGGTGACTCAGCCTAGCAACACCGGATCGAATATTCTGGCCGTCGATGGTGCTCATGTTGTTTTGCCTCAGTCACCGCCGACGCAACAATTTCCTTGTACAACAGATGGGGGAGGCTCTGTTCCTACTGCTCACACGCAAATAGAAACCAGGCGAGTTGCCCAGCGGAATTCTCCACGGTCTGGAGATATCGTGCCGTCTTCTCTCACGCGGCAGATCCAGGAATCATATCCATGTCAGGAGCACGATGCGCGAATCCCCACGGACGGGGCAGCGGAAGCCGCTGAAACCCTAGAGTATACCCAGTCAATCACCTTGGTCCAACAGAGCGCCCACCGCAATGAAAGGCAGGACATCGCCTTACAGCCTTTGTCCGCCTCGCTATCAGATTTAGACATTGACTATCTTTCCAAAAAGGGGGCTCTCTCTCCCGGAGGCTACTTTTCGTGACGTGTGTCTCTGTCGCTATGCCGAGTTTGTGTACCCAGTGCTACCTCTACTGGACCTGGAAGACTTCCTCGGAGAGTTAAATAGCGGAGGCCGAGGGGTAAGCTTGCTCCTCCTCAGTGCTGTCGTCTATGCTGCAGTTGCTTTCGTCGAGGTCGAACATGTCAAGGACGCTGGTTACAGCTCCAAAATGGCCGCACGGAAAACGCTCTATGAGAAAGCCAAGGTGAGGCTCCTCCCAAGTTCGTTTCTGCCTGGCGAAGGCTCATTGCATATATAGCTGCTCTTTGATCTTCGTGCTGAAGACAGCAAGGTGGTTATGGTTCAAGCGGCGTTACTCCTGAGCACGCCTCATGGGGACATGGACGACCGTAAAGATGCCTGGTACTGGGTGGGGACTGCTACCGCTCTGGCCCAGTCGCTGGGGCTTCACCTCGAGCGACTGAGCCGTGGTGGCGATGGCCGAAAGAACTGTCTGCGGAGGCGTTTGTGGTGGTGTTGCTATATTCGTGAGCACGTCGTGGCCATGGGAATGGGTCGGCCGTGCCGAATGTCACATTACAATGTCACAATGATCAGCATAGCGGACTGTGATATTGCGCCGCTACCAGATTCATCTCCCCTGGCGCGTTTTTTCCCTCCTGAATCAAGACAGACAACCGCACGGCTTCGGCTGGCTACCTTGTTCATCGAAAAAGCAAGGATATGCATATGCATGCACAAGATTGTTGCTGCTGTGTATGCCGCAGACGTTTCCCACGGAGACGAAGAGTCTCTCGACGCTATCGACTCTGGACAGCCCACCAAGTCTAACAAGATTGAGGAGTGCATTCGAGAGCTCGAATTATGGGTCAAGATGCTCCCAACGGAGGCTGCATACAAGGGAGGTCCTGTAAGTGCGATCCAGGATGACGACCGCTGTCTTGTCGTGTCCCGAATTATGCTTTGGAGTATTTATTACTGGTCAATCATTACCCTTCACCGCCCTTGCGCATTCGGCAACATATCCTCCGCGAACCGCGCCCAACAACCAGTCGGTCAGTCAAGGCTCCTTGTACGATGGGCAGCTCAGCAAGTAACAAGCGTCCAACAGTTTTTGCATGATCAACTACTGAACGGCTACTTGGATGCCACCGCTGTCGCCATCCTTATCGGCGCTATCGTCGTTCACATGCAGGATTGTAGAGTTGAGCACCACACTGTGCAAAGACACGCACTTCACGATCTCCGTCGCTGTATGAGCTTTTTGTGAAGCTACAAGGATACCTATTCGAGTGCTGTGCATGCCCTCAAGTATCTTCAACCAGCTGCTCGATGTGCCGAAGCCGCCGCCAGCCGCCAGCTAGTGTCTATGTCCTCGTCCTCGAACGAGACTTTGACACCAGCAGCATCAAAAGTCAGTGGCATTGACCAACCCGAGGTGGAACACACACCCTCGAATTCCACTGTGAGAATGTCACGGACATGGGAGCCGGGCGAGATCAACGATCAATATTTTGCTCTGCTACACTCGCAAGCCGCGAGATCTGACTGGGTAGAATTCCTCGGTGAACTTTGACTCTTCGCCTTCTCGGGAGGTGTCTAAGTACTCCTTCTTTTGCTTTACTTTAGAAGGGAGGCGCGCTTTATTTATGTGTATACATCTCCCACCCTCAAGACCATTTGGTGGAAAAATTTGCCAAACCTGGGAAAAACCAAGGAAAACGAAATCAGAGAAGGGTTCCCGTGGTGGCGTGCTTGAGGGGCACGCTGACTGAGGAATGCCCTCTTCTCTGCATAGAAATCACGGCTACACACTGGTTTTTGTACGGCATTTGGGAATTAGTCGTGCGGATGTCACCAAGGTGAGAAGCAGGTGATTTCTAGTTTGGTCTACCACGAAAATGCTGTCAACTTCCATCTCCCTCAAATTTGCTTCGCAATATGTGTACAAACGACTCTCATATTTTCGGCGAAATTTCTGGCCGGACGTTCCTTTTGGGTTCAGTCTCTGCACGACGAAGTGTGCATATGAGAACACCCTCATTCACCGTCTCCCCTTCTTCGACATCACGCACCCATGTCACGACTCCAGCATATGGGGCTCGAACTTCCAGTTCCATCTTCATCTGCTTCACCACGCACAATAAATCATTCTCTCGTACGATATCTCCCTCGTCCACAACCAATTCAGCAAATTGGCCGGAGAATGGTAAGCAAACGTGGCTTGGGTCGCTTCGATCGCCTATTCGATGAGTTGCGGACATGACAGACGTCTGAGACGCCATTGACATGGTCGCGGCGTACTTCCTTGTGCCTGAAATAGATGATTGGATGATGATGTCTGCTGAAACTTCCGTGGGAAAATCGTTGACTCGGACCCGATCCAGTTTCAGCAGACATTCCCCCGTCTTGGTCGATCTCGAACCGTCCTGGTCCAAAGTGATGGTAAAGGCGTCGCCCTTTCCTAAAGAGCACAGAAGTACCTAGCCCTGTTCCCGCCGAGGCCGAGTCGGACCCGTTCCGTGATGATCCAAGATTCTTGGTCGGCAGAGAAGCGACGTGCCTCATGATTTCTGAACCCCTTTCGAGAACCGCTGCCAAGTTTTTCTCCAGCCACAACGCAGAGCAGTGCCGGCTAATGAATTCACCATATTGCATTTCCACGAAAGATTTGGCCACGATCTCGCGCCACCTATCATGGTCCAGCAAATCGGTGTCGCTCTGAATGTACATGGAAGGTGCACATGACCATACCGAAGCTCATACAGTCTTGCGCTGCATCAAATGTTGTCTGGCTGCATTGAAGCCCATGTCTGACATTCATAAGATAGCTGAGGATCTGAGATGTCAGGCGAGGATGCGTATATCTTCTGCGCAGCAAGACATTCTCGATTCAGGAGCCATTTTCCGTGAGCAGCGAAAGGATCCAGACCTCCCTGCCAATGAGAATCACTCACACGGACCATCAAGTTCCCGGGTACATGGCACGAGAATGACACTCCCCGCCCAGAAGCCCTCTCCTGCGCCCAACAGATCTCCGTCCGCAGTGACTGATACACAGCTTCAACCCCAACTCCGCCCGGGTAGACTTCGTACTATCTCAAGTGAGGCTGCTTTTTTGGAGGACCCAGTATTTCCAGCATATGCCAAGGAGATGTCTGCGTGGTCAGACGTAGGAAGCAGCTCCGAGGTGGACAGCCACCAAATAACCCCCAATGAAGAGACGGTTGATCTCGCCGACGCCCGACCCGCAAGATCACGCACAATCCCTTCAAAGACCAACCCCAATTGGAAATGAAGCTTCGCCAGTTGAGGAGATTGAAGAGATTGATCCCAAAATGTTCTTTTCGGTGGAAAACGACCATGACTTCGATTGCTGGTTCGATCTTCCCAATCCTGGCAGTACAACACTGATGCATAATGCGGCTGCAAATTGAGCAGGGTGGAAGGACCACAGAATCATTATATATATGGTTCGAAATTTAGTTTCTGATGGATTCTCAGCTTGGGAGATAGAGCAGTAGAAGTATAGGTCCGACCAATAAAAGTTGGAAACTAATTTGAGTGGATTTGTTGTGCTAACTAGGGTCTACCACCGTAAGCACTCCCCGACTCGCTCAAGGTATAGTCCCTCTGCACCAGCCTAGCCACGTCTTCACATGCTCGCCACTTTCTCCTGGTGTGAGCGGTTTGCCTTGTCTTGTCAATCTTGCCCGGCGTGGCCGTCATTTGAACCAAGGGGCGCTACCGGTACCCGCCCTATTCCATCTCCCTATGTTCCAAGGCCGACGTCACGCACGCCTCCATTCCGTCGAAGATGGTCTCCACCTCTGTACGGGTCTTGGTCCGGAATTTCCCCGTCAGCACCTGCCGCAAGTACGGCCAGGCACGCTTGTCGGTGCGATCCAAGTTTCCAGGAACCAGGTCGGTGGGCTTCAAGTCCAAGCCTCGAAGAAGGGCGGCTTAGAACTGCGGCTCCAGCGTATCGACGGCCAGATACTTGCCTCCGTCCTTGTATTCATAACACCTGTAGTACGGAGCACCGCCGTCGACCATGTTTGTCCCGCGCTTCCCTCACCTCCGGGTTCTGGCCGAGAGACGAGCCAGCTTCCCAGTGTGGGAAACACCGCCCGCCATGTTCGCGTTGACCACATGCCCCTTCCCGTTGAGGCTGCGCTGGATCAAAGCGAGTAGGGCACCCGTGAAGGCCACCAGGCCACCACCAGCGAAGTCGGCGAGCAGATTCATCGGCGGCGACAGCAGCTGATCACACCCTCCGAGCATGCTCAAAATGCCCGAGACCGCGAGGTAGTTGATGTCGTGGCCGGCCATGCCTTCGTATTCGCCATCCCTCTGGAAGCCGGTGAGTCGGACGACAATGAGGCGCGGATTGAGGTTCAACAGCATTGTTTCAGGGTCGAGGTCGAGCCTTTCGAGTACGCCGGGCCGGAAGGGCTCAGTAGAGATGTCCATGACGGGATCCAGGCCTTCAAAACGGTGATCGATTGAGGCGATTTGAACGTGACCGGTTTTGTCCGAGGCGTAAGGCTGGACCTTCAGCCTTGTCTCCCGAACATTGCCGTGGTTAAGCTCGGCATATACAGGGGAGCCAATATTTCCGGGTGCGGGGTTCTGCCCTCACACCTTTTCTCGAGCAAAGGAGTTATCATACACAGGCTCCACCACTGAAATCCTGGTGGAAGGTTTCCATAGACAACGTCATTCCTGATGGTTGCTCTACACAACGAGACTTCCGCAACGTCTATGAAGAGGACGTCAGGAACGCAACAAGTAGATAGAAAACGGAGCATTCAAGGCGTCTCAATTTGCACCCAGTTTGACACCTTCTGATCCGACAGCGTTGAATCCCCGCCATACGCTGTGCGTTTGGTGAGAATAGAATGGCACTTTAGTTACCCACGATCCCCAGATATTGACCTCGCCGCGGGGCACACTCTCTAGTCCGGAGTGGTATGATGAAGACCCTGAGCTTAGGATGCCGAGGGTTTGACGGACATATTAAGACACATGTGGATATATACACATATATATTTTGGGTCCAACCTCTCAGGATCCCATACCCAAGGTCCTCGTCTTCCCTGTCCGCGGTAGTAACCATTACCCCTATGATTTTAATTAACATCTCCACTTCTATTTTCTTGTTCTGAGATTTTTCGAAGCTCTGCCTACTCAAAGAAAAAAAAAAAAGGGAAATCGTGACGGGTTTCTCGATCCTGCCGATAAGGCTGACGCGAAGCATGAGGAAAGACTCGTTGCCCCGAGATCGGCGAGGAGCGAATTGACCATGATTCTCGCATCAAGGCCATTAAGATGAAGACTGACCTTCGACTCTGCGCCCTCCTCGGTCTCCTATACACCGTCGCTGTTATAGACCGCCTCAATCTCCCGGTATATCTCCTTTTTCCTTCTCACAGGTAATTATCAAAGTCCGAATGATCGGCTAAATCTGGTGCAGAATACGTAAGTCCACACAGGTCCTGGGTGAAAACAAACGCACCACGTATCTTTATCGCCGGTCTGACAAGTTCCAAGAGTTGTGGCAGGGATGGGGTCTGAGCTCCGCCTCCAAGGCAATGCATATGTGAGTTTCGCCCGGAAACTGTGGAGGATTTATTTGAATCTCACCCCAAAACACCCCGACAGAATATCTTGCTCCTCGTCTTCTTCCCCTTCTACATCGCCTTTCAAGCGCCCATGGTCGTCATCGCCCGTAAACTTCGCCCTCGACGCTTCATCACCGGCGTCGTTACAAGCTGGGGCATCGTCATGATTGGGATGGGCATGGTCGAAACCTGGCAAGCTATGATCCCCCTTCGCTGCCTCTTGGGCGTTTTTGAGGCCGGATATTTCTCGACGGTTGCGTACTTGCTGAGCGCGTGGTATATTCGACGTGAGTCACAGCCACCGGCAATTCAGACAATGCAAAAGTCTGATAATTTTGGGTTGGGTTGACAATCTTTCCAGGAGAGGTCGCGAAAAGGAACTCAGGATTCTTTCTGTTCGGTAACCTGCTTGCTGGATTTGGGGGTATTTTAGCCTACGGCGTGAGTTCGACATTCATGCAATGTCTCGACTTCCCCAAAAATACACAATGAAAAAAAAGAAGTCGGCGTTTGAGGCATGCCACTGACGAAATTTCAGTTGTCCCAAATGGATGGCGTGGCCGGGTATCGAGGCTGGTGATGGATCTTGATTATTGAAGGCATCTTGACCGCCGTACTGGGAGTCTCGGCATACCTCGTCCTTGTCGACTTCCCGGAAGATGCGGCCAAATCATGGCGCTTCCTGAACGAAGAGGAAGTCCAACTGGTGGTCAACCGAATCAATCGAGATCGTCACGACGTCCAGCTAACTCCGTTCAATCTGCGCTGGTTCTTCGCCCTGAATATGTGCATGACTTCCGTCGTCAACTACACAGTTGGCTATTTCCTGCCCATTGTCCTGCGCGATGGACTCGGGTTCTCTGTGGCGGCGGCACAGTGTCTCAACACACCGGTGAGCAAATCTCCAGCCTCTCTCTCCCTCTCTCTTTTTTTCTCTCTCACGCGCGCACACATGTCGTTCACTGATACCGATCCCCCGTCTCCACAGTGCTACGTCTTCGCCTTCCTCCTCGGCATTTCCCAAAGCTGGTTCTCGGACCGCATCAACCTCCGCGCGCCGCTTTTCCTCATGAACTGCGTCCTCGAGATCGTAGGCATCTGCCTCCTCGGATTCGCCAAACCGAACGGCGCTCGCTATTTCGGTGCCATGCTCATCACCGGCGGTGCTTACGCCAACAACATCGTCGGACAATGGAAGCGCGCGTTTTGTTCGACGATGCTTGTCGGCGCAAGCGGCATAGGCGGCATCATTGGGTCGCTGGTGTTCAGATCTCAAGACACGCCAAACTACCGGTAAGTCAATTTGGTATACAAAGGCTGCCACTTGGAGATCTTCCAGTCTCGTGCCGACCTTGTTTTCCCCTTGTTGTTTTGAAACCTAATCCTTCTACTTACTATCTTATTGCTTGGCAGACCTGGCCTATACTCATGCCTTACGGCTGCGTTCCTGTGTATCTTGTCAATGCTCACGACAACGGCGTACTTCTGCTCGCAGAACAAGAAGCAAAGTGAAGGAAAAGCCATTGTCGAGGGCGAAGAAGGCTGCCGCTATACTTACTAGGTGAATTTTTTCTTTGGACGCGGTAGATGCGGCCAGGTTTCTGCGCGCATAGCCAAATCGCGCTCTTTAGGAGCAAAGCAAGGGCCGTCCAGAGCAATCCAATTGGTGGAATTCTTTTATAATGTTTTCTTACATGAAGCGTGCAATAGAGGTGAAGAGAACCTCTCCCACGCTCCTTCGATAAAAATGGCCTACAACTCTCAAGATGTAGGTGAACTACCACTCTACTCTAATGCCTTTCGAGGCCATTTTCGAGGTGTCCGTAGCTTTGCGCCAGCATAGTGGAAGTCTTGTTAGGAAATGATGGCATCATAGGAGGAAAGCATGCTGACATTTTGTCAATCACGGAATCTGGGAAATTGATCAATAGAGGCCGTACCTTAGTAGGATAGCCAGCACAACCACAATCCGGCTCAGAGTGCATTGAACGCCCATATGCTTTGGATATTGGCTCGAATGACCAGAAAAAGCAACTGCGACGCAGAACACAATCTTCAGCTAATTGAGGGTTGCGTTTGCCTCCAGACTTGCCCATTTTCGAAACGTAGAGTGGTGTTCAGACAAGACTTGATAATGAGCGACTTGGCTTGGTTGTTCAGATAATTAATTGGAAGTATGTGGGTTTGTGGATGAAATATCGTGCATGTGTGATTTTACGGAGGACTTGTCCTATTTCGAAGGGCCCAGGAGTACAATGCCTCTGAAGGTCCTCACAAGCCTTGGCGTCGCCACACGTCACATTTGTCCCAGGTCAACTCACCGCTCCCAAGAAACATGGTGGAGTTTTTTGGGCCAAATTCTCACAATGAAAGGACCCTCTCCCGCCAAAGCATTCTCAAAATCCTTAATCTAGTAGGTCCAAATGAGCAGTATCCCTGGTACCTCGCCGGCCTCAGGTTTGCTATATGGATTCTGGTGACAAGATTCGGATTCTAGATCTGTTGCCCGGCGGTGACGGGGATGACATCCATGGTATTCTTCGCGATGTAGGTCTCGGGGATGGAGAACAGTACGAGGCTTTATCGTATGTATGGGGAGACGGAACGAACTTGAGAACAGTCAAAGTCTCCGGAAGAAGCATCGAGGTAACCGAGACCCTCTTCGCGGCTTTGAAACGTCTTCGAAATCAAAGAGCTACAAGGTCCCTATGGGCCGACCAACTCTGCATCAATCAGTGGGATGCCAAGGACAAAGCAAATCAAGTCAACATGATGCGTGACATTTACAGGAGTTGCACGCAGTGCTTGATCTGGCTGGGAGAGATCCAAGACACAGGCGGAATTGCTCTGACTGATGTAGAGGGTGCTTTCGACTTCATCCGCTTGTGTGCAGCATGTTCTGAGGACTCGCAACTAGGCATTGCTATCCCGCCTAGTCTCTCAACTCCTGATCAACTGGAGGGAGCCTACCGAGCCTTTAAGACCCTAACTCTGAATGGTCATCCATGGTGGTCTCGGATTTGGACAGTCCAAGAAGTAGTCCTTCCGCCCAAGGTCCTTGTCAGATGGGGGCCACTTTCCCTCCCCTGGAGCATAGTCGCAAAGGCAGCCTCCAACCTTTGCTCGTCACGAAATCCGGCCCCGGTTTCTCTTCTCAAAAGATTCTACGGCCTCATCAACGACTTCACCGGCCCAGTCCGCGGATTGGGCATTGCCCGGTATGGAGAGAGCCCGTTAGACTTGTTTCAAAGATGGCGATACCGCGATGCTACAGAACCAAGAGATAAAGTCTACGCTCTCCTGGGGCTGTATCCAAACATGCCGCTTCCCCACGTCCAGTCCTGCAGCTACGAGATTCCCACCGTAACCTTATACACTAAGGTTACAATCGATCTGATCCAGCTTCAGCAAGGTCTTAGACCACTCGTGGGGCTGCGGGGAAAATACACACCTGGCCTCCCCACATGGGTGATTGATCTGGCCGGGGCTCCCAATATGGAAACGTCGTACTGGTGGTGGAACCACTCACATCGCTACCAGTGGTTCGATGCTGGTGGAGGCGAACCGCTGAGATGGCAGATCTTGCACGGGGGCTCGGTGTTATCATTGACTGGGTTGTCAGTGGACACAGTTGAGGAGGTCGGAGAAGTTCTGAGAACATTACCTGGACAATATGCCTCCGACAAACGGCTAGTCGAAACGATGAAATCCTGGGAGCAAATGGTGATAAGCTACGTGGAATCTCAACATCTTGAGCACAACTATCATAACGGTGACTCCTGGGCTAACGCCTTCTGGAGTACTATGATCGGGGATTTAATTATGAGAGAATTCCCAAGGCACAGAGGAGGTGCTGCTGGTCGCCAACTAGTTTTGGAGTTCTGCAAGAACGGAGGGTGGAGTGAGGTCTGTGAGTCACTACATGGCATGATTATAAACCAAAACTTTTTCATTACGAAGAGAGGGTATATTGGTATTGGACCGGCCACTACGGTGAGAGGAGATGAAGTTTGGGTGCTTTTCGGAGCCAAAGTTCCGTTCATTCTGAGACCAAGTACTAATGAAAGGAGAGGAGACGAGAAAATCCCAAAATATACTCTTGTAGGCAACACTTTCGTGTACGGAATAATGGATGGTGAGGTCGTAAATCTTTACAGGGAACTACAACAGGAGGTTCACATCTGTTGAGGCCGGATGCACCTAAGGTTGGAAGAGGGTGGGCACCGGAATCGAGAGAAACTGAACATCCGTCGGATGTGCCTGCGGCTTCGGGCTGTCCGTGTACGGTGCGACGTGGAAGATTGGGGTTCATTACACTGTATCCTCAAGAATTTACCGGAAAGGTGTCGAGTTAGGCATCTAATCCGGCTACAGCCAGGATGCACGAGAGGGTATTGTGCAGAGTCAATACAATGTTCTCGACCAAGGGCAATTCTCCCTCTTCTACTCCGCTCGAGAGACAGTGACTGATTCCCCTCTTACTCCGAACAATAGCGATGCTACGGGGACACTTCCGGCTTCAGTAAGTGCGCATTTTGACAGAATCGGTCACCTGTTGTTAATACATCATAGGGAGGATTTTCGCCTGACTGGGACATCTCCCTTTTTGATGGAATGCCCAATTTATTTGAAGATCTGGAGGGGTGGACGAACGAATTCTGCCCCAGTCAAGTACAATAAAGTATAAGGGATAAATTACACCACAACGTAGGTTGCAGGGAAATTTCCCGCCGAATTTGGCGGTCAGTGCCGCCGCTTTGGGAGGGGGTTTTTTTTTTTCTCAATGTCAAGATCGCTACCCTAGTCCCTTTCGACATTAGGCCCCACCTCAGTCGTCTCCCAGACTCCGACCCCCCTGCGTGAGGGGGGGTTCAATTTTCTTCACGTGACTTCAAAAAGGCAAAACACGTGACCGCGCGATCAGGACGCGCCTCTTGATACATGTCCTCGACAACATTTGGTCCCTCCCCCGTTCATGCCGAACGACGATGCCAAATACTGCTCCTCCTGTCTCCAAAAGCGTCCTCTCTCCTGCTTTCTCAAAGATGCCTCCGCCACTCCCGGGAGCAAGGTCTTTTCCGCCTGTATCGCCTGTCGTGACAAGCGCAGAAAAAGAAGAGCTCGACAGCCGTCATGTCCAGACACACCGTCGAAGAGGAGGCGTGCCACACCGCTCACCGACCCTCCGACACGTCGAGAACCATCGACCTCGCCTCCTTCGATCCTTCCACCCTCGCCCCCCCACGCGCTCGATCTCCCTCCCTTGAAACGCGTCTCGAACGCGCTCCTCCACCACCGGCGACGCCCGTCCGATCTCAACCCGAACCTCCTCCTCCCGCCTCGGGCTTTCTCCCTGCCGAACAATGGGCGTCCATCCAAAGTTTTCATGCCGCCATGGATCACGTCAAGATGGAGACCTGCAGCCGCTGTCACGTACGGTGGTTCTCCATGGATTTGAAGAATGATATCTGCCATGCCTGTTTCTTGCGGGATCAGGGCGGCAAGACCCCCTTTCTCATGTCCGCCGAGAACGCCATGGACCCGGGAGAGATGCCGGCCCATCTGCCCACGCTGACCCAAATCGAGGAGATGATTGTCGCCCGCTCGCACGTGCAAATGATGGTCTATCGCTACCGGGGCCGCCAATACCACTGCTCGGGACACTGTCAGTTTCATGCAAAACACGACGAAGACGGTCGATATACTGCCTAATCTGCCCGCAGAACTAGACATCGTGGTGTTACGGCCCTCGGATCGCGTCGTCGAGAATGATCTCCGCTATCGACGCCAGTTTCGGTCAGATTTTCGCGCTCGAAAGGGACATGTCATGACCTGGCTGCGGTTTCTCCAGGCCCACCACCCGGATTACCGGTATGTCACCATTTCCCCGGATCGGATCGACGCTCTACCCATCGATGACGACATCTCCTCACCGTTTCTCGCTCTGATCGACGATACGAGTATGGAGGAGGAACCCCCCGCGCTCGAACAACCGGTGTCCGCCGAGCTGCCCCCGCCGGATTCTCAATCGATGGTCCCCAATCTCAATATCACCACGACCGAGGTGGATCTGATCGTGCGAGAGATGGCCAGCCGAAATTCTCCCCCTCCCGGCCTTCCCGCACCCTCGATTGGACAGACCCCCATCGACGAAGCGTCGGGAAAAAGATCGGATCTTTGCCATGGCCTTCCCGACATTGTATCCGACGGGCCAGGCCGATTTCAACACCCCCCGGATGCGAAAGGTGAGTTCAACCGATTACGCGCGATATCTGATGTGCTTTCACGACGGCAGGTTCGGCCGGCACCCGCACTGGCGGTTTTTCGTCTTCAACCTCCTCATGCGTCGAAAGGCCAACGGCGCGGCCCGTTTCTACGTGTCGAAGGCGTCCGGTCTTAAAGATCTCAGTCGAGAGGAGCTCACGGAAGCCCTACTGGCCGACGAAGCCCTCCTCCCTCAGATTGTGCGCCAAGGTTCCGATCTGACGGGGACGCGCCCGTTTTGGAGAAGTAAGAGCAACCACTTACAGGCCCAGGCCTGCTTTCTCTCGCCCGGCACGTCGCCGGTTTTTGTGACTTTGAGCGCGGCCGACATGCAGTGGCGGGACCTAGTTTCCTCTCCGGCTCGCATATGCGATCACCGTCCATAAGAGTCAGGGATTAACACTGTCCAAGGCGGTGATAAACCTGAATCAGAGAGAGCATTGCCTGGGCCTTTCGTATGTAGCCATGTCACGCGTGAAGACATTAGATGGGCTGTTATTTGAGGCGCCGTTTGATTTGGAGCGCTTTGCGAGTGTACATACAGTGGGATCCCAAGAACGGGACTTGGACTATACTTTTAGAACAACACAGTTATTATGACATGAGGTCGAAATCGCGAGCTATGTAGATGGGCTCCATTCTCATCGCCGATATCTGAGCATAATAGATATATCGCCGTTATCGTTGTCGGCTTTCCTAATTGGGTATACCGTTGTCTACTTCATGGGCCTTGGACTGGATCCGACGAGGGATATCGTACGGCACAGGACACCGTGATCAACATCGTCTACACACTGTCCATGGACTGGATCCGATCAGGGGGCCTGGCAGACAAAGGCGACATTCTACCCATTCCTGGGTGGGCCGTGGATTGGATCCGATGGGTCAGCCAGTCAGAGCACAGGATTATGTAATTTTCGGATTATAGATTTTCCGGGCTACGGCACTCCCTCCTGGATGGGTCCGATGGGGCCAGCCAAAGGATTTGGTTGGTTCCGGATTATAGATTTTCCGGATCCCGAGGGTTTGGCAATCACGTGATGTCTCGAGCGCAGCGAGGCCTGGGGGTTTGGGGGCTTGCCCCCAAGCTACGCTTTCATCCCCCGCGGAATATCCTGTCCGCGGCCCCTAGTTACCTTTCCATCATACGGACAACGCTCGCACAACTAGGCTCGATTGGTGTTTAGCATTGTCGCTGTGGTACGCGAGTCGCTGTGGGTTGTCGCTTTCCCGAGACATTCCCTTGATAAGTCGCGGCGCTTCCTTTGTCAGTAATTGTGATCACGTGACTAGCCAAACCTACCTTATACGGTCCAGTAACTTACGTCACCGGAGTCTTTGTTGAACACACGTCGAAATAGGCAACGTTGGCTTGGCGTGTCGCGTTCGCCATATCACTCCTGCCGTGTCACTTTGAGAACAACTCGCACCCTTAAACCTTTCTACTCATTTGCGTCCTCTGAGAGAGATGAGCCGAACCAATCTAATCATTTAACGGACTGAACAGTCCATCAGCATCAACGCCTTGCCCTCACGTACTCTTCCTCTGCCGTCATACTCATCTTCATCTGCTCTTGTCACCCGATTCATCACCGCCTCCGCTCCCTGCCTCTCTTCTCATTACGTTCCCGGCCATTCTCGGTAGCGTCACGATGAGCACTTTTTCAGAACCGAACACGGGACTCCCCGGGTCAGGCTCTCAAGCAGTCCAGGCCAAACCCGTCACAACGGAAGAAGAGCCAAAAGACATAAGTATGTTCGAGCTGCTTCACTGGCTGGAGAAAACGTTTCCGAAAGAGTTCGAAGAGAAGCTAAAATATATGACTTCCGACGAAATACATCAGTGGTTGGAGGAAAATCACCCGGAAGAGTTCAAAAAGATGTTGCCGAGTCGAGTCAAGAAGGGGACAACCAATGCCGCCTTCCACGTACGTTCTCCCTCTCAGACAAGTGCTGTTCTTCGCGCTCTGCAAAAAGATTGGAACAGTGTCTATTTTCCGCACTCCCTAGTTGCGCTACAGGACCTCATTCGGCGATACCAGCTACTCGATGTGAGTAAGTATTACTCAAAAACCTTGGTATTCGTCCAGAGCAGTGGTATGGGTAAATCAAGATTAGCAGATGCTTTTGGCCAACGCTGTCCGATGATCAACTTCATTCTTCGTGAGTCTGGGACTTCCGGCTTTCCACCTCCTGATGAAGCGATATTATTATTTCTGCGCGATCCGCCGCCAACCAACATTCCCGAGCCTATCAATCGACAAGAGAGATCTAGTGATTTTCTGAAGAGGAGAGCAGTCGTAGCGTGGAATCATACTCTCGCTACAGCATTGCTCCAAGCCAGTTTCGAGACATGTAAGTTGTCGATACTGTTTATCGAAAATTCTCCCTAATTTAATCTTATTAGTCCATATTTGGGTGGAGAGTCAGCCCTTTACCATGATGACTCTAGAAGAGCTTGCAGGTAGCAGGCATGCAGAGATGGCAACACTTGAACCAGCTACCGATGCTCAGGACGCTAAGAGCCAACGGTCCAAGATGCGTATCGAGTTCTGCGATTCGGTAGCGAAGAGAGCTCGAGTGATCACTCAAGAATTAATTTCCAGCCCAAATTGGATGGAGAAGTTCGACGATGACCGACCGTCTAAGGTTCACCATCGTCTCGAAAACGTGGACAGTGAACCTGACTCCCATCCCTTAAACGGCCTTCTCAATGCTGTCCAAAACCTAATGAAAATTCTTCAACAATGTCGAGGCACTAACAACACGGGCCCACTCTTGGTGATCGTGTTCGACGAGGCGTCAAGCTTAATGAGAATGCGGCCGTCTGACAAACCCAACATTGGACTCTATGTAGCGCTCAATCGAGTCATCAGTTGTCTGAAGAAGTTTCGTGCGTGGTCTTTCTTCCTCTCAACCGAATCTCTCATCGGATACCTTGTACCACCGAGAAATATCATTCGGACTGGCGATTATCTTCTGGACACCTCCGCTCGTATCAGCTTTACAGAGACCAACACCGAACTGATGCGATTTTCCCCCTTTGTGAGTCTCCAGCTCGACGTTGAGGACAGACGAAAGATGCAGAATCCAAAACTAAGGAAAAAGGAGCTCCGCAAGTCGTTAAAGGAATTTGCAAAGCTAGATCATATGGCCCAATTCGGCAGGCCTCTCTGGTATGCATATGCAAAGGAGAGCCAGGGGATGATCGAATTGGCCAAATTGAAGCTCATTGGTGGCCAGCAACAGGGGTATTACAGTTCTGACGACCCGAACCACGTATTTGCTGCGCTGTCCTTCCGTCTCTCTTTGGATGTCTGCCTGCAGAACCCCGTCACCATCTCTCTCACAAGGACTGCGGTGAATTCTTTTATGAGGGTGGTCATATCCATGGACCACGAGACCGGAGTGATGGACACAATGACGCCATCAGAGCCAGTCTTAGCTAGAGCGGCTATGGAACATCTCTGCAGCAACGTCAACTGGCCGGGTAGTATTCAAACACTCTGCAAGGAGCTTCTTGAGAAAGGATTGATAGAAAAAGGGCGCAAAGGAGAACTCTATGCTCGGTTAATGTTAATTCTGGCACACGACTGGGTTCGATGGGCTCGACAAGGTCATACGCCAAAATTTGCACCAACCTTCACGGTTTCCGACTTTCTCCTGGCATTGTATGCTAAGGATCATCACAATTTAATTGAAAAGATGCCTAAGCGGATACTCGAAGCCAGAATGAACTTTACTCATTTTCTACCAACTGATTCAGCACTTACCCCCGAGGTCATCCCTGGATTATGTCGCGACCTGTTACGCCGAAGCGCTGCGATGCAGCTATCTTGGTGCCAGGAAACATACGATCTGCTCATTCCCGTGTACTATGGCACGGAGGATGAGGAGTTCGACCCATCGAATTGTGGAGTCATCGCAGTACAGGTGAAGAACAAGAAAGATGCTACCACAGTGAGAGAGATCTTTCGAGAGGACTTTATTAATGTCGACCAGAAGTCGAATTGGGACCAATCGAAGGCAGAGAGTTCTAAGCGCGAGAGGAAAGATTCTGGGAACGACGAGAAAGATTCTGAGCGCGAGGGGAAAGACTCTAAGCACGACAAGCAAGGTTCTAAGCGCGAGCCGACGAAATTTATATTCAATCAGATAAAGAACCCTATCCTGTGCCTCCTCTTCGATCTAGGGGTAGTCAGAAGCAGCAGGGCTTACACCCCACTTGTTCAAGTGATGCGGAGCGAAAGTGGACAGCAACCTGATTTGTGGGCGATCCATTCGCGAGGACACGACCGCACCATCTTTGGCTGCTTAGAGCATATGAAGACTACAGATTCGAGCGAGCGGTTCTTTGCTTCGGTACAAACGAACGAAACTCTGGCTGACCGACTCTCTCGGAGAAATAGAATGTTTTCTCAGCTAGAGGAAGACTACAGATATGAAGGATTTGAGCATGAAGGGGGAACGAGTTCGGGAGGGAGTGAGGCCAGTGTACAGGAACAGAGTGTGGATGAGGCAGGAAAAGAAAGCGGAGTGGTTGATATCGAAACTCAAGAAGGGGAAGCAAGCGGTACTCGATCGAAGGGAAAGGAAGTGGAAAGGCTTAGCTTTAGATATGAAGGATTTGAGCAAGAAGGGGGAGCGAGTGTGAGAGGAAGTGAGGCCAGTGTGCAGGAAGAGTGCGTGGATGAGACTGGAAAAGAAGGCGGAGTGGTTGATACCGAAGTGCAGGAAGGAGAAGCAAGCAACATCGGGTCGAAGGGAAAGGAAGTGGACAGGCCTAAGGATAACCGGTTCAGCAAAAGAGCCCGCAACTTTGCCAAAAATCATCTCCCGTTTCGGAGACGCTCGGAGGAAAAAGGCTGATTGCGTCACAACTTCGGCTCAGTTGCGCTTAAGGTTTGAATGGGCTATTTGCCTCTGGCTTGATAGAAAGGATCGGTGATTGGAGCAGAGTGCGAGTATTTGTACAGTGTAGATCACCTTGATTCCGGATTACCGCACCCCGTTGCCGTTACCGCATTACATAAGCGCCTCGGATCTGTGCTAACCGAGCAGATTTTCCACTATGGGTTCCCTTGCCGTCACATCCTTATCCACTTTGGCCGAGAAGCAATGGATGCAATTCCCCTGAGTATTGTTCATCCGCGGTGGTGGCTAAAGCTTCGAAACAGTAATGAAAGCTTCATAGCACCGCGAGACTGGCGACCTACTTACGCCTCACGAACACTCCTCTTCTCACCGAAGAAAGCTGACGTCTATAGCGATATGACCAAGGTACTGAAGCTGCGAGAGACTCTACCAACTGACGAGAAGAATAGGTTCACTCGACAGATACAGGGAATGCTTGAAAACCTTCAAGAGATTGGTTCTAGGCAAGCTGCGCTCGCAGCATTACCAATTGACCAGCCAGATCCCATACCAAAACGTTCTTACAAAAGGAAGCGACCGCAGGCGGAGGAATCTCGCGGGTTAACTGCGCTTGAGATGGCTACGCAGGCACAGCGACAACAAGATCGTCACGAACGTCAGCAAGCCAGGGACGCATCAATTGTTCAAGAACGAGCTGAAGCAACTGAACTACCTCCCTTCGCGCAGCCATCTCGAGATGAATCTCCTCCTACCCCCTCTCCTTCACCTACCTCTACTGCGCCACCTCAACTCCACCGCGCCAGCGAAGATGTCGGGATCAGGCCGACCAATCAAGAAGACAGATCGCAAGAGAGATGCGCAGTCCGCAGGCTATTTACCTGAGTCGCAGGGCGCAAGATAATTGCTACCACACGCCACTAACGCGTAAATAACCAACACCACGTTTACTTTTACAAGAATCGACAGCGACGATGAGGTAAAGGAAGGTGCAGGCAAGAGCAGGATTTTGGTGACAAAACAGTGAGTGTGCAAGTCGAAACGAGTTTGATCAGTAGTGCCTGTCTAAGGTGGTCCACAGACTGGATCCGATGAAATACCACGACCCATCGAATCCAATCCGTGAACCATGTCGACATCGAGGTTCGTTCGTTAACGCTCTGTTACGAAGCATCCCGAGTATGATCAGTAAGGGCTTATCTGAGGTGGTCCACAGACTGGATCCGATGGCGGTGGTCTTTCATCTCGATATCGAGGCTCGTCCGTTAGCGCCCCGTTACGAGCCATTTCGAGTGTGATCAGTAAGAGCTCGTCTTTAGTGGTCCACAGATTGGATCCGATGGAATACCACGACCCATCGGATCCAATCCAGGGACCACGTTGACATCGAGGCTCGTCCGTTAACGCTCGGTTACGAACCATCTCGAGTGTGACTAGTAGAGCTTGTCTGAGGTGGTCCATAGACTGGATCCGATGGGCGACGAGAGGGCCCGGGGAGGAGCACGTGATCCCGGAAAATAGTTAATCCGTTGAGCGCCCCGGGGCACGTGATTCTGGAAAATAGTTACGTGATAACGCCAAGACATATGCTTATATGTCGCTTGTGTAATGCGGTAACGGCAACGGGGTGCGGTAATCCGGAGTCAAGGTGATTCTATCGGTTCGACTGCAAGCCGAGTGGTTTTACCACTCGGTTACGTCCTTGATAGGTCAACCACGATTTGGTTAGGGCTTGGCGTTGTGCGGCGACGCCAAGAGCGACGAGCCGACCAATCATATAACTATTTTCCGGGATCACGTGCTAACCCCTGGTGGTGGCGTCCTCCCAACTCGACATGATCCACGGATTGGATCCGATGAAATCCCTCCTCGTCGCCCATCGGATCCAAGTCTACGGACCACTCAACCCTCAACGGATTAACCATTTTCCGGGATCACGTGCTCTCCCGGGGCCCGCCCTCTCAACTCGATATGATCCATGGATTGGATCCGATGAGTCGTGGTATTTCGTCGGATCCAGCCTGTGGAACCACCCAGATAAGCTCTACTGATCACATTCGAGATAACTCGTTAACGGACGAGCCTCGATATCGACATGATCTATGGCGGGGGTGAGCATTCTACTCGACAGAAGTCAATCTCCTCGTCTTATATAATCTAGCCCGCAAATCTACTCAACGTACAGCGAACGTAGAAAAATTAGTAGAGGAATGACAACCTCTAGGTGAATTGTCAAGTGGTCCTAATGCGGAGCATTAGCCGGGGGTAAAAATCACGTGATTGCGCGTGAAATTAAGGTTTATATTTTTTTCAACCAGAAACTGCTTCAAAATTGACACAATTGACGTGGTTGACCTATCAAGGACGAAACTTCGGTAACACCGGGTTTTAGTCGAACCGATAGAATTGAGGGACCTCACTAAGTGCGGCAAGAGGGTTGTCCGGCCTAGGCTCCATTGAGCTCCTGGGTGCTCTAGATGGGTAAACGTAATGCTCCAACCAGTGATTGTTGATGTCATACTAAGTGATATCATTAGAGGGGTCACTGATTCAAACTCTCCTTTGATTGAACTTGACTAAGGCTTTCGCTGGTTGTGGCGCCCCATCTAACAGACAGTTATACACTGCCTATAGGAGGGGGCTCAAGCCTGTTGTGTCTATTTTTTTTTTTAATTTTTATTTTTTCCACGGTGCAAATGTGGGAGGATGGTGAACCCTGGGAAGGTTAGCCGAAGTAGGACTACTTCGTACTACGAACCTAAACAGCGCCCGGGATCAACAAGGTAACGACGAGCTGGGCACTGAATGAACCGACGGATATCGGTAGAAATAATGTAGTACAGTAGCTAGTCCCCTATGGGCTCAGCCCGCACAGGGTGTATGAATGTTGTATCGTATCGTATCCCCTAGTTGCCTTGAGAAAATATGGAGTCACAGTCGTGTGATTTCACCAGGCAGCTCTAAGTAGTTGGGGCTCCGATACCCCTTGGGCTGCAAACATGGGCAAACTAATCCAGTCGCAGAGTCCAGAATTTGCGAACGGAACAATACATACGTGGTGCAACCAGAAGCTGTCCAATTCTGCAGGAGTTTGTTCCGCATTAATCAGTCCGAAATGTCGACAGTGAAATACATGACGGTATGTGCGTTCCTTTATGAATTGAGACGACTGCAAGGTTGCCTGCAGGATGAAAGAAAATCGTGAGGAGGGGCGGGCTGCGTGGCTGCGAACTTCAACGTTAGTGTGCCAGGGCGCAGGGCATAACCAGGAGGACGCCCAACCACGCAACAAATCTCAGGAAACCCCCCCTCCTTTGGAAGCCGTTCCTAGAATTCTTTGTCCCCCCATTTGCCAACTTAGCACTCAACAACTTCCATGAGCCTTAATATTTCGGGTCTATAGGAATGTGACACCATCTTTCCCAGTTGATTCCCTTGCGCGATTCTCCATGTCCGACCTCTCCAAGTCAGAAATAATCAAAAAAGTATGCCATTGGAAGAGGGCTCGCTGCATTCCGCGAGGAGTTCAGCTCAATATACGTTGATGAACGTTCATGAATCGCCTGATGCTGTGCAACACCTAATCGATGAAGGTGAGATACTCAATTGTCAGGAAACACATCTAAACGTGCGCATCATTCAAAAATCTCGTGCTCGACCTCCTTATCGCCCTGAAAAATCGCCCATTATCCCGACACCTCTCTTCCTCTGGCCACCGTGGAACTCTCAGGGCCCTGGTCGAGGCGGAGAGGACGGAGTTAGCTGAGCCTGCACGTTGTGTAGCCGGTGAAGCCAAATGTGCCATGGGGGAATTGGAGACTTGGAGGGGGCCGAAACGGGCTGCGTCGAGGGTACAGAGGCCGTAAGGATCGAGAATTGAGAGGGTGATCGGGGTGCGCTGGGAGGGGCGAGGCGGATTTTAAAGGAGGCGGTGGAGAATCCAAGGGAGGCCGGTGCGGCAGAGAGGATTCAGGCGATGCCCGTGTGACGCACGACGGATGCATCAGCGCCACGGAGGTGAGAAAGAAAACAGGTTGAAGGGAAGAGGGTTCTTATAGACGTCAAAAGCGGCAGCGCGCCCAGCCTGCGACCATACCCGAAACAGTAGGGCCGCCTCAACCAGAGGCGGATTTCCCGACAACGACTTCACGGATCAGGTAGTAGTCCCGACTCAACATGCATCTTATGACCAGCCTCATCAGCGTGAAATTTTCTTGGTTTGGCAAGAGCATATCAGCCACTTTTCCCGTTTGGGAGTCGCGTAAGCGTTGTAGAGTGCTGTTCCAACAAACTATCCGGATACGACTTCGGAATAGCCGAGCCAACCTATGACAGGCCTACTTTGCATCGTGACTTTTTGTTCCACTCGATTCCATCACCTGGTCATTCCTATTATATCCTCGTTGATTAAGATGGCGGAGGATTACACGACGTCCACGGCTTTGCTTGAAGCGCTTGAACTGGCGGGAGTCTCACACCTGTTCTTGAACGTGGGGAGCGATCATCCAGCAATTCTTGAGGCTATATCGAAGCAACATGCCGAAGGCAAGCCGAAGAAGATACGATTCATCACTGCGCCGCACGAGTTTGTCGGACTCTCAGCGGCACAAGGATTTTTCCAGGCCAGTGGAAAGATGCAAGCTATTTTAGTGCATGTCGATGCGGGAACGCTTTCCATGGGAGGAGCTATTCACAACGTGTCCCGGGCACGGATACCTGTTCTCATGTTAGCAGGAACGTCTCCTATTACGGATGAAGGCGAGGCGGTAGGAAGTCGAAATGTGAGTCCCGTCAAGAAAGAAGGCCTCGGCCTCCCAGTGACTGATCCCTGAGCCCGGTAGGAGTTCATCCATTCGATACAAGACACCATCGACCAGAGAGGCATCACCCGTGGATATACCGTCTACGAGAACGAGATAAGAACTGGCAAGAACGTGAAGCAGCTCATCCTCCGGGCGAGTCAATTGGCTCAGAGCGAGCCACCGGGCGCTGCGTATTTGATGGCGTCTCGCGAATGTCTGGAAGAGAGGATCAGCCCCTACGATATTGACGCTACCAAGTGGAAACCCATCGCGCCGTCGGCATTATCGCCGGCCAGTCTTGAAACAATCGGAGAAGCGTTACTCAACGCCTCCCGTCCAGTTGCCGTCACGACCTATCTCGGAAGAGACCCTCATGCGGTGACGAGCTTTGTGAAACTGGCTGAATCTTTAGGAATCGCCGTCCTGGTAAGGCGACTGGGAAAGCGCCTTTTACGAAGCAATGCTAACTAGGATGAAGGAAGCCTTACCAAGCCATTTGAACTTCCCCCACGACCATCCTCTGTACCTGGGGAATCATTGGAGTGGACCGCCGGATTCTGTGCTGCACGATGCAGACGTGGTTCTTGTCATTGATTGTGACGTGCCATGGATCAAAACCCAGTTCAAACCCCCCACCAATGCTCGTGTTTATCATATCGACGTCGATCCGCTTAAAGTCCAAATGTCTCTATTCCACATTGATACGGACCTCGCATGTCAAGCCAACTCACGGACTGCCGTCGAACAACTCTACCATTATGTTTCAAGTCATCCCACAGTCACGGACCGTGAAGACAAGGTCCGGTCGCGGGTGCAGGACTTGGAAAAAAGGCACCGGGAGTATGCTACGAACTTCGCGTCTCTGGAAGGCGTGCCCGAGAAAGACCACATTCTAACGCCTCATTACGTCCTATCACGATTGAGAAGCTACCTCGACGAAGAAACCATCATCCTGAACGAAGGAATTTCAAACTATAGACCGGTGGCAGATGTGCTCAAGCTATCCAAGCCGGGCTCGTACTTCACGTCTGGGGCGACGGCGCTGGGTTGGCACGGAGGCGCTGCGATCGGTGCTAAGCTTGCGCAACCAACGAAGACCGTCGTTGCTATCACGGGGGATGGGACCTTTTTGTTTTCCATCCCGTCCACGGTCCATTGGATGGCACGAAGATATGATGCGCCTTTCCTTACGTTAATCCTGAACAACAAGGGCTGGAAGAGCCCCATGTTGAGCGCTATTGCAGTGCATAAAAACGGTTACTCCAGCAAGGTGCAAAGTGATGACCTGCACGTTACCTTTGATCCTCCAAGTGATTATGCTCAAATTGCCGTGGCCGCGGGTGCAGGATATGGTGCTACCGTCAAGAGCACATCCGAACTGGACGATGTGCTGGAGAAAGGTCTGAAGACTGTTCGTGAAGGACGTGCGGCTGTTATTGATGTGTGGTTACCTAAGTTCCGGGTTGGAGACCCCGTCGGATGATGCGCGTAACGAACATGGTAACAATAAAACTATGGAAGCAATCAAGGACTACTATGAGACTGCCCCGACGTCAACTCACTGCATGGATGCTAGTTGCTCTCTGTATTTCGGCAGCGTGTTTTTCGATAACGCCTCGACGATCGATTATCGGCAATGACGATAATCCGACCGATAAACTTGGCATAGCATAAGTCACGTGTCATAGCCCTTGTGTAGATTTCTGCTAAGGGTTCCGGCTTACGCTAACCTACATTCGTTTACGGAACATATATAAGTAAAGCGGCCACCCCAAGCAGATAGTTCTAGTTAGTTCATACATTCTCTTCCCGCCGCTACAACAACACTTGATCGGATCCAGTCCGCGGACAGCCCATCATCAGGCAACCCCTGCCTAATAACCGGCTACCCTCGCCCATAACGATGATGCATGAATTTAAGTATTTGGTGTGTTTTTGGGGTGGCCCGACCGGGTTGGCTGGCTCAATCGGGTGGCTTAGGCATTAACTGGATTCGTTTAACAACAACCCCCTGATCGGATCCAGTCTATGGACAACCTCAGGGGTGCGATTAACTAAAGCACTCAGTTAAATCCGTTTGATAACAACTTCCAGCCCTTGCAGAGATTTAGTTGACTATCTCGACGTGCTCTTCTGTAATACCACTCCGTTTCCGGTGCTTTAACTTTCTCGATGTTTTCAGGAAATGGATCGGGGCACCAAACTCGGCACCAAATTCAGCTGGCGCCAAATTCGGCTACTATCGAGCCAATCACGTAAACCCGTGGCTTGGCATCATCACTTCAGCAAGTGACCAGTCCCCCGGCCGCCCGTCATCGGATCCAATCCTGGACCATGTGGCTGGGGGGGGCACCCTACTCGATGCAGGTCGATATCGAGATGATCCACGGATCGGATCCAGTCTGTGGACCACCCGAGAAGCTCTATTGATCACTCGACATGTTCGTAGATTAGATCCGATGAAAGACTCATTGGCATTCCCCATTGGGCTTAGCCTAGTCACGTGCATAGCAGCCTTTTGTCGCTTGTGCCTCGCTCAGATAGATTCAAACAATCAATACTCTCTCAGTCCTACAAGACCATCGCCATCGGATCCAATCCGTGGACCATGTGGCCGGGTAGGGCTGGGGACAGTGTATGGTGCCAGCCTCAAAATAGATGAGCTCTATCCCACACTCATTTGAAGAGGTCAAAGCATACCATACGTCTCAAGTTGCACCCTGTCTGATAAATGCGATATCATAACGTCTAACCCCTGTGACAGAGAGTACGCAATTAAAAGGTTCTGGCACTCCTCGAAGGAGCTCTCCTGTAATAGGTTCCTCGAGCCGCTCAGGCGGATAGGAACTGACGACTCTCTCCAGGATGAAGCTGCCGTAGAAGTAGGCAGTTCATACGCAGAGGCAGGAAGAGGGGATTGTTCAGGAGAAGGTGTTCTACGGCGGCGAGGTCTCTCGGTAATAGTTGACGTTCGGATAGGTAGTGCCTGACTTGATTCAGGCGCGGCGACGGCGTTTGAGGTGCCTCTGCGCTCTCTGACCTTTGATCTAAGGAGGTCGTAGGGGGGTTCCTTGCCGCCGCCACAGAGATGGTAGTAAACTGAGTGTCAAATGGATCCTGACTTGTCGTCTGTTGTAGCTGTCCTATGTAGTCTTCCTCGGCCTGTTGTATACGTGCCCGTTCAGCCACTTGACACCCTTCCTGGCGTTGTTGTCGTTGTCTCATTTCGTTAGCAGTAAGGGCGCGGGCGTCAGCTCTACTGTGAGACTATGCCTTGGCCCACGACCTCTTTGGTACGGGATCAGGGTTGTTGATGGGAATTCCTTGTAATTGTAAGGAGTGGTCGCCCTGCTGGAATGAATCAACGATGGGGCTCTGCGAGTACGCTCTCGCACGTGAAGAGGATATCAAACAGGTTCTGAGCAAAGGTACCAGTAATCTCAGAATATCCGCTATAGGGGACTCAAAGAAAACCGAAACTGCTAAGGGAACCAAAACGGTGGAGGAAATCTAAAATGATAAAGGCAGCACAAAATCGTGAAGGAAGGTCAAAATGATGAATGGAGCTCAAAGGAATCTGAAATGTTGAGTACAGCCTGAAATGGTGTATGGAGTAAAGCCAAATACTGTGCATGGATTAAAGAGGATGGAAATATGTTTATGAAAACAGACGTCTATGGACCGGTGAGTTCACCGGCTGAGTGCGTAAATGGGTACAGATTCTCTCTCCGAAGCCTGAGGCAGAAGATTCAAGCTTGTCTTCGAGGTATTCTTAGTATCTAGATGTATTGCTAGTTACCTTCCTTTTCAGTAGTCCTAAGGAACGAGGGTTTTCTTTCGTACAAGGGTGTAGTTGTATGGAAGGAGGTCTTTTCTCGATAAACCTCTCAAAGCGTCTTTACCTTATTCAACGTAGACTTTTGCCAATCCATTTTCCAATTGCGCCGAATATGCTTCGCTCGACGATTTGGATGAGGAATACTGACCGCGGCATAAATTGGGAGTCGTCTGTCCATTATGCAAGCCTTTGCATTGGTGTACTGGGGGGTGTGGGCCCATGTCGCATAAGCTGATTTGCTCCTTTTCGATCCTGTTTCAGCCGAGTCTAAGGTGGCTGAAGTTGGGAGAAGTGATGAATTTGTTTCAGGATCCATATTTTGTACGTTGGAATAAAGGAAGATGGAAATCGGATATCGATAAGACCAGCGAGTTCGTCCGTCCAGAGCATACCTGCTGCCGACTCTTGTAAACCATGACACGAAAGCCCCCTGCAGGGAAATATATATCCAGGAGTACCGCCCAACTTCCACCATATCTGCTCGTGGACATACGTTGAAGTCATAAATCAGGCTGGCGAAAAGGGGAATGTCTCGGGAGAGACACTCTTGGCAGAGAGTTGCCTAAACACCAATTAAGGTACCTCGAATCGCCGGCGTAAAATAAAAGGTTTTGGGGGGGGGGGGGTTGGTTCATGTACCTTTCCATCCACTTTGCCTCTCTTTTTGAACCGGCGACGTCGAGGCCTTCCATTTTGCACTCGATTTGGGACTGTTGCCCGTCATGCGCTCTCTGTCGCCTATGTAATCTGTCTGTAGCTCCCCTCCTTGCCTCCTGACTTCGCTTTTGATCTCCTTCATGCCCATCCTGACGCCCTGTGAGCCTCTTGGATAACGCATGCTCCTTGCTTGGTTGTATCTCGCGGTGTGATTGCGCCTCCTCTTGCTTCTTCCCAGTGCCACCGGCATTGTTGACGCCACAAGGTCTATACAAATTGCGAATCGAGCGACAGCGAGGCAAAGAGCTCGCCAATGGCCCAGACATGCGTGTGCCTCCAATTTGATGTTTCGGTACCTCAATTTGTGTGCGCTTTACTATGGATTTGAAGGACTTTTCTACTATCTGGCGGACTACCATCGCACAACTAGGGTCAATTGGGAGAAACCGAGGTCGGGTATACAGTATGTGGCTTGAGCTTCCAATGGTGAATTCCACAATGCTGCGACCTGGTAAAGTCTTTGACCATGAGGCCTGCCTTCGGAGCATGGTCGCCAAGGCTGAGCATCTCGCTGCATTTGACTTCGATTATAAGAACTTCCTTTCATTCTCTTTAGCGTCACCTTCATTCCTCTCTCCAGCAACACGCCCTCCTCCAGCCATAGTCTGGTTTCGACCCACCTATAACTTTAAGGCCCGACGTAGCCCTGCTCTGATGTGACTCACCACCAGAACGACCTCCCTTCGAAGAAAGCACGAAAGGGAACGGCCCAGACAACAGCGCCTGGCTTCGACAATGAGGATTACAACATACGCTCACCAGAGCGCACCCAGCTTCTGATCCAAATCAAGCAGGCTTTCCGCGGCGCTCCCGTCTCCCTACTTTCTGGGCTTGCTGTCAGCTCGCCGATATGAACCGTCTACAAGAGATTGCCAAAACGAATCCAAAGTTTATTGTTTTCTCCGAGCGTCCGTTGTTGTTTGTACCTGTGGAATGTGAGTTGTTAGGATTTCAGGCCAATCCAAGTGGTATTTGACATACTTACTGTCCATAGGGACTCAAAAACTACGGGATTCGAATTTCGGAGAATCCGAGGCAGCCCCACAACGCCTAGAGAAACTGAATTCTGATACACAATCATCAGTGCCGCGGTCGGCGAAAGAGGTAATCGTTCGATCTCTTAGAATACTTCTTTCTAACAATATATAGTGCAAAGAGCGTGATGATCACAAATGTGTTTTGACGGGAAAGCCGAATCCGGATGCTGCCCATATATTCCCCTATTACATGATCAATCCACGGTCGAAAGCTGATCGAAACAAAATGTTCAACGGGGTCCCCGAGTTCTGGACATCTTTACGAATCTTCTGGGACGAAAACCGGGTCAATAAATGGAAACGGACGATCTTTCAAGATCATCAACATCAAAATCCTTATGCCAGTGTTGACCGGTGCTTTAATCTCATCTCCCTTTCGGTCGAAACACATGATATGTGGAAAATGGGCATGTTTGCACTTAAGCCGCTGCAACTTTCAAGTGATCGTAAGACACTCACTGTTCAGCTCTTTTGGCAAGTATGAGATTGATAGCGAGGTTGACTTACTTTACGGAACCCAAATCATCAAAAGGCTTGGATTTTGTCGAGGGATATTTCTTACCTCGTATTCAGGGTGATGGCTCAACTCCGCGTATTTGTTCTGGAGAGATTCTTACACTCACTACCAAGGACCCTGAAAACTTACCGTTACCAAGTCTGGAACTCTTAGAGATGAAATGGTTTCTCCAACGTCTCGTGGGAATGTCTGGTGCTGCTCGATATCCAATTCTGGACTTCGACGACGATGAAAGTGAAGATGACAGTAGCTGGTCCGCTCCAGAACGCACCCCCGATGTGGACAATTCTCTTGAAATGGGTCTGTGAATGGGTTGCACCCAGAGAGGCTGCAGGGATCACACCGGAAGTTTCAACACCAAATCCTTCTGTTGTCTCGTGTAATTGAATGGAACCGAATGGGCAGGCTGAAGAGGGTGGTGGCCTCGGCGGATACGCACTTGAGAAGTGTTTCATGGATTGTACGGGAGGCCATTATGCGAAGCCTGATCCTGTAAAATGAATTAATTTATCCGGGTCGGGACGCACGATGGCTCATCCATCTTGGATTTCCGTTGGTCGCTATCATTGCTCCAACAGTAAAGATACTGTACAATGGTCGTCCTGGGTTGAGTGAGTGAAGGATGTATTCTCTGACTACATCTACGGCAAGACAGGAAAGCTTCACCCAGGAGAATCGTGCCCAGAGAGTGTGACGGCCTTGCCAAAACCCTCTGTCAAGGACGCACCTTTTCGAGATGGGTGTTTGGGACCAGGGGAGTGAATTGGTAGAGGGGAAACGTCGCCGGAAGCGGCGGCAGATTTCCTCTTCCACCTGGGTGGAGCTGTAAAGACCAGCAATTCCGATAGGTCAAGGTTCCCAGGTGCCACTCGGAATTTGTATTCGGTGACCGTAACAAGGACAGAAGCACGCGAAGTGGTCCGGTGGCACATTTAAATACCTCCGTCCTTCGTGTGAGCCGCCAGAAGCGCGAGTGGCTTTTGCAACACAATTGATATCTCAGGCCGAACTATCACTTTCAACACCATGTCTCTGGCGGGAAAGGTTGCCATTGTGAGCGGCTCCTCATCTGGCATTGGGGCTGCGGTCGTTCAAGAGCTGTCTAGACGAGGAGCTACCGTCGCGATCAATTATCCCTTTCCCAGCGAAAGGGATAATGCAGAATCAGTCTTGAAAACACTGGCTCCGGACACCAAGGCAATCATCGTCGAAGCGGACTTGTCCAGTTATGAAGGACCGAAAATTCTAGCCCAAACAGTCGCCGATGCCTTTAGCAAGATCGACATTCTGGTCAATAACGCGGGTGTGGTTCTTCCGGCCGAGGTGGATGATCCTGACGACTCGGTGATTGCAAATGTTTGGGACCAAACGGTCAATCTAAATGGTCGAGGGGTTCTCCTGCTGACGAGGGAAGTCTTGAAATATCTCAGTCCCCAGAACTCCCGCATCGTCAACATTGCCAGCGGCATCTCCCGTGCTCCCGCCCCAAAGCAGACCATTTATGCTGGCTCTAAAGGCATGGTCGAAGCCTTTACGCGTTGTTGGGCGAGAGAACTTCCGCGAAAGTATGGATGCACGGTCAATGCCGTAGCCCCGGGGCCGGTTGGGACACAAGCATTATACTCAGCCCCCCAAGCAGTGATTGACGATCTGAAACCGGTGATCGAGAATACGCCAGTGGCTTCGCGCCTCGCCAAGCCGGAGGAGATAGCATGGACGGTCGCAATGTTGTGCGAAGAGGAAGCTGGCTGGCTAAATGGCACCTATATTCCTGTGGCAGGCGGGATCGTGTTGGGCTAGACAAAAGAACCATCAGATTAAGTGTGGTACGGACTCATCTCTACAACAGCAAGCCTCTAAGGTATGTTGTGGTGAAGAAATAGCGTAGCCTCGCTAATGTGTTGCGGATAACTGTTGTCGACGCTGTTGCCTGTGCTGTTGCCTGGTAGATAACCTTCCATAGGTCAACCAGACTTATGGGGATATGAAGAGCCATGAACAGGTTGTAAGGCAGTGCGAGAAAAACTTGATGAGTAAAATCCTTGCAGGAAATTCGCCTTCGGGAATGGTCCAGGATTGGGCCACCCGCCCCTTTTGACATCGCTACAAGAATCGCCCTCCCTAACCGGACAGCTTCCTCCTCGAGTCCCACTTCGACGATGGTGACAGAGGCCTTAGCATTCGCTTAGCGATGTTATACAAGTCTAGCTTAAGTGATATTGTACAGGCCCAGCAGTCAACCCATCTCCTCATGGTGCTCTTGCAATAGTGCTAACCACGCCATGACAAATCATCCAGCGATGAAATCAAAAATTAGAAAAATGAAGTTGTAGAGGGTTTACCAAGACTCATCATTGCCAGGAACTTTTGGTGTTTAGGTGGAACCGGAAGCCGGGAGGGGAAGGAGGTTGGGAGCTATTGTACCAGGGTAGCTGGAAGTCTGCTCCTCTTCCTTCATCGACACCGTTCGTTAACCTTATCCACGCCCTTGATCCGCTCCATCCAGGCTCTTGATCGACGTCCTTTATCTACGTCCTGCCCTCACACCCTCTTACCGACGTCCGGCCATCACGGACACCCTCCCTTCATTAACCCACGAAATACACTAACTCACAACCTTTCGATTCAACGGATACCTTAGAATTTTCGTCAACATGTCAAACCAAGGACAAGAAATCAAATTCGCGCCTGCCTACGTTGGAACCCCTATCGATGCAAAGACCAAGCTCGGCTACTTACGAGAAGCGCTGGACGATAAATCCCTTGAATTTCAGCGGAAGAACATTGAGTTTCTTATACGATACTACGAGAACGGCGGGAAAGTTCCTGCGCCAGGACAAACAATGTGGCTTGTCGACGGGAAGGTCGTTGATAAGATGCCAGAGACACTCTCCAAGCCTTCGGCAATGTGGGCTGAAGTTGCTACGTTCCACCAGCTCATACAGTCTGGTCAAGTGGCCTAACAATAACAATAGTTATCAGAACCTAATTGTCTAATCGGTAACAGCCTGGAGCTATACAACTTGCGCAGTCGACACATTTTTGGTACAACGCCCAAAGTGGTATGCATGAGGTATGGTTATTATCCCCCTGTTAAGTCCGCCCCCTCTTCTAACGTTAGGAGATCTTTGCCAGATTTAAACTCCCAGCAGTGTTCGGCGGCAACCAAAATGTCATGGTGAATGTCTCAATAATGAATGATACCGGCTCCAATGTTCAGACCGTCTTTCCAATGGATTTGGCTGCGCTTCAATACAATCCAGTCAGCTTGGACTGGCGTTGGTAACCACAGCAAATGGACCTGCAATCTGACGGCAGCTCCTAATCGATATGCAAATCGTAAAGGCAGATGGGACAGCGATCACGCCGTGGTTTAGGGAAACGGCATTAATTGCTTCTCCCACAGATGTTTACAGACTCTCAGGAAATGCGATGCGAAATCATCTTTACTTTGCAACTGCGCTAGGAAATGGGACTCTCTTCGTTGCACAGAAGAAAAATGGCATCATGACCCAACTTCCAGCTATATAGGCATGCTTACACCGCACACACACATGGACGTACCACATCTCCCACAGCTCCCAGCTAATCCTGTTTCTTACTCGCAACACCTGCATTTCTACGTCCGTCAGAGCCTTTAGCAAAGGATCTGCGAGTTGAGATCGTTCAGACTTGCTCTCCATCAGCACTCCCTCGGAGCCCCAAGGAGCTGGTCGCATCGTTTTCATCTAAAAAGATGTTTGGTCCCCTAGGCCCACGCCAAAACTTGGTGGTTGTCTTTCACCGATGCGAGACGACACCTCGAGTTATTGATGGCAGCGCCCGCCCGGCGACCAGGCTCCTTGACCCGATGTCGGATTTGACGGATGAATAGATAGACACCAGGTTGCTGCGAAGGCCTTGGTCCTTGGTCGACCGCCAGTACCTTATCCAAACGAAGGGCCATGTTGCCAACTCAGGCTATTCTTCCTTTGCTAGCAGGCTCTCTGGCCCTCGGGCTAGCCTCCCCCAGGCATGGGGAACCCGATATCTTCGAATACATTGTCGTTGGTTCCGGCCCTGGCGGTGCTCCTCTGGCCGCCAATCTGGCCGAGGCAGGGCACTCCGTTCTTGTGCTGGAAGCCGGTATCAACAAAACGGGGACTCGGAATCAAACCATTCCTTCTTTTTACGGGGTGAACCAGGTCGACCCGGAGGCAGCGTGGTTCTTCTACGTCAAGAACTTCGGTAACGAAGTAGACGAAGCACTGAATGAAAAACTCGTTTATCAATTACCCAATGGCTCCAAATACAACGGACCAGATCCGCCAGAGGGATCATCTCAGCTTGGTGTCTTCTACCCTCGAGCCGGTACATTGGGCGGCTGTGACACTCACAATGGAGGTATTGTTGTCTTTCCACCCAAGGAGGACTGGGACAACATCTCCGAATTGACAGGCGATGACACCTGGAGATACGAGCACATGAGGCCCTACTATGAGAAGATCGAGAACAACCACCACGTTCCCCCGGGAACTGCGGGTCATGGGTTTTCGGGATATCTCGGCGTCGATGTCACCGAAGCGTCGGTCGTGGAGGAAGCTAGGGGAACGGCCAAAGTCTTTGGCAAGCTGGACCGGAGCGGAAGCACCGAGTGGGAGACAATTGTAACCAACGATATTAACAATGTCTGGCCTAGCCGCGATAGTGATCGTGACTTGTACCAAATCCCATTCAAAGTCGACAAGGAGGGTAGAAGGAGCAATGCAGCAACACGACTCAACTCGGTCTTCCACGCTGGCCATCCTCTGACAGTGCGTCTCAACAGTCTCGTGTCACGTGTCTTGCTGGACCATGGCTCCAGAGCCACAGGCGTCGAGTATTTGGAGGGCGCCGACCCCCACGAGACCAATCCTGGCGTTGTTCGGAGAGCTTTTGCAACGCGCGAGGTCATCATCACGGGCGGCACCTGCAACAGCCCCCAGATCCTCTTGCTCAGTGGTATCGGACCCGCAGAAGAACTCGAAAAGCACGGCATTCCCGTGAAGATTGACTTGCCTGGAGTGGGAAAGAATCTCCAAGACCACCACGAGTTTGCCATCATCGACCGGTTCCAGCAAGAATTCCAAATGGGCGCCAAGTGCCGTACCTGGCAAGCTGAAGATCCGTGTCTGGATGAATGGCTCCAGAATGGAACCGGACCATATCGCTCCGCGGGGTTTGATCACCTGGGCAAATATACATCCTCGGTCGCGAAAAGTAATACTTCGGACGTCGTCTTCCACGGTGGCGGCGGTAGATACACGCCCACTTAAAGTCGTGCCATATCACTCGTTGCTCTTTCGAATCCTGCTGCATATTTCGCCGGGACACATCACGGTGCAGGTCCCCAAGCCTTGGATAGCGCGCCACCTTTGGATAGTCGTGTCGGTTGCTGCTGGAAGAGAACGAAGATGGTTCAACGAACATTCTCCAAACGACAATACCATCATATGCACAATGGGAACCGCCCCGACCCAATGCACAGTGGACGTTCCAGATCGAAACTCCCGAGATATACAGGCGTACACATTCCCTGGATTTGTTTTAGGCACTGTCGAACAAGGTCTCATTAAATGGCTGAATAATAGCAAGTGCCCCTTTATTGGGAAAAGGGGTTATCACCCCTATGTAGGATTTAGGGGTAGAAATAGGAGAAGAGAAGGGGTCAACTCAACGTGTATATATACCAGCAACCTGGCAGGACCGGTTGTGAGGTGGACAGAGCATTTCAAGTTGTTCCCCAGTTTGACAGGCACCTCTTGTAGATACCTGCCTCTCGTTAGAGATCCGCAACAAATTCACGTCGTGTTCCTTTGACCACCCATTGTATAAGCCAAAGGGGGGACTCGAATTCGATACAGACAGCCTCTCGCCCCATAGAGGAACAATCCTTCGCAATAGTCGAGGTGATCTCGTAGTACGTGCTGACCAACCGTTGAAATTCCTTCAGACTGATGGCATGCCGCGAATCCAAGCCGTATTGGTGCACGTTGAGACATGGGAAGTCTAAGATACCCTTCTCCACCAAGCCCTTCAAACACAAGGCTGAACAATACGGACCTAAGTCCCGCCGTTGGCCGGAGTGATGGGAAGCGGTCGATGGGCCACCGCGACTCACTGCGCGTCCACGGCCAGTCCCTTCACGGGCGACACCTTGTAACACCCCCACATATCACGTCGAACAGGAGGTTCCAGCCTCTCGAATCGTTCCCAGCCATCGTGGAAGTGGCAGGAAGACGTAAACGATAGAAAGGGGCTGGACGCCGCAAATGGGCAAGGAGATATAAGGTATAAGAAGAGCCTTCGAACCCCTAGATAGATAGACAGGTTTCAGTACATTGCTAGTCCACACCCTACCTTAGGCACTCGCGGCGATTCGTGATCCCTCTCCTCACACCCCTCGCGATAGACCCTTACCCTTCGTTGGTATCATTGTCACACACCTCGTCGAGCGATCCGAATCCGTTGTTCAAGTCTATCAAGACGTAACGTCTTAGGAAGATGGTTGTCAGCGGCGGTCTAGGTCGGCATCTCTTTGCGTTTGAAATTGGTAGTTCTTAATGGAGGTAAGAGTATTATATACCGATATGAACCGCTCTTAGACTACTAATGTGAGGGAGTTTTCCCGAGTCGAATGTTTGCTATGGCTTCAACAATTATGCATCGATTCCCTCGTCAACAGCAAACCTATCAACGAAACGGTAAGTTCTCAATCCAGACTCGAATGCACCGACCAACGAGTCGGCGTCACTTTCTACGTAAACGCCGGGTCCTTCTACTATGCTCGTACCCTCCCAAGGGGAAGCTTGTGAGTCGGAGTCGCTAAAAAAGGCCACTGGTTTACCATAACGGTAAGCGTCGGAAACGAGCCGTGCAGGACGACCTGCAGGGTAGAGGCTGGACGCGGTGCCGTTGACAAACAGGTCCACCGTGGCTGCGGTGACGACTATACCGTCGAAGCTCGCGCCGTTGGAGACCGAGTAAGTTTGACTAATGTTCTCGCCGAGGGATTCGGCGATCACGACGGTGGAGACGTTGAGTCGGGAGGACAGGCTGGACGCCAAGTCGTTCGCCTGGGAGACACTCTCCTCGTTTGTCGTCGTGGCGAGGACGGCAACGGTGAGAGAGTCAAGGCGGTTGAGCGTGGTGTTGAAAATCGTCACCTCGGCTGTGCGATTATTGTGATAGTAAGTAGTGTTGGGCTCCGGGGTAGCAAGGCCAATGGCACGGGCCACCTGCACCGCGATTTCGTTGCTCACTCTATTGAGTTGGATGAGTACATTTTCTTGAACAACAGGGCTGAGTTGCGATATTTCGAAGCGCATGGCGTTGACGACGAATTGCTTCTCCACTGGAATCAGAGAGTTGTAGAACAATCGAGGCTGAGACCAGACGTCGTCAAAAGTCGTGGAAAGATTGTGACTGAGTTGGCCTGAGACTGTACGAACAGGGGCAGAAAAGAATCCACGGCCTTGATATTGGGTTGTTTGTCGTGGGCTATCGTGGCTAAATCCATTGGGAGTGTAGGCGTACTTGTTTTGATGAATATCCATTTGGGCCGCGCCGTCTCGATGATTGTTGTGCACCGGGATATGGGGCCGATTGATTGGGAGCTGCTCAAAGTTGGGACCGTTGTGGCGACTGAGTTGAGTGTCTAGATAGGAGAAAACCCGTCCTTGAAGCAGGGGATCGTCTGTAAAGTCGATGCCGCGCACGAGATGTCCGACTTGGAACTGCAAAAGTCTTAGCTTGTGAATCGACCAGTATCGTGGCGACCTGAATTTACCATGACCTGCTCCGTTTCCGCGAAGTAATTCACTGGGTTTCGGTCCAACACAAGTTTGCCCAATGGGGTAAGAGGCACGATTTCCTCGGGGATGATCTTCGTCGGGTCGAGAAGGTCAAATCCGAACGCCAGCACGTCTTCCTCGTCCATGATTTGGACCCCAAACTCCCATTCCGGGAAGCGTCCGGCCTCGATGGAGTCCCACAAATCTCGCCTGTGGAAATCGGGGTTGATGCCAGCCAGTACCTGTGCCTCTTCCCATACCAAACTTGCTCGACCTTGCAGAGTCTTGAAATGAAATTTGACAAGCTTGCTCCTACCGTCGTCGGTGACCATTCGGAAAGTGTGGACACCAAAGCCATTGGTGTGTCGGTAGGAACGTGGGATCCCCCACCCAGACATCGCCCAGAAGAGCGTGTGCAACGCGCTGGGCTGCCGACTGAAGAAATCCCAGGCTGTGTCGTGGCCAGTTGCTGCTTGGGGGATTTCTCGGTCAGGCTCCGGTTTGACGGCGTGGATCAAGTCCGGGAATCGGATGGCGTCCTGGATGAAGAAAATCGGAATGTTGTTTCCCACAATGTCTGTCAGAAAGGTAATAGTCAATCAAACTGTCGCAATGGTCTGCTGCCTTCGCGTACCGAAGTTTCCCTCATCGGTATAGAACCTGACAGCAAAGCCGTGTACATCTCGGGCCGTATCGGCACTGCCCCTGCTGCCAGCGACGGTGGAGAATCTGACGAAGACTGGAGTTTGTTTCCCGTCGCTGTTCAAGAAAGAAGCACCGGTCAAGTTCGACCAGTCGCCATAGCTTGTGAAATGTCCATGTGCGCCGGCTCCTCGGGCATGGACAACACGTTCGGGCACCTAAGCTTATCAGACACTGTTGAGATAGCAATGAGTATCGGTGTCAACGGGCGAGGGACAGCAGGTTCCCTGGAGCAAGCGAACATCCTATGACTCCGTAAGGAGGAACCTCCAGTCATATACTCAATCGATATGGGTATTGATCGAAGTCCAAGGAGCCCTCAGCCAACCCGTCCGTTGAAGTAAGAATTCCGGTGGAGTGGACATACTCTCTCATGATCAAATCTCATGATCTTCTGGCGGAAGATGAAGTCCTCCAATAGGGTTGGGCCGCGCACGCCCGCCTTGAGACTATCTTGGTCGGCTATGAATGTGCCAGTGTCGCTTGTCATGTCGGTGTCGTTGTCGTTCACATAGAATTGTTGCAGAAACTGTTCGGTAATCTCCGTGGCCTCTTGTCGCTTTGTATGGCCATGGGGCGGAGGGTTGGAGAAGGCAAAAGAGCCACCCTCCATGTAAGGACATGATGCTCTAGCAAGCCCAACGAGAGCAAGTGCCAGTAGAGTGAACCGCATGATGGCAGCTGAAGTCCAGTCAACGAAAAATCAGGGGATCAACTGCGAAGGCAGAGAGTTTAGGGATGAGAGGACTATTTGTATGCTTGTCACACAGCATGGAACAGCATGAAGCTAACCTCGCAAACTGTTGAGAGCTGGCACTGATCTGGCCAAATTCACAATAGCCAAAGCCTCATTGGCGAAAATGGCTCTTTGCCAATGCTTGAAGGCAGTGCTTGCCATTCGATGCCAGCATCATCATCATCATCACCGGGAATACAGGAATCACAGTGGGTAATTGTCTCCCAAGTTCTTCGAACCCATCACACGATGAAATCTTGGTTCCACGACGTAGGAAGCAATGCAGGAAACGGCCCCGATTTTGTCGCTTGGCCGGCACGCACTGGCTATCCGGCAGTTGTAATCCGTTTGGTTCCGGGGCCAGTCCAATTTACTTTGCCATCGTGGACAAGGATGGGTATTTTGACAACATTGTACCCTTTACGATGGGGTTTGACATGGGAGATGAATCGATGCGGCAATGGAGAGGAGGGGGGAGTACTCAAAGGAGGTTGACAAATTGGGCACGATCTTCGTAAGACGGATAGAGGATTAGCCGTTCTTGGAATGACAAAGTTTGTTCCTTGCAGCAAGGCAAATATTGCAGCAGCAGCTCGGTGTAAACAAGAATGCTGTCACCCAGGAGGGTAGATGGCTTTGGAAACCACTCTTTGAACATGGAAATGCCAGCAGCTAGACATAGTCACCTGCTGCATGTAGAAGGTCGAAATATGGGGATCCATATGCGGTCGAGCATGGTGATGTGAGACGGTACTTCGTGGTGTGATGCTTGGCAAAGAGGTGGAAATCGTAAACGGGGGGTGTGTTAGTTAGTATTGGCGTGCCAAGGGCGGCTAGCCTTTTCCAACCACTGGGCCGATTCCACTCATGGTGTGGAGAGGAGGCACTGTCATGGTGGGTCAACATATCCGTGGTAGCCAGGGTAGTTTTCGTTAAATCACGTGACGATACACGTGATCTTCTACGCCTGGAACTCGGGTAATGTTATTCTGTACACCACATTTTGTTATTCTGTACACCGCTTTTGATTGGTCCGGATTTTTATTTTTCCGGTTATCTGCGCAGTTCGAAGATACGTGATGTCACAACACCTAAGTCTGCCTATATAGAATGCAGAAATGATGGTTAACGATGGTATCCTCTGCACGGTCGATACCTCGTGCTGACTAAGGTAACAAACCAGCGCCCATAGGCTTGGGAGGACCGCTCATAAGCCGGAGGGGGAAACCGCCCATGAACCGGGGGGAAACCGCCCATAAGCCGGGGGGCAACTGCCCCGCTTATGGGCGGTTCCCACCCAAGCCTATGGGCGCTGGTTTGTTACCTTAGTCAGCACGAGGTATCGACCGTGCAGGGGATCTCTACACAAATCCGGCTGTGTAGGCCACAATAATTTACAAAGTATACAGAGAAGCTCAAAATGCACGGTACTTATCTACCAAGGAAAAGGGAATCAAATGTGTTTATTGCTTCGCAACCACCTATAACGGGGAGAGTTTAACGCGTCACCCCTCCACAGCTACGCCACTTACTAGTGTTTTCTCGCCATCGCCGGGCCAACGGCAACAAGCTCTGTTAGCGCGGTGTACAGAATAACAGGATGAGAGCGTTAAGTGTACAGAATAAGGCGAGAGAGAGGTGGTGGTGTACAGAATAAGGAGAGTTGAGGCATGGTGTACAGAATAAGCAGGTTTTCCGGTGTACAGAATAACAAAAGTTGGTGTACAGAATAATACCCCCCCTGGAACTCTGGGAGGGATGCCTAAAGCAACCCAGAACTTAGGGGTTCCTGGACTGGCCAGTCGAGCTGCCCCTGGGCATGTGATAAGCCACCCTCTAGCTGAGCGGCCCGTATCAACACACCTGGGAAGACCTTCGGGGGTACTAACGAAAATTACCCTAGAGACCACATCGGGCATGAGTAAATTTGATGGCCGGGGTCTTCTGACATAAGATCAACCGGTACGGGTCTTTCTCCCCTTGGGTGGAAGTCTCGTCTCTCTCCGCAGGGAACTCCTGCAATCTGGATTTAGAGGAGCCGAAATTGGGATCGACAACGTGGAATGGACCTCCGTCTGGAGCGGGGACGAGACATCCAATAAACCATAAGAGTGGAAGGCGAGGAAGGAGAATCAACGTCAAAAGCGGCCAAGCCGCCAAGGCAGAGTGACCATTCATGAGGCAGCAACCCTAGGGGGATTTTTCCTGTGACGATTTTACGTTAGTAAAATGGGGTTTTCAGGTACTCCTTCATCCACTTTTGTCGAACAATGAGCAGCACCCCTTTACTTGGAAAAGGGTTATCACCACTATGTAGGATATAGGGGAAGAATAGTAGTAGAAAAGGGGTCTACCAAGCATGTATATATACTGACAATCTGGCCGGACCAGTTGCTAAACAGAGAGAGCATTCAGTTCATATTCTCCTAGTTTGACAGTGGATAATCCGATTCGGTATTGGCTTCTCCGAAGACGACAATATCCACGTCTGTCGCGAATGGCGATAGATCTTTTTTCAATTCCCGCTATGTCTTCCGAGCCGGAACGGATATTCAGTCTCACAGGACAGATGGTGACGTCTCAGAAGTCGGCTTCGAGCTGGCATTATCGGCGCAGCGCAATGTATATCACCTTCGGAGAAAAGTGGGGCTATCCAAATATCTAATTAGATTCAAATCGATTCAGATTAAATCAAATCAAATTTGAGGCTCGATTTGATTTGATTTAATTGTTTGCAAGCCGGGCCACGGACATAGCCATCCGAGAAACAACTATATTTCTCCGAGATAGCCGGCTTCTAAAAGAGCCTCGAGTTCCTCGTCCGTGACGTGGTCACCCGTTAGAACCTCTGTTTCCTCCTGAGAAGACTTCTTAGGTATGGTTGGTCCCTCGGCTGGAAAGTCCAACTTTTCCCACCGTAGGCGTTTTGATGTACTCTCTATTCTTCTGTACACCGGTAGCCTATCACCATCAAAATTGCCCGCCCTGATGTTAGCGTCTAGCTCTTGATCTGTGAGCCAGTCCCCAGCACCGGCCATCTGCTCTCTGTCCTTGTCATCAAAATCTCCGTCCCTCCTGCGTTTTAAATATGGGTTTCGCAGTCGGAGTACATCACCTCTCTGCATGATATTCCTTATTTTGAAATCATCTGGGCCTGGCTTCCAACCCTGGTTCCTCTCTCTGATCTTGTCAATGATATTGGGATACTCCTCCCGTGATCTGTCTTGCCGTTGCTCGGACCTCAAACCTGCTCGACCAGCAACCAGTGGTTGGGCGTAGAGACATGTGATAAGCTTTACATTGTGTTTCCTTGCAACAAGGTGGTCTGTGGCCGTCCGGAAATCTTCGTAAGTGTCTGAAGGATTCGTAGTCATTACCCAATGCCCTTGTGGGGTTTTCAACTTGCTTCGCATGTGGGGAGGTAGCTCTGCTGTTGCGTGATAAGTTGAGCGTTTCGTGTTTTTAGTGATGGTGTCGGACGTTAGCTGGTTCTTTCGATAAATCACAAGATCTCGAAACTGTGTCTTGAGCTGCTGAAACATGGCTGCGTTGGATGAGATTGATTCTGCGAGAAAAGTAACGTTCCACTCAATTCGAGAGCCAGAAAGATTTTCCTGCTGGCTCGTTTGTACCACGAAGTACGATTCCAATAAATCAAAGGTTAGTGGAAAAGCTTGTGGGGCTGGGATGTCATCCATCACGAAGATGCAGAAATCCGTATGGCCGTTGTTGGCCACCTTATCGGAGCCTAGAAGAATGTATAAGACTCCTTCGTGAATGGGAAGGTCATCCAGATCCCAAACGGAAGGGGTATCTTGATGATCCCACGGTGTGTTATCGTAGATGCCTGACATTCTCAAGAATGGTTCTTCGGGTTCCCTCATACCCCTCTTGCACTGGTTGTAAACAGCGGCAACAAGCTGTCGTGTCTTAGGTCTCTGATCAGGCAGCATTGTTACGTCTAAACGGTATCGAACTCCTCTCTCAAAGGGCTCCTCTGCAACAAGGAAGAAATTATCCGGGAAATCACTCTCGCGAGCAAGACGACTGGACAAACAACGTCGCCTCATCGCCGCGTGAAGTCTGGACCTTGCCGAACTCTGCCGAAAATGTCGGAAATATCCAACTAGGTGTTCTTGTTGAACCTGTGGTAGTTCTGACGGATACACATGAATCGGCTGTTGCGGATCAACATAAGCTTTCAGGTCGTCGAGAGCATTTTCGGCGATGGCGATGTATGTCAGTTCTGAAACTTGCTCCCAATCGGATAGGAAGTATGCTGCGACTGTGAAGACTGCGCAAAAGCTCTGAGTGGTCCCGTAGAGGTCCGGGTCTTCTCGTTGTGTGCCCGTCCACATGAACTCAAGCGCTTCAAGAGCATCCGGAGTAACTTTCCAAGCCTCTCGAAAGAGTCTTAAGAGATCCCGTGCGTGTTTTCTCGACACACTGTTTGAAGCAAAGGATTTTAGCAGGGTTTTCAAGTTCTCTCTTGTGATGTAAAGCGCCGAAACACGAGCATGGGCCCAGCATGTACTGCGAAACACGCAATGTTCTGAGTCAAGCCAACGGTACAAAGCATCATGTTGCATGGAGGGGTCCTGGGGATCCGGTCGCTCTTCCATCAGACGCTGTGCTAAATCTGTGTCGAGAAAGCGCTGCATGTGGTCTCCTAGAGAGAGGATTTCGCTGTCATCTGCAATACTGGCTGCTTTTCGACCTGCCAAAATTCGAAGCTCGTTCAAGACGGCTTCACGTTGAAAGTCTCGGGCCCAGTCAAAGATGTAGTCCATGATTAGCAAAAGCTGGAGGGCTGCATCTTTTGAAATTATGCTACCGATCCACAAATTATAGACGTCCTGGAAATCGTCAGTTTCGCCCTTCGGAAGGTTTTAGCCCGAAATTCCTCACGTAACGAGTCCTGTTGTCGTGCATTTCCACGCAGGCTGCTGCAACCCGCCAGTCATCCCCGCGACTGGAGAGAAACCAAACCAAGGGACCTGAACGCCACTGGCTTCTTTTTCCTGTTGCTAATTGCAATTTGAATTGTATGTCCAGAAGCTTCTTGATCACAAGTGCGGTCTGGATCTCGATATCATCGAAAGAGTCTCCAGTCTCGCTTTTTGCTTCAAGAACCAAGAAAGGAAAAAGAACTTGGTCTCTCATCTCGTTGAATGGGCTACATTCAAGGATGTCGCGTAATTCCCGGCCCTCGAACTGGGGGCCTAAAATCTCCTCGTCAAGTAAGCGGCTAAATCGACTGGTCTTGCGGAAGCCATATACTCGATCAGGCTTCTGCTCTCGAGGAAGCGCTTTGGAGATCGGATCATCTTTTGAATACTTGACAGGCTGATCTGCCCTGTCATGAAAAATTCGACATATTCCAGGGTCATTTCTGACACATAAACTTAGACGGACGCTGATTCAGTTCAAGAAGATAGTCATGCCTACCGGTCAAGACATCTTTGCATCTCGCTGCAGGAACAAGGTTTTCGATTTGCCTGCCTTTTTTTGAGGTCGAGCATATCCCTAAATGTGTCTAATGGATTCAACAAGACTTCGACCTCCGATCGCCATAACTTAGATGAGCACCGTTTGCTGCGTTGTGACTGTTAGGGACAAAAAATAAATCAGTGAAAAGTGTGAGGGCCATTACCATGTAACTTCCGTGCTGAATCGTGCGAGGATTTCAGATTCGAGTTTTAATCTCCAGCCGAATTCATTTTGCCGAGCATAGCGACAATCCTCAGCAAGGCGAACAACGCGCTCAACTTGTTGCTTGATCTTTGCTCGCCACGGCTTCTGGTGGGCCTCGTAAGTAAAATTGTGGACGTATTGGTCGAATTTGTATCTGCTGAGTTTGTGAAGGGCGCTAAAGACTGGTGCATGGTTTCCTGGCCGGCAATGGTCGGGACCATGAAATTGAATCCTTTCCTTCTCAATCAGACGAATAAGCTCCCGCTTGTGTTCTGTATTCATTCTGCCACCAGAACTGACGAAGGAATGAAATGGCTGTAATAGCACTGAACTGGTTGCTATGAGTACAACTGTTGTTGATAGGCCGACTCCGAAGAGAGAAAAGAGTTGAGTACAAGTGCAGGTGGAGGGGAGTGGGAGAGTTTTCTGCCTGGTGCCTAGTCCCAAACAGGCTAGTCATATGACAATCGCCAAGTCACTGCGCCACAATTGCGGCCAGCAAACATGGGGAGAGTTTCTGCGGCCCGCGCCTCGCAATAAGGTTTTCTTGAGTTATTGAAGCTTCTTTTAAACTTCGGACCCCCGGCCCGCCTGAGACCACCTAGGGATCGATTTACATCACGTGATTGAAAGCGTAGCTTTCTTTTTAAGTCCCGATCCCCTGCACGTGACCCTACCGTGCGCCAAAATAATCACGTGACTCAATGTCTTCCTCACGTGCTTTCCCGGTAGAACCTCGGACGACGCTCCGTGCTGGCCGCCGCGTTCATTCGCACCCGGCACTCCAATGGCCTCGAAATGTTGCTCGAAGTGCACCCATACACTCCCTCTCTCTTTCTTTCTTACATGTCCATCTCATCTAACGAATAATACTCTTTCGACCTGCATTAAATGCCGCACTAGAGATAGTGCGAGGAGGAAGAAGATGAGGGCTCTCGCACTCCTCGATTCAAACATCTCTTCCAAAAGTGTCAAACTTTGTGCAACTTGAGATGAAGGAGCGCTCTGTTCTCTATCTACTTGTCGAGGTCCTGAGACTCCTTTTATAGGCACACGAATGCTACATCGTTGCACAGAGCAACCATCTGCAACGTCGTCGCCTATGGAGACCTCTCATCTCTATCCAACAGGATAGAAAGCCTAGCGCAATAGGCGCAACAGGCGGCAAGGAGGGCTGAAAGCTGTTACACCTAGAATTATCCATACCAAACGAGCGCCAGCAACGATCACGGCTTCAAGAGACAGTCGGCAGCGATATATGCCGGCTCAAGAATGATCAAATAGTTAGTCCTTGTATTTGGCTGTGGTTGCCAGCAAAACGCAAGTACCAAGAGATTGTGCCGAGGTTTGGTGTCAACCGAGTTTGGTGCCAAGTTTGGTGCCCCTATACTTTCCGGAGGGGGTCTGCCACGCCACAACACTAAAATTGAGTGCAAAAAGGCGTGCAAAGGCGAGTGCGAAAGACTCTGTCAAAAGAGTTCAACGACGTTGTTGAAAGAGCACCAAAAAGCTCCCAACTATGCGAAGGAGGCAAAGTGGATGGAAAGGTACCTGAAACCCTCCCCATTTTACTGGGGATTTGAGGTGCCTCTCCATCCTGTGGACAACCCTCGCACAACTACGCTCAATTGGTGTTTAGGCAAGTCTCTGCCAAGAGTCTCTCGAGAGAGAGGTTCCCTTTCCCTGCAACCTGCGTTGAACTGTAAAGTGGGGTTTTCAGGTACCCTTCCGTCCAATTTTGTCGAAAAATGAGCAGTACTCCTTTACTGGGAAAAGGGTTATCACCCTATGCAGGATATAGGGGAAGAATAGGAGTAGGAAAGGGGTCAACAAGCATGTATCTATACTGGTAATCTGGCAGGACCAGTTGCCAAAGAGACAGAGCATTCAATACATCTCATTTGCACCCCCCCAAGTTTGACAGGAGCCCACCAGTCCTCACACTGTAAATTGACGACATTGACGAAGCCATGGGTAGACGATTTTCCGGACCTTGTGTCTTATGAACTGACCCCATTAGAGCGGATCTCTCGGTACGAGGCGCGTCAGCCTAGAGCTGCAGCATATCAGACATAGAAGTTCCACCTATTGTTGGTGCAGGAGGATGGGGTATAGTTTGGCTAAGATGGATGAAGGTGGTATATACTATAGTTGCTATGTTAAGGCTAAGAATCTAGTTATCAGGTGTAGATAAAGGGATATATTCGAGGTGTCGGTATGTGGGATGAGAAACCAAAATCAAGATGGTCAGGGATCAAACAACAGAGCCAGTCGCTGTAGTCTATCGTGCTCTTGGGCGTCCATTCCGCACGAATGTGGCACAGGCTCCATTGGAACAAGGTGCTCTTCGGTAGGAGAAGTGTAGAACACACCACCGCACATCTCAATGGCGCGGCACCGATCCTGCATGGAGGTCGCTAACCTAATCCTTCCCGTCTTCCTTTTGTGTGCGTCGCTCCTCGTTATCTTCAGCACCCACACACCACCTTTATGCTCATCATCTTCGGGCCATCCAAGCCAGGTGTGGATTTCGGCGTAGAGGTTCTCGCCATCCTTGAAACCATACTGATACTTGTAAAAAGCTCCACCGAGACGCCGAAGCCTTAGTACGAAAGCATCCTCCTCGGTAGGGTTGGTAGACATATTGTGTTCGATGGAGTGATCTTGTATACCAAGAATATCAAGTTCAAACACACTCGGATTTTGCAACTCTAATCTTCCGCCCGTACTAGGCCAGGCATAGACGACAGCGCTGTCGTGGAGGTGAAGTCGCTTGTCCTGAAACAGGCCTGGCCAAGGGAATCTCCAGCCTGGAGGATAAATATACTGCATCGTTGTTACAGGTACCGCACAGCTTGTGAAATAGAACAAAATGAAAGAGGAAATTGTTGGTAGGTGCATTGGAGGTAGGACGAGGTCTGACGTGCGTGCCGAAAGAAAGAAAGATGGTGGATGCAGAACTGCCTAGATTGAGGGGGTAAGCCGGATTATATGCAGGTACAGTATGGTTATCGCTAACGCCAAGAGTTGTGAAGGGCGAGGGGTAGATACGATGGCCCCTGTATGTCACGGATCACACCGGGGTGCCACGCGGGGTTCGAGTCAAAGAGGATAGCGAGTACAAGACTAGGAGCGAGAGGTGTAACAACGATATCAACGAAGGGTATCGATCTATTACGAGGGGTGTAGAGAGAAGGATCATTTATCGTTGCGAGTGCACAAGGTAGGGTGTGGAATAGTAGTGTACGGAAACCTGTCTGTCTATCTAAGGGTTCGAAGGCTCTTCTTATACCTTCGATCCGTTCATCTTCCTGCCTCCTTTCTAACGCCCAGCGCCCTTCCTGCCACCCTTGCAGTGGCTGGGAATTCGTGGCGTGATGGGTGTTACAAGAGGATACAGAGTGCGTCAATGTATCTCCTGGTAGGGGTATGACAAAGGATGAGGTTGATTACGAAGTACCATAGGGGCCCGGAGAGGTTCTATCTAGGTAGGCTGTTTTCAATATTTACTGTTCAATTGTGCCCCGCTTACAAGATGTGCTGGCAAGGCGGCCATCACAGGGCCAGCGGTGATCGGTGTGACACTCCGCAGTGGCTGCCTTTTGCTTTTTGCCTTTTTCATGTCAAGGCAATGAGCCCCGAGCTGTGGAGTATATAGCCGTCGTAGCGAAGCCTCTGTTGGACCTTCTTCACTCGAAACATTCGACTTCAGTTCTTATCATGGGCGAAGTCATAGGAACCGCTGCGAGCATTCTGGCTCTTTTCCACACCATTGTAGAAAGTGTAAGTTTCGTTGCCCAACTGGCCAAAGCGCGAGCGGAGATCAACGCGTTGAGGGTGAGGAATGGTCCTCATTCTGCAGAATGTCCTTGCGTGGCTGAAAATCACTATAGGAGCAGGTCCAGAATTTCCGCAGCGTACTTCAAGCCTTGGAAATTACACCGGGGGGGCTCCAACGCTGACGACGTCTTGTTCACCACGCTATCCCGCGCACAGAACATCATTGACGAACTGGACCACTTGGTAATTGCTGGGAATGAATCTCGAGGTGCTTGTTATAAAAATTTGGCTTAAGAAGATGTCGAAGATTGTCCGTCTCCGTGAGAATTTCAGAGACGCACAAGATGCTCTTGGGCTAGCACTGAACGTGGACTTAGTGTCGGCAATGGCCCGCCCTTCCCTGCTGGGCAATACAGTGTCTGACAAGGTAATTAGTTTAGGTCATCCTCCCGTCGAGTCGAGTCTGCTTTGACTATCATCCAGCAGGCAAATGACAATCGGTCAATGGTTCGGAGCATTGATAGAAGACTACACGACATAGAAAGTGCGTTGCAGTTACGGCAATCAGGCCAAGTCGATAATCCGGCTCTATCCAAATTGACAACCGGTGGTTTTCTCAAACGCTCAAGGTCTCCAGATGCAGATAGCGGTGCCGTTCCAGCGAAATATACGCGTGCACTGTGGCTTCCTCAAAAGCAATATGGAGTTCGAGCTCCTAACAATCGCCCGCCTCGACAGGTAGGCCCCACTAGTCCATTCGAAATAGCTGCCTCCTTTCGACCCGACGCGTACACGGTCTTGGAAGATTTCGCGAAATTGATCTGCTTTGATTACCAAGAGTTGCAAGCGACCGAATATACGCGAGTCAACCACTGCAGCATCTTCTACTCTCCTGCACCAGGACAGTGGCTACGTCTGGGGTTATCCGTTACCACCAGCGTGGAGTCCCAGTACTGGATTCTCAACAGAATGAATGTCGTTAGTCATGCTGTATCTCATCCGCTTCCTTTCCCGGCCCATCTGAACTCGGTGCTACAAACATTGTTGACATCTCGTGGGATACTTACACAGGATACACGTCTCAGCATTTATCTAGGGGCCACATCGGAACACGACGAGAAAGAGGCCAATCAGACTTCTAGAATACCAATCAGGGCTACTCTGCCGCCATTTCAATTCCTGAAGTACTTGCAGGATATAACACGACTGGTACACCACTGGAATTGTCCGCGGTATTGGGAAAAGCATCTCGTTGTGCGACCTGTGCATGCCAAACCACTACTTTGTCGCGTATATAGACTCGCGGTGGGTCCATTACTTTCGATTCAGCACATCTGAGGCGCAGATCGATGAAGGTTTATACGTAATGCGAGTCCCACATTGCCTGAAAGGGACACCCGGAATCACCCCATTCATCGGCGTAGTTCTTGACGAAAATGGTACGATCAATGGCTTCTTATCCGAGGCGCCAACGAACGGGAGTCTGTTCGACACCATAGCCCGATCCATTGAATCTGGCGCCCCGATTAGCTGGGAGAGGCGCGAAAAATGGTGTAGGCAAATTGTACGGGCTGTTGCCGAGATGCATTCAAAGAATTTCGTTGTGGGAATGCTGGGCAACGTTCACGCTTCTGGGCTAGGTCTAAATGCCCGAGACGACGCGGTAATACACCATCGTTTCTGGACGACATTCGCGTATGATAACATGAAAACGGGGGTTGTACCACCGGAGCTCCGTCAATCTGCTTCGATTGTGGGTTCAATGACGGCACTGCCACAGACGGACATCTATCAGCTAGGTCTCCTACTCTGGCGGATCGCCACAAACAGACACCACCTTCCAAGGCCGGCATTTTGCAAGCTTTCTGGCTGCACTACTGAACCACATTCCGACCCGGATCAGCTTCCGCCGCCTGGAGAAGACACTCCTCAATACATTAGGGACATGGTTGTCACTTGTCGCGCTGAAAATCCAGATGAAAGGCCGGCAGCCTGGGAGCTTTTGGAAATGTTCCCTCCTGAGGTGGAGACGACGACGACTGCAACAAAGGCAACCTTAGACACCAGAGAGTCTTCAATCCAAGAACACGTCCGCAACCGTGGCTCTAGCGGAATGCTCCAGCAGCGTAAACGCTAGCCAAATGTCCGCTAAAGTCTTTAACGCGACTAGAGGAATGCCGCGAGCGATTTGGCCGCTCAGTAACCTGTGATCCCTGCATGGCCCGGACACAAGAACACTCGTTCCATCGCACAATTTGTGTCTCGGCCAATTTCGACCTGTGTCCTAAATGTGTATCCAAGGACGAGCATTGTCTTGATGATGACCATTACCTGCGGGAGTCTTTGGTAGGGAGCCAAGAAGATAAATACTATTCGAGCGTGAGGGGAAATGGCCAGAGAGATGTTGTCACCCCTTGAAGCTCTCTAGCTGGGTAGGCGAGACCTTCCTGATTCTTGTCGTCAGAGTACAGAGAATCAATCTTTCCCCGGAGCGACCATAGGATGGGATTTTAGGCGGACTCGACGACGTCACCAAAGGCTATACAATTCCTTCGTGTCTTCGCTGCACAACTAATGAATTCCTGACGCTTCCCTTGCGATCATTTAACGTCAGTTGGACGGTAACAGGCTTTTCTTCAATATTTCTCTCTCTAATCCTATTGCTATCAATACTTCATAGTGAATCTACTCGCGGTGGGGGAGGAACCCAGCTTCAAATTGTGTGCAACAAAGTAAAGAGCTCGCAAATGGCGAAGGTTTGTGGGAGTCTCAATTTTGATGTTTGATACCTCGATTTTACCAGGGCTTCGGGGGATTATCAGGTACTCTGCCATCCATCGGACAACGCTCACACATCGAGGCTCAGTCAGTACTTGGACAGCTCCAGACCCACTCATCGTTCGAAACTCGCACTCTCGACCGAGACACTCCCATCGCCGTGGCTAATGAAAGCTTCAGGAACAACGTACGACGGAATTATGGGTTGAGCACGGAAAAGGAAAGAAGACTTGATAAACTTGGGTAATTCCATTAAATCTAATAGTACCATTTTTTCAAATGGGATTCGAAATACTGATTTGTGTACCTCCATCAACAGCCAATCACCTGTCGAATAGAGATGTTGCCAAATATGGATTAGCTCCCGCTCGTCCCTTTCTTGAGACTGAATCTTAAATTCAACCCCAAGGCAACAAATCGAACCACTCTCCATATTCTTGATACCGTATTGCTCCCAAATTTGCTGCTTGGCTCAATATTTCTCCGTTGAGCTGCAGTGTCTCGATCTGAAGACAGCAAGGTGGCAAAGAGTTCTATTTCAACGCACTGACTCAGGGACACTCAGCGCACTGAAATTGGAGCGCAAAAAAATAAGGCCAAGCGAGTATTGTTGCGCAGTCTCCCAGTGTCCAGACCGCGAAACTCCGAGACGGAGACCAGTGACATGTCATCACGTTTCAAGGCTCTCAGATCTCTCCCTGCGGATTAGATCCGTCCGATCCCAATATAGCCGAGCCGTCCCGTGAGAAAGACCGCCGAGAGCGCCATTGAGCTCTTGTCCGCAAGAGCCCATCCGATTCTCCTCCTTCTTTACCTAGCAAGATCCTCTGTCACACATCTCTTCGGGGCCGATAATATCAAGTTGCTTCTGTCAATCATTACTTCTGTCCCTTGGTGGATCTCTGCAAATCATCATGAATTCTGAAAAGCCGATCCGCCGGAAACGGATGCGTGATGTACATTCGTGCATACCTTGTCATCGGAGGAAGGTCAAATGCGATAGGAAGTTACCTTGTGACAGCTGCAATATCAAAGGACTGGGGAAGGAATGCTTCTACAGCACACCTAGGAAAGGTGAGGCGAATGTCACCACACCCAACATCTACAATCGTGAAGGAGTCAATCATTGGAGAAGCTCCCTTCGGCTCCAAACGCGGGAAAATAAGAACATCGTACCCCTTCCTCTTCATCCCCAGCCCAAACCAATGGATTATCATGCTCTAGAGGACCAGGAGTCTGTTTTGCGACATCGAGGAAAGGGGTATCGTCCCAGCACTGAAAGTGAAAACGGTGGCGTTGCAGCGGCACCACCTAATATGATGTTTGCGCGTCACCAAAGAGGCAAAGCCAAATTCAAGGGACCGTCTCATTGGGTTCTTCTTGCCGCCGAAGTAAGTACATGATGCTCAATGCCCACACCAACTAACACGAACTAGTTTGAAGAATTATCCCCTTTCCTGTTCGGCAAAGAACAAGCTTCCGATAGCATAAATCAGCAACTTCGAGACTTGAAACAATTCTACCCCGTCCGAGCGTACCGAAACTACCCCTTCCGCGGCGTCTCGATTACTCCCTGGACGAAAGAACATGTTTACTCGATTGTGCCGCCACGAGATGTGGCTGACCGCTTCATTGAGAATTATTTCGACTCCTTTGAGAAGACGCATCGCATGTTGCATCGCTCGGTATTCGCAGAAGAAATGCAAAACTTCTGGAACTCTCCGTGGTCTCCCAACTATGAGTGGCTGGCACAGCTACTCATCATGCTTGCTCTCGGATGTCCGACGAAAGATAGACTCGAAGACACCAGACTGATCGGGACACTTTTGGACGGCGCAGAAGCGTGCCTAATGCAGACACGATTCATGGCCAAGCCGACGCTGACCACTATTCGAGTCATGACTATGATGGCAATCGCAAAGCAAATTGATCTTGTGTCTTTCGACGATTCTGATGGGGTTTGGTCTTTCTTGGGTCTAATTATTCGGTTCGCCTTGTCTATGGGCCTGCATCGTGATCCCAAATGGTTTGAATCCATGTCAATATTCGAAGCAGAAATGCGGAAACGACTATGGACAACCCTTGTTTTTATAGATTCGCAAAACTCTCTCGAGTCTGGTATGCCACTACTTCTCCAATCCGATGATTACGACACACCTGCTCCCCTCAATTTCAAGGACGATGATCTCCGGGATAACTCGATCACGGACCCGACGCCTGAAGAATCGGACGACGTGACAGAGTCAATGTTTCAGATAATTTTGTCTCGATCATTTCCCACTGTCTTGAATATCATTCGCCGTATAAATCGACCTTTGGATGCGGAAGGGTACCGCATGGTCCTGGAATATGAAGCTCAAATAAGAGATCTTCTTCAAATGACTGGGAAGATTTATCGTTCAAGCAAGACGAAAGACGTTGCTTTTTCTGGCGACATGTCATGGAAAGACTTCCAACGCATGACATTGGAGATCTACCTACGTCGGGCTCTGCTGGCATTACACCTACCATTCTTCACGACGGCTGATGCAGCCACATTATATCCGACGTCTCACTGGAGCGCATTGGAATCCTCACTGGCGATCATCGTTATCCAACGAACCCTGTACGAAGAACGCACAGATCCCACTTCCATTGAGTGGTTTGCCGAACTGTTTAAAGGTGATTTCTTCCTCGCAGGACTTTTTGTAGCGCTGGGGATTCGGCGCAAAAGCTTCAAGACAACGACGCCTCCCCCAGAAAATCGTCTTGCCGAAGCAGAAATCGCATCGCACACCCTCGATGCCTGCCTGGCTATTTGGGCCTCGAAAGTCGGAATATCAGCAGATCATTTCAAATCCCATCTGACATTGGGCGTGTTGATCGCAGCGATTAAATCAGATGAGTGGAAGAAGCCGCTCGCAGTTGCAATGGAGGAGGTTGCAGCTACGACGATCGCGACAGTGACGGCTTCAATGGAGAAAAGAGTAAATGGGGGATCTCCCATCGTCCTACCGCCATGATGTCGAACGATGCCATGACCCCTTTGCCGGAACTTTATTATCACTCCATTCTCGATCTTGGGAGGTCCTGAGAGTGATGAGATCTTTTTCTATGGCATCTATCTCCATTAACCCATTGTATAAAAACTTTTGTTCATTCATCCCAATACCACCACCCTTTTTCCGCGGTCACCAACAAAAGACTGATCTCTCAGTCCGGCGACGCCGCGATCCTGACGAACTGTTTTCCTGACACTTCGGATCCTATTTCCACACCATGATCAACTTCCACCAGAATGTGCCCTCCCTCCCTATGACGCCGCTCACTACAACTTTCAAGAAATTTCCTCCACAGTTTTCCCGACGAGGCCAATTTTCTGGTCGTGAACCTAGACAGAACCCGCTCCTCGCCTCCGGCCCCGGGGGCCAACTCACACCTTCCATCCGCGATCTATCACAAATATTAACCTCGCATAGAGAAGCAGGGCGGTTCCTGCCATGACCACGCAACCACTAAATATCGTAGCCTCAGAGTAGCCACCATAATGAGCAATCATGGCACCCGTGATCGGTGTCCCCGTGAGTCCAGCAATACCATACAGTCCCAATGCCATTCCAACGTAACTACCAATCTCGGAAGGATGAGGCGCAACATCTGCCAGTGTCGTTGGGAATAAGGCAATGACAAATCCCGAAGCTGCACCATATAGAGCGGCAAACGCACAGATGGCACCTATAGAGGAGACGCGCAACCAACAAAAGACAAGGATTCCACACGCGCAGATCCCCATCAAAAGCAGATTGAATCGACCCAGATGTTTGGCAAGAGGCTCCGAAGAAAGTCGACCAACGAGCGACCCAGCATTGAGTATCGCGATCGTGGTAAGTGCCAAATCGAAGCTCAGACCCTTCGATTCCGAATAAGATGGCAAATAGAAAAATGGCGTAAAGAGACCCAGCCATACTAGAAATAGCCCCGCGACTTGTATCGAGTAGATGGGATTCTTGAACGCATGGATCAAGAGGTACTTGCCTTTTCTCGGCGGTAGTCTGGGAATAATCGTAACACAGGCCGTGAGAACAAGACCCAAAACAAGAAATCCCACGATCCGCACAGCCCAGCCGAAACCAAGCGGTGTATGAAAGATCATCAGGTCGAGCATGACGGGAAAAATGACGCCGCCGAGTGATGAGCCAGAAGATGCGATTCCCAACGCTACGGCACGGCGTCTTTGGAAGTATTGACCTAAGACGGCCACGGCGGGGGCAAATACCAAACCATTGGCCAGGCCGCCGAGCGCGCCCTGCACGAGTATGAACTGCCAGTATTTCTTACATATGCTGGTGAGCATGACGGAGACAACGTAGAGGATGGAGAATGGCCAGATCAGGATCTACAACAAAGTTGTGTTAGTCAATATCCAAAACCAAAGTCAAGGGCAGCTAGAAGTTAAGAATGAGGAATATGGAAGCAAAAGACATAAAGGGGGCCGGTATATGTGAGAGATGGGTAAATGGGTCCTTACTCTTGCCCCCCAACGATCCGTTACTGGGCCCGCAACCACCCCTCCCGCAAACTGGAAGAACAATTGCAATGACCCAATCCAAGCTATTGTGCTAGGTGAATATGAACCTAGGAAATCGTGCAGGTAATATGCTTCGTACACACTAGATCAAACAAATCGACGTTAGTAATAGGCGTCTTCAAAAAATCTCCTACCACATCAATTCCCATTTGAGTCTCCATTTCTATCGCATCACATTTCCTCATAAAGTCGAGCCTGATCGTGTGTGATCCGCCCGTGACATCGACACCAGGCAATAGTTGGTAAGGAAAACCACGGCTAGATCGAAGAGGAGGAAGAGGAGGAAGAAAATTAAGGTAGGATGCTCAACATACCCGAAAGCATTCAAATATCCCCAGGTGAAGAACATGACGCACCATGTTCCTAGGACATTGAGCCAGGCTTTAGTCCCACCTTCAGGGTATGTGACTCCAGGCGGCTTTGGTGGTTGTTCTTCATGGCCTTGCTCTTCCTTGGGTTCTGGCGGCATGGGGAGTTCAAGTTTTGTTTCTTCACTCGCTGCTCCGTTGTCTTTGGTATCGAGGTGAATCGTCCGTTTGGCCTGTGATTTTTGCTGCGAGCTGACTCCAATTGATTTTCCGAACCAGACTGGGCTTGTTTGTGTTGATTTGAAATTTAGGTCGTGTAGGTGTAGATTTCTGAGAATTTCTCTGTTCCTGGATGGATGAAGAAACGGGGACAACTTCACTCCTCCCTTGGCTGTTACCATGGGGTACTTATATCAAATCCCTCATCAAACTTCCTCGCACCGAGCCTTAGAACCGAAGCGTAAATCCATAATATTACAGGTTAGCGGTTCGGCGATTACGGTGGGTCTCAATTTGTGATTGGTTCGGCGTTTACAGATATGTCCAATCTGGGAATGGTGGAATTCCCTAACCTGGTATGGTACGATTTGCAAAGCATGAGAGCTGCGATATCGCACTATATCTCGCGCATCATATCGCTCGTCCTTTTTTGGTTGGAGATGTACAAGTGCATAAACATGTGGATTGTGATTATGATGACGTACACCCATACAAGTCCTCGGATTCGGTGCACGGTGCATGATGCTCGAGAGCAGAATAGCAGTGAGCCATCTATTCTTACTAGGATGCATGCGACGTGAGGTTGTTTCGCATCGCATATGACGGGGCAATGTCGGGTTCACAGCAAAATGAAGGAAACCGGAATTAAAAGGCCAAAATCTGATGAACTTGACAATGCCAATGACATATCCTGCATCGAGGGTACATTGATGGATGTACAAGATGTGAATCCCTGGCAAAAATGACATCGTTCTGCGACTGCGTCAGGGCAGCTATTGGTAGGAAATAGAGGCAAATTTTGCTCTGGAAGTAGCTCTGTGATGTACCTGACGAAATGACTCAAAAAGGCACGAAATACGGGTCGCAAATAAGCATGGCGTAGATGAGGACCGGAGGCTTTGGTGCACATTATTTATAAAGGGATCGTACGTATGACATGGGGGAACAAAGGGGCTAACGCGTATGGCCCCTATAACGCCGATTTTACAAGTCACCTATCTCGGAAGTTCGACAAGGGCAAAAAATTGTGAATCTATTTTCAATTAAAGAAGAGGAATACCCTGGCTCACCATCAACACAACCAACCAGCTATCTACTTATTCTTTGCCATTTTCAAGCGAAGAAACCCGACCAAGTCCACCGCCTTGACCTCGTCCTCCGAGCGGGAGGGGCTACGCACCTTCAGCCCGCGCTCACCCGCCCCTCCTCTCACGATGACCAACCAGTAGCCAGAGTTGTCCTTGTATGCCATTTCCAACTCTTCAAGGGAGCGGAACTCCTCGGACAACTCGGCACTGAGGCCAGCGGACCACAAAGACGACAGCAACTCGACGCATGACGTCTTCAGAGTACTGCTGTCGAAGCTAGTAACCAGAATGTCACATCTGGTCAAATGCCTCGACGACGACGAGGACTCCGAAACCGCACCAGAGACCTTGGTGGACTTGCTGCTGGTCTGGGCCTGGATCTGGCCGCGGACGTAGGTGATCAGATCCAAAATATTCAAGCGAAAGCCGACGGAGCGCGTGGAGCTTTTGCCAGACCTCGTCTGAAACTGTTGGATGAGAGCGTCATATCTCCCACCGACGGCGAGAACCTTTCGGGAAGTTTTTTCGGTGCACTGGAACAGCAGGTGGCCGCGGTAGAGGTGTTCGAAGTTGTTGCTGAGTGGTGCCACGAGGATTTGAGTGTGGACGTTCATTCGTCGGAGGTATTGGATGAGTTCGTCGAGACGAGCCAAAAGGGGCAAAGCTTTGCTCAAGTGGTCGTTGTCACCAAACAACCGGGTCAATTTGTGACGGACAGTCTCCAAATCTCCCTCGAAATTAAATTGTGCCAGATCGGTCACGGAAGTCTCTGCGATGTTCATGGTCGAGCTTCGAAGTTGTTCTCGCACTTGTGTCCACGTGGTGGTGCCGGTGTTGAGATGAGACAGTGCCTGCTTGACTTTGGAGAACTCGTGTTTCTTGATCCGACAAAAGTCTAGGATGAGGTCGATCAGATCGGCGTGGTTGAGGTAGATTGTCCAGTTTCGAATTGCCAGGGCTGGGAATTCGACGAGCATCTCGTCGAGGACTTTAATCACCTCCGCCTCCTTGAGTGACAGATTCCTGGCACTGTGACTGACAAAATCGAAGTCAACTTCAGGGACCTGTCTCGGTTCGTTTCCTGGTCCGGTGGCACGGTACACGACACCGAAGACGTATGATTTGCTGTAGGAAACAGATGTTTGCCCGAGACTCCGTGCGAAAGGCAGGGTGAGATCAACAGGTAATTGGACCACCAGGCCGGAGGTGTCGAGAAAGGTGGCGGCGTTTGTGTAGAAATCGGCTTTGGGAAAGATGCCTTGTCGACCAACTTCAGTGGCTCCATGTCGACGAAAGATGTTTCTCAGTTGCTCAGTGACAGAAATCCACAACACACGCTCCAGAGAATGCATGCCCGTAGCTGATTTATCCTCCCAAGCAAGACTGGAGACGGTGCTGTTTGGATTGGCAAAAAATTTGGTGACCAGCGCCTGGTATTCTTCGGGGTTGTCTGCCGCCATTCGATCAATGTATCGCTGAAACTTCTCGTCTTCCAAAGGTTCGGGGATTTTTCCACTGTTGAGAAGATCCTGAGCAGTCGGTCTTCTCGTCTGATCTGGATTGACAAGCTGTAGAATGATCTCGCCTTGTCGCTGATGGATGTCCTCGTCAAAGAAGTCGGGAAGCACAGGTGGCTTTGTGATGAGTCCTTCCATCAATTTAGCCTTTTCCATCGCCGACTTGAGTGGGTAACACATTTCGAAGAACATGATTCCAAGAGAGTACATATCCGCTCGAGAATCGTAACTGCTCCCATGGACATAAAGTTCGGGAGCTGTATAGCCTTGTGTGCCTAACCCAGTGGATTTGGTAATGACCATGCCTGGATTGGAAACGTGTGGCTTCGATGTCGCTTGTCCGGCGGTGGCGAGTCCGAAGTCACCAATCTTGGGTGTATCATGAGAGTCAAGGAATATATTTTCGGGTTTGAGATCTCGGTGCACGACGCCGTGACTGTGAATATGGGCCAACCCTTCGACAATTCGTCTGAACAATCGCCATATAGCATCCAAATCGGTCCAGAGGCCTTGTGCGATACGATGTCTCAAAGTCTGGCCACCACAGAATTCCATTTGGATGTATAAAGTAGTTTCTTCACTGAGTGGTGGTGATCGTGATCGGGATGGGATGATCGAATTGTCTGGAGTGTCGCTGCTGGCAAAAGGATTGGAGTCCAAAGCCTGCCCCAGGGGACGTGAAGCAGCGAATGGATCACCGGGTTGGTCATCTTCGTCTGCCTGAGGTTCGGGATTCTCTTCGAAGATATCATCGTCGTAGTCTTCCTGTCCATCAATGGAAGGCGGAGGTTGATATGCAAATATGCCATCATCCGAATCGCTGTATTCGGCGCCTTGATTGGGATACACCGAGGGTTCCATAAAGTCATGCCCGATGCTCAGCGGTTGAGCTTGTTGAATTGGTCTTTCGGGTTCCGCTCGCTGGCGTATGTCTTCAACTCGATCATTGTGTTCACTTTCGTACCATGCATTGTAGTACCTGACGACGTAGGGATGATTGAGTTTAGCAAGCAAGGTCACTTCGCGCAGAATATCCTCGAGCATCTTTCTCGAGCTGCTGTCGATCTTCTTCACCGCGTAGAACTGGCCATCCAGCTTTTGTCTGGCCCGGAATACTTTGCCAAAGCCCCCTCTTCCAATTCGTTCAACTTCTTCCCACTCATTTCGATATCGAGAGGTACCGACCTTGTCGCTCTGTCGTCTCCGTCGGCTGGGGGGGCTTGGTAGATAGGGTGAATGATTTCGGAAAATGGCTTCTCGCTCTTTGTAGAAAAACTCTTTTCGTGAGAGGTCAAAGGCAGACGGACGATTGGTGGCATTAGACTGAAACATTTCCTCCATCAATCTCTCGGTGCTGGTTTCGAAATCGACGCCTTCCAATACATTTGAGGGTGAGGTGTACAATTTCTTGACCATTTTGCCGAGTGCCATTTCCATGATGATGACGCCCAGATCCCAGATGCACGTCTTGCTGGTTCTCTTGGGATATTGGCAGTTCAGCTCCGGAGGTATCCATAAGGGGAGAGGGTCCTTGACGGCTGGAGCGGATGAGTCCCGCGCCGCCTGAACCAGGTCTCGGAGTTGCGTGCCATATCCATCGGATAGTTTGACCGTGGTCGCGCCAGACTTGGAAAGGAACAACATGACATTTCCGGCATGAACAGCTGGATGGACGTAGCCTTGTTGATCGAAAAAGAGAAGAGCATCAAGGAGTTGACGGACCCACGAGCGTATCTTGGTAGCACTTAAAGCCCCACAGAGATCCAGCAGATCAGAGAGAGAACCTTGGTTCGCAAATTCCGACAGGACAGAGAGTCTCCACGGCCCTGTGCCATCCTCGAGAGACATATGTTCAATCTTGTAGTTGAGGAGGTCGACGACATTTTGATGACGGTGTTCCTTGGACGACTCCAAAGCCTCCTCAACCTTTTCCATGCACTTTTGCAGCTCAGCTTTGGGAGCAATGCCTTCAGGAATGTCGATGTCTTTGAGCAATAGTTGTGGAGCTTGTACACGTTCGGTATCCACGCGAGGTGCCACGATCGTGACCGTTTTGTCCTCGCGCCGGAGAATGACAGTCCTTCCCACCACGGACTTGAATTTGAAAGGGAGGTTGGTTGCTGTGTCTCGACAGGTCATAGACTGATCGAATCGGATCGGGTCTTCTGGGACGTCGTAAAGATCGGCATTTTCTTCGCCCGTAATCTTTCGAGAGAGGTTGGTTTTGAGACGACGTTGCTTTTCGCTTTCGACCTGAGACGCCAGGAGAAGTTCCTGCTTTGCCATTTCTTCGGCTGCCCGTCTTCGGGCACTTTCTTCTTTCTCCTCGAGTTGTCTCTTAGCCAACGCTTCCCTAGCGGCACGCTCCTCCTCAAGGCTGAGTTCCGTTCTTTTGGCCTGCTTCGCGACAATGGCCTGGTCAATAAAATCCATGATAGCCGTGGTGACTTCGTGTACCGACTCGCTTCCCTGATGCTGTCGTGGATATGTGGAAACGATATGTTCGATGTGTTGTTTGATCTCCGGATCCTTTGGCTGAATTTCGAGGATGTTGATTTTGGGGAGAACCTTTGGATAGTCGCGAGGGAATTCAAAGATCAACTTGACAAAGTACTCGCGATCCTCGAGTGACCCGACGCGAACCTTGAAAGCTAAGTTCTCTTCGGTCTTTGATTCGGGTTAGTAAGCTGTGCGGTAAGAAAATCACACCACGGACTCACCTTCCAGGCATCCTTCCGCCCGTGGACCCTTTCGAACTCGTCAGGATAGATGGCTCTTGTCGTCAGGAATTCATTGCGCTGAACTTCCGGATATCCCGCAATCTCCTCTTCAAGTACACGATGAGATTGACCAAATGAAGGAGGAGCCGCAAGTGGTGGTTCGGTCTTTTGGGCTTGCGGTTTGGGACTTTTTGCTTTTTTACGTGCAGGCATGGTGAAAGATCAAGATCCCCGGGGGGATCTCTAGCCCGCGCCTGGTGTTTTCTGTTGTTCACTAAAAAGTTCGCAGGGAAATTCCCCAACCAGGGGTATCTCTGCCTAGGTAGCCGCAGCGACAGCTGCAGCCACCTACACTATGGTGTGTTGTGCCATCTTCTTCCTGTGTTGTGGTTGTGGGAGGGAAGAAGAGATGAGAAGACCAAGTGATGGGTCCTGAGTCAACTCGCAAAAAGGAAAGAGGCCAAGAACTTTGTCGATATTCTCCGGAGCGGAAATACTATTCACCGACCCTCCGATTCTCGACTTCCCAATTCTGTGTCTCTCACCAACGTGTTTCTTTCTTTCTTGTCTTTTGCAATCAAACCGAGAAGGCCTACCGTCTTTACTCTTCACAAGGTCAACTTTTCTGCTTCCGTGCAGTGGTAAAACCACTCGTTTTGCCCAAACGGGATTTGAGACTTTCAACCGATCTATCCAGCCCGTTCAGGCCAAGTCTGCCACAATGGTGAACATCACAGATAAGATCAAGGAGTACAGCGCTGTTCCCCGGCGCCACACGACGGAATTCCCCTGACTGTGTCCTAGGATCGAGGCCGAAATGGCCCGGACTCAGAGTGGGTGTCTGTACCTGATCACGATCGGTTGGTTCAGCACTAATGGGCCGCAGAAAACAAAGCCACCGGTTCGTGAATCAAACCTGGACCATCTTGATGAACAAGCCCTAATGGATGTACGCCAGAATATCACCTGGGCCTGCTGAAGGGGTGAGTTCTACATAGAAGAGCAATGAGGGACGCGATCATGGGAGAGATCAAGAGGAAGAACAAAGGCCGTGGCAACCAAAGAAAACCCGTGCACGTACCATTGTCACGGCACGTGACTGCCATTCTCCATTTGTACCAGCCTCGTCCTAAGCAAGGCTGGACACGTTCCAAATTGGATTCATGTTGTCCGCCATGTTCATGTCCCAAACTTCGGGGAAGTGCTATCTCGAAGGCCTCCGATGAGGCTGGATATGTGGTATCATTTCTGTCCCATGAAAATACGACACGCCTTCTATGTCCGTCCATGGCGTCCTCTCAGATGATCACAATTGGCAGGCTTGATATCAATGGCATCCTCTCTCATAAGACATGGTATACCTTATGTCACATGTGGCTAACTACATCACATAGCAAACTCGCACGTCTACGAGCACAACTACTGGAACCAGCGCCGGGCTCGGGATCAAGCGGGGGAACGGGCTTCGACGTTTCCAAGTCCGGTGATGCCCGAATCGCGCTCGTCGGTTTTCCTTCGGTCGGCAAATCGACCTTCCTCTCCAAAATTACTAAAACCAAGTCCGAAGTCGCCGCCTACTCATTCACCACCCTCACAGCCATTCCGGGAGTTCTCGAGTATGGCGGTGCGGAAATTCAGATTCTTGATCTACCCGGAATCATCGAGGGCGCGTCCGAGGGCAAAGGAAGAGGACGGCAAGTCATTAGTGCAGCCAAGGTGAGATAAGAAAAGCCTCCGACACCTTCCCCAACAGTGCGATCAATTCTCATGGGCTGGGCATTGGTAGACCTCAGATCTCATCCTCATGGTCCTCGACGCCACCAAGCGTGCAGAACAACGCTCACTACTCGAAGCCGAGCTCGAAGCCGTCGGAATCCGACTCAACCGCAATCCACCCAACATCTACCTCAAAGCCAAAAAAGCCGGCGGCATGAAAATTACATTCCAGTCACCGCCGAAAAATCTGGACGAGAAGATGGTCTACAACATCCTGCGTGACTACAAGATCTTGAACTGCGAAGTGCTCATACGCGACGAGAACGCCACGGTCGACGACCTCATTGACGTCATCTTGAAAGATCACCGCAAATACATTCGCTGCTTGTACGTGTACAACAAGATCGACAACATCAGCGTGGATTTTCTGGACGAATTGGCGCGTGAGCCGAATACGGTCGTGATGTCGTGCGAGTTGGACTTGGGGGTCGAAGATGTCGTGGAGCGATGTTGGCGGGAGTTGAGACTCATGCGAATCTACACGAAGAGACAGGGGGTGGAGCCGGACTTCAACGAAGCCCTGATTGTGAGAAGTCAGAGCACGATTGAGGATGTGTGTGATCAGATCCATCGGACGTTGAAGGAGACGTTCAAGTATGCGTTGGTGTGGGGGGCGAGTGCCAAGCATATTCCCCAGCGGGTGGGATTAGGGCATGTCGTTGCTGATGAGGATGTGGTGCAGGTCGTGAGTGCGTGGAAAGCATGAGCAGAGCCTGAGCAAACCCCGAGAAATTTGCGTCGCTTCCGACATCACAGAAGGACAGGGGATCAATACGATACTAGACGGGGAGAATTCAATTGCCCCTTACACAGCCATACGAGAAATCAATCTTGTCAATCTCATACACCACCTCACTTTACGAACCATTTGGCATCAATCCCATTTCTGCAACCCTTATCCAAATCCCGATGGGCGACCGACCTATCTCAGCACTTTCCTCGGATCCAAACGGGCCACATTCGCACTAACCGCCTTCCCGTCAAAGACAAACTCACTCATCAACTTCCCCGTGCCCGGTCCGTTCTGAATGCCCCAGCACGTATGGCCCGCCGCAAGATATACGCCCTTCGTATTCGTCGGCCCGACCAAAGGTCCTGCCCCCGTCTCGACCTGTGGTAAATAGCAAGCTTGTCTAACCAGCACTTCGCCATCACGCATCTCGTCCGAGATGCTCGCGCAATAGTCCACGATATCTTGACATCGGGAATCATCGACCTGCACCTCGGCAGTAGACTTGGGTAAAGGGACAAGATTGTCGCCCTCGCCGCACGAATATAGCTCGTTGTTCGGCCGCGCATAAATTTCGGGCGTGACGAAAGTGGCTCGCGACTTCGTACCTTCTTTGAAATTCTTTGGGAGCCTGAGTTGCGTGAAGAGGCAGTATGCAGAGACTGGGCGAGTCGGCCGGATCGTCACACTGTGAGCTCGCAATGCGCCGATGGGAGAGCCGGGCCAGACGGTTTTCGTCCACGGCCCAGCCGTCACAATCACGTCCGTTGCGGAGATGGATTCTGGGGCATTAGTAGCTTTGTCCGTATACCTGACGGTGTGCTCTCCCGACGGCGATGACTCAATCTTGTCAACATGGCCAAGAATTAATTTTGCGCCCTGTTCTTCTGCAAGAGCCGCCATCGAGGTGGTGAACCGATAAGGATGGACTTGAGCCGTGTCCTTGGGGGAGCCCATGCTGCTGTAGCCCTGGATACACTCCTCAGCGACCCAGTCCAGGTCATCTGGGAGACCCATTTTACGTAAAGTGGCGTATGATTCTTCACTTCTCTTTTGAAGACTCACATTGCCATCACTGACCACATCCGATCTATGCAGACCTCTGATATCTTCCCCCTTGGACTCACCGTCAGCGACCACTTTGGGTCGATTGCTGACATGTCGACCGGCCAGTTCGATCTGGCCCACGCCAACGCCGCGATATCCCCAGCGCTCTGCACCGCCGTGTTCTTTTGCGAGTTCGTCGTGGAGTCTAAAGCTCAGCGGCACCAGACAGGATGGATACGCCCATAGCGCAAGGAGACCGCCTGCTTTGCCCGAAGCGCCGCTGGCTATTGAGGTGGCCTCGATGAGATGGATTGAATGCAGTGCCGGATTGTATTTGGGATGTCGGGTGAGGAAATAGGCCGTGGTACTCCCGATAATCCCTCCGCCAACTATTACGATTCTCCTCTTCGCGGACTCGGCCATAGTTAGTTGGCAAAGATGAGAGCAATTCGTAAGACGATGAGAGTTGAGTGAGCAACTTTGTCAACATTAGCACGGGCCGTCTTTGAAAATTAGGGCGATGACCTCAATTCATGCCAAGACTGGATTATATCCGAACGAATGAGATCATAGATGTTTTGGGCCCAAAGCTTGACTTCGGGAGCCTCCCTGTTCTTCTGTGCTAAAATTGCAGGGCATAAACTTCGAAACTTGGAGGCGGAGGCGGAGTTGTGGGAGGCGACTCCTGTGGATTGACGTCGGACGCAAGCTGACCTGACTGTGGAAATGTGTGATTAGGATGCCTGATCGAGAGCCTCCCTTTTCTTCCGTGCTAAAATTTGCAGGCATTTTGAGATAATTCGGTTGATCATCGAAGGTGTAGTAAGTTGTTTAGCCGCTCCCGCTATACACTAGATAGATCAGGGACTAGAAGGAAAGATATGAATTTACGAATAATGGCAGGCGCTGCGGTTAGACGAATCGCCGGTGGACGAGTTGGATGACCTTTAAGCCCCTGTACCATGCTGTGCTGCATTATGCTTACGCTTTCAAATACAAGAGCCTCCCCACCTCAGAGTGCAGTGATCGCTGAAGACGCAGAGAAAATACAAAGCAAAGTGCAATTTGACATCTGAAGACTGCTTCCGATGGCTTAATGGCCCGCTGTACTGCTTATTTGGACCCAAATGAACGGTGACGGAAAGAAAAGATCAATCCACAGTCTCCAGTGGTGACATGTCTTCAGGAACATCATCTCTCTCCACCCCTCGATATATCTCGTACGTCAAGACAGTCATGTCCAGATATGTCAGCATGAGCCTGTATCTGCGGCTGTTTTCGGTGGTTTGCCATGATTCCATGCTTGTGGGCACTTGCCATTTCCGGACCTCGGTTCTCACTCTTGAAGAGGTTGAACGTCGAGAATCATAGGACAAGCGCTTGCGTTTCATCTTCGACCGTCCACCACTGCCGCTACTTTCGCCCTCGTTGGATGTGTGGTGATCGCTTCCTTCGTCGTCTTCGTCTCGCACCAGTAGTACCGTGGGATCAAACGTCGTCGGCACCCCATCCACTATACCATCGTGACCCCATTCGACCGGAGTTCCCGCTTCAGAGCGTGATTTAGGGCTTTTCTTCCTGAAGCGTCCCTGAATTGGTGAGGTCGCCACGCCCAAAAGAGGCATGATAGGTCGCGTATTGGTAAACTCTTGATTCCGTGTTGGCAAAGTCCAATCGACCCGCAGACCCAATGTTCCCGTCTTCTCGTATCTCGTCAATGAACAGACCGCACATCGACCTAATTGCGAAGCAACAATAACAATTCCTAGTTCAGGGATTTCCTGAAGCATATTGAGTCTGTCCAGGTGAGCATGATTCGATGCTTCAATGGCCGGAGGTAGAGCCTGCTTCAGAATATTGGCGCAAAAGATGTGGGGTGAATCGGCTTCGGGGGCGATGAGAAGCCTCAGATTTGAGGCACTACAATGGAGAGTGGGTATCACAGGTAATTCACGCTTCGCCCGGTCCCCCGGGACATCCCAAGCGCTGTATTTCACATCGAGTCTGGCTTTGTCATTGTCGAGGTGCTGCTGCGGCTGTTCATCCCCTGAAAGATCCATTTCGGAATGATAAATCTGGGGCTCCTCCTCAATTTCCTGGCTTAATCGACGTGTATAGCTGGAAAGCGAGGTTGCGCTGTGATGACTCGTTGAATAGAGATCCTCCTCGAGCTCATCCACACTTGATTGGTATGGCGCTTCTACCTCTTCGGAATGGACGGAAGTAGAATCTGTGGCATCGAAAAGCATGACTTCCAATGAAGGGGCGTCTGCCTCTGAAGTTCCTGGGAGGATCGTGCTGTCGACCGATTCCGGGTTAGATCTAGTGAGAGACACGTTCTCGCCGGATCCTGGTTCTCTGTCCACCACGTTGCTCTCAACGTCAGGCTGAGGCTCGCCCATATAGACACTGCCCGCTTGAGAAGAGCCGGCATTGTGCTGGTCATCGTCATTGATCAGTTCATCCATGTCCGACCAGGAATCGGGCCGAGCATTGGATTCTTCGTTGCTGTCGTGATCCAAAGCGTCAGAGTATAAAGCAGGATGGGCATGATTATTGCCCGGGGTCCGAAGTCGAACGACGTGGGTGATATCATAACTTTCACCGGCATGACCATGATACTGAGGCACCTTGGTGTGCCCACAGAATTGATCCATGCCGTTGGCCGATCGAAATGAATGAGGATCCAGGGCGGCAACCAGCCAGCCACCCTCTCGTCGGCGAAAGAAACCTGAGCGCATCCTTTTCTCGGCAAAGTCCCAAGACTTGAAACAGATTCCCGTCCAGATTTGCCAGATCTTCATTTCCCCGCCAATATCCGTACTCAGGAGCCATCTGCCATCACCGTCTTCATCGGTATTCACGAATGAGACGCTCGGGATATTGTGGTCGTGGCCTTCAAAGCCGCCTAGCGTAATCTTGTAGTTCTTTTTCCGTGGTGGAGGCGCGAAATCGGAGCCTCTGGTTTCCCACTCATGCCAATCAGAATGATCGACGACATCGTCCCGTGTGCCCTCTTGATCGAGGTCCTCGGTCAACGCAAAGGCAAAGACGGTAATTTTGGCGCATGGATCTTCGCTCGGAACATGATGCGGCGTGTTTGCGGACACGGCGATCATTCTAGCCTGGGTATGTATGGAAAGGCCCCAGGCCGATTCATGAAGCCACTGGGTGAAGAATGCCCTTACTCCCACATAGTCACTTCGAGCGTCGGTGCTGAATCGATATGGGTCTTTGCGAATGGCTTCCTCCACCGCTTTCGTATAATAGGCAGTAACATTACCCGAGTCGGTCGAGATGAGGAGAATCTCTTCTGTCCCCAAGTCTCCGACAATCAAGTGATTGATCGCATGAGGATGTTGGGGATCAATGTAGCCTTCCGCATGTGGGTTCGCCAGCGTCGGCGGTATCAAAAGGCACGGAAGTCGGTGTAGTCTCTGGAAAGGAAAATCGGGTTTGTAGACGGCGATGGAATCTCGGGTTGCGACAAAGTACAGGTTGGACCGCTGGGAGAGGGCCGTCAGGTTGTTCCGCCAGAAGGCCAAGGGAGGAGGGTTATATATCCCATCTCTTGAGAACCTATCTCTTCCTCTTTCAACGCTATGAAGGCCAATTTGGACAGGTTGAAATGGTCGGGTATCACGATCCGTGAGCGGAAGGGCCATGATGCCTCGGCGGTATGGGACACCCCGTTTCGCTGAATGAGCATGGACGGTGTCATACGCGAGAGAGATATATCTCCTGCTTGCCACTCTTGGAAAAACTCAAGTCATACCATAACTCGTATTTTTTCCGGAAGGGGGAGGACGATACGTAATCGGAGAGAGGACAGGAAACGGTGTCAGAGGGGTTTGAGCTCGTCTGGCGGGGGATGGGATGCAGGACGCAGAAGTGATATCATGAGCGCAAGCCAGACTGTGATCTCTCCCCCTTTCTGTGACACATCCGGGCTCTAACAAACGTACAAAGAGGAACGAGCTGCTGCAGGGGAGTGGAATGATGGTTGAATAGTGGGAAAGTCGGCCATGCAGGTGATCGAAAAGGGCTCACAAAAGGGCGGCACGACATACTTTGAGTGGAGCGGATCGGAATAGCGCAATGGGCGTCGTCGAGCGCAGGTGGGATTTCCACCATCATAACACATCACACTGCACCTGTCAAACAATTTAAAAGTGCCACATCTAGATTTTTGCTCTGACCAAACTGCCGTCGCCGACATCTACGGTTGAGAGAAAAAGAACAGTGGGGAACCATTTCACCCCTGACCAACAAGCAAACCAACAGCGACCCCAGGTTTGTTTTTCCATGTTGCAGTCCACAACGCCACACATCGTCTTCTCTCCCCACGTTCTTGATGGCAATCCGCGAATGACAAGGCTTTCCTCACAGATATGCTCCCTCGTTCGCGTCCGTCCGTCGTGGTCGATTAGATTACAGCAGCACGTTATCCGGACGTGACGAACGCTCATTTATCTCTTCCAGTTTCGAAACTTGATTTTCTCAAGCTTGCTGCGGTATCAACATGGATTTACTGGCGACGGTCCGTAAGGAGGGTTCTCGTGGAGGTCGGGGCGAATTCAAGTGGTCGGATGTGGAAACATCCTCCCATCGTGAAAATTACCTAGGACATTCCCTCATGGCCCCCGTTGGCCGTTGGCAGAAAGGCCGCGATCTCAACTGGTACGCTAAGGCCGGTGCCGAACCGGAGATCGGCGAAGATGCAGCGGCAAAAGCTGCGAGAGAACGACGGGAAGAGATCCAGCGAGTCAAACAAGCCGAGGAAGATGCACTGGCGAGTGCACTGGGGTTGCCAGTTGCGCCACGCGGCCAACGCAGTCTCGACGAGCTGGGCGCCCCACGCGAGGTTGGAAAGGTTGTGAAAGAGACTCCAGAAGACGATGATACCGCCGCCCGTTCGCGGAGCGTTGGATACGGGCGTCTGGCAGGGATGCCAGGGCCGAACGAGGAGCCGACTACTACCGAACGGACGAAGGACACCGGGGATGACCAAGAAAAGGAACTGCAGTACGCACTCAAGGAATACCACCGACGCCACGGTGACCGGAAACGCAGAAGTCGAAGCGGAAGTAGAGACCGTATAAGAGATGATGATGACCATAAAAGAAGATATCGGGAAGATGATGATAGCAAGAGGCGCAGACATGGTGGACATCGACATCGAGAACGTCGACCCCGCTCACCCGACAGATATCGCGATCGCTATCGACATCGACGAGAGAGATCTCGAAGTCGATCTCCCGCCTATCGCCGCCACGGCCATTACAGTCGATGGGAGACCGAGAGAAGATACGAAACACGATGAGCTTGTCATCGGATATCTGACCCTATCCCGGAGCACTTTCTGGCCCAGAATGTACGCCGAGTGAGGCATCCAAGGCCTCGCCTTCAAGATCCTTGATGTCCACATCCACCACACTGGAAGCTTGTCCAGCACTGGTGCCATATCTGCCAATGTCGGCCGACGTGCTAGTCTCCACAAATTCCTCCAGCTCTTCACTTACTGTTTTGAGCTTTTCCTTCACACTCGCCACCCCCTCGACGCCAACAATGTGTCTTGCAGGAGGATTCTCATGCCCACCGATCGCCGTTAATGCGTGGACCGTTTCCGCTATCAGTTTCTCGGTATGAGCATGGCTGAGAGGTGGATACAAACTGACCACCTCGTCACGACTTAGAAGGTAGGGACCACTCTGCCTCTCGGCTTCCGATGAGGGTGAATGAATCTCCTTTTCAGGCGGGGGGGGATACTGAGCACGGATGCCAGGTAATCGATTCAGCAGACCATCCAGTATCCCTCGAAATATGGGGGCCGTGTGGCCAAACTCCCGGGAATACTCCTTCATCGGAGGTACGGAGGTGATTTTATTGGTCAGAATGCCAATCTCGACGCTAGCTTGGACAATAGTCAATTTGATGTTGAATGGTGCGACTTCGTACGCAATACTGTCGCAGAAGCCTTCCAGCGCCCATCCCGAGGCACAGTACATGCTCAAGCCCGGCGTGCCCAGGTGGCCGGTAATTCCAGTCAGAACGATAATATGGCCGTTCATTTGCGATCGCATTTGCGGGATCACGGCTTTGATGATGTTCATGGGGCCAAAGAAGTTCTTCTCGAACTGGTCTCTCACAAGCGTCAAGGTTCGCCGATTAGCTGCGAGCTCTTCGACTGTCCCAACGACTGCTTCACTGGTACAGCAGAACAGAATATCAATTCGGCGAAAGGTACGCACAGCCTCGGCCACAGCGGCTTGGCATTGTGCCACGACTCTGTTTCGTCAGTACATAGTCAATGAAAAGTGTTCCTGCATGGCGCAAAAATGGTCGCATTTGAAATTCCATGAGACATAAGGCAGAGCATACCTCACATCTAACGCGACAACTTTCAATCGTTCCTTCCATCCATTTTTCCGCCCGACTTCAGATAGAAATGCTTTGAATTTCTGACTCCGTGTCCCCTCGCTTTCGAAGTCAGCCGGTATGATACCGGAGACAACGTAGTCGCCGTGATCGAGGATTCGGCGGGCGATAGAGATGCCCATCAAGCTGTCCCCTGAGGTGAGCAACCACACTCTCGGCGCATTATGTGTAGGGAACTGAGGCGTCGGTGTGGGCGTCGACGCTCCATTTGCCATCTCAACGCGCTGATCGGGAGAAGACCCAGAGTTGGAAAGGAAATTCGGAGAGGGGATGTACGGGCTGGTCGTGCCAAGACTCGGAGTTGGAAGAAAGTATTGATCGACACCAAAATGCTGGAACTTTTGAGGATCTACTCTTAGCCCCTAAGGAAGTGTCCAGGATAAACCATACGGAGCCTATGATACGAAGAAAGGAGGTGACATGTTCCTCAGCCAAGGAAGGAAATTGGTCACCCCGGTCTACCCGGTCTAGTCTGGAAGTGAAATTGACCGCAAACTGTGCGGAAAGGTAGTTCCGTCATCTCGATGAACTATTTGTCGTAGATTTGAGTACGTATGTCCGTTTCCTCAGTCTATCAAGGTTCATGATACTTCTCCTTTTCCCATCTGGGCTTGTCAGTGATCTCGAAGATTTCATTGAGTCTCTTTTCCCGAAATTGAGGGAAGAATGAGAATCGGTCCTTTTTCAGCTTTCAAGGAGGCTTTCCCGGCTCATTCTCCAGCCTCTGCCGTTGATATCGCGTTATCCCCATGTCTGGTGACAGAAACATTGGACGTCGCACGAGATGCCGCAATCATTCCACAGGGCGTCATGTATCGACTCGGATTGTATAAGAGAAAACCAGATGTAGAGGTACCCAACCTTCTTGGAATGTTTCCATGCGGCAAGCCCAAGTGTTCACCAGCGAAGACTTGGTCCTGTGACCCTTCAAGAGATTGAAGCGGGTGAAGGTCCCGACACAAGTGTTCTAGGATACGATAGGTAGATTAGATCGAGGGGCGATGGGGAGGAGGTGGTTCTCAAAAATTGAATGCCGAGGCTTGTCCCTTGGGTTGCTGTACCTCCCGAATATCTCTAAAGATCATCTCTTCACCAACTCGAGACGCGTCGTAAGGCTCGCGTGACTCTGGCAAATGATATCGCTGAAGATAACCGTACACATTACCCACAAATGGTTCAAGAACGAGTGATGCAAGGCCATCTAAAGCTGATTGTGGCGAGAACCAGTGCTCTCTGGTGAGCCGTGCGAGGCTATCGAGTAGGTCATTCTTCATTGATCGAAGCCTCCCTCGTCGTTCTGAACTAGCCAACCACTTCGTCAGTCCAGTCCTTTAGATCTATGTTCTGGTGAGGCCCGGGAATACTTACTGGTGGGTGTACCAAAGGCATCGTGTAGGATAAGGGTTACGACACTGGTATCGCATGTGAACTTCAGGGTGAGAGGGAGTATCTGTCGTATGGAGAAGATATTTCGCCACCTATAGTCCAAGGAAAATCATGTTCACGAGTCGGCATTGACATCCTGGTGCGCGCGGCGAAGATCGAGTGGGTAATGCTTTTGTAGAAGGACAAGGCGTAGAGTGGGGTTCTCCGGCTCGACTATGAGCTCTGTACGTAGGTTTGAGAAGCAATCTTCTCCCGTCTGTGTCTGAACTTGGCATTCCGAGAAATCTGATATGTAGATCTCAGTTTCAGCAGCATCTACTGGTTTTGGGAGTCTGTGGAAAGCGATTCAGCCAGGTAAACTCTGGCCAGTCCTGATCGTGATTCACGAATCCTGTCTCGGTCAACACTGCAGGCATCGGCAGTGCCCATGGAGTACTGGCTGTCAACTCATGCATAGTCGAGTTCGATTTTGGATGAAGACTGCGAGGACAAGCATTGAACACGATGGCGAGAGGGTCGATTCTTCTTCGTGACTGCTGTCTGGATTATAAGGAAGAAGTATCAGTCCGAAGCATGTCGGGACAACGAAAAAGAACCCATGCGGAGTTTGTCGGCCTGACCAGGAGTGTGCCTATAAAACGGGCCCACGGAATAACTATTCTCCGCAGATTTATTTCCACCCAATCCCGAGACATGGCGGACCACATGTGATGCCCACCTGCGCCCTCATCCCGAACTATCTTTTGTCCGCCACCGTGTCCCAATACGACCTTACTTCCCTATCGTTTGCTTCTCCTATTCTCTGACATCCAAGATGCCAGAGTCAAGAGGTAGCGGCGCCCCTGCCGCCAGGCAGGAAGAAGAAGGGGGAAAGGTGAGAATCTGGCGTTCTGCCCTCAACCTGTACTGGTACTGACCACGAACAGTCAATGTTCCAGTCGATCGTTCAAGGAATTGCCATTTTCATGCTCACACAATTCGTGGTGAATCAGTTCTTTGGCTCGAAGACACAGAGCAGTGGTGGCGCTGTTCCCAAAGCAAATGTCGACTTCGCAGAGAGGGCCGATATAACCACGTTGACCAACTATTCCGCCATACCATTCCACATTGCACCCATCTGGCCGGCCGACAGTGCTATCGACATCCAAGTTTATGTGTCTCCGCGAGATACCCTTCCCAATTTGTCCACTCTACCCCAGGACGCCCTGGTAATAGATGAGAAGAACTTTGTGATTGGTAATTATGAAGACAATCGAGAGATCAACACAAACGTTGCGATTCCCCCAGAGGTACAACACAATGGGACCTTTTGGAGTCATTTCTACGTAGCGTTGACTGGCAGTCGACTCGATCCAACCGCCCCTGATTACGATCCGGCGAAAGCATACCACTTCAAAAGGGCGCTCAACCACTACCTCCCCAGGAAAAAGGTCCGCAAATTGAGGAATCTGCTGGAAAAAAGCGAGGAAGTCGACGAGGAACCAGAAGAACCGCAAGATGTTCAAATCGGGTCTTTCTACCACCCAAATTTTACGGTCGCTGTGATTCCCAACACTGGAGTTCAGAATTGGCGTCAAATGCATCCTGCGATTCGCAAGAACATTATTCTCGAACCCACCGGCGCTCGGGATGCGTCGGGCATGAATGGATGGTATTACCCGGTGATATTCTTCAACACCTTTTGGCAACTCCGTTCCCATATGACGGAGCTGAACGACACCGTCAAGGAGATGCCTCTAAACATTCAACTGTACAATTTGGCCAATTGGAAGTACAATCTCATTGCCAGCCTTGACGAAGGAATGAAGCAGAATCAACAACAGGCGGCTGCGGGGGGCCCTTTGCCCGCCGGTGGAGATGGGAGCGAATTTGAAAAATTCAAAGAAATCTTGCTGGACACAAATGCCTACCTCCTGGGAACAACCTTTGTGGTCAGTATTTTGCACATGATCTTCGAAGGGTTGGCATTCAAGAACGACATATCACACTGGAGAAAGAAGAAGGACAATGTGGGAACCTCTGTTCGAACAATCCTGGCCAATGTCTTCATGCAAACGATCATTTTCCTCTACCTCATCGACAACGCCGAGGGCACCTCCTGGATGATTCTCGCCAGTCAAGGCTTCGGTATCGTTCTCGAAGCCTGGAAAATCACCAAGACGGTCAACGTGCGCCTGCGTGAACCGGCACCGGACTCACCATTCAAATTCCTGCCTTATGTCGTCGTCTTCGAAGATAAGCACAAATTGACCGAAAAGGAAAAGAAGACCCAAGAATACGACCAGATCGCCTTCCGATACCTATACATCATTGCCGTGCCCCTTTTGCTTGCGTACGCAGTCTATTCGCTCGTCTACGAAACACACAAGTCATGGTACAGCTTCGTGATAGAAACACTCGTCGGCTCCGTCTACGCGTATGGATTCCTCATGATGGTTCCAAGCTTGTACATCAACTACCGACTCAAGTCGGTCGCGCACATGCCCAGCAAGGCTCTCACTTACAAGTTCCTCAATACTTTTATTGATGATCTGTTCGCGTTCACGATTCGCATGCCGATTTTACATCGACTCGCAACTTTGCGTGACGATGTCATCTTCTTCGTGTGGCTCTATCAGAAGTGGAAGTACAGGGTCGATTACACGCGCGTCAACGAGTTCGGACAAGGCGGCGAAGAGAGTGAGGATGAAGAGGAAGAAAGCAAGGACAAGAAAGCTCTCGAGGGCCGCGATACGAAAGAACTCAAACCCTCAGCCCCTGTCGCGAGTGCGAGTGGCGCCCAGGCGAACGCAGGTGCGACGAAACGGAAATGAGTGAGGAACTTGTCGAGCCGAGAATACCTCTAATGGTTTTGATTCATTTCCCTCTCTGGATGAAATGAATACTAATCGATTGCGGTGTTGGAGAGACAGCCAAGCTAGAAACACTTTACAAGATAAGATGCGAGAGGAGAAGCAGAAGCAAAAGCTGATAGAGAAACGGTATGAGAATTCTTATACGCCGAAGCTGAAGCAAGTTGCTCCTTTTTGTTCATTCTTCACCTTGACTTTCAGAGAAAATTCTTCCCGTGCTAATGCCACGTACTCTCTTACCTTCTGACAATTATGAAAAACCAAAAGTCATTCTACCGCGCATCTGATACCCTTATCTGCCGTCCACTACAAAACCTTGTTGCAATTCACTTGCGTGTATCTCCGTAGATGCATCGAGGCAAATAGCATTGGCCATAGTTCCTGGTAATGCGGATATACAATGGCCTCTCGGCGATTCCCAATTCGCCGCCCAACCTCGTGATGGCACAGTTGATAGGGACTTTACATTATTTGCGGATGGAGGATGCAGAGATGAATGGTCTGTCTGCCATCTTCTTACGTCTTTGATGAATACTATGCGTGTCAAATCCATTTTTGGTTAATGCTGAGTGCAAGCTTGCGCCTTGGTAGAGTAAAATGCGGCCCCAGCTCACGTGTGTGCTGACCACATGCTCACGACTCAACCTCTCGTTATTGATGACATGTCAAAACAACGAGGGGTTATGAATGAAAGCAGGACAAAATGAAAAGACTTGGTAGGATAGTGAGATTCTGAGAATGACTGATACTAAAGGCTATGGCAAGGACTGTTGCATGCAAAGAATAGTGTAGCCACGGAGAGAGAGTATCGTGAATTGAGAAACACGACCTGGATGTGTAACCGGGGATACCATTGTCCCAGCCTTTTGCAAGAGAATAAAGCCAGATGATGAGGGCCGACTTTGTGGTTTCACGTTGGAGCTTTTGGCTAGGGGACAATTATTCGCGCCATTATCCGACAGGACATGGTACACAAGAAGACAGCAATGCGCTTGCTTTCGCCCACAAACAATGAGAAGTGCACCGGCCAGATCAAAATCTACACACAATGTTGGTGAGAAGACAAGAATGGATTTAGTGGTACAAGGCTGAGACGTGGCGTCGTAAATCGGAGACAATCCGTTCCGTTTTCGGAATACCTTCCTCTTGCGTGCTAAAGGTGGGGCCATTGTTAGTTTTTCCCCTACCCTTTTTTGACTGCGGCCAACGAGACCCCACATGGACTCCAAATCTTATTCATCCATGCATTCCGCACTCATGTCGCCTCCGAGCAGAAGACCATTCTATCGCAGTCCAGACTGCGGCATCTCTTCGTAACTGTTTGCACCATGTCGTTGCCCTCTCCGTCTTCCCAGCGATCACAGCACCCCCAGCACTTGAAATCAGCCTCTTTCAATTCCCTGAAACGTCCTCATCACTCTCAAATCCGCTATTTCTCGGGCCGACGCGAACTAGTGCTCGAATCCTCTTGATATTAAATTCTGACTCGTGTGCTGCCTTCGTCCTACACAATCTGCTGTGATTCCGGTACGATATCATGCTCTTCTAGGTACGTTGACCGCTCCTCAATCGCCTTTTTCCCACGAGATGATCCCCTTTTTTATTTTATTCGATGTTAGACTTCATATCCGTTTTGCTGAAAATATTGGTTCTGATTGGGCTACTTCTGGCGCACCACCTTGATCTTGAATTTTCCCAGAATCAGTGTTGACTGACGTCGCGATAGAATTGTTCGTCATTCCTTCAAAATGTGTGGCATTCTCGCGCTTATTCTTGCAAATACTTCATCCACCTCCGCTGCCGTCGACCTACACGAAGCCCTCTATCTCCTTCAACACCGCGGTCAAGATGCCTGTGGAATTGCTACATGCGCCGCGGGTGGAAGAATATACCAATGCAAGGGAAATGGTATGGCAGCGAAGGTCTTTCACGATGGCGCAAGGGTGGTGGACCTTCCTGGGTTCATGGGTCTGGGCCATTTGAGATATCCCACTGCGGGGAGCAGCGCAAATGCGGAAGCCCAGCCATTTTATGTCAACAGTCCCTACGGTATCTGTCTGGCACACAACGGAAACCTGATCAACGCTCCTGAGTTGCAAAAATATTTGGATTTGGAAGCTCATCGACACATCAACACCGATAGCGATAGCGAACTCATGCTCAACATCTTTGCCGATGAACTCAACGAGACTGGAAAAGCTCGCGTGAATGACGACGATGTATTTGCAGGCCTCAGCCGAATGTATGACAGGTGTAAGGGCGGCTGGGCATGTACCGCCATGATTGCCGGCTACGGTTTGATTGGCTTTCGGGATGCCTTTGGCATCCGTCCTTTGATTTTGGGATCCCGAGATTCCGTGGATGGCTCAGGAAAGGATTACATGATGGCGTCAGAATCCGTGGCCCTGGCACAACTCGGATTTGATGTCATTCGTGATATTCTCCCTGGTGAGGCGGTGATCATTCAAAAGGGCCATGAACCCCATTTTCGGCAAGTTCAACAACGCAAAGAATACGCCCCAGATATCTTCGAATACGTCTACTTTGCTCGCCCCGATTCGGTCATGGATGGAATTAGTGTCCACCGGAGCCGACAGCGTATGGGCGCCCGGCTGGCAGCGGAGGTGAAGAGAGTGCTCAGCCCCCAAGATCTAAAAGACATCGACGTGGTCATTCCGATTCCCGAAACGTCAGTCACCTCCGCATCCGTGGTGGCCAAGGCGCTGGACAAAGAATATTGTCAAGGGTTTGTCAAGAACAGATATGTTTTCCGCACCTTCATCATGCCTGAGCAGAAGGCACGACAAAAGGGTGTGCGGCGAAAACTCAATGCCATGGCGATGGAATTCAAAGATCGGAATGTTCTTCTCGTGGACGATAGTATCGTAAGAGGCACGACCAGTCGGGAAATTGTAACCATGGCTCGAGAATCTGGGGCCAAGAAGGTTCACTTTGCCAGTTGCGCTCCTCCCATCACTCATGCCCACATCTACGGAATTGATTTGGCATCGCCCTTGGAATTGGTGGCACACAATTATCACGGCGCGGGTGCCATTGCCAAGCATATTGGAGCGGACAGTGTGATTTACCAGTCTTTGGATGACTTGAAAGCCGCATGTGTGGACGCCGCTCGAGAAGCCAACAGTCGCGGCGCTCCAGAAAACTTCGAGGTCGGTGTGTTTTGTGGCACTTATATCACTCCGGTGGATGATGACTACTTTGACCACCTGGAGCGAGTCAGAGGGCAAACTCGAAAATTGAGGATTGTGGACGAAGCCAGACGAGCGGTTGCCCAAGGCGTGGCAGGAGAAGATCAAATTCAACTGGCTACCAATGGAGCCGTGGTGAACAGCAATGGCAAAGTGGTCCCCGCGATCAACGGCGGCACCAGGCAACCCTCGATTCAAACCCAACCAATGGATCTTTCTCATCAGAACTCTGCCACATCACAGGAAAACGAAAGCTCATCAGTCCGGGATCGAATGGACATCAGTCTGCACAACCTTGGAGACTTCCCCCGAAATGAATGATGCAAGTCGGTCCGACAGCGGATATAAAGTAAGGTGCTGTACCTCACCTGTGGACATACCACGCGGGTTTTGTACGTTTTTGATTTTGTAAAGGACATGAGGCAGGAAATGGTTTTGTATCCCAGGAAATCCAGGTCCTAGACAATATTGGAGGGATTGCTTCTAGAATTGTTCGGAAAGCAAGCTGCTCGTGTGTGTGGTTGTACGAGTGACGGCTGCTGATTCTCCTTCTAATTTTCTGGTGCATCGTCGCTTTTCCAGCTCTGGATTCAAGCCTCGTTATGGACGATGTTTTATGCCAAAGCGGACGCGTGTTCCGGGAACTTAGCTCTGCCCGACTTCGAATTCCCACACATTTGATCATCCAGCAATCCTAACATCGCATATCCCAGCACCATAACATCCTTCGTCACAGCAGGAGATATATCTTGCATCTTCACTTTTGACATCCCTAAGGCGCGAATCGGCCAAACCTGCACTGTGGTCTTCCAGTTTCGTGGATTCCATACGTATCGTTTTCCCCATATCACCACTCAGAGACAGTACAGTGGAAGGAAACACGACCTTCAACAATCGACCTCTTCAAGCATGCGTTCACGGATTTCCCAAAGCAAATCAGAAACGCATACCCTATTGGATCCACGATCTGTCTGGCCGGAAGAATGAGCTTTACAATGAGCAGCTCTGACAATGGTTTGGCGCCTATTCGACGTTGACAACACGAGAGTGGAGATCTCAGGAGATCATAACCTGATGCGCCAATGGCAAAACAGGTCGACAGGGCAGGAGATTTAGTCGGGCGACACCGGGAATGCCATAAGATTGGTAGTGTGCATCTGCATGAACTGGTGGTGGAATGACAACAAACACTAAAAAGTGACAGCGCAAGGCGTACGGGCGATTGGTGAGAAGAGCAGACCTAAGAGGCACGCCAGAAGGAGGCTGGGATGAACAGTGGGGCACAAGTCACAAGATGAAGCTGGATACGCTGCTCTCTGTTTAGATCCCATTTACAATGAAAGCTCGCCGTTATCCCTTCCTCTTCTCCTCCCTCGTGGACATCGTTCCTTGCAGCTCGTCGCTGTATCTTGGAGCTCGAGTCGATGGAAGGCTCGTTACAGTACCGCATTTCCGGACGACGGCGGCCTTGCCTCCCAACAGCAATAACAACTACACCAAACACGAACTGGCCGCTGTTCCAGATGTCATGCTGACGGTGTAGAATTGTCGGAAACTAGCACAGACCAAGGCATTCCATCATGTCGCGACCTCCCGTTCCACGGTCTTCGGTCGCAAGTGGCCTTGCGCCTCCCGCTCCGCCGCCAGGATATCCTACCAGCATGCACGGATCCGGTGTATTTCCCCCGCCTCTGCCGCTCAGTGCGGCACCAAGCAGACCGCAGTCGCGCATTGAACCACCTCCGCTGAGCGCGACGATGGGACCGATGCCCGGAACGCTGGAGCGGCCGATACAAGGACCGCGCAAGAGACTCATCGTCACGTGCGACGGAACGTGGCTCGACTCGGACAACGGACTGATGAACGGCCAGAAACAGCCTCCTTCCAATGTGTCGCGGATTGGCTGGGCGATCAAGGACACGTCAAGAGATGGGATACCACAGATTGTCAACTACCAGGCTGGAGTGGGCACGGCGGGCGGACCCGCCGCGAGAGTCGTCGGAGGAGCAACGGGACTGGGTCTGAAAGAAAACATGCGCGAAGCATACACCTACCTGGCCATCAACTGGAAACCCGGAGACGAGATCTTTCTCATGGGATTCAGCCGTGGCGCATTCACCGCACGAAGTACCGGCGGCATGATCGGGGCCTTGGGTCTGCTGACGAGACTGGGGCTTCCCTATTTCAATGAGATTTTCGAAGATTGGGAACATCGCTTCGACGATCGATATGTATCGAAGTTTCCGAACGTGCCATTCCCGGAAAAAGGACCTTTCGACCAGCGATACGTGGACGAGCTAGCGAGACGCGGTCTCACCACTCTCCATATACCTATTAAGGCGATATGTTGCTGGGACACAGTCGGCAGCCTGGGAATCCCACGGGTGGCCTGGCTCGAGAATCTGCGTCTACAGCCTCCGGGCATGCACGACTACGAATTCTACGACACTCGGCTGCACCCATGTATTGAGAACGCGTTCCAGGCTCTGGCTCTTGACGAGCGTCGAGCGCCTTTCTCCCCCGCCCTCTGGGAGAAGCGTGATAACGATCGCACCAATCTTGTGCAGGTCTGGTTTCCTGGCGTGCACAGCAACGTGGGGGGTGGATATGAGGATCAGGATCTCGCCAACATCACCCTGGCTTGGATGATCTCCAAGCTCGAACCGTTTCTGGACTTTCGGCCCAATTTCCTCATCGGCCTCTGGGAAGAAAATCGCGCTTATTACAAGACCACCGGCCAGAAAACCCGATGGTGGAGTTTTGGCGAGTTGTACAATTCCCTCAAGGGCATCTACAGTCTGACTGGTTCCAAGAACCGGACGCCGGGGAATTACTACAGAACCGATCCACATACCGGGCGGCCGATGAACAAGAGGCTGAAAAACACCAATGAATACATCCACGCGAGCGTCCGGAGTCGTCTTGGACTACAAGGACCCGGAAGCCAGGATCGAGGCGTGTATGACCCTCCTGCATTAAGGGATTGGACATTCAATACGGAAATTGTTCCGCCTGGTCAAGGAGGCGGTCCGGACGGTCTGCTCGTCGTGTGGACGAACCACAGCACGAGGTCGAGAGGCGGGCAGGACAAGATCCCCGAAGCTCGTCTGTCAGAGACGGAATTGGTCCTTCTAAGGCAAAGCTCAAGAGTGTACGACTATGTTCGCAATTTAAGACCGCCATCGGCGCCCCGGGAGAAGAGGCGGTCCAGGAGACAAGATGGAATGGCTCCTCTGCCACCGGACTATGCTGCGGCCGGCGCAATTCCTCCGCCCCAAGATTCCAGAAGGAGCAGCAGGTTGAATCCGAATGGATTTCCCGAGACGGATGAGGAGAGGAGGCGGAGGAAACGAGACAGTCGCGATCCGGACCAACAGAGACGAAGACGGAGTCGACGACATGACGATTGAAGGATGAATCTGAGTTCTTCACAAGAAACCCAATGCTGCAGCGGCAACTGCATCGGTTGTGCCAAGCTCATATCAGATCCATGAGCGCCAACCAACAATCCAAATTGTGGTTGGAAGCACTTGGAAATCCTCCAAGCCGACAATCTTCGATGGACTGAAGCAGATTTTCGAGTAAGAAATTCCTTGGGGTTTGGAACGCATGAATCTTGGGTCTTTCGTGTGCTCGCCATGAGTATTTAGCAAGGGCATCCCGATCATGCTGGCAATGGACGTGTCCCAATGGTGTAGGTCACGTCGACGTACGATCCCAGAGCACGGCACTGCCAGCGAAGAAGAAGGAAAAGGGAGAGGGGAGAGGGGGGAGGAGCTCGGTCCATCTAACCCAACGAGCGGGCCGAGATGTAGACACTTGGATTTGGAAACCTGAAGATCGACTAGTCCATGGAAATTGAAGTGAGGAAGGCTTTGAAATTGATCATCGAGGCAAATCGAGTCAAGCCGAGGAACAAGACTGAAATCTGAAGGCGAATGGAACATACGGAATCAGATGGAGATGGTGATGGAGCTGGCTTATCAATGCAATGAGACTCCTTGAGCGAGAAAACCTGGTTGTTCCCTGGCCCGGGGCCGGCGATCGTCGATGATTCGAAGGTGTCGGTTCGTTGCAAAAACAGACATGAGGACGTGGCGTGGAGATCTGGTCAAACTCGATAACTTCACTCTGTCAAAGTCTCACCATGCAGATTCGCAAGCACAGGGTGGGGGTCGGCCTCCAACATCGCCGCCAATCTCTGAGCCCTCCTCTTTCCGGCAACCCACATCATGAAGTCACTGTAGCTCTGAGGCAGAACGCTGATATTGGCTGGGGAAAGGAATGTGTAATAGAAGGTCCCCGTTGATTTTCTTTCTTGGTCATGATGCTCGACTGGTCGCACGTGCGTCCGAACCATGACCTGAATCCGTGTTCCACCGCTTGGATCGGGCTCGGTGTATGACACAGCGGCTGCGACGTACAAGACCGATCCGACAGGCACCGGTTCCTCAAATGTGCTTGGATCGAGGTTCACGAATCGTGGCCGGGTGCGGGAGAAGGCCGCGGCGCAGGTAAAGGCCAGTTCGAAGGTTTGTTTGAGCAAAAATCCGCCAAAGATCATGAAATTATGACGATTCCGCCATTGAGGCTGCATTATTTGAGTACTGTGGATGGTCGTCTTGGACATATTTAGAACGTTCGCCGGCTGAGGCTTTGGATTTTTGGAGTCCGCATAGCCCAGTGACTCGGTCCACATCTTGTGAATCAAGGCCGACTCCTCTGCGTCGGGGGCCTTGCTCAGAATATGCAACGACTTCAGGGCTTTTTTGTTCTTGTAGTTTTCCTCCCCCTTGGCGAAAAGGGCCTTCTCGGCCGGCGTGCTGACCACTAGAGGGGCAATGTTGACGGGTTTCTTTGTCTGCGGATCCAAAGCCACCATGGTGAAAGCACAAGTTACGAAGATGTCCTCCGGCGCAACTTGCTGACCTGCCGCCGGAGCTTTAGCAATCTGAAGAGTAATTTCCATGCTGCTCCTTCCAGTAGCAAATGTGACTTGTCCACTCAGCTCCAGATCACATATTTCCCGGATCGGATTTTTGATGGTGATTCTGTCGACGGCAGCGGTCACCGTGCTCACCCCCTCACCCGTATGCTTATATGCTACCACACCAGCCAAGGCATCCAAGTCCATCAACAAGGTGCCGGTCCGAATTTGTCCCGTGTAGTTGGCATAGGTATCAAGCAGCCATGGGTCTTGCTACACCCCAAAACCAAAAATCAATGTCGGTAACAATGGGAAACGATATTGTCTCTGGGACCACTGACAGATAAAGGCAGAACAAGGCTAACATAGCTGTCCAACATCTTCCTCGGCGTCAAGTCTGGCTTGGGGAATTCCGCCGCTTGAGCTGCAAGGTTATTCTCCGCCTCTTTTCTTTCTTGCAAAGCTTGAATCCAGGGAGTCCGAACACGCATTTCGGTGAGGGCTTTGTAGACTCCGTCGGTGGGACGAGCGGGAGTTGAGTGGAAGAGGCGTGAAGGTATGTTTCTGGCAATCGGAAGAACACGTCGTATCCGGAGGAGGGCTCGTGCTGGGACAAGGGAGAACAATGGGCTGTGAGCCATTGCGGCGGATGGGTACTGAATTCAAGTCCTTGAAGGTTCACGGTCGCGGGATCATTATAGTAACACTGTGGCAGGCGGGAAATATTTTCTCAATAGGATCTCCGCAGGCGAATCAGCGGTTCTATTCTCTGTTCCTATAAAGTTACAGCCCTGATATCGGAAGCGTACACCCAGAAAAACAATTTCCGATCCGGGCTTGGCGTTGTCGCCGCCTTTAATCATCTCTTCTCTCCACCACACCACTTCTTCGAAGCTTCAGGATGGCAGAGGCTGAAATCGAGCTGGGGGAGAGCTTATTCACACACCGGCGGTCTCATCTCCATCTGCACACCCACACAACCATTCGGGTCTGCCGAGACGAAAACCTGGCTGCTCCATTGGAATCCCGCCACTTGCTTCAGCCATTTCTTTCATGGTTCCCTCGAGCGAAAAATCTTCGTTGGTCTCTCCACTTGTCTTTTGCTGACGATTTAGACTTTACACACATGACTGGCGAAAAAGCTCACCGAACCATTGCGGACCACCTCCAAGACGCTGAGGTAAGCTTGTTTTTGGGGGGGGGAGGTGTTGGGCTTGCTGATTCTAAAGGCCCCTTCTAGTTGTGGACACAGCTCGGGTATGAGACATTCCAAATTCAACTAACCCAACATGGTGAGACTCTTTCCAACAGAGTATTCGTCGTAGATTTCCACCTTTGCGTATGGCGACAACAATTCCTCAGGTTGCTACTGATTTGACTCCAGTCCCGAAGAGACAATGGCTCTTCTTTGTTGTGTCCCCCTGGAGTCTATCCAAGCGCACTGCAGTTAGTCCGACAAAACATGCATTTCACGGGCCCATCCCGCTCAAATGGACGGTTCGCAAGAACAATATCGGCATTCAAGGTCGAGCAGGAGCAAGACATTAACCGCCTGGAATCATTCGATGCCAAGAACCCTGTTGGCAGTTCATTTTCACCTATGGACATTGCACACCACCGGGTCAGGGTTCCGTTTCAATCGGCCGTCACTCCGCAGTTTGGCTCCCATCTTTCCGCTGCGGGTGGTGATGCAGACCCCATTCAGCAGCCGCAGCGGAAATCACTATTGGGTGAAGATGTCTTGATTGCGTTGTTGGACGCAGGATTGCGCACCAGCATGTGTCCTCGCTCAACACGGATCGCGGCAGGAGTGAAATGCCTGGATGAGCGGGGAAATTTTCGACTCGGTGATATTGCGCCGGCCGTTTTCGTGCCGAACTACACTCGGAAGTTTGAAGATCAGGCGAGATTCATTCCAGGAATCTCCAAGTTTTTGGCGACTTTTCTGGCGGTCTCGAGGGCCGAAAGGATTGAATCCCGAGAGGCTTCTCTGGAGCTGCAAAAGGACCTCTGGATGACGGTTGCAAACAGCGCCCGAAATCACGGACCTGTTCGACGACTGCGGCCTCTGTGGTCTGCAAAGACGACGACCAGCACTGGTGAAGTCTTGAAAATTGATCAAGCTACAGAAGTGGGCACGCTCCTGCACCATGAAGGAAGCCGGAGGGAATCTTCACCGACGGAGAATTCAGGTAATGAAGGCATCACTGATGAAAATATTTTCGATTTCTGCCGGACATTCGATACACAAGCTAATTCCCTCCCAAGGGACATCCCCCCGGTCGCATTAAAAAGTTTCAACGGTGGTCACAGTGCAACAGCAATGGACTTCTGTGACGGGGAAGCAGAGGCGGCTGGGTCGAGACCGGGAGAAACCGTTCTTATCCCTTCCGAAGATGAGAATTCAGCCGATCCACCGGGCAAAAGCAGAAGTCACACAAATAGCCTGTCACTGAGTGAAGTGTCAATGCTTATGTCCCTGGAAGAAGAAAGCCGCCTAATCAGGCGGCCCGAGGTTACCGGTGGGTCGAGCTGGCTTACTCAGAATGTCATCCGCATGCATCCGCTGAGGCAGCATGCACACCCAAGCCATCTGCTCGACAAGTGTGATTCCGGGGAGAATGAGGAGAGCTTCATATACGACCAGTCTCACCTGGTTCCATCCAGGCAGTCTGGCGGAGTGTGTCTGGAACTCGACGAGTTTGATTGTCAATACACAAAGCCCCCCTCTGCCGACGAACAAGACCGGATCCCGAACTTCCAGGACTCATATTACCATTCAGCCTCGGGACATTATATTGACGACGGCTCGGAGCCCATGTCGGGAAACCAGAACGACCACAGTTCAGACGTTTCATTGACAGACGTGCTTGGAAACGACCATCTGTTGTGGCATATGTGGAAGAGGCGTGCTAGCGTGGCTCCTCGTGGAGAGGAAGACATCGACGATATGAAAACGATGTATCAGACGAATCCAGATATGAAGCTGTTGAGCAGAGGAGGGGACCTTGATCTCAGTGACATGAGTTCCTCAAGCCACGACGACCCGATGCTGGCCGAATCGACGGATCCTCGTTCTCCGGTCCGGGAAAGACCCAGTCATCCAGGGACGCCAACTTCAGAGAGAAGGTCCTACTTCGCAACGACACGCTCTTCCTCCTCCTCGTCTTCATACATCGGCCAGCCATCAAACCCCTCGGATCCCAAACTACCGCGACGAGGGAGCATCATGAAACGCTTCTCCTGGGGAGGTCGGCATCATTCTTCGGAGATGACGGAGCTCGATCTAACGAATTTGGAGGGACGAATCATGGAAGTCAAACGAAGAAAGACGCTGGACGACTATGAGATGATGGAAAGGGATGCGGCTCACGATGACGCCGATGAGATGCTCTTTTGAATGAGGGTTGACTGGTATTGACGGGTGTTTTAGGGTTTGCTCCACCCACAAATATTGGGAAAAGCGTTGTGACAGTGCTGGAACACATCATGGTCAGCTTTGAGAACCATCCTCGTCAAGGTTGTGAGGTAGGAAAAAGGTGAAAATGCATCTGGGAGAACACGGTGATGGATTTGAAGCAACAGCGGGCGGGCAGTAATTAACGAACATGAAAAAGTTCCCGAAGTTCAGCATATTCCCACAATGCCAGAGAAGGTATAGCAAATGAAAGAATGAGATAGAGTTAATATTACCGAAACGAATCTAATTTTTATCGAGGTCGGTTATTTTGGAACGGAGTGAACCGGTGTCTGTGATGTTACGGTTTGATGCTTGGGCCTTTTCGCCCAGAGCTCCCACAATACGACATCATCATCCCTTCCTCCCCCATGCGCATCTACGAACACAAACTTGCGTAGGCGACACTAACTTCTCAGTTCTACCCACTGACACTCGGTCCCCTCTTTTCTGAGTTTGGATATTTTTGTTTGAAAAGCTGCCCCTCACGGTCCATTGGCCTTTTGTGCCACCGGAAACAAAGCTGGCTTCTCATCGAGACCTGTCCGAACTCTCTCCTCACTCATGGCAAGGCACTCTTAGTTGGATTCCTGGGACTGAACAATACAGAACCCGAGCCAAACTGTTGCCCAAATCACGCGTTCCTGTCCTCTACCTTGCCTCTGGCCTGATCCTCCTCCTAGTCCTGCTTGCTCAGCTTTTCGGATCACAAGACATCCGGCCGCACCCTCCGCAACATCCCTTGAGTCCTTTCGGAGACAGCGTATATAGACAAGAGGCATATTTTGATCTGTTGGAACCTGGTACCCAGTGCAAACCGAAATCCCTTTTCTCAGCCGACCTTCCCGTGACCCACGTGCTGGCCAACATGGCTCTCGAGGCAGAGGCAAAACGCATGGTGGCGCAGTTTGAGTATACCACGGAGGATTTGAACAAGGGTGTCAAAGAGTTCATCCGGGAGATGGATGAAGGCCTGGAGAAACAAGGGACGTCGTTGAGCCAGATCCCCACATATGTCACCTCAGTTCCCAATGGCACGGAAAAGGTAGGGATAAAGGCCGTGTTGCGATTCAACTAACAGCACCAGGGTGTGTATCTGGCCGTTGACCTGGGGGGGACCAACTTCCGCGTATGCTCCATTACCCTGCACGGAAATCAGTCCTTCTCGTTACAGCAGTCCAAAGTCGCCGTGCCGCGATCCCTGATGGAAGCCAAAACGGCCCACGAGCTCTTTTCATTCCTCGCCCAACAAATAGAGGCTTTCCTCCAAGAGCATCATAACGACCACTTTGAAAAACACCGGACAAATCCGGTGGAGCAAGATTTCTTTGATCTGGGCTTCACATTTAGCTTCCCCGTCAATCAAATTGGCATTAACAAGGGAAAGCTGATGCGATGGACCAAGGGCTATGACATAGACGAGGCTCTCGGAAAAGATGTTTGCGAACTGCTACAAAAAGAAATCGATGCATTGAAGCTCCCGGTCAAAGTGGCGGCCCTCGTCAATGACACCGTCGGCACCTTGATGGCGAGATCATACACGTCTCCCGGCAAAACGAAAACGTTGATCGGCGCCATCTTCGGTACCGGTACCAACGGAGCGTATGTCGAGAAACTGGACAAGGTGAAGAAGATGGAGGCCATCGACGAGGCGGAAGGCGGCGCCACCAATTATGACCGGTCCACGGGGCTGATGATCATCAATACCGAATGGGGCAGTTTCGATAATGCCTTAAAAGTGCTCCCCAACACGCCATATGACATCGATCTGGATCGAGAGTCCGTGAACCCCGGCATCCAAATGTTTGAGAAGCGGGTGTCTGGAATGTTTCTCGGAGAGATTCTCCGACGGGCCATGCTGAGTCTACACCGGCATCCTGATGCGGGAGTGGCGCTTTTCAAAGACACCACGTCACACGACAATGACATTCGGAGCACCACCACGGTGGCGGACAGTAGCCCCATTTACAAGCAATGGGGCATCGATACCTCGTTCCTCTCCATCGTTGAAGAAGATCAATCTGACCATTTACGAATCACCAAACAGACGCTGGAGAAAGAGCTCGGAGTAGAGGCCGCGTCCACCGAGGACTGCGTGGCCGTCAAGATGCTCGTACATGCTATTGGAAAACGAGCAGCACGGCTCAGTGCCGTTGCACTTGCGGGAGTGATCATTTCCACCAACACTCTACAAGAAGAAGAAATTGTTGACGTAGGCGTTGATGGCAGTCTGGTGGAGTATTATCCTGGCTTTGAAGAGTACATCCGCGAAGCCTTCCGAGAGATCGAGGGGATTGGCGAAGATGAAAAACGGATAAGAATTGGCCTGGCAAAGGATGGCAGCGGTCTTGGAGCTGCTCTTATTGCCTTGGTCGCCCACAACTCTGCATAGTGGAGGAATGGTACCGCCATGACTTCAAAAAAAAAATCCGTATGATTGAGCATGTGCATTCTGCTGGTAATATCCATATCATCGAGGGAAAGTAGCAATGATCTTTCATCGAATTGCAAATAATGAGCTGGGAGTGTTTTATGAGAGAGAATTGGAGGTAGTGTATATATAACCTATAATTGAAAAAGGTCAACGTGGAAATAGGAGACCTTTGAAAACTCGCGGCTGGTTGGGTGCAGAGATTTTTCGTATGTCCGTGTGCGCACCCCGACCACGAATACCCATTTCCGATATTCGATGTTCATCATTGTTTAAAACAGTATCTCCTTTCTTTAGACCTGCTCCTCTCAAACACTACGACCAACCCTGAAAGGAGCCAGTTTCGTTCAAGGATGAGTGGCGATCTGCAATCATGGGCGCTACCTCGGCTTCGTCGTTTGCTTGCCATCGACGACGAATCGTTGAAGGACATCATCACATACACCTCAACCCTTTCGAAAGATGCCGGTGCTGATCATCTGAAAAATCTGCTTGGAGATTCTCCACCGGCCTTGGAATTCATTTCATCCTTTAACGCCAGACGAGGTGGCGGCTCGCGGAGACAAGCCTCCCACGGTCCGGTTCAAGGCGCTTCAACAATGGCAAACGAGGAGAACGGCGTCCCCAAGAAAACACCGAAAAGCGCGACACCTTCCCTCCATACTCCGGGTCCAGCACGTCGCCCTGAAGGTTATGGCGATGTGAGCGGGGGATATAACAAACATTATGACATCGATGACGACGGCCGAGTCCGAAGGAGGCCGGGTTCTCGAGAGTACAATGTTCCCACCGCATCAAAATCTCCCGATACCCTGGACGTGTCCCAAACCACGACAGGTCTCACTTTTGGTTCTTCGGCCGCTGCGCGGGATGCTTCTCCCGCAAAAAGTCCACAAAAGCTCCCTCCATCAGCCTCAGGAAACTTAATATCCGACTTTGGGTTTGCCAATGTCCGGTCTAAGCAGTCCAAAAAGCCATCGCACACCACCCATTCCCAACCGCCGTCCGGAGCGTCCACACCAAACCGAGGATCTGCTACGACAACCACCTCGAGTGTGGCCGATTTGACCGCTGCAATCGCGGCACTAGAGCTATCTACCAATCCATCTCTGTCCACTCAGAGAAGAAAATGCCCTTGCAATGCTTCGATACATCCCCTTTTCACCACGGCACCGAACTGTCTGAATTGTGGGAAAATTATCTGCGCCCTGGAAGGACTTCAACCGTGTTCATTTTGTGATGCCCCAATCCTGACCAAGGATCAGGTCAACAGGATGATCAAGGTACTGAAAGAAGAGCGTGGGATTGAGAAAATGGCCGTTCATAATGCTGGCCAGTCGCAGTCAGGGAGAGGCACCCCCATATTGGGGAGCTCAACACCTGACAGTGCGTCGGGGGACGAAGCATCCTCCGCTGCAGCACGAGCACGGGCGCATCGAGATAAGCTGCTGGCGTTCCAACGGGAGAATGCTCAGCGGACTCGAGTACATGATGAGGCTGCCGACTATGATGTTGGTCTGACGCCGGGGACGACGCAATGGATGAGTCCTGTTCAGCGTGCGGCCGCGCTGAAAAAACAACAAAAGTACCTACGAGAATTGGAGGAGGCGAATCGACCAGAATGGGAGAAGAAGAAAACAGTCATGAGCATGAGCATCAAAAACGGTAAATTGGTCAAGACCTTCGAGCGCGAGAAAGCACCAGTACTGGGAGACAAAGAGGAGTCTGACGACGTGGGCGCTGAGGAAGATGACGGTGACAGTCAGCATCTACGTGTCGGCGGGAAGGGCGCATTCAGCAACAATCCTCTCCTCGCCAGTGGAAAGCTCATACGACCTGTGTGGAAGGCTCCAGATGGTGATGGGAAGGGCAAAGGCCCTGAGCGGGGTGACGGTTTCGCAGGAGGGAGCATGTGGCGCCGGGTGCAAGACGACAATGAGGATAACGAGCAATGGATATTGGACGGTGGGCTCTATGGCTATGGGGTCGAGAATAGGTCGATGGAAGATGGAGTGGATAAATAGAAAAATTTGGGCCTGACATGCAAAAGGCCAGGACCAGGAACAGATCACGTGAGATGGTTCACTTCGTGGCCATTGGTTTTGTGTGAATCTGAAGGACGCTAAGCCGCCGAATGGAGTTTAAGGGGGTGTCCCCTGCGGCCAGTTCCGTTATCCCCTGCTTGTTCCTGGCGCGTGGATCCAACTGCTACAGCACCAGCGCTCTCCGTACAGTGCGCTTCGATATCAGTTCTGCCACCCAAAAAGAAAAAAAATAAAAGTAAAAGTTCACCATCTCGACGTCCTTTGCCGCCCTCTCCATCGACTCGCGAACCCCTCCCTTAAATCCTTTGTCTTCGATCCTCGACCCTTACCGGGACCACGATCAATCCCCCTCAACACTTTTTTTATCCTGCACGAGCCCACCTCAACCCTGGCCGAAGCAACTGTGAAGCGACCGAGTTCCATATCACGAGCCCAACCCCGTTGCCATGGCCTGACATGAACGGAGGCATCAATAATTGATGAAGAATAATATCGCCTCTTCGGGCTTTGAATTGTTCTCCTCGTGTATGCGGTGGATGTGCCGACCACTCCACCGCGTAGATCTCTCTTTCGATGCTGGCCATTGACACCGTCTCTGCGGTGGGGTTCAGAGATACAAGTCTCTCCAAGATCATGGAACCTGATCTGCCCCAGCTGGCCAATACTCGAATCGCTCTCCTTCCTGAGGATGCCACGCGGTCAGGACGACCCGGTCGTCATGAAGATGCCGAGAGAACCCGCGCCTCCAGTGAGAATGCTCGACTGAACGGTGAACGGGGAGAAGGCTCCCAAGGCAGGGATGACGCTCCTCTTCAGGTGGAAGAAAAGCCGGCCGGACCCAACACCACTCGGGAGTTGACTCTGCTGTCTCTCGAAGATACCACCGAATTGTTCAGGAAGAAAGTCGCCGATGCGAGGCAGGATACCGAACATGCTCTTGCCGGTAGCGAAGCCGTCTCCGATGCGGTCAGGCCCAAGCTCACCCTCGACCTGGGGCATTCCAATATTGCGAGACTGCCCGAAAGTGTGGTCGATCTGATCAAAGCGGAAGTGGAGAGGCTGTCCTTATCTCACAATCAAATCTGGCACATTCCCCTGCGATTTTCGGAATGTTCCCATCTCCGGTACCTGAATATACGTTCCAATGTCTTCCGCGAGATTCCTCGAGGAGTATACAAGTTGAACCAGCTGGAGATTTTGGATATCAGTCGCAACAAGGTTCGAAAGATATCAGGCGACATCCGGAACCTCAAATCTTTACGCGTGTTCTCCATTGTGCACAACCGAGTGGAAGACTTACCGACCGAACTTTGTGAGATGACCAAATTGCAAATATTGAAGATTGCCGAAAACCCGTTACGGTTTAAACTGAAAAAGATTGTCGAAGCAAAAGAATCCGAAGTGTCCTTCTCGGAAATGACCGATCACGAAAGAGAGACTGCCATCACACTGGAGATCAAACGATATTTGAGGGACCAGCACCCGGTGGTCACGGCCCTCGATGTTGAGGCATCTCTCGAATGGGAAGAAAGCCCGATGAACACACCAAAGCCTTTGAAACGAGTGCTGAGTAGTAGGTTTCCCGTCATCCCGAGCACTGGCAATGTGGAACCGGCATCCGAAGGAAACAAATCATCCCCCACTCACGCCAACCCACCTCCCATACCCACTCGTTCACATTATCGAATGACTTCTGGAACTCAGAATATCGCTCTTCGACGGCCGGGAATGGCACCATTGATGGGCCCGAATAATAATGAACGGAATCGAAGCAACAGTGAGAGCGTGCTGCAAGCATCTGCGGCCGCTCGGCAGAAACGAATGGGGATGCTGCGAAAGGAAAAGCCGGAACTGGATAGCATCGATGAACTCAAAGTGAACAGGAACAGTCATCTCCGAGGATTCAGTCATGGCTCGGTGCTGAAACGGAATGGGGTCTTATCCTCACCCGGTGCAACGAGTTCGTCAAGTCCCAGCAGTCCAAGAGATGTCCGAAGAAACCGGCTGGCCTTTGTGAAACGATTGTCGAGCCTTCCGGAACACAAGGTCGAAAACGAATGGAACAGTCCCGTCATCGACGGTGCCAAAGGCATTCTCTATGCGCTCTATCAAATCCACCCACGCATCTCGGGCATCATTGCCGCCATCAGGGGAAAAGACATTCGAAGAAGTACCCTCGAGTTTACTTTCTTCAACGCGTCAACTCACGTTGATCGTCTCAACGAGGCATTGGAACAAGCCGATCTGGCTGACACGGAGGATGAAGATGCGCTCGAAAAGATCGAAGCCACAGTTCGACGGGATTGTGCGACTTGTATCATGGCGTACACGCATGTGACGGCACAATTGCGGGATAATGTGAAGAAAATTGTGGCCGGGACGGATGCTCGATATGTTCGCACCTTGATGCTTCTTCTCTATGGAAGTATGATGGAAGTCCGAAATGCGATTCGAAGCTTTGGAGCCGAAGCCAAGGTTACTCCAGGTCTCGGACATCGAAGGCAGTTGTCCAGTGGAGATACTCATCCCATCCAGACAATCCCTGAAGAGTTCAGTACGCCTTCACCACCGGTTCGAGCTGCTACACCTCCCCCCGACGGAAGAGGACCTTCGAGACAAGGGGGGAGACTGCGCAGTGACACGGCCATTCAACATCCAGTGGCCGAAAATATTCCGGGACATCAGCCGAATGCTGCACAAGATTCCAATCCAGCTTCTCTCCCGACTCCCATCCACCTGATCGGCACCACAATCAATGGGACCATATCGACCGGCACCTCATCCACATGGTCCAATAGGGGCACGCCGACCTCTACTTCCACCTCTACGAGCACGAGGTCCAGATCAGATTCACGCACCGCACCCATGACGGACGGTCTGACATCCTCATCTGTCGCCAGTACTCCTCGTTCGGGCGAAGGATTCAACCTTCCAGCACCGGCTCCTTATGTGGGCCGCGTAAATCCTTCGACTGGTCTCACCGACGCGCAAGAGGAAGCCGTGTTCGAACAGATATTCCTTGCTTTGACCCGGGCCTACGATGCAGCTTTGCATACAATACCAATCGCCAGAGCACAATTTCTACGATGTCTCGAAGCGGCCGACGAAAATCGACAACCCAAACCCGTCCATGAATTATGGTCGACTCTAGTATATCGATGTAAAGTGTGCATTGAAGTCAGTGAAGCACTCCAAACCAGACTGGTCAATATGCGTCTGAAAGATCCTCACATCCACGCGGTTGCCACCGGGAGTGGACGACATGATCCTTCATTGTGGCTTCTCTGCAAGAATTTCTTGATGAGTTTTATTGAGCTGCTCACGGAGATGCGTGAAGCCAAATCGCTTCGTCTTCTGTCACAAGAACTCATTACGATGTTACGACCTGTGCAAAAAGCCAGTCGAGAAGCGGGACGTTTGATCGAGACCAGTCCATGGAGATATTTGACCGACAGCGCCACAGCTGCAATGCCACCACCCAGTGTGTTTAATTCGAATGCTAGTCAACATACGACGGTTCATGTGAATGGGAATGACGGTTCTAATGGCACCGTGGTCAATGGTAATCTCTCGGGGTATTCGACCTCGTCTCAGCTCAACAACCATACCGTTCAAAATCCTTTCCCGCCTCCACTGGGACCGGTCCCGCCGGTACCAGGTCCATCATCCGCCACCACACCAAGTACAGCCACCAAACAAATGACCAATGGTTCTGTCAATGGAGTCAGTCCCGTTTCGGTCCCGCTACCTGCCACACCACTCTCTGCCGCTCTAGGTCCAGCAGCACAGGCAACGGTTCCGATTCCTACGCCGGTGCCGAGTACACCGGCCAGTGCATATGGTGATCAATTTTTCAAGGGTGATGTGTTTCAAAGAGCTGATAGTCTGCTGAGCATGCCTCAGGCTGGAACGGTGAATTTCTTGAATCGGCGGTGATCTAAACGTGGAGACAGACGAATTCAAGGTAGGATAGCTCAACTAATGTGGTGTTGGATACCGATAAGAGTCACTCGAGAAGGAACTACGACCGATTGTCTTGACCGAATCACCTTAACGCGACAAACAAATCACTGTATCACAAATCGCTTGTCGTTATATCGTTACTGTCGCTTTCCCCGGCTGTCAGCATCATTGGATTGGGGGGCTGAAATTTTCGGTCCTCTCTGCTTGGATTGGTTTGGAATGGAGAATCCCCTTTGGCTTCAAAGTGAAGAGAAAATAGGGGGAACGTACTTGCCATGTCTGTCGTTCTGTTCTGCATTGGATTGGATTGGCTGGGCCACGAAACGAAACGACATGGCATATTCACTGTATTTTCCGTTTGGTGGGAAACGGAAAAAAAAAAAAAAAAAAAAAAAACCATGTGAAAGACTGGCTGGATAGATAAATGTCTTGTTTGTATGCCCCGGTATGGTGTGCTCTGAAATGCGACGAAATCGATGGATGGAATGAAGAAGATGAGAGAGACAGCCGTTCTTAAGTGGCGGAGAACATCGTTGGCAGTTGGTAGGGAAGACTGTATATTATGATATATAGGTAAGTCTGGCTTATATGCAATGGAATGGAGTGGTGATCAGTAAAAGCTGCTACTGCTGGTTCCCCTGTGCATATACTGCTCCTCTTTTTCATTTGTTTGAAGTGGCCAAACTTTGGCTGGCTACATTTGAAAAATACTATTCATACTACCGGTGCTCATATTCATATTTATCATGTTCAACGTGTCTGAATCCGTGAGTCCGACCCAAAAGAGGTCGTTGATTGGATCCATGTCAAATCGATTAAAGGCTTCGAGGGATGTTTGTTGTTCTTGGGTGAAAGATTGGTGGAGGCCAGGGAGCATATTACCCACTCCTGTTGTTGGAGCGTGTTGCTGTGAAGTAGTGTTTGCAGTGGCGTTGGTGGTAGGGCCGAGGAAGGAGGAGGTATTAGTATTGGTGATAGACAGCCTTTTCTGCGTACAATTTTGATGACAGATCTTCACGTGTGCCCAGTCGGTCGCGAGACGCTTGAAGAAGTGCCAGTGATCTCGGTCTCTGTCCCTGCTGTCGCCACTTTGTGGCACTCCAGCACCGCCATTACTTACTCCGCCAGAAGCGTCGCTTGCGGTGTTGTTGTTGACTGGGTTGTGGCATGTGGTGACTAGGCGCCGCAACTCCCTCGTCCTCATACATAGGGTGTCAAGACACTTATACAACCACGCCGCGCGCTGCGACGCCTCCGGCCCAGCACCGCCCGACCCAAACGTCGTCGCATCCAAAATAATACTCGACTTCGTACAGAGCATGATGCAGAAATTCAGAGCGCGCCAGTCTAGACTTGTCCAATCGGCCATGTCATCCAAGGTCAGCTCGAGGACTTCGGACAGGTATTTCATGGCCGAGACGAAGCATTCATAGATTATGGAGATGCGGGTGACACTGGGAGTTTGGCCCTGGAGGAGCCCGTACAGGCCGACTTCGTGGATATACGCGCGGCCGGCGAAGTACCATTGTTGATGCCGAGCTGTGTTCAGTTTTCGTCAGTAGGGTTACTCGAAGAAGGTGGAAGAGAAAAATAAAAAGGGAAAAAGGGGGGGGGGAAGAATTATAGAGGGTATCCTATACAAACCATTCTCATTCTCGGACGTTCCTACCGGCAACGCTGCTCTCCAATCATCCAGGTTCTTTGCCAGTGTTTTGACGAGGATCTGGACCTTTTCATCATTCAAGTCTCCGAATTTCTCTTTCGAGTCTTGATCGAACACGTCGGTGGTCTGTTCGGCGATGTGGAAGGAGCGGACTTGATGAATTATGGTCGCGTCGGAAGCGTATTGTGGATCCGCTGCGAGAGAGGCAGCGCAGTCGTCAATGTATTGTGTGTATGTGAGTGGAGAAAGTTTGCGGAATGTATAGTAGCAACTACCAATCAACAAAATCAACCATGTGAGTACTCCAATATACGGCTTCGATGAAAGGATTTGAGCCAGTGATGGGAGAGTATCTCTGTTTTTTGATGGTACTTACAATATGGAAATGATATAGGCTCCAGCTAGAGCTCTTCGAGCTTCATAACACCAGAATTTCGATGACATGGCTTCGTTTGTCGGGGGCGGTCCAGCGCCGGCGTTGACGATGATATCGTGCTGCGTGATGCTCATGGGTCTCTGCGTGATGCCGAGTTCGACGGCCAAGGATGCCACGAGAGATCCATGTCTGAAGGCCTGGTATGCGAAGGGCGTAGCGTACCAATGACACCTGGGGGAGAGGAGCCCGTGAGTGAACATGGGATAATCTTCTAGCCCATGGGGAAACCATGGGGAATGCAATGCGTTCTTACCAGCCAAAATAAACAATGAGACCCTGCAACAAATCCAGCGATCTTTCCGACTTGATGAAATATCTTTCACCCAGTTCTTTGAGGAATTGCGCTTGAAGAGGAGATTGGACGATCGGGTTTCTCCAGGTCGTGACAATGAAGATGGCCTGAGCCAGCATGGGCCGTTCTTGAATCACGGAAGCCGCCTGACATGTCTCGGGGACGATGACATAGGGGAAGAAGCTCTGGGACATGCGTCGATAGTGGCTGAGGAGAGATTCGCATTCTTCCAGAGACAAATTTGAGATCCCCGAAGCGTTGGTGGGGAGCGATTGGATCTTGGTGGAGGCCGTTTGTGACTGAATATCAATGATTGAAGGAGGTCCCCCCGATCCAGGTCCAGATGTCTCGTTTGGGGAACTATTCGCGTTTCGTTTCAACAAGGACAAAATCTCAGAGTAACTGCTTTCCAGTTGGTCCACTCGGCCACGTACTTTTTGGTGTCGGAATTAGCATGAAGAATCAAGCCCCTGAGGTTGTCGTGGTTGTGAATCAACGTACATCGCGCCTTCCGCTGTCTTCGCTTGACTTCGGGGATTTCACAGTTTTTGCCCAGCCTCACACACCTATGTTGTTTAGCACCATCAAGAATAAATGAGCCTGTCGATCAAGGTCAGTACATACCGATCACAGCTATTGTCTTCGTTGTCCTGGTTGGGCACGCATCGCAGCTTCTTCTCTCTACATTCCCGACACGCGGGATGCCTCCTTTCAAACTCGGGCATTTTTCATTCCTGTTCCGTCTGCTGATAAACGCATCGAACCTCAGTCGGGGTGTTGGGTTTATATCCGGACATTCACCAGGGTGAGCATATCGGGCTGTTCGGCTGCCGGAAGCAATTTGTGGGCCGAGGCACCGAATCCGAAACATCCATTGCACCCGTTCTAATCGACCAACGCCCAAATCCCTGCCAGGACGTCTCCATTTATATGCCGCTGTCCCCAAATACTTTCATATCTCGGGGCGAGACCCGTACAATTTGGTCTGTGATGCCGAAGGGTCCTTTGGTGGGCGGCAGTCTGAATCATGGAGGCACCACGGTTTGTTCAAATATATCTTGTTCTGTCGTGTATCGTTCAGTCTCATCTCTTCCACTCCAAAAGCCCGTTGCGTTTCTGAGATATTTCTGCTTGGTGCCAGCGAGAGTATATATTTGGCTCGAATGGACGTTTCGTCAGCATACACCCTGGGTCATCCCGAACCCGCACCAGTCCAAGTGGATGAGAAACAGCCAGATTCGAGGGACGACCAAAGCAGCACTGATATCCACGACGACAACGCGCCACCGGAACATATCCCCATCGACCCTGGCCCTATATATTGGTCGCAGCATACCCTCCCCAAGAGACCATGGCGAACGCGAGTGACGGATTTCGCCAAGATTGCTGAAGCCCATTACCGTGGCAGCGGCACTCCCAGTGACCCTTTCATCGTACAATGGCTGGACGACGATCCGGAGAATCCCAAGAGTTATCACATGTGGCTCAAGATACCCATCACGGCTCTCGTGGCTTTCATGACTCTTTGCGTCTCGTTGGCTTCGTCCGCATATACCGGTGCCTTAAAAGATATCATGCGCGAATTCCACTGCAGCGAAGAGGTGTCGCTGTTGGGCCTCAGCACCATGGTTCTCGGTTTTGCCTTTGGCGGACTGGTATTCGCACCGTTGTCAGAAGCCATGGGCCGTCGTGACGTCCAGCACGTGGCGTTGATCTTCTACACCATGTGGACCGCCGTCTGCATCGCCGCCCAGAATATTTGGACCCTGATCATCTTTCGCTTCTTCTGTGGGGTCCTGGGGTCGGCGGTCTTCGTCATTCCGGGCGGTCAAGTCGCAGATTTGTTCGAATCCGAGCAACGAGGGGTCGCCATCTCGATATATGCTGCAGCGCCATTTTTGGGGCCGACATTAGGTCCTCTGGTCGGAGGATTCCTAGCTGAGGGCCGCAGAATGGCGGTGGGTCATGGGTCTGCTGGCATTGTACGCGGGCGTCCTGACGTGTTTGGGCATCGTGTTTGTCCCGGAGACGTATGCGCCCGTCCTCCTGCGAAGGAGGGCACAGCTGTTGTCTACCGTCACGGGCAAATCTTACATGACTCAGATCGACATGGAGCATCCGCTCGTGTTGAGTGAGGTTGTCAGACGCTCTCTGGTTCGTCCTTGGGCTCTATTGTTTCGAGAGCCGGTGGTTTTTCTTTTTACGGTACGCCATATACGAAATGCAACACACGATAATGCCATACGAGAGAACTCCTTGGGCCCCGTTGGCCCGTGCCAACGTGTTCAATAGATATACATGGGCGTCGTATACGGTACGCTTTATCTCTGCTTTGCCGCATTTCCCATCGTGTTCCAACAAGGCTATGGCTGGAATGCGGGGCAAGGCGGCCTTGCTTTTCTCGGTATCATGGTCGGCATGCTCATCGGCGTCGCTATTATCGTCTTTGATAACAAGCGCTATGCCCGCCTTCACCGGGAGGCGGGGGGATCCGCTCCGCCCGAAACTCGTCTCCCGCCCGTCATTCTCGGAGGAGCCTTTACCATTATTGGACTGGCGTGGTTCGCGGCAACGAATGATCCCGGCGTCCACTTCATCGTACCGATTCTTGCCGGGGTCCCCTTCGGTGCTGGGTTTCTTCTCGTCTTCATGTCGAGTACGAATTACTTGTACGTCGACCATCATTCTCTCTCTTTTTTGCTTTCCCGGCTCCCAGTCTTCGATATCAATCTTGGGAAACCACTTTACTAACGGTGTCCTGAGAATCGACTCGTACGTCATCTTCGCCGCCTCCGTCCTCGCCGCCAACTCCATTCTGCGCTCGACGTTCGGCGCGGTCTTCCCTCTTTTCACCATCTACATGTACCGCGACCTGGGCGTGCATTGGGCGTCTGCAGTGCCGGGCTTCATTGCCCTCGCGTGTTTCCCGTTCCCGATCATCTTTTACCAATATGGCCACATCGTCCGGCGCCAGTGCCAGTATTCGGCGCAAGCCGCGAGATATTTGGACAGTTTGCAGAGTAATTTGGAGAGGAAGCGGTCGAGAGCGTCGGCGGACGCTGAGGCTGCGGGTAAGAAACGAATGGAGAGTGCTGTATGAAAGAGAGGATGGAGGTCGTGTAAGACTAGCTCTGATGTGAACAGCATCATAGATGATTTTTCATACCGGACGGCAATGGCAATGGGAATGGAGTGCACATAGATAGAGATAGGAAAGGAGACGGCTGTGTCTGAGAATGGGACGGAAGGATACCTCCGATTTTTTATGTGCTTGGGAATATTTGATGGGTCACTCGCGTGCGAAAATCTCCCCTACCCACCGGGTAGCATTCTCCTGCATCATTGTTTGTGCGGTCTGCTGATCCACTGCGGTGTGAGATATAGTCTCGTCCGTGTTCGTGCCGGGAGAGACCTGCTCGGACAAATGCACTCTCTCCTCCGCTAGCCCTTTCTCTCGGCCGAAGAAACATGCTCGTCGCATCAGCTCAGCAAGCTCGCTGCCTTGAGCGCGCATCAAGGCCGCTTGACCCTGAATCAGATCCACCGCTTCCGCATCGTCGGAGACAGACGGCGGCTCAGACACGGTCCCGGCCTCCCGTTGGCCGGATATGAAGATTTTCACATACGGCAGCCTCACGGATTCTGGTCGTCCCACTGAAGGCCAGCGACAGAGGACCTTACGACGACGTGGTGGGGGTCTGGGTTCTCTCGAGGAAGATGGTGTCAATCTATCCGACGCTACAGTGCTATCAGAGTTACTGACTGCGGAGGGAGTGGATGAGAGAGATTGCTCCGACGATTCCGTCGTTGTAGTCGAAGAGGGCGAGCTCGCTGAAGAAGCCGATTGATCCCAGTAGCCGTCGGAATAGCATTCGGCATCCCCGCCTTGAACTTGATCCAAGCCCATCACACTCACCCCCTGGTCGCCAACCGTGTTCTCGAACGGAGTATCTCTGCCCGGGGCGCGTAGAAACAGCAGAGGACTCGCACAGGGATCGAAGTATGACGACGGAGTTGAAAATAGTTTTGCCCGCAACCGGATCAAGGCCTCCGCGGCGGCGATGACAGATTGATTGTTGGCACCAAATCGTGCGGCGATCTTATGTTTCTGCCTCTGTCGTGGTGTATGTGATGTGTCCGTCGCGCGAGGCGGTTCCACCACCTCATCCAGTCCAACCCAATCTACCATCGGCGCAACCACGGCCAAGGCATGGATACGATTGGGCTCGGTCAATGCTAGCATTGTCGCCAATGCGCCACCGATGTGGCTGCCCAAAAGGCATATCTTTGGTTCTCCGTCTTGATCTGCGTTGAATGGGGATGTCGAAGAGGTCAGGTAGCTCCAAGCAGTTGACACATCGTGAATGGGGACTGGAAAGCAAGAGTTATCTTGGGACGAATCGGTAGATTCTCCATTCTGGCCCAGTCGGTAGTTGATCGTGACCAGTGACGTCTCCGGAGGAAGAAGGGTATGCAAATAGGATAGACGGTCGATGGATGAGGGGGCTACTACCCCGATCGAAGGTCCAGGAGGGAGATGAATGAGCACATTTCGCGGGCCTATTGGACTTCGTACAGACGCATGAGGTCGTATCGCCCTGCCTGGGTTGTTAGAGACGAAAATCAACCTTCTGAGCCGTACGAACTCAAGCTTGATACGTCCACTTACGCCGATGGGCAATTCAATAACCTCGTGTTCTGGTGTGGCAGGGGGGCCGCGTGAGGCGATTTCTCTGCGAAAGAGATGACTGTAGCACCTCGTTCGACCGTGAGTATATTGTACAGTACTGAAGAAGCCCGACGATCCTCGACAGCCACGGCATAAACGCATCACATCTCACAGCTTGGAACCCATGCGCACTGTGGGATTCGGGACGGTGCCATAAAGGCCGCAGTTTGATTACGGCGGAACACTGGGTACAATATACACATACGGTGGAGGGTGGAAGGTAAAAGGTACACCCTGCGGAACGCAGGTCAGACAGGAGCAGCGCATCGGCTTTTCTTAATCAGTTCGTCTACCCCTTGGCCTTACAATCTGTGAACGTGGTTGAGTGCATGTGCTGACTGGCCCTATTATAGTATAGGCCGATGCCCAAGAACGCGGAACAAGCTGCTCTTGTTTGTCCACCCCCTCTTGATTTCTACAAGGGGCCTGGTAATATTGTCTAGCAGCCTAATTGCACAGGCCTCTTTTATGTCCTACTCGGCTGGGCCTGGAGACTTTTTTTTTTTTTTGTTTTTTTCAGCTTTTCCATTTAGTAGATGCTATTTCTGCGATGAATATAATCATCATCTCACCCCATCCCTTTCTACTCGATGACAGGCCTTCTTGGGATTTGACAATATTATACGCATCCCAGTTTGGATTCCATGGGATGCATGAGCTGTAAGGCCAATAACACTATGTGACGTCGCTTATCTAGTTCAAACACCTTTCACGGGTACTCCCATACCCTCTCCCTCCTACGTTGTGTGCTTAACCCAGCAAGTCAGTACACCATTGAACTACTCCTGGGACGGTGGATTAATTTTCATCCCGGTCTCACGGAAAAGTTTCTTTACTGTTACTCTGAAATTGGTGGCTCGAAAAAGGTAGACAATGCTCCTCTAGTGACTGAATGGAAGGATGGACAAGCAGGGCCGGAAAAGCTGTGAGTTTCTTTGACTTCCAGATTCCCAGTCCATTAATAGCTTCCCGAATAACACGACGGAATATGGAGCTGATCCCTCCATTAGGACTGGACCTATGGAGGTGGTCCATAACCTCTCGGAGTATTCCTTCTTGCTGACTTTGTATTGGGTGACCAATGGAAAGACTCGTATGAAATTGGCAATGCAGCCCCTCAGAGCGCCTGAAGCGGATGGAACCGGTAGACGGACTGTTGACCGAGTACACTTTACCTGCGATGCTTGCTGGTGTCCTGTTCGCAGGAGCTCAAGACGAGAATAAACAAGGAGCTGCAGCATCCACTCCCCTACAGGCTTGGCTGTGGCTATGATGAGAGGAATCCTGTCATACTAGGAACGAATCAACCCGACAATAGTATGTCGCACAACATGCGAAAAAGGTGTTTGCAAATTTGGAGCATCAGTGTACACCTTTCGACACTGCACGCCTCAAGAGTGGGTGGAGGTTTGGATTCGAGGCCCCTTGGTATGCCCTGCATCTCTTGTTCCGCCACATTTTGCCCACAAATACGGCGGCCGTCCAGGGCAAGAAATAGGACATAAAGATCTATGGTCGTCGATAACGGATATCCCCAGAGGCCAGTACTTTTCTCATTCAAATCTTATTGATCATAGAGGAATAGAGAACAAAAAATATTCTCAATTCGCTAACTCATCTTCCAACCAAGTGATTGACGACTTCACGATGGAACGCCCCCAGACCATCCATATTTTTCTCCAGACGCTTCCCGGCTTGACATTCCCACCGGTTCTTTCCATAAGCAATCCTGACATCACCACGATCTGGGAGCTTCAGAACAGGATCTTCGCCCGACTACCAGAATCAACTCGAAGTCAAGGGGTCTATGTTACCACGACCAATAATTGCCGCCTCGATGATGCAGACGACGACACTGTTGCTTCCAGCAGTCAGAATTCAGGCATCCTACCACTCCGTCTTTGTGCTCCCCTGAAAGGTGGATCTGGGTCCGGAAGTCGACGCCCACCTGCCTCGGGAAGTCGACCCCCCCGGGTCCCAGGAAGTCAACAGCCACCGGCCTCAGGGAGTCAACAGCCACCGGTCCCAGGAAGTCAACGCCCCCCGGTCCCAGGAAGCCAACAGCAGCAGGACTCGGGAAGCCAACAGCAGGAAGACTTGGGAAACCAACAGCAACAGGGCTCGGGAAGTCAACATCGACCGGAGTCGAGAAGTACGAGAATCCTGTACCATGTAAACTTTGAATCAAATTAATGATCAATTAGGTTCCTCACACTATCAGCTTCATCCGATTCCGGGTGTTAATGAGGAAAACCCAGAATTGCAAGAGTATTTCGCTTCAAATATGCAGGGGCCGCAGCCTGAAACAGGTGCCCATCCTGGCTCCTTCGTCACTTCCGATGAGAGCCTGGGAGGAGCCAGCGCAGATCCAGAGAGCGAGAGTTTTCCTTCGCCACGTTCGAATCCCTTTGCTGATGGTAAGGCGCATGGCTTCCATATCCCCGGGGCCCCGGGAGGTGGTGGAAGCGGTCAAGGCTCTGTTCGATCTGCTGCCTCAGGACGAGGCCGTGGAACTTTTTTAGCTAGCCCTTCCATCCGTTCTTCCTCTTCAGGATGTGTATCTTCCGGACGTGCGTCTGGGAACTTTCCTCCACCACCTGGAAGACTCGACAATCCAGATGCTTTTGGCACTTACTGGAGAGAAGATAGTCATGGCAACGTTGTCGGTGTTCCACCGGCGACTCATGAACAACCTCAATCACCATACTACGGGTACGATCCTCGCCAGCAAGCAGATCAATATGACCAATTCCATCATGGCAATCAAGATGCAGATCAGACGTTTTATGACGACAATAGCGAATACCAGACCTTCTATCATGATGATGGGGATGGTAGCTCGGGTCAAGTTTCTGGATATCAGCCTCCACCAACACATCCAAGTGTTCCATATGAGCCGAATTCGGCGCCCCTAGATTATGGTGAGGAGGATGATCAAGGTTATGGGTATGATGACGGACAGGATCCTGGAGACGATAGCGGTGGATATTATCCTCCTGTTCAGCACTATTGACAGCAGCAATTAAGAAGATGATGAGTCGGAGCCATTGTCGACGAAAACTCGGGGAGTTGATGGGGAGGATGTTATTTGGGTTCGTATAGACTTCGGAGAGCGAACATAGATTTGAAGTATCCGGGTCAGTTTCGATTTGGAATTTATTGGCTCATCCTTTGGAGGTGATATTTGCACCAAACTCTGCTGCCAGAGCTGAGGTCCGGTCGCTTTATTTCTGGCATTACCTGTGGATCTATCATACTGACTGTTGTATGAAAGGGGCTCCCGCTGTGACTATAGGTGGCCCACGTGACCCTTTGACGGTCTGCCAAGGTTTGTAATGACCAGGGGTCTTCGAAACACGCTAGTAACCCTCAGATACTATATAGTCAGACGGCCCCTCGGACCTCTTCGAATGCCAACTAAGTCATCACACCGCAGTATGATATGTGTCACGTGTTACGCTAGTCCTAGTTGGGACTAGCCCGCTAGAGTGCTCATTGACTACCTCTTCCACACAGCCCTCAGAACAACAAGGCACAGATAGACCAACGACGACTTCAGTCAGCCTTTGCCATTGCGATATTCCCTTTCTCCTTTCTTCCCCATCCTGTCCCAGATATGACAAAATGAATAACCCGCCATTTCTATTGGCACCCACTTCAGTCTTCTCATCACCCTACTTCACTTTTGCCTTCACGTTGTCCTTTCAATTTCTTTTATTTTTGACTGCCATTGCTGACATTTGTTTCGCACAAGATTTAAGCACTCTGAAGACTTCCATCTCTTTCTCGGCCGTCTTGAACCGTGTTCAATCGAGCAGATATTATCGCGAGCTACCTTCGAGTGGGTGGTTCATCTGTCAACCGGGGTCGACTATCTCTCTGTCAAACTGGGTGCAACTCGAGATGTCTTGAATGCTCTGTTCTCTATCTACTTGTCGAGGTATTAAGGCTTCTTTTATAGACGTGCGAATACTACGTCGTTACACAGAGCAACCATCAGTAACGTCGTCGTCCATGGAAACCTCTCACCAGTGTTTCAGCTGTGGAGCCTATACACAATAGCCCTTTGTTCAACACTCTCACTCTCGTTGACGCCATGTGCCAACAGCGGCTCAAGCTGACCGAGACCCTCGGTGGAGGTTTCTCCCGATGCGAGAGGTGAATCTGCCGACAAAACGGTCAGATGAGCAGGTGGACGAGGGAAGCTCTATCCGGCCCAGACTCCACTGAGTCTTTTGATGTGAAATCTTGGAATTGAGATCGGTCCGCTCCTTTCTCCACATCTCGTGACTGGGTCGTCCTGACTCCGGCATAAGATCGCGCGGCTTTGGTCAGGCACAGCACCCATGGTACCTAGGACTCGCAAAATCTTGCAGTCCCAAGCAGGGTGCTTTTCGAATGCTAGCAGGTTTGGCTCAGCATCTCCAGCGATTCTCCTGATATCAACAGTCAATCTAGCGATTATTAGCTAACCTGGCTATATAAGTGACCTACATCCACTCTTCTCTCCTCTTTAACCATAAGCATGTATCGTAGATGGCATTCCGTTTCGAACCTAGCGTTGACATTGATATTGTAGCACTTCCGTATTCGCTAGCAGCCTTACGCGGCTCGGCAGGTGCTGAGACTATCCTTCCTGCTTCAGATGCACTTGCCACGGACAAGTGACCATAGCACGGCGAGCGGTCAGCATAATAGACCTAGGAGTTCTCCACTTCCGCTCGTCGTATTGAATCGGAGCCGTCGACAAGGATTCCGACCACGTGGAACGGGGGCCTAACAACCCCCTCATACACATTCTCTGCCTTCGACTACGGCAGCGTCCGTCCGCAGTCGTCCGAGTCGACATCCGCCTCATTCATCTCGAGCAGCAGTTTAACAAGCCGCTCGTGCTCATTCTCCGTTGTTTACTAAGCGGCGTCCAGCTGTTTACTAAGCAGCGTCCAGCTGTAGTAGTCCTTTAAATTGACGCCCCCCTGATTGTCTTGAGTAGTACCCTGATGAACTCTTCATGTTTGTCTTCTGCGATAAGTGCTTCCTTAAGGACTATCATCAATCTTGAAGTACTGTATAGGAAAGGGCTGAGATTCACCAAATCAACACCTCAAGACCTTTACCTCAAACCAGCCTAGAACATGTCCAAGATCCTTGCGGTCTTTGGCGCTACCGGCCAACAAGGCGGTTCAGTCATTGACCATGTGCTGAACGACCCAGAGCTCTCCCAAAAGTACAAGATCCGTGCCATCACCCGCGATGTCAGTTCGGAGAAGGCCAAGCTACTCAAGGAGAAGGTCGAAGTCGTTCAGGGTGATGTGCTCAACCGAGCCTCCCTCGAGACAGCTTTGACCGGCGCGCACACCGTCTTTGCCATGACACCACCTTCATCCGGACGACCCGACGGCTTGGAGGTCGAGTACAATAGTGGCAAGATGATTGCCGACGTCGCCGTCGAAAAAGGTGTCGAGTACATCATCTTCAGCACTCTGCCGCCCGTCAGAGAGATCTCTGGCGGCAAGTACACCAAGGTCACCCCCTTCGACGCCAAGGCAAAAGCTGAGCAGTACATTCGACGCCTTCCCATCAAGAGCGCCTTCTACTCACCGGGATCATTCATGGAGAATTTCCAGTCCCAGGCCTTCTTGGCTCCACGCCAGGTTTCTGATGGTACATGGGTTATGGCCCGCCATACTTCTCCCAAGGCCCAGATGCCCTTGATCAACGTTGTCGGGGACACAGGCAAGTTCATTGGCGCCATCCTCGCCGAGCCCGACAAGTATGAAGGCAAGACGTTCTGCGCCGCCACAGCACTATACAGCTTGGAGGAGATAGCCGCCCTTATGTCCAAAGCCACAGGCAAGACCATCGTCTACAAGCAGATCCCACTTGAGGACTTCAAGAAGAGCTTACCGTTTGGGGTTGACTTCTTCGTTGAAGCGTTCAGCTACGGAGAGGAGTTCGGCTACTACGGCCCAGATACTGAGAAGTTGGTAGCTTGGGCCGCTAGGAACGCCCGAGGCCGACTTTCCACTCTTGAAGAGTACTTGAAGGCATATCCTCTTCAACTCGCATAAACGAACACTATGAGACCGCGCAGGCCGAGAGACAAGGAGAATTGTGTATTCCGTGTTGAGAAGACTCCGATTGAGCTTCTTAGTCTCGTCGGAAACGCCTAACTGACTTTCCATCCATATTCCTTTGGCCTCCAGCCATGATGGGTAATTGCTGTTGAGAGAATGGATAGCTGTGCAGTTCTGGAAATAGGGTGGGACTGGACCTGCACATGGTCTTTTCTTTCTTTCTCCCAATTGGGACTTCACCCCCTCGAAAATGAGATAGTGAACTGCGTGTGTACATAGACAGAGATTGAACATGTCATGGCGAGAAGTGTCTCGGCATCAGTCAACTGAGCCTGATTGAGCTAGAATCAGATAAGGCTTGCTTCTTCATTTGCTTTTTGGTTCATGGTCTGTGTGTTATGGCATTCTTGAAGCGAGCCGGACACTACTGCCATTAATCTCATCACAAATCATCTCGAAAACCAATACTCGTAGCTGAGGAAAGACTGCGGGAAGCTCAACATGGAGAGTCCCTTGGAATAGACTGGTGAGGTCAGAATTTCAGGCCATGCTCTGGAATCCTTCATCTCCTCCACTTCCCCGCACTGCATGAACGTGTTCGGTCAAATGGGCGCCGATCAGATATACGAATGATCTGGTCTCCAATCACCAGGGATCCGAAAGAGGAGGGGAGGCCAGCTGCGTCACTCTTTTCTCGGAGAGACTGAGAACGAAGATTAACTATCCGTTGAGATATCGAATTGTTCCACTTGTTGTCATTCTATCAATTTGTATCGAGAGAGCCTTCCGGAGAGTCGCCCGCATACGGCTTTCAAGGCTCTACAGTACAGCTCCAGCTCCTGAATAACCTTCAAAGGGATTGCCCCGAATATCCATCAAATCACCATGAAAGCCGTTCGCGTCGTCGGTTATCACCAGAACTTACAACTGGATGAAGTTCCTGAACCAAAAATTTCTTCTCCGCTGGATGTCATTGTCCAAATTGGTGCTGCTGGCGTCTGTCGCACCGATCTGCACATCCTGGAAGGCCAGTGGGAGAAGAAAAATTCCGGAGTGAAACTACCATACACGATCGGGCACGAAAATGCTGGCTGGGTCCATGCCGTGGGCGACGCAGTCACGGGACTGCAAGTCGGCGACAAGGTCATCTTGCATCCGCTCGTGACCTGCGGATTGTGTCCAGCGTGTCGATTTGGGAACGACGTACACTGCGAGAATAGCTCTTTTCCTGGCATCAATTGCGATGGCGGCTATGCCGAGTACCTCAAGACTGGTGCCCGGAGCGTGATCAAGCTAGACCCCTCGCTTGAACCGACTGACGTGGCCGCACTCGCCGACGCGGGTTTAACTGCTTACCATGCCGTTTCTAAAGCAGCACGTCAGCTAAGACCGGGCAATGTGGTCGTTATGATTGGTGCTGGCGGGCTCGGCCATATTGCAATCCAGGTAATGAAAGCCATCAGCGCGGCAACGATTGTGGTCGTGGATCGTAACCCGGACGCATTGGCACTGGCCAACAAGCTCGGTGCAGACCATGTCGTGCAGGCCAGAGAGGATGATCGGTTAGTCAAAGACGTCATGGCTCTGACTAAGGGTAAGGGAGCGGAGGCGGTGATTGACTTCGTGGCGGAGGATGGTTCGACCGCAACGGGTATCCGCATGCTTCGTCGGGCAGGCTCCTATTACGTCGTTGGATATGGCGAGAACATCGACGTCCCGACTATCGACATCATTTCAACCGAGATCAACTTCATCGGGAATTTAGTGGGCTCCTACAATGACCTGGCGGAGCTGATGGCGCTGGCCGCCCAGGGCAGAGTAGTGTTGCACACGGCCATATACAAGCTTGAGGAGTTCCAGCGGGCTCTAGATGATCTGTCAGCCGGCAAGGTTCGTGGGCGAGCTATCCTGGTACCTTGAATGTGACAGTGAGAGTTGGGATTGTGCCTGATCCGTGGGCATTGAGCGGACGATTGAACATTCACGACGGAACATGGAGGACGAATCAATAGGAGGTTGTTTTATCCGAGTGGCAAAGCTCTGACAGGTGTTACATGGAAGGAACTCAAAACGCCCCCTTCTTCCAGCCAATGCCCACGGCGACCCAATAATATGGGGTCACCACATTACTCTCGCACTACGTGTCGAGGAGTGGTTCCCTCAAATAGAAGGAGCTCTTTGAGATTGATGGATGGGAAGTCGAGTCTGACGTGCTGCCCTTCAACCCGTATGTACTGGTTGGTTTTGATTCCTTTTCTGTGTCTCATGCATGCAGAGTATGGTGATAGTGCTGACGAGCGAACTGGGCACCTCATTACGAGGCACGCTCCCTGAAACAGCCCAATATTAAATTATATAATTCATAGTTAGTGCGGATGATAAGCGAGCTCATCACTTTCCGACGACCCCACGACCCCTCCACTTTCAACACCAAATTTTTCCACAATGAAACCACGTGGAAATCTCGGCATTAGAGCTGCTGCAAAAGTGCACAACGTACCTTGTATAAGGTTACACCGCCGACGTACCGGCACACTTGCACGAGGATGGCTTACCCAATTCGCGAGAACTTACAGAAGTAGAAGAGGAGACACTTGTGCGACGCATACTTGACCTTCTTATGTTGTGGCTCGCTATATCATCGAGAAATTGTAAAATCGTCACCTAGTTGGGTGTCGTCGTGGATGGGCAGCTGTCAAACTGGGTATGCCAAGAAAATATGAATTGAATGCTCCGTCCGTTCAGCAGCTGGTCCTGCCAGGTTGCTGGTATTTATACACGTTTTATTGACCCTTTTTCTTCTCCTATTCCTACCCCTATACTCCGTATCGTACATAGGAAAGGGGCACTTGCTACTATTCAACCGTTCAACAGTAGCCCTTGATAGTGATCCTCCCAATGCCTCTTGACACCATCAACAACTAGTTGGTGTTACATCTTTGGCTAGTTCTTCTCGATGTGGGCGGACCGCGGGATGGATGGAGTATCATTGCTGCCCCATAAGCGGGGCTCTCATCTTTGAGTGTATCGGGATAACATTGTTCCGGAGTATTTCCATGCTTATGGAATAGAGCATTCTCGTATGGATATGGAATATGGAATATGGATAGAAAACCTAGAGCGTCGAATGAGCGGCGGTGCGAATGGCAGATGCCAATGCGTGCCACTCCCTGAAAATGCATCAGATGTGAGTTCAGTGGGCGGCTCTGGTAATGGCAGGGTTAAAGAAAGTCATTCTTTAATCTCTTCCTGAATCCGCAAGAAGAACTGGACGACGATGATGGATTGCTTGTTAGTGTGTAGCACGGTCGGTGGCGTGAGTCCCGTACCCTTTACCGATGTGTACAATAATACGATCAATGAAACTCAAAAGACCGGCATGCGCCATTCCCCAACAAAATAAGAATTGTACTGATCGATATCAGATCTGTCATGTCATCAGTCATTCAACAGCCAACACTCTTCCTCTCGTCGTCTTGTCGTCATATCCTGCCAGTGATGGACACGACTGCGCCCCTGTTCTACTTCTCGGCTTCTTTCACGGTCACCCTAACTCCCTTTGAATCCAGACGTGCACTTGGGAGGAAGAAGTCGTGTGCAAGCTTCACGTCTGATACATCTGTCTCGAACAGTTCAAAATCATACTTGCGAAAGAGTGTCGCCAGACCAAGATGAATCTCCGCCGTTGCGAGATTCACGCCCAGACACGACCTGCTCCCCTTGCCGAACGGAAAAAACCACCGATCCATATTCTTATCCAACTGCCATTGTCCCTGCACGTCCCGGGTGAGCCAGCGCTCCGGCTTGAACGCGTAGCTGTCCGGGAAGATCGCTTCATTGTGGTTGTGGTCGACGATCGTCAAGCTCACCGGCGTCCGCGCGGGGATGGTCCAGCCTTGATACTGAAGCGGCTTGTCCCAGAGACGGGGGCTGCGCGCTGTAACGCCGTAGGAGAGACGGAGACCTTCACGCGCGCAGGCGTTCAGATACGGCAACCTCTCAACATCCCACCAGTTGAACGTGCTAGCGTCAGACGTGCGAGGAAGCGCCGCGATCAGTTCTGCTCGAAGCTGCTCGTAGTCGGAGCGCGACCGGATGAGGTGGAATGCGATCACGGACATGGCCCACGAAGAGGTGGTCAGGCCAGCGGCGACGAGGAGTTGGGCTTCTTCGTTCAGACGGTCGATTTGCTTCTCTCGGGGAGGCAAGTCGCTGCGAAGAAGTTCGTATAGGATCGTGGGATGGTCGGGGTTCTCTTTCGCTGTGCTCGATAATATCGCTTTGAGTTTGACGTCGAAGTCCTGCGGCAGACTGGTTAGCGGCAACGTTGTGACTCTGGTGCGCTGTGCTGACCTTGGCAAGCTGTAGGACGAGGAATATTTGTGGCTGCATTTTGAGAACAAGCCATTCTGGAAGGGAGTTCATCAAGGGGTATAGCCATTTGAATTGCAGAGCCACATGACCTACCTCGGAGGCTGCCATGAATGGCTCATGGAACGTCTCCTTAAAATCTGGGGATTCGAGATGTCGGTAGGATTGACCAAAGACATAGGTAGTGATGACATCTCCGGAGAAAGCAGTCAGAGCTCGATTGATGGCGAACGGACCACCACCGGCGACGTACTTGTCGATCTTACTACAGAGGATGTCGAGCTTCTCTCGGATGACTGGTTGAAAATCCGAGATTCGCTTCTTGGAGAAGAGCGGAAGGAGTGGCGCCTTGCGAAGTTTGTGAAGATTGTAATCTGGTGTGGAAAAGATGGAACGAGGGATGTTGAGCCGATTGCTGAAGTAATGGTATTTATCGACTCTGCCAGGCCCGTAAAGGGTATCCCAGAATTCGGAGTCGGAGACATGGAGCTCGTACGGGTTGATTCTCACAATAGGCCCTGCGCATCGTCAAGCATCCATCAAAGCACCTTAATGCGAAGACTCTTACCATAATTCTTATGCAGCTCGGCGATGTGGAAAGTGAATTGACCACGGAGGATGACGTCGTAGTAGAACTCATACCACCGAGTGAGTGCGGCAAGCTTTGGGCCCGGAAATTTGGCGATGGGACTGCAATAAAGCCTATAGACCGCCAGCAAAACCAAATATGCAAAGAATGCTGCGGCAAGCAAAAGGATGTACATTTTGAAAAACGGTTCCTGTTCAATGATAGATAACTCAACCTCTTCCGTTCTTCAGGATAATTCTGAGAACATGGGGTCTTTTCTTCTTCGGGATCGGCCGCAAAGGGTGTTCGTTCGTACAGCTGTCCAGGTCTGGTATCACAGCACCCTCTACCCGAAGTGCGTACAACTCAGGTGGCGTGTTGGAGTGAAATGTTGCAACAAGCTCCCGGGAACTTCGGGAAACATCCCCGTGGTTAGCGGCGTTTAGACCCATGGCCTAGTGCAACAGGGACGCATACGTTAAGCCAATCTTTGTTGAACAAATAGTAGGGCTAGGACGGCGCTAGGTCCAACGGCAACAACGCGGCCGGAAGTGCAGCCAGTGTGATCAACCAGAGATGTCGAGCTGGCAGTGCTGAAGGACCTTTGCTCGGCGGCATGTGGTTGGACATGTACCTCGTTTTTTAAGGTTCATGCTTTTGAACAGACCACCTCTGCTGCCTCGTGTACTAGGATGTCGGAGGGATGAAAATTGACTTTTCAAATGTCCCGCTTTTCCCCAGTTGAATCCACTTGTACCCGAGCCTTCTTTCTTCATCGAGCCATGAACCCAGGCACATTATGGCAAACATCGAGGAATTGAGTGCAGACGACGATTTTGATGATTCCGGACTAGAAGATGCCACCTCCTCTCAAAGTACTTCTGTCGCAAGCTCTGTATTTAACTACACGTATGAGAATTGTCGGAGATATCATGCATATCGAGCTGGTAGTTACCCCTTGCCCAACGATGAAACGGAACAGGAGAGAATGGACCTGTTGCACCATATCTGGCGGACTATGCTGGGAGGGGAGTTGCTCCTAAAGAAGCCCGTTGCCCCTCAACGCATCCTAGATGTCGGCACCGGGACTGGTTTCTGGGCCATAGATATAGCGGACGAGTATCCAGAGGCCATTGTCATCGGCACAGACCTGTCGCCGATACAGCCTGGATGGGTTCCACCAAACTGTCGGTTCTATGTATGTCCACGGAAGACAGTGCAGCGGCATTCATATTGACGGAGTATAGGTCGAAGACGCTGAGGCTGGATGGACCTATGAACCTTTAGATCTGATCCATGGCCGCAGCTTGGGTGGTTCAATATCTGACTGGCCACGATTCTACCAACAATGTTTCGACTCGCTCAAACCTGGGGGACTTCTCGAAATGCAAGAGCACGACGCTTGGATCAGCACCATTGAACAGGAGTTGCCGTCCTGGACAGCAGATTGGAATGTTACCTTGAACGAAGCTAGTGCAGTATTCGGCAAGTACCTCAATGTCGCCAACAAACATAGAGACTGGATGAGAGATGCAGGGTTTGTGGAAGTGGAACAACAGACTCACAAAGTCCCCATCGGTAATTGGGCCAAAGACACCAAGTTAAAGGAGCTCGGCCGAATACATCTTTTTGAAATGCTTTCAGCTGTTGAACCGTACACCCTTGCGCTGTACACCAAGGTGCTTGGAAAGAGCTTCGACGAGACGAAGATCACGATTGAGATGGTCAAGAAGGAGTTTTGCACTAGAAGATTTCATCTATATGTCAATTACCATTTTATCACTGGGAAGAAACCCGGTGGAAATTCCAATGCTCGATTGGGTGGGTAAATCAAGACATGAATTGGATGGACAGGGCAGTCGAAAAGTCACTTTCAACAAGACATAACCTTTTTTCTAGAACCCATCTTCCACACTTCTACTTCGTTCTCACTTCACGCTTCTGGCTCCTGTCCCTAGATAGTGTAGCTTTTAGTATTAGTGTGATTTCTGCTCTCTGAGAGTTTTGCGGCTTAGCCTACACGTCACACATAAGAATAAAGCCTCGCAAGAGCATGTAGTGGCGGTAGTGGTGGTATTTACGAAAGATTTTCTAGGTTGTATTAGCCAGGTAATGGTGATGGTGAACGCTGAGTTAAATATGTGCTTAATAAGAGCTAGTAACCCTCGTCTTGGGAAGATATCTACGGAGACACCAAAATACGCGTTGAGCAGTCAAGCAAGGCCCGCAGCTTCTTCACAAAGAAGTCAAAGACGGATTCGTGGAAACGAAGGGGAATCTTCTGACTGAGCAGGGGGAGACAAGCCCGTTCTCATTGTGACCTATGTTCGATAGGCTGATTGAGGACTTCATTAAGCTGCTTTAATGGACTGCCTCTTGTCAAACTTGTGGTACAATTTGAGTTGAAGGAGCGCTCTGTTTTCTATCAAATTGAGGTCCTGCCTCATATATATATATATAGAGAAAGATTGTTGCCACCTTTCGGTGTCTCCGTGCTCGGCTCCATGGATGAGATCCTTGCATAGCTGAGAATGTCACCACCCATTGTTCAGCACCTCTCAAGTCATCAACAAAGCGGCAGATCGCCGCAGCCACGAGCACTTGGCCAATCAGGACGGAAGGGTGGGCCAGACGGTAATAGACATTGGTGTTCATCTCGAATTCGCGCAAATTCATGTTTCAGATAGACAGAAATGTCATGTCCAATCGTTGAGGGTGGAATATTATGCAGAACGAAGTCCCGATATGTTCTTGCACTTATCTATGCAAAGCCGAGGCGAATTGGCAAGCTCGGGCCGGCTGGTAGGAAGGACACGGAGGTGGGAAGATCAGCTTGTCGAACTGTTCCTCCTCTTTTGAAGAAGAAGCTCGTGTCAAGTTGACCCCGGTTGGCGAAGGTCTGCGCCACCGCACGGGATATTGTCCATTTGTCCGTCCTGGCTATACTATTCAACTAGAAAATGCATTCACCATCGACATACTCTACCCATTTGTAGATGTCTCTGAGTAAAGCCACACGGGTATCAGGATGGCATCCAGCATCCGGTCCGTCATAAGAATTGAAAGCTAGCCCAGTCGCCACCAAAAACTTGCTGACGTTGAGTGGTATAGTGTCAAACTTCTCTCATTGAAAGAGTGCTCTGGCCGAATTCAGTCAGAGGGTGGCATTGAACCTATCTATGTACCTATCTAAGGAGCGTATGACAACATTGTTGCCTGTCAATGGTAATACATGAACGAGTGTTGCAAAATAACACGGTCTATCGCGAACGATAGGTCACCAATTGTTCAACAATGTCAAAGAAGAGCCCAGTTGCAGACTCTATAGGATCCACTAGCAAAGATAAGTCTGCAGGCTCGTATAATGGTTTGATAAGCACTATAGCAAGACAGACGACTCTCCCATTTATGCTGCGGCCCTTACTCTTCATCCAAATCGTCGGACGAAGTACATTCGGCGCGGCTGGAAAAAAGGATTGGCAAAGACTACGTTGGCTATGGCGGAGAAAAGACCCCCCCCTTCTTTTCTTCCTATACGGCTTCAGCGAGTCAGGATGAGTACGAAGACTACAGCAACGGGAACATGCTTGCTGTTCGGTGGTGGTGTCAGGACCAACAAAGAAAGCGCCGGCCACGGCTATCGTATATGGCAATTGATACCCTGTCAATTCCAGCTATGAGCGACGAACCAGAGCGAGTATTTTTGGGAGCGCACCGTACGATCTTGTAGGAGCGCTCACAACTGGGGCTAGAAACATCGAGAAAGTCGAAAGCACCGGAAACGGAGTGGTATTACAGAAAAGCACCTCGAGTAGTCAACCAAAACTCTTATTAAGTGCTCTGGCTAATTGCACCCCTCGAGGTGATCCATGGACTGGATCCGATCAGGGGGGTGTCACGTGACTCACTCTGTGCCAAGCTTTATCGTTGGGATTATCGAGGAGTTATCGGCTTATCTAAATGGGGACAAGAGCCTTGAGAAGCTCTTCCAGAGCACCGGTTGCTGAGAGAGTAGTTTAGCTCCTTAGAATACAACGTAAGAAATCTACCAGTCAAGAAATGAAGCTCCCGAAAGCACCTCCAGAATTCAAAGTCTGTACGCAGAGTTCGGGATGTGGCATAAGGTAATTCACGACAAACGCCACGAGGCTGCCAGAAGAGATGCTGAAATCGGTGACTTGCATCGAGAAGTCGCCAGGCTCCAGCACTTCAAATACCAGAACCTGTGAAGAATCAGAAGAAGCCAAAGAATCAGATCTTCGAGCACAAGAGCGTTTCAACAATAACTTTGCGCTGATCAGAAAGATGCCGCCGGGAATTGACCTTAAACTCGGCCTAGTTGGAGGCGATGCCGAATTTGAACAACAATGTTCAGGCTACAATAACCTCAAAGAAGAATCTCAAGCTGGAGAGTAAAAATTTCAACTATCGGGCTATTCAAGATGCACGGAACCTGCAAGAACCAAGCGAAACAACATTACAAATTGGGGACACTGGTAGTGTCCATCAAACGCGCGTTGCGGACCTTGGGATCACCACACTCGATAGCAGTCGACTATTGGAGGAAAAAGGCCACATGATTGCCTGCGAAGAAATGTTAATGACGAATTAGAACCCAAACAGGCCAGGATTATGACCGGGGGTGGCAGATTGTGACATTGTCAATGTGACCCGCTTCAGAGGGCCCAGAGCCCGAGGAAATTGATGAAGATTATCCGGACTGGGTTACTGAGGGATAGGGGGAAACTAGGCCACCGCGATTATTGGAGGATGACACGGCTGGGTTTGACATGGAAGAGACAGTGGGGAGGGTCAGGAAAAAGGGGGGAACAAAGCTGATCGACACGGAAGCGGAACACAAATGGTACACATGGCATTGCTTGAATTTGAGCCGGGAAGGAGGATTGCCTTCCTTTGCGCTGTAAATGAATAAATACATAATCTGGGCTGGGATGAATACGTCTTTCGTGGATGGACGCACTGGAGCTCCAAAAGCGGTGTCTCTATCACAAGTCAACAAGCGGAAACACCTGCACGGTGCATTTATAAATGATTGAAGGCTTGAACACAAACAATACTTTTCTCCATTCCCTTGCAGCGACCGCAGCTCCTATAAGATCTTGCTCTCGTCATGTTCCATCTCCTTGAGAATTACTGAGGTGTGCGCATGTGATGGCCTCAGCTAAGGCAGATGACGCATGCACGCATCATGGAGACATAAGAGCCAACTCTTGTCTATCCACCCAGTTCCCATGCAACCCGGCCCTCAATCTCACCGGCAAATATACAACGGCCTGCGCCTTCTCAAAGTCCGCAGTATCCAGGATATGCAGCTCCGAGCACATTGATTCGTAATTATTTACGAGAGCCATCACGAAGCCATCGCCCTCCTCACAACCCTCCGCTCGAGGAACAAAGATCGGTTCTTGAACAAAATGTTTAGGTCCCGGAAAATATTTTTCAAGTTTCCTCGTGGTCAAATTGAGATGTGCGAGCGCGTTGTACGGCGGAAACCCGCCCCCCATGATGGGGATGATGGACTGCCAGTCCGTTGGGAGGGACTTGTCCAAAACATTGAAGAAGCAACGTTGATGCTCGGTCATGAGGAAGCGGTCGTCGATGCGAGGAAATTCGCAATCCTCCTCCAAGATCATTTCCGGGTTCGGAAGGTCAAGGTTTGAGGAGTTCGGGTCAATCGTGAAGCGGTACAGATAAGCGGTGATTTCGTGGGGGGCGGGCGCGTTGCCTTCTCCGTCGGGCCACCAAAAGAAGACATTCTTGTCGCTGACGGGGAGGTCGAGAACGAGTTTGCCATGTTTCTCAAAGGCGTTGAAAGTGTGCCCTGGGAATGCATTGGGAGCTCGGAACCACTGTGAGTTCAGGCCATGTGAGCGCTCGAATGATTGGTTCGATTCGGGGAAGTCTCAAACCTTTATATCGGATCCTTTGGCTCCATGTCGTGGGAGAACTCCGAGGTAGAAAGGGATATGGGGATTCCATTGCCAGTGTTCCCCGCCGGCCTTGAGCCTTTCGATGTCACATGTTTGTGGGATGATGGGGAAGATCACCTTTGTAGTCGTTAGCCACTGTCTTTCGACGGATGGGATGTGTAACCGCCTGCACCCACCCAATTCTCCGTGATTGCAAAATCGTGGATTAACGCGACCACAGGCGATACCAACCAGACCGTTTCCTTGAATTTACCATCGGGGTTGACCGAGTAGTAGCAGATATCCGGAGTGCCGTCGCCCTTGGCTTCGTAGCCAAAGCAAACCATTTCGCCTGTGACCGGGTCGATTTTCGGATGAGCTGTGAATGTCAAGCTGGGTAGTTGGCCATCAAAGTCCCATAGGGAAATTGTATCCAGGGTCTCAGGGTCCATGGCATACGGAGGCGCGTCCTCTTTACACGCCAGCAGCTTGCCGTTAAAATATACGACATTGGTGTTTGCGGTGGTACGAATTTTGAATTCGACGGCGTCGGTGTACTTGTTTCGGTATTTCCCTGCGTGTTGATTAACCAAAGTCCATTGGCGTATGATGCGGTCCTTTGTCTTACCTAACAAGGCTCGTTGAGCTTCTCGTTCGCGCACAAATTTCTCGGTGCGCACATATCGTTGTTTGAAGTGCACTCTGCCATTTTGGATCCCAAAGGCGCTCACGTTGCCGTCGCCATTGAACCACTTCATCAATTAGCCTGTGTCGACAATGGTCAGCGAACATGTGAAGGCGTACCGGATCATTTTCAATGAACGGAGGAAATTGGGGATCTGGCATGACCCGGTAAAATACTCCGTTGATTGATGTTGGTATCGTTCCCTTGACCTCCAGATTCTGCACTTCTCCTTCGAAGCGGCATGGTTTCATGAAACCCGAAAACTGAGGTTTGTTGGGAAAGGCCTGCACGCCTGACCTGTCGATTCCTTTGTAATGTCCAGCCATGTTCCTCAATCGAGATTTGTTGCCTTTAGTCTCCTTGGGATTGTGACCTTCGTTCGAAGTCAACCTCGAAATATGAGCTCTCGAGGAATCGACATTTATTTATCTTAAGGAGGTACCTGTAGTTTCCGACTAGTAAGTTTCAATATGTTCAACGTCGTCATTAAGTTTCGCAATGCCGAACCCCAATGCCGCGTTTCAGGTGATGTTGGACATCTCAATACGGTTGAGATGACATTTAACTTTCCGCCAATTGGGCGAGGCGAGTGCTTTGATGCCTTGTTGATGGGTCTGGAACTCCAGATCTCCGCCTTTTTCTTTCCCCGATTTCCCCGGCTATCCACCACGCTAGAGCTGAGAACCCAATTGGTGCAGATGGTGTAGCATGCGATATGGAAGCTCTCAGCTATACGACAGTTCAAATACTATTGTTTCCGCCATATCTCCGGTGAATTTGGCCCAAAGTATGTCTAGCGGATGTTCAGGAGTCGGTGGTTCCACAATGAAGCGTTCGAGGGAAGAATCAGACCAGGCCGGTAATCAAGATGGTATCACTGGAAACAAGAGACGAAGAACGGCCATTGCTTGCGCGGCATGCAGAACTCGAAAATCACGCGTAAGTTGAGTTTGATCCATCCCTCATTCCCTGTCCCAGCTTCAGCAATTCCGTATGTCGGAAGCCAGTGACAAATGGGATCTAGTGCGATGGGAAAAGGCCAAAATGTTCGCCATGTGAAGACATGGCCTTTGATTGCAACTACATACAGTCGACCACATCCCCTAATGTTATCGTTGGTAGAGAGTAAGCCATGCCCAGAAAGAGGCAACAAGCGTGGCCGTTGACTTTTGAAAAGCTATTTGTCCACTCTGGAAAATCGGGTTCGCACTGTCGAACAGGCTTTGGAGTCTGTCCAAAGCCAACTCGATGACATACGTGCGTCTGGGCAGACATTTCGAGCGGAGAATATCAACGCATCAGCCCCAGGTCAGAATAGCTCACTGGTCGTGCAAGATGTCAGTGAGGATACCGAACGAGTTGACGCAATGGGGGTTGTTGTTTTCACAAATGAGGAAGAATCTGGGTTTTTCGGTATGGCCCCCATTCGAAATGACTCCCAATAGCATACCTAACAGCGTGACAGGGCCGTCTTCAAACATTGCTTTCCTCCGCCATATCTCGCAAGCTGCCGCGGAGGCCAGTAATGTTTCCTTTCACTCTCCTCGGGTCGATTCGAGTTCTGAATTCATCGATGGAGGGCTTTTCAGCTTCTCCAGATCGAGTCCCCGTCGTCGAGATTGCAGGAATCAATCTTCACAAAATGTCGACTTGTTTGTATTGCCCTCGGAATCCGTTGTCATGGACTTACTCAGCCAATTTTTCTCTTATCCCGGATACCTCTATCCTTACATCCATGAAGACACATTCATCGAGACTTACATTCAGATTAAGGACTCCAGTCGTCCCACGGTTCGGAGGACCTGGTTGGGATTATTCAACATCATCCTTGCCATGGCCGTTGGTACTAGGATCAATGTTGACATTGACGCGACTAAACGATTCGAGGGCTCCGACATCTATTATCAAAGAGCCGTTGGTCTTTGTAGTAAGCAAATTATGCGAGGAACAAGTCTGGAAATTGGTAAGCTTGTCAAAGTCGGATATCTGGACGAACTTGAATTACATCGATACTGATGACTCTCACACGTTCTCTCTGTGCTACAGTACACTATCTCTTGATCTTGGGCCAATATCTTCGGGGCACTCAAAAGTCGATTGAAGCTTGGGTCGTTCATGGGCTGGCGGTGAAAGCAGCCATGCAGCTAGGGCTTCATTCAAGCGAGTGTTCTAGAGGGCTTCCTCCGTTAGAACAGGAAATTCGAAAGAGAACCTGGTTTGGCTGTGTTGTGCTTGACAGGTACCATTATCGCATTTTCCACCTTTGAACGTGCTCCGGAACTAATCCGACGTTCACAGAACCCTCAGCATGACTTTCGGACGTCCATCAGCAATTCCAGACTCGTACGTTCGACTCGAAATGCCCAGCGAGAAGTTTTTCTATCCGCAGCCCCACCTCTCATCTTCGTGGGAAGCAAAGAACCCCTTGAATGTGGCTTTTTTTGCCAGCACAATGTAAGTCCTTGCTCTTCCTCGTGATTCTTCGTCACGCAAAATTCTAAGGTCCGCCAGAAAACTCTATCAAGTTCTTTGGAATGTTCTCGATCAACTCTATGGCCAAAACATCGGCTGCGAAAAGCCACCCGGAATAAGTGAGACAGTCACTCGCCTATTCGGGATCGAACAGCAACTCCTCACCTGGGAACAGAACTTGTGTCCTGACCTCCAAATTTTGACACATTATGATCTAGCCGCCCAAACAGGCCAGCCGGACTTAGACCACACTCAGAGAACCAGGCAAAGACTAAGAACCATATTGACTCTACGATATTTGAACATTCGACTTCTACTGCACCGGCCGATCCTCGTCAAGTTCCTGGATTCACGCAACGGAGTGAAGAGGGATACCAACGAGATGAAGATGTTGCAACAAATTGGATCCCACAGCATCCAGGTGTCCATGTGTACGGCCTCTGAGATTATTTCGATCGTTCACATGATAGTCACGGCAACAGGCTATCAAAGAAAACTGGTGGGGGCATGGTGGTATACATTGTATTTCAGTGAGCCCTCCCTCCCTGCAACTTTGACTCCAATAGTGAACCAAAGTGATGGACAACACTGACTTTACATGCCTACAACGTCAGCCTTCAACGCCGCCCTAGTCGTCTTTGGAAGCTTCCTGGTTAGCCGCTCACAGAACGTCGCATCCGACCAATTCTTCATCATCACAGCTGACGAGGCAATGGAACATCTGACTCGATCACTTCGGGCGCTCGAGCTGCTTGACAGGGGAAACCACATGGTGGAGCGGTGTCGACATTATTTGCACCTTCTGTTTACCGTGCTGAAAGCTACAGGTACACCATCCTGATTCAAGAGCAAGGTGGGATCGACTGCTAAAAGAAGATTTGAACAGAAGCACCGAAATCAACATCAACCTCGACGAGGGTGATGATTCCAGAAGATCTGATGGTTTCTCCGAGTTTGCCGTTTACGTTTGGGGTGGGCAATGATTTCGGTCCGGAAGAGTCGTCGCTGGGTATGAATGTCAACGACTTTTTGGGGATTAATTTCAATTTTTAACGGGAAGATTGCTAAAGCTTATGGAAGAAAAAAGAAGGGGGGGAAGATGAAACAGGGATACACATCAGCGGATATTAAGTTGGCCAGTGTCATATCTACTGAATTTTTGAAACCTTCAATGAGTCGGGTTTTCATTGGCGGGCCTACGCTCCCCAGATTCTTCTTCATCGTTGTTGTCATCTCTTGAAATCTACAACGTAAACTTAAACTCCGGGTGCAAATGGCCCAGATCCGCCGTCTCATCTTCCGTCAAACCTCGAACTCGATCATCCCGCCCACCACATGCCTTGATGTTGTTCTCTCGCTTCAAACTAGCTATTGCTGCCGCCACGATCACGAGACAAAGGCATGCAAATCCCAAATTCAGCGCGTGTCCTTTAGTATACTTCGGCGCGTCCGGCAAGGTATATGTCCAAGTAGCCAGGATGCCACCGATGTTCCCGAACCCGACGACAGTAGCCGCGACAATGGCCCGTGTAGTGTGCCCAGCGGAGTTATCGACGACCCAAGCAACGAACATAGGTGACGCGGTGAATGCGCCTGTCAAACACAGGAAAAGAGCGAAGTATCGTACTCCTACAACGTGGACCGTGAGTAAGATGATAAAGCCCGTGGCCGTGAATGGCATGACGATCAGAATCCATACACCCCGTCGCTTCGTACGGTCCGAGAGAAACGTCACCGTCACGCAGACGCACGCCGCCCATGCATACGGCGGCACAGAGAGAAGTTGGCTGTGGATGCCGCTGTACCCCATTGCAGCGAGGAGTGAGGGGACAAAGAGCGCCATCGAATTCATGGTGAGCAGCGAACAGAACGAGGCTAAAGCTATCAAGATCGTGTTGAGATTCAACAGCGCACGCTTGAAGTAGCGCATATTCAATTCTTCGACTTTCTGACTTTTAAGGTCGCGATTGATTCGTGTGATGGCGACTTGTCGCTCGGCCTCGGGGAGGAAGTATGCTGTTTCCGGGGACGACGGGAGAATGATGAAGCCGACGACTCCCAAGACGATGGAGATGATGCCTTCGAAGAAGAAGATGTTGCGCCAGCTGTGGATAATGCCCCATTGTGGGATCTTTGTCAGGCCACTTGCGAGAAGGCCGCCAAAGGCACCGCTACAATAATATCAGCATACGTATACATGTATATACATATAATTGGGATAACGATATTGATCACAGCGCTGGGTATTTGCGTACCTTAACGACGCCACACTCGCATACAGCCCCACACGAGATACCAGTTCGTGCCTACAATAGAAACACGACAACGTATACGTAATGCCAGGCATGATGCCCGCTTCAAAAATCCCCAAACAGATCCTTGCGGCCAAGAAACCTTGATAATTCTGGACCGTCGACATGCACATGGTGATCACACCGAAGGAGAAAGCTAGAAACGGAATCCATACTTTCGGGCCGACTTTCTTGCATAGGATATTTGCGGGGACTTCGAGTAGAATGTACGTTACGTAGAAGCCTGAGAGACCGATGTTGAAGCGGTATCCGTCAAGCTGCAAATCTTCACCCATACCGAGCACGCGGGCATTACCGGCATTGGAGCGATCGATGAAAGCGAACAGATAGATTAGGGTGAGAATAGGGAGGAGGCGATAGTCGAGCTTTCGCCGCACGCGGGCATCAAGGACCGGGTCGATTGGGTTCGGTGGATAGACGGTGTTGACGTGGGCAATGGAAGCGAGATCTTTCTCTTTCTCGCTTGGAGCCGGGCTCGGAGTCATCTTGGTGATGGAACGGATTGCTCGAGCAAATCTTTGCCCGTTCTTCCTCTCAAAACTTTTGCTTTTCACAATGAATAATTAGGTCGAGGTGAGAAAACCTTGTAGAGCATGCAGTGAAAATGACCAAATGTGGAGGACCTGGGTGGGATTTATAGTCCTCCCAAGAGCAGAAGAAGCTCACTTCCTTTCCCATGGGATAGACATTCCCCGGGTGTGGGGGGGAGAAGTCGGAGATATTCTCTCCGCTTCTATCAAATATGGACGTGAAAAGAGATTTGTTGGAGTTCGTTCCGCGTTTGCCCCGGGGGACAAGTCTGGTGGCGACGTTTATTTCTTGGCATGCTTCATTCTCAAGTCTGCCGTTGCTTTTGGATGAGGGTATTCCTTCCGCGTTCGCGGACCAGTCAAGGTCAGTGTTCTTCTTGATAAGTCTCCACAGTATCATGGAATTCTAGTAGCACCAAAGTTGTCTCAAGTCTCCGCCGCCGTATAGTCGCGTTCCGAATCCTTTCCCTGGCTCCCCGAACGGCATTACTCTTCGTCCGGAGTTCTGGCGGCCCTTTAGTGCTGTCTTACCCTGGTCCTGGGCGACCATTTAGGTCTTCATAGGAGTGTTAGCCTTTTCCTCTCCTATACCGGCTGTTTCTTAATTCATCATGTGCAACGTCTGGAGTTTGCTTTGCATTCCTTAGCCCGATGTCTGGGCTCTCCACATATAAAGTACAGGTCGAGGTCCATCGGGGTTCCCGTTGTCATGGATTTTCTTTCGGTAGCCGCCGAACTGAAAGCTTCTGTCGAACTGGGGAACAACTTGAGATGTATTGAATGCTCCGTCTACCTCACAACCGGTCCTACTAGATTGCTAGTATATATATACGTTGGTTTGACCCCCTTTCTTCTCCTATTCTACCCCTAAAACCTGCATAGGGGTGATAACCCCTTTTCAATAAAGGGGCACTTTCTACTACTCAGTCATTCAATGAGACCTTTGTTCGACAGCTTCCCTGTTCAACCTTTCCTCTTTTGGAGTCGTTCCACGGACGGTTGTTGATCTTGATGGATTCGTCAACCAATTTTTGATAGGTTTTCGGTATCATGTCCATTTTATCTTTGACCCTATCATTCAGGTCGTTGTAATATGCCACTGTGTACATTTCGTCGTTCCCGTCGAACTTGGCAGAGAATTGTTTGAACAGGGTATAATACTGAGCCTTAGATCCTTTCTGTTTAATGTCATGGATGAGTCTGACCGCGGTTCGTTCCTCGTCCGCAATCCCGAAGACCTGTTTGGTCTTCTCGAAGGCGACTAAGCTCCTGAACACTTCCTTGGTCTCGTCATCCAGGTTGGTAACATTGCTGGTTTCCAGGTGTTGAACAATATGTGGCAATATTTTCAGCATGGCGATGAATGTTCAGCCATAGCGCACCACATTTGATCCGGAAAGAGCACATACTCCCTGGAGGTAGCAAATCTTTTGGCACTCGTAAGATGATTTGCCGCCAGCCTCGCAGCTATCGACGCATTGCCGGTAAACATTCCCACACTGGCTGCAGCAGAGAGCAGAGGCACCGTGGGCACCGAGGAGTGCGGCGGTCAAAATGGTGATGAGAGTGAACTTCATGTTGATGGATGTAAGTGGACAATGTATCTTAGACTGAGAGTTTTTGAGATTGAGCTTGCGAGGTAATGAACTCTGATGATATCCTGGAGGAAGTTGGGGTTCTTATACTTGGTCCAAGGTCATATCCTCACCCTTGCTATTTAAGGCCGCCTTGCGTGTGACTGCCGCCGCCTTCTCGATGAAGATCTCTGCTTTATCTAGAAATTGTACGAGTCCAATGTGTCTCGAGGATTGCGTCGTTTCTTTCCAATGGAGGCATCGAGGCATAAGTACAGAGACCTTTAAGCTGGTGCTGTAGCATGCATTTCGCTAGCCGAATAAATCTGACCAATCAGAAGGTTGTGTCACTTATACCCAAACGGGATGTAGAGTTCTCGACTCTTACTCGAACCAGTCAAAGATATGAGTGGCCAGGACTGCACATCAAGGAAGATCTGGGTTTCCAAGTACTCTTACATCTAACGCGGCCTTGTCCAGCCATCTCGCTGTCTCCAAATGACCTCCCTTGCCGAATCGTCCTGTTCATTCTCCGACATGACCTTCGCCTTCCTGCAAAGCCTCTTATTCTCTCTGGGGCTTGCTCGATGGCAGAGCGCAAGCTCCTCGGTGCATCTGCCAGATGCGTGCCTCGTTTTCAATTCGGTCCATTCGGCCATGAGGCAATTCGGCTCCTCGATCAATTATGAGAGCCGCTGCGCGTTCCTGGCGACGACCCCGACCGGCATGCAGCTCTACCATGGATCATCTTAAGAGGGTCCTATAGTAGGGCAGCAGTGGCTTTCTCTGGAACCGGAACACGCCATGCTCTTCGCCCATCCGTCAGAGCACTGGTCTAAGTCTAATCGCACCGACGATCAAGGTCCTTCATCCCGGACTAAATCGCCGCAGCGCATGGATGATCAGGTAGAGCCTCTCGACCAGGAGACCTCATCAAATCCTCGTTCCGATTTGTGGCAAAGGTTTCTTGACCAGAATGACTGGGGGTATCTTCAAACGTACTCAACGGAACGGCCACTCCGGCTGCTGTACATTGATGGCATGTCCGCCGCGAAGACCGGGCTCGGCACTCTGGACATGCAGGACAAGATAATCCTTGAAGGACATTTCCCCCTATCAACGACGAATCTGGATGGTGATAAAAAAACGCGCGCGTGAGCTTTGTAGAGTAGCAAAAGAAGATTGGTCGGGCTAGTTATATGGCTTCATCCGAATGGAGATGGGATTTGAAATCATCTTATGCTCCGTGACGGAGGCGGAATTAAGATATACCGGGGCCGTGGCCACGTCGAAGATCAAGAATGCCTTTGCCGCCTATAAGGCGCTTTCGCAAAGATTCTTTGGTATCGGCGGTGGGAGAGTTGTCATTGACTTTGACAACTTTGTCATAACGCACCGCTGGGGAGAATTAAATGGCAAGAGCTTGAGAGCGCTGCGGTCAGAACTAGACGGGATAGTCACGAACTACGCAAGCGGTCTACGACAAGACCGATTGGCAGGCAGTCACTGATAGAATGGTCGAGCGATTTGCTGTTCCCTTGAGGCTGCTGGCTTCTGGCCGTTTGGAATCCAAGTCTGCCTTTAATGACGAGGCCTCGAGACTTCTCCTACCCTTTCTCGACCATCGTCGGCGAGATCGAGACATGGAGATTGCTCGCTGCGCCGAGTACTTTATGCCCCAAACTCGCCACACACGTCCCTAGTGGGATCATCGATTCTCCAGGTAGGTAAGACAATTTGCTGGGATCTCTTATCCTCTGTAGAGGGGGACACAGACCTCGGCCGGGCCACGGGGCGGATGCGGAGGCTGGTCGAGTACCTTGACTGGTCAGAGTGGAAGAGATGCTTACCTGGGTGCAGGGATGATGAGATTTGCTATGTGCCCGTCTGGCCATTCTCACTGGCGCTGGAGAAGAGAAAGGCTCCAACTTGTCTTGACGAGGCGGCGTTTTCAAATTGGCGACGGAGGAGGTTTTCGATGCCGCTGTGATGCGTTCTTGAATGATAGAATACTCGAGTCCTTCGCTGTTGACGAGCTCGGCAATTTGGGTTCTCAAAGCTTCCCATCACCTGACAGATATCCGTCAGATACCGTTCAGTGCCGCAGGAAGAGAGCAAGTAGCGCAATTCCTAATGTCAAGAGAACGGTGGCCGAAGGCACAGGGTGCTGGCGGGAAGGAGTGCTGGGTAAGTCGCCTCATTCCAAGCCAAACAGATTTGAAGCTTGGTGATAGTGTTCGACCGTCAGGCGACAAAGGGTGCTGCTATTCAAGTTTAGAACATTGAAGGACAATAAATTGATATTGTTGCGGGGGTTGTTCAGTCTCAAGAGCGCTCCATATCCGTCCAAACGGCATGGTGAACTGGCATATCCTAGGATCGAGAATGTCGTAGGATTCCTTCTCAACAAACGGGCTGAGGTGACGATCAATAAGAGTGCGGAGATCGCGAAAAGTGTCGTAGGATTCAGTCGCGCGACTCTTTCGCGAAGAAAATCAAGAAAAGTATCTTCAACTCCGTGCAGCCGAAGGGGTGGTGAAGGCTTCTTCAACCAAGCTACTAAATATCAGGCAAATTATCACACGGCGATGGCAATGATGAACTGGCTTGGATTGCATAAGGTGGTCGAGTGTGTTACCTTCAGGATGAGCCAACATTAATATCAAAGAGAAAGAGTTCAAGAGGGATAGATTCAATGCGACCGGGACTCCAATCGCAGGAAGACTCTTGGACATCCACAAAAGCAAATATACCTCTTCCTATCTTTTCAAGTCCATCCAAACTCCAGAAACAGAAGGTTTCAAAGCCGTCAAAATGGGTGTAAGTTCAACGTCATGAATCGCTGAAAAGTCATGAGCCACGACATCACATCCTTCCCATGAAAATCAGGCCTTAGATCTCTCTGATTTGTTGTCTTTTAAACGGGATCCGAGTCTCCTTGCCATGGCCGAGGGGTATCCATTATAATGTAACAGTTGTTTTCCTCATGATGATAATAGAACAGCCCCTACCGATGGAGGTGCTCTGTCGACAGAGGGGTTAGCCATGATGGATTTCAACCAGCAATTTCCATTCTGATTGGCATTCGTCTTTTGAAGATTGGCGTTGAACAGTATGCCACGGCATTGTTCTTCTCCTGCAAAGGTGTTCATGTTCGAACAGGCATTGATACAGGCGTCTAGGGTATATGCGATGATGTTGATCATATCGTTGTCGGGGAAGTTTATGTTGCAATTCAGTTGGAACTGTTCTCCCGTTGCAGAATTTATTGTGGCCTGATCCACACATTGGAGCGCCGTCGTGTTGACTTGATCCGGCAGAAGCGGAGTGTAATTATTTACCAGACCAGAAGGAGTTGCTGACGCGGTAGGGGCGGTGTTGGTTACAGTCACCGTAGCAGTCTGCGTCTGAGTGGAAGAGCTGACTTTTTATCAGGCATGTTCATTTTTGGTGACCCTGATACACTTACTCGGAATCGTCCTGGCTTGCAAGAACTCCTCCTAGTGCTCCTCCCACGGCACCAGCCGTTATCAGAAATGTTATAACCGCGATCAGGAGGGTGTATGCTAATATGGACAGTCCCCAAGGGAGGCGACGCCTAGGAGACTGTGGAGTCGGCGCATCAGGTGCAACAGGCGCATTGTAAACATCATGCTGAGGTAGGACAATAGGCGTGGTGGACGTATGTGAAGGTGAAGATGAAGATACTACCTTGTCAGAATATGTAGGCGCATAACCATTGTCACGATGAGAATCGTCCAGCTGGAGGCCATCCATTTGGATGGCAAAGGACAGGTTAGGATGTCTGCATTGCTACACCCTGGGGATTAGGAGGCTTAATAGTAGGCAATTTGAAATTGGACTCGACCATTGAGACGAGCATCGTTTCCAAATAAAAAAGACCCACCTACAATACAAATGGTGCGCCAATCAATCGCTTATCGAATGATCTGGTTGATTGATTGGCTGACTAAATTCTTACGCCCCTACACGCCGCCCGGCCCATTGGGAACTACTGCTACCACACGATTGTCCATCCCATGCCTAGTCGGATATGAAAGTCAAGGAGTCGCCGAGCTTGGGGGCTGACGCGCTAGTACCTTAGAACCTCGGGGGAAGTCAAGGACTGAAATGCATCGAACCCAAGGCAAAACTCCAGGGACTTGCCGTACCGGGTGTGAAAAGGGGCCCAGAGCGGCGCGTCGAGCCTGTTGAAGATTCTACCCGCATGCAGGGGAATTATATGCATTGTAAACGGTACCCAAAAGTCCCCAGGCAAAGGCCAATGATTGTGGCACTAGGGAGCGTTCACCAAGGACTCGCTAGGATTACCCCTTTCGAAACATTAGCCCCACTCTTGAAAGTTGAGACAAGATCTTCCTTAGGGGCGGGTGCTGTTTTATCCCTCAATACCTCGATCATGCAACCGTCTGGACGCAGAGAGCTGAGGAGGTGGTTCTTGAATATTCGTAGACTATTAACCGACGTGGCTGGAAAATTTTCAAATGATGGTTTTGGTGACGTAGTTGTGTCCGAAATTTATGAAAATCGTAAGTAGGCGTCATTCCGAATGACCCACCAGGCAGAATGGCTGGTGAAAAAACACCGAATGAAACGCTGACGGCGGACTTAGCCTCCCGACAATTGAATAAGCTGTTTTGAATTGGTGGTTTAGTAGGGGTATTGCACAACGCACGAGGTGCAAGTGTCTTTTAATGGCAGTCACGATGCCATAACGAAATCTTTCTTCTTGCATAGGACAAATTATTTTGGATGACTCGATGGAAAATACTACAGCCGCGATGCTTTCAATCTGACGCACTGAATATCCACGCCGTTCAGTTGAGGCTGTGCTCGAGCCAAGAGCGTGAACGAGAGTGACGAAGGGAGCAAACCCTCTGCAGCGTTTGGGACGATTCCAAAGCAGGCAGACATGTTGGCCGAGCGATCAGGCTGCCGCAGTTCGAGGTAATTTTCGTTAGTAGGGAGCTATATCGCGTGGCTACTAGCAACCTGTTCTGATGGGGTCAATAGGATTTACCTTCAACTAATTTCTACCTTGGCACTGTACAGCCACCATCCGACGCTCCGCCTAAGGCCCCTGGGGAACCTCCCGAGTATCATATGACTAAGCTGACGGGGGTTTGATATGACTGTCAACTTCATGAAGGAGCCGGTGTTTTCCGCAATCTCCGCGACTTGAGAAAAACCCATCGAGACGATATCATCGACCGTGCAAATCAGGTAGCTTGACACGCACCTGCTGGTAGCCCTTCCACTACATTGACAGACAGCCATACATCTCTATCAATACTTCAAGACCAATCCGATACTTCGGCCGATGAGCTTGCTGTCGAGCAAACGGTTTCCAAGCGCTCGAGACATGCTGCTGTCGAACGGAGCAAGGGCGGATAGAAGGGGTGAAAACTCCTGTAGATGGGAGGGGAAGCCCCCTACAAAGGCTAGAATAGGGGCTCTTGGCACTAGGCACCAGCTGTCTGACAGCTGCTCTCAAAACTACGGCAACACCTCACTCCAGTGCGCGTTCTCGACATGCGGCAAATAAGTCTGCGAGACCCCTGCAAGCAATGACAAGCGCACACTATGTGCAATCCAACGTACGTTTGCAGGACTTGCTAAAAGATGGCATGACTAGAAGGCAAATCAAGCCTACACGGAAGGTGCTGGAGAGCATAGACGCCGGCGGAGGTCGGGGTCGGGGACGATAACGTGGATATGGGTTTCTTTTTCAGAATTGCCAATCCAGGCAATCTCAGCCTTTCACCTGGGACCAGTCGGTCGTACAGATAGGCCAGCTATCAATTTTTAGGACGTCGTAAATCGTTTGTTGACGAACTCTTCATATATTATATGCGAGAGACGATTTCTAGCCCCTAGTATTTATCCCAAGGACACCTTTTGGTCCCCTGGAAATGACACCTCCAAGCAGCATCTACACCGAAATAGCAAGCTTGTCAACCCTGTGGGATCTGTTTTGGTCATCTCAATGGATCTGGCGTGTCCGCATTGTTTGACTATTGTCCGACAGGCTCACTGTGAATCGTAGAGGGAGCTGTATCAAGCACGGTATCCGTGTGATTAGCTTTCTGGATGGAGCCATTAACAGTACCATGTTGTAAATATGCGGCAATCTGGCAGGACCAGTTGCAAAACAGATAGAGCTCTTTGTAGCAATCAATGTAACAATCAATGCACACCACAAGCTTGAGAGGATGTTCATACCTATTCTTTTTCTGTGATGTATACTAACCACCAGGGTGGCAACTTTGCACATATCTTCGAGCATGTCAAACCTTCTGGCAAATGTTATCCGATGCTGGCGAGCGCTGATTGGACAGAATTTTTATCCAAATATCTAAATATCCAAATAAATCCAGGTATTATGATTTCATTTGATTTGGATTTACCTGGATACGATTCATCTATTTGCAAGCCTGGCCGTAAGATAGCCGACGACCCGCGCATGAGACTCCCAACAACATTCCATATGCTGAAGATGTGAAGACTCTGGATCTTCACGAGTGGGGAAGACGAGCGAGGCTGTGGCAGCGTATGTTCCGGTCTCGGGCCATTGATCGCGAGTATGATAACAGCCAAAATCAATCCATCGGAAGGGGCGTCCCTGCCATATTCCTGATGTCTCGCCCAATATACCCGAGGACCTCATTTTGGTGAAAACTTGGTGCCTGAGGAGCAAGCAGCGATGCTTCTTTCTCCACCTGGCTCTCGTAGATCTTGTAGTTGCGTTGTGGCAGCATATGTTGTGATGGGGTGAAGTCGACACGGCAGCGACTATTCTGTACACCCCCCTTGGCTAGTCAGTACACCGATAAACCTGCCTATTCTGTACAGTGTCCCCAGCCTCCTTATTCTGTACACCAACCTTCCTTTCACGGCTTATTCTGTATACTCAATACACTTTGCGCATTGTTCCGTACACCTCTCTATTCGCCCTGGTTCTTGTTGACCTAGCGACGTTCGAATCTCCACGGTAAGTGGCGTGTTTGTAGAACGCTAGCGCGTAGAAGTGATCTTCGGGTAGAGGGTAGAGAAGCAGGATACACACTTCCTTCCTTTTCCTCTGGTATCCCCTGCACGGTCGATATCTCGTGCTGACTAAGGTATCAAACCAGCGCCCATAGACTTGGGGGGGAACCGCCCATAAGCAGGGCAGTTACCCCTCGGCTTATGGGCGGTCCCCCCCAAGTCTATGGGCGCTGGTTTGATACCTTAGTCAGCACGAGATATCGACCGTGCAGGGGATAGAGGGTGACCAATCGAGCTTGTCAGGGTGGTCCGTAGACTGGATCCGATGGGCGACGGGCGATTTCATCGGATCCAATGCGTGGATCATCTCGACATCGAGGCTTGCCCGTTCACGCTCGGTTACGAACCATCTCGAGTGCGATCAGTAGAGCCTGTCTGGGTGGTCCACAGACTGGATCCGATGAAATACCACGACCCATCGGATCCAATCCATGGATCATCTCGACGTCGAGGCTGGCCCGTTCACGCTCGGTTACGAAGCATCTCGAGTGTGATTAATAGAAAAATGAACCGGTGGAGAACAGAGGTAGCGCGTAGCAATTAGCTAGTCCCCTATGGGCTTAGCCGGCACAGAGTGTATGAATATCGTATCGTATCGTGATTAATAGAGCTTCTCTAGGTGGTCCACGGACTGGATTCGATGGGAGCTGCGCGGAAAATATTTAATCCGATGGCGGTGGCGGGAAAGTTGCATCACGTGATTAAACTAACAAAGATGACGTCAACTTTTAGCCAATCAGAGGCCGTTATACAGAATAAAACTTATCACGTGATTAGTGTACTGAATAGTATTTTCGCTTACTAATCAAGGTGTACTGACTAGCCAAGGGGGGTGTACGGAATAGGCGCTGCCAGTGGACCCGGCTGCGCATTCGGCCTATGCCAACTAGTCACGTGATAGAGGAAGCAAGCAGTGGAGAGTAGTATGAAAGAAAAGCTGCCTCCCTGAGGGTGGAAGGGGAAAGACATATGAGAGAAGAGACATTAGCAGCGACAGCAATAGACAAGTGGGCACGGGTGTTGTTAGCACACCTTTCGTGTATCTCGACGTGTTGAACAAAGAGTTATTGTGTACAGGCTCCACAGCTGAAACACTGGTGAGAGGTTTCCATAGACGACGACGTTACTGATGGTTGCTCTGAGTAACGACGTAGTATTCGCACGTCTATAAAAGAAGCCTCAATACCTCGGCAAATAGATAGAGAACAGAGAGAGAGCATTCAAGACATCTCGAGTTGCACCCAGTTTGACACCACATCATACCGAAGCTTGTCCTGGACGAATCCGTCTTCCTCATAGTGTTGTTCAAAGCGCTCGAACTCTGTTGGGGACAGCTTAAAGCGTAGCCACGGGACAGCGAAGAATCCACGGCCAATCTTGCGCTTCTCGACCTGTGACGAAACGGAAGGAGGACATCATGGCGCGAGTGGCGTTGTCTTGTGTTGAACAATGAGTGTAATATTGAAGGTTCTTGATTGTTACATTGATTGTTACACTATGTGCTCTGTTCTCTATCAAACTAAGGTCCTGCCTCGCATGTTTATATAGACAATAATTGTCGCCACTTCTCGGCGTGTCTGTGACTAGTTCACGGGTATGATCCTTGTATGGCTCAACGTTCATCGCCACGCTGAAAATGTTGCCACTGCTGTTCGACAGCTATCTACTCAGGCACTAACAACCCCTTCTTCACCTCAACCCACGCCTCCTCAGCGACCAACAACTCCTTCAACTCAAACTTCGCCGATTCGAGTACGTACTCCTACAACAAAAGAGCGGCCGCGGCCGCGGATGCACACGCCATCACCTGAGTTATTTGAGTCTTCCGAACCTGTCGATGATCTCCCAGCTGCCTACGAGACTAGTCGAGCTCGGGCAAAACCCTAGCTCGTCTCGTCTCATCCCCCGACGGATTAACCATTTTCCGGATCACCGTCATCGGACCCAATCCGTGGACCATGTGCCCCCCGGGGTACCCTCTTACTCGACGTGGTTCACGGATTGGATCCGATGAAATCCCCCCCAACTGCAGGACTCAGATCATGTGCTCCTAGCGCAGGGCTAGCGAAAGTTACCCCGTGGCTTTGACCCCACAGACCACATCAAACTTCCTGGATCTTTTTACGTTCGATTTGGCCTCCAACTATCCAACATCATCAAGCTGATCAGTGTAAGGCTATCCGAGTGGATTTTGAGTACCAGTTGAGCAGATTTGATTGCTTTTCGAATGCAAGAAACCTAGTCTCGCGCGTATCAGTGGATCCCTTCACAATAGTGGGGGCTTGCCGGCAACGCCATCTAATTCGTAGCAAAGCTCATCGACACTGGCTTTGAAATCAGCCGGTCCGGCGGCACGGCGGACAATTATGAGCTACAGAATATCGCTACCGATTCTCGAATCCTCTCGCGCAAGCGGGGCCAGCACCTGCGACCCTAGCCAGATAAGGTATGAATTCTGACCGAGCTCTCAGACACCAGAAGAGCTTACTACCAAACGTGCTACTCTGTCAGATGAACTGAGCTCTCGCATAGCCCGAATGGCTCGGTCACCCGGAAAGTCGATCCGGAAAATTCATTGGCAAGCGCTTCGAACAGGATGGTCCGGGAAGAAAGTTCGATCTATTTTTGGACGACAGGGCAAATACGGCAATCAGATCCAAATGCATATACTGACAGGTCTGAGGTTATGACTGGGCAACGAAGTAAACCGCAACGAAATAACCCAGAGCGGACAAACAATCCGCGGCACTCAAACCAGCTTGAGCAAAGAACCAACATATCTATTCTTCATCAGAAGGACATGTTCACCCAGGCCTTGGAATGGAGAGACAAGCCACGTCGCAAGTTTGTTGGAGAAACATGAATCTTCCGCCCAAACAGGACACTTGAAGAGTCTTGCAGCAATCCAACTGAGTCAAGGTAGTCGGACCAGAGAATATTCACCTGGTCACTTGATTCAGCAACAGGCTCTTCCCGGCGCGGACCAACACAAGTGGCTAATTTAGGAAAAAAGAGTGCCACAAAGACTAGCGGCGGAAATTTCTGCTTACTCTGTTTGCGGTAACCCAGAGAACAGGCCGCCATCTAAGCCTCATCCGGTCACCGCAAATTTCATCTTTTGGAACGGTGGAGTTTAGATGCAGTTTGGACTGTGGCAGTCGATCCTCCACGACGTATGCGAGCACAATTTGACGTTTGTTGAAAGACGGTTCCCAGATTGATTTGAGCGCCATCTTTCTAGAACCGAATGTTAATGGCTGGAAGCACTCCGGAAAGACCTGGACTACGAATGGCTACTACACGGCGATATTTCGGCGTCCATCGCAACAAGAAATTGATAAAGCTTTCGAGAGAGTTATTTTAAGACAAAGCCCTGCGCAACGAAATTCAGCCTCCGCCTCAACGAGCAATCATCGAAGCTCTCAAAACGGTTATCCCAAGTTGAAGACACGAACTGCAAGATCTGTCTTCTCGGTGACGGTATTGATGGGCTCTATGGTGAAATAACACCGCTACTAGACATGCCTTTTTGGCGTTTGTGGAAAGAATCTCGAGATCGTGGCCTCTTATCAGCTGATCCCGAATGTATCGAGGCGTTCTCAAATTACGTTTACAGGATCTGACCAGGCAAGATGTGAGAAGCTACATTGACGACGTGCCAGGGGGTTGTCCACGGATAAAGACTTTTGTGAAAGAGAATGCGGAGGCTGTTGAATCTCTCAAGTCGGAAATTGTTTCTGGATCCGAGAGAGTCTTTCTTTGGACTTTCCTTGTGGTCGAGTCACTTGTCTCGGGTCTTCGCAACTATGACGGTGTGGACGAACGATTTCTCAGGCTTGACGATCCGCCATGAAAACCCGAAACTCTGTACAAGCACGTGCTAGGAAATTTGGTATCCTTCCACGGAAAGTAAGCGTCAAAGCTGCTACAAATCGCATATGTCAGCACCCTGGATCAGGATATCACACTATTCAGCGTTGTTCAGCTTCATTACACCCGGTAATACAAGCCCAGAAGAGACAATGAGCGCCTCTATTGAGATACTGTCTCCGGGTGTTCGAAGCTCTATCTGTGAAGATCTGCTGACGGTCGCCTACGCATCAGATGCCGAGGGTTACTTGAAGTGGACTTGTACCAGAATGTGGTATTCTTACACCACACGGTTCGTGATTTTTCTGAGCTCGTCTGAGGTGTGAAGCTACATCATCTCACTCCACATAGACCTGCGTTTCGATGTCAATATCACTTTGATGGCAATCATGCATACGCGGACTCATGGGCATGATCCCCCCCGGACCATTTCGCCATGGATGACATTTTCCGCTTCGGTTGGGCTCATTGCGCCTACCACTTCGCAACTGTATACGAGGAAATCCATGAAACGGCCTGCTCGGAATATGTCAATACCCTAGACTATGTCCTCAACTATCACCAAAGCAAAGCAAATTTATGCCGAACGAAAACTCTGTACCACTTAGGCGGAATCGATTTATTGCCATCACAAGGCGTATTCGAGCCTAGCACTAAATGGTGCGAAAGGAATGATATCTCCTGTCCCGGCAATATCTTTCTTTCAGCGGCCTCGTCGTTTGGTGGCGTTCGAAATCTCTTGAGGACGCTTAGTGAACAAGCACGGTGACACGGCCGGAAGGCTTTGAGGGTTTTCATCACGTTTTCCAATTTCTTGCTAAGGCCCTATTCAACAGTAATCGGAATTCGCTCGTCAGCGAATGGGTGGAAGTTCTGCACCTTCGACTTTTCTGACCTGAATGCATCCACGGACTCCTTACGAAGTGTTTAGGATTCCTTCCCCGTGGGAAAAGTTAGACTTGCCCCAACAAAAGACATCTTCAACGAAATCGTCACTCTTTTTGTCGAATCTGGTGCAGATATCAATTTGCCCTGAACATCACGGCATTTGACAGGGTCGAGAAAAGGTTCTTTGTTCTCGCTTGGCATCGAGGCCAAAGCAACCAGGAAGTCTTCCGGACATACAGAGCCATTCTTATAAACGATGCTTATTTGCCATGAATTGAAGAAATCCCAATAATATTACAAGGCCGCCCATGCCCGGCAAGGCACATTAGGGAGTCGTTGTTTTGTCCTTGAAACGCAAGACTTGAATGCAATATTACGATAGAAAGTAACCAACAACAGCTCAAACTGCTCCCAAAGCATAAAAGGGAGCTTCTCATTCTCCTCTAACCACCTTCCAATTTCTTCTCCGCCACCCCTAAGAGAGACATTGAATTCAATGCTCGGTAGGAGCTATAGGTCGTTATCGTTTATTCGGTGCAAATGTCGCAGAAAATCTCAAATCCCTAATGGAACGGACATCAACACAATTTATTCTGGTGACAAGAGAATTGAGTGCTTACCAGATCCGTGCCTGGTGCGTCCGTGCAGTCCTCAGAAAGCGGGAAACGTCTCTCGATTGCCCAAAGAGCCGAGTCGGGCGAGTGGTCGAACATGGTAGGAGCGCGCGGCACCTTCTCACGATAGAGCTGGATAATATCTAAGAGCGAAGCATTTGTGAGCTAGGGCTTCTCTTGCCGCTCACGCGAATTGGTATACTATGCCCGCTTACTTACCTTCAAGTCGGACGGTAAGGTTTTCGAGTCGCGAGCCTCTGACGCCATAGCCGACACCAGTACCATCCCAGTGGATGCCTTGTACCTGGCTGGCAAGGACGCTCACGGGTTGCTCCGGTCCCATGAGAACGACTATATATCAAGATTCGAGTTAAACACCGGCTGAAGCTGGATTTAGTGATAAGGGCCGTGAGACTCACCTCGGAGGTTGTACCCAGCGTTGAGGATGTTAGCGGCGTCGCCCCGAAGAGCAGCATCGACAACGGCGGGATCAAAGCCTTGCTCTATGACAAGCGGATGGTACGGAGGTAAGCCACTGGAAAAACACAGGTTACCCGTCGTCTTGGAAGTCCGTCGACTTGGTCAGGAACACACGTGAAGATAATGTCCACCTCTCCACACCCACGTCCAGATCTCTTCTCTCCGGTGGGAGTAGCAGCGACAGTCATTGCGCCAATGAGGCCAATTGAAAACACAGACTTTAGCGAGACCATAGTGTCAGATGAAATCGTATGCGAAGGGTCGATTGCAGCTTCGACTGGGCAATCTCCGGAGGTTTGTTCGTGGCACCGTTGGGGAGCCATCGTAGGTATTTATACTTATGTTGTTGCTGGAATTCGACCACATTGGGACATACGACACGGAAGGCTGCGAAATTGGGACTTGGCTCCATTGCTAACCAACGTAATCCCAAATGTCGGAGATAGGAAGAATTACAACGGCCGAAATACTGTTGTTTGTATACCAAGGCTTGTATTAGGCAAGGCGACGGATGTCAGAGATCTTTTATGTAGTCATATTATGCGCCAGTCAGCTTGCTTGTGCCTCCCACCCTGAAGCCACTAAACCAATCCCGGCAGCCCGGTAGGAAAACCCCGATACAGCACCGCCCGATGTGGTGGTCAGATCCGCGTATGCCGTCCTCACGCGCAAATATTGCCTTTTTTGGCTTTTCATTTTTCTCACATCCTCTCGTAATACTTTTCCCACGTGTCCATTCATCGCGCAAGTTGCTCCCATATTCGAATCAGAAGTCAGGGTGCCCGAGTCGAACCGTTTCGCTTTATCTGGGGATTCGCTGTGATTGCGTGGAGACCATCGAACTTGGCCATCGTCCCGCTACCTAAGCCTCCAGACAGATTCAAAATTGCTGGTAAGCTCGACGTGGCCTCGTTGAGATGCTTTCAAACGAGATTAATGCGATAGACTGTGACCACTCTCCTACCCCGCAGACTGGCACGTTTGAAAAAGAGAAAAAAAATAAGGTATTTTAAGCAATTCTTCATATCCCTCTGTTCCTCTGTGGCCCCCCAAATCCGCGTTCATTTCCTCAAGATGTCATGACAAAGAACATCCCCAACCCAGACAAAGGACTCGTACACCCCGCGCTGAAGAATACTTTCAAAGGAGCTGATGCGTAGGTACGCAAAACTAAGGAAGGTTCGAGAAATGATCCTGAAACAACAACACATCGTCGATATTAGATTTGATAAAGGAGCACAACATCGATAATGTCTGCAATGCGGCCCAAGTGCTTGTGGAACAGCAGATTTGTGAGTCCACATTGAAAGCCAAAATCCGATTTCCTGAGGTCTTCGAGGTTTCTCCAGCGCAAAGTACCGAACGCTCAGCTTCCGAGGAAGAAGCTGCGAGGACTGAAGCAAAAGCCAGGAGAGCGGCAAACCGGTCGGGCGCAGTCAGGACGTTATTTTCCTAATAATGAAGGCCTACAAAGCTAATATGAAATGCAGCGTCCCAAGACTCAACGACCAAATCCCGCAAGCGCTCATTCCCTCACGCGACCGCCAGTACCCTGTCACTCTATGCGGTATATCTGCCTCTCCAGACACAACATCCCCTGCTTGTGAAAGTGCAAGGAATTCCGGAGGAAGCATGCTACGAGTTTGGAGTGAGAACCATGAAAGAGAGCGTGAAACGTGAAGGATGGGATTGTGCAGAGTCTGCCGAGCTGAATAGATGGACACGGGTATCAAGACAAGTTCCTACAAGTGGATCTCCAGGGACTCGGGAAACCATTTCCACAGATTCTCGACTCCATAGCGCACCTCCGACACACCGCGGTGCATAAGAGCAAATGGATTCGAGCAATTTTTGATTGATGCAGAAGCTGTGGCAAGATTGCTACACGATGGTCACTCCATCCAAAAGCTTACCCGGCTTCGCATGCAGACTGAAATCACAGTGAGAGAGCTGAAACGAAATAAGGATCTTCTAGAGTCAAAGCTCAATTCGGAGTCGAGAAAGATCGCTGCTCAAAGAACGGAATTGGATCGACTTGAAGATATGGCAATCAAAGAGACATTGAGGGCGGACAATGAATATCAGGTTTTGGCTGGGGCAAACTTGGACCAAACCATTAGATCTCTCGATGCAGCGGTGCAGAGTGCTGCGGTGACAGATATGGAGACCAGGTATGAGGAGGATCCGGAGGAGGATCTTGTATCTGCCAACTCCGGTGACCAAGGGCCTGAGTTGTTAAGAGAATCGTGGACGGAAACGGGTCTGTGGGAGTCAACTCGCTTCTATCTCTTGATCGGGGCCAGAGTATGATCTCTCTTCATCTTTCCCTAGCCTCTTGGACTAATCATGGTCGATTAATTAGAAGATGATATGCGCGCTCTTGCGGAATATGGCATGAGAGTAAGTCAGGTGATGACCCAGGCTGCGGTGGGAATAATAGAGCGGCATTGACTTTTCCCAAAAGGGAATGGTCGAGGCTGGAATTTAATTTCTGTTTGACGACAAAGCCACCACGAGCAGCCAACGTCATGAACCATCCCTCGACAGTTTCGCCTCTTCCTGCGGGCCAATTTCCTGGCTCCCCCCTCAACGACTGACCCCGAGTCCTGATACTCGTCATGGATGAGCCTCCAACAAAACGCGTCAAGCGGGCGGACGGCGTGGCGATGTTGGATGAAGATAGCAAGACTGATTCGCGACCCGGTCCGAGTGGGAGAGATCCCAGGCAAAGATCACATCACGGCGAAATTCGAGATGGTGGGCGAGGCTCTAGACGGGATGATGATCGACGAAGAAGATCAAGGTCGCGGGAACAAACTTACGAAAGACGAAGAGAGAGGAGCAAGTCTAGGGAAAAGCCACATCGTGATCGTGACCGTGACCGCGATAGAGACCGTGACCGGGGCGGAAGAGGTCGAGGAGTTAATGGATACAGTCAACGAGAAAGAAGCCGAAGTCGTGATCGACATCGATCTTCCAAAGGTATGGACAAGCCCGCAGATGATACCTCCTCTCGCTCACGCCACACAGATTACCGCGGTGAACGCTCACATCGACGCTCACGCTCTCGTTCACCACTGATAAATGGCGACAGTTCCTTTGCACGTACACGCTCACCACCTCAACGAACTGATCATGACCGAGCACGACCCCACAACCGGATCGAGAGTGAACGGAACGAACCAAGAGGATCGAAGTCGAGAGCAGAGGCGACAGAGATGGAGAGACCACCAGTCAATGGAGACAATGTGGTTATGGACGAGGACGATGAAGATGCACTGCTCAGAAAGATGATGGGGTTCACAAATTTCAAGAGCACACAAAATACGAAAGTTCCAGGCAACCAAATCTACGGTGTGAGGAAGGAGAAGAAAACACAGTATCGGCAGTACATGAACCGGGTTGGAGGTTTCAACAGACCATTGAGTCCTACGAGATGATGAACAGACGACGAACCCAGCTGAGAGACAATACATGTGTTTTGTTTACACTCGCTGGCAATAGCCTGGTATTTCGAATCCGGAGTGTTCGCGGAACCAAGCTCGCCATGGGAGGACAAAAGGGGGTCAGGACTTCTCACACAGCATGTCTCCAGACAGAAGTTGTGTCAACAGCGAATCTTCATTGCAGTATCCGACGTGGCCGCATCATTGTCTCTACGCATGTCATCGCATCTGCCAGTCGAGCGGAGTCACCCACGCATTCCTACCGGCATATTCATTCTCAACTTCCAGGGAAATCTTTTCCTACCGACTACCTCTCTGCAAATGAATAATATTCACAAGACGTTACTCCACCACCACCAGCAGAGACCAAAACATCGTCCTCGAAACTGTTGCGTAAAAACATTCTACCACATAATGCCAACCAAATTCATATGGCCAAGACCGAATGGCAACCGAGAATCAAATATGTGATAGCAACCCTGCCCAGCAATCCGCACGAGATGAACTCCCCAGCATTCTTCTCTAATTTGATCGGCATTCTGGACCCTCATCTATGCCGATCGTGAAATTTGCCAACCAAATCGATACCCACTCTGGAAAAGGGGTTGGAGATTGGGTACGAGCGTTGATAGTGCGTGGGAGAGAAATGTCAGCAGGCGAAGCAAGTTGTATTTTCGATGACAAGAAGGCCTTCGAAGTCCTCTCGATACGAGACAGCCGAAGACCCTATTTTATTCCTTATTTGTATCAGAAGGTGCGCCAGAAGGTAATGCACTGGCACTATGGAGGAAGCTCTAGAAGATAGAGGATATCCAAAGATTCAGTGAGAAGAGCAGAGGCCAGCCAATATCGAACAGGTTGTCTTCCCCCCCCCCCAAAATATCTTACATACTGAGCCATATATGACTATATGCCCACGCACTCTGAGGAATATTCCTTCTATGGCAAGCGACCGACAAGAGTGACATGTCAAAAATGACGGTGAAGGAGATTTTTACAGACTCACAAAGAGCCCGGCAACGAGGAAGAATACGCAAAAGCAAATCTTCCTCTGAACGGACTCGAAGGCAACGAACCCATTATGGGATGCGCCATTCTCTTCGCTCGACTCATTCCCATTCCCATTCCCGCTCGATCCAGATCCCTCGGCACCATTTGAGCCCTGTGTCTGCTCATCCGCCTGAGCCTGTACCTCCGCCAGCGCGGACACCGCGGGCGTAAATCCTGGTCCGGATGGTGCATCGGTCTGAAACGCTAAACATTTCGTCGGCAGGGCCGCAACCGGCACCGTCGCAAGCGGCCACGCACTGGAGAAGTCCAATCTTGGCAAACCATCAACGCCAGCACGCATATCCACACCGACGCCAAGTTCAAACCCCCCAGCAACGTGGGTGAGATTGTGGAACAGGTCCTCGAAGTCGGCTTCGTGGGCAGGAAGGGGTGCGTCGTCGGAACGATTGTCGCATTGCGCATTCACGGTGTCGGTCGCGAGTTGCGTGATGGTCACGGTCGTCTTAGGCAGGTCGAGGTACGTGCCAACTTCGGCGAAGAGGAGGTCGAACATTTCCATGCCGAGCGTGATATGGGGGGTTAAGCTGAGGTCGAGGGTTAATGAGATGTCGGAGATGTTGGCTTGGAAAGGCACATCGGTGAGGGATACGTCATCTCTTTTCAACAAAGTTCGTTCATTAGTGCCGTTGAACATCAAGGGAGTGATGGACGATGAATGAAGAGTGCTGAACGGATACTTACAGACCAGTCACAGTCGATGAGGCAGGATCTGCGAAATTGAGGGAGATATTTAGATCGGGGATCTGCGCGTGAAGTATCGAAGTATCAGCATCGGGCTAAAACCAGACAAAAGTTCAAGACGTTGCCAGCTGTATGTCCTTGTACTTACGTTCAATTCAAAACCGTAAGACATCTCAATCCCGCCCGAGAGCTCCCATGACAACGATAATGTTGGTTCAACGAGGATTCCGCCGGCGCCGATTCTGGGTATCTAGATATGTGGAACACATGCGTCAGCCATCCAAAGAATCTTTTTCCTCCTTTTTTTTTGGACGGATAGACAAATGGCAACGATCAATGTAACTCTATTCTTATCGACTCAACTCAACTTACCGCAAATCCAAAGACAGGGATACTAAACAGCGGCAACGACATCTCGCCCTCCAGCGCCGGTGAGATTTGCAGCTCGACATGCGCAACGAGATCTTCTATAACCAACTGTACGTAGCCTAGGCTAATAATATCGGTGAAATTGTCGACGTCGGTCCAGTCCTCAACATCGAGAAGATCCCATTCCCCCTGTGCGAGGGTCAGGGTCCCGGCCGTGCTGCACTGTTTGCATCCGATCGCAATGGGGAGGGATGGAAGTGGTTGGACGCCACCGGGGAGGGAGGTCGGGAACCAAACATCTTGCACGCCGTGAGAAAGGTCGATGGATAAGGATGTTGCGGTGGCAGTTGCGGTGTCGGAGGGGATCAGGCTGGTTGCAGTCAACTCGAGTGGGCTGGATGTGGGCGATGGAGATTCGGAGGACTCTTGCTCTTGTCGACGGTTCAATTTGTGATATCGAGGACGGTGGAATGAATGGAGTTCTGGCGAGTGGTTGAAACTGAGGTTAATATGGTGGAATGCTTGATGCCATTCATTTTCTTCGATCGAGAAGATGACGGTTTTGCTGTCGTTGATAAAGGTGGCCGAGTTAATTCTGTGTAATGTTAGAAAGCAAAAGCAGAGTATAATCCAAGGTCCGATTGATATCGACTCTGAGAGAATGAGGGTGTGGCGGTGGTACTCTGAAGACTTTACTTACTGAAAGGGTACCCGGGCGCCTTCTTCGGCATATCCACATCCAGCATCGGTGGCAATAATGTGGCCGCTCTCCAAGTCCATCCAAGACTGCTGTGCAACGTCGAAATCGGCTCTACTATGGAAAGTTATGGTGAGAACTGTCTTGGAGCATTGAATGTCCGTCAAGAGGTGTTCGATGTGCTCAAGCACAATGAATGGCGTGTGTGATTCGACCCGGAGCGTGGATGAGAAGATCGGTTGTTGGCCATTGTGATTTTCATCTTTGCATTTTCGTTAATATCATTCATTCATTTCCTTTGGTGTCATTTGCAACTAGAGGGAGAGACATTACCATCTGCATAAACCAATTCAGCGCTGTGGACAGGGTTGAGATCATTGGTCCTTTTGAGTATGTCTGAATAGACTGTCGCTGCTTTCAAGGTCCGGAAATTTGCTTGGTGAGAGAAGAATTTTGGCTCCAAGACTGCAGCACATCCACTGGTGAGGATGTCCAAAAACAACCATATTTGAAAAATGAAGGTGCGAAGGAAATGCATTCTTGCCGTCTTGAGCATGGAAAATGAAAAGAAAGGAGTTGCCAGGCAAGGTATCCTGGGGTATTTGAACCGCCCGTCGAGGAAGAACCTGATGATACCTAAGAGAGGAGGACTCCCTGTACTCTCTCTGGCTATGTATCGTACAACATCTTCTCGGTTCCTCTTTTGGGTTTTGTCGATGGAAAAGCCGCCATGAGCCTGAACGGATGTGACTGTGGCGTTTTTCGCGGCAGGAATAAGACGTGTATGGAGCCGGGATTATGATATGGGTCAACCATTTGGCCCGAATATAGCGTGGAGGCATGAGACGAGTGTATGCATGATGACCTCCTGAGTTCATGAAGCCCGCTGAGAGTATGCTGACATCGTCTGATTTGAAGCATTCAGGCCCCATCGCTTTCCCCTGTACTTGTGAGTAGTAAGACAGTCAATGAAGGAGCCCCTTGAAGTTAGAATTGTAGATAGAAAATCAAAAGAACAATGTACAACTCGATCCAGGTTTGAGACCCATGAGGATTGTTCGGTATCCCCGCCCAGATTTGAGTGACTAAAATTTCTACAACATGGAATATCCTTGTTTGTTGCCGGCTATTGGCTGGCAAGAGCAGCGTATCCGATTGTGCTCTAGGTTGAACGACTGAATAATCTCCACAAGCAACGGAGATTGGCTGGTAATGATAGCGAGACCAGTTCAATCCCTGCAAAAATCCACCTCTGACACAGAAAACTTTTTGTCACCCGAAGTGTACGGGGAGTTTTGGCAAATTGTCTGCAGAATCAGACAGGCTGTGGATCAAATCTTGTCCGAAGTCAAAATGGCGCAATTCGGGGAGACGGGAAGGGCAAGGACCCCCGGTACACTCTCAAACAAGCGTTCGGTGGACATCGATCGCCGCAATAGCAAGGCTGAATCGGTACAGCAAGCTGATTGAGGCAGAACTCCATTTTGGCAGCTCTGTGATAGTTTCTCGGAAGAATTGAGCTCCGTAAGCTCCGGATAGACATTGACGATCATTCCAAGAGGACGTATTTTGCCTCTGCAAAGACCTATGGCCCGACCACCGAGGTGTAACGGCTGCCAAGAAGGTCGTGAATGACGAAGGCAGTAGACGGCGCATCCAGAAGTGGGCTGTTGAAACGGGATCAGCCTCAACTTCGTGGGACGAATACTTCAGTCCGGGAGTGGCCACGACTGTTCCTGTACCTGTCTCTCTAGCCACGCCTATGCGCAGGGAGGGAATCCAAATTTCTCGTTGAACATCTTGGGGCAGCTCAGGATCCGGTAAGAGATTGACATGGAGGAGGCATCTCATTGCTCCGGTCAGATCCTGGGCGAGAGGGCTTGCTGAAAGAAAAAAAATCCCTAGGGGGCTAAACAGGCCATGAGGCCGCATATTCTGATACTGTTGCCAAGGTTGGTAACCAATACCAGGTATATCCACCCCCTTTTCATTAGGCGGTCTCAACTGGCAGGGATCGCAAGCCACGTGCAAGGCACTTTTACGACAAATTCTTTTCTTTCAGCGTCCACATCCGCCTTCCAAGTCTTCCCATTTCTGTTGGAGAATTGATTTCCGACGATACTGAACTTCCATCAAAATCCAATCGGGAAGGGGGATGAACACACAAAGAAATAGGCATGTGGAGTCACGAAGCTGCCCCAGATCCCACGAACATGAAATGTCCATGCAATGATTTATTAATCAGAATTCGGATCGAAAGAGCTCCGGGATACGGGGAAGTACAAGACATAAGAATCACATCCCATTCGAGCTCTAATCCGAATATGTGCGAACGCGCTTTCACATCAGAGCCCTGTGCTTGAGAACATGGGTTGTGGCCATTAATGCCGATCATTGTGTTCTCATCCTTCAACTTGAATAAAGTAATGAGGACCTTAGCACCAGATTTCCCTCAATTCCTGCTGTTGAGCAGTTTTGAATCTCACATCCGTGGCCTTTGCAAAAGGAGAGTTTTAGATGAGATCTACACCCAACTCATCCCTCCCTTCCAAGCCATGAATTTTTCCCGGGAAAACAATAACTGTTACAGGAACAAACCCCAGAAGCAAAAGTGCATCGCCGCAACAAGTTGCGATAGAAATCGATACCCAGACGACCAGAGTGGTTGAGCAAGACGAAAGCTCTATCTGTCGTAGTGACCACAAGTTCAAGGATCCATCAATATGCCCGTTCCCGGAAAGCAATGCGCCAAACTCCTTGGAAGCATTGAGCAGCCCACCTGAGTGGATCTCCAGGTTCTTTCCAGGTCTTGCATAGGGTCAATTCTGCAACGCTGGTCAGTGACCAAGAAACTGGCAATCAATTCGCCTGCGCAGTCAAAGTTGCATTGCCCTTTATTCGTGACGCTCACTTATGGGTGTAATAATTTCGAGCAAGGAGCGGGGAATAATTTTCCAATGCTTTTCGGTCCTTGTCTGATAGTGAGTCCAACGTTCCTGAGTGGTTACCCCAATATCAGCGAGACGATACGATTAGGCTGGAATTTGGACAACGGCAACGATAATACTCTGCAGGATTGGACGTCGGTCAGAGACGAGCCCCATCGCAAAAATGTGTTGTTCCTGGTAATAAAACGGTTGGGGAGTCACATTGTGCCTAGACCAGTTCAGCGTCAAGCCTTCCCCTATGGTTGTTCCGTCCTTTAAATATTCAATGACTTCTTTTCAACGGATCTTGAGCCTGGGATATCTATCATCTGCTCCGGTACCAGTCGACCTCGGGTGTCTTTCGTTCCACATGCCGGATGTACAATGGCCAACCTCGATCCTTATCCGCCAGGCTACTTTACCTAAAGCTGCCCGGTCTACCCGTAAACCCCAGCGCCCGCCTCACTCGCGGGTACGGACTGTGCAAGAGTACTAATATATTCAACATGCGACGAGGATGTCATGAAGGAATGTACTACTTCTGGGAAAGTTTTCTGTAAGAATCAATGGTATTTGCGATACCCACGCTACTCGAATATCTAACATCGCCGAATCTGGAAGTTGATCGCACGATTCCTGCAACTGGTACAAATTCTCTTTCCATCGGTACTTACGAAGTTGAGGATATCCAGCCAAGGAATGATTTCACTCTGGAGAAAATCCTGGACTGCTTCGAGGGTGATTCTCTATGATGTTCCAACCGTTATCCACCTCCAATTCCCCGATACTACCTCAAGTTAACGGATGAATCATACGTGGACGCGATTGTGAAGAAGTATAACCATTTTATTGTCGAGTGTGCTCTTCTGCTAGCGCAGCCCCAACTCGAAGGCGGTGGTCTTCGCCTTCCAATTTCCCGGTCTTGCGGATCTCTGGCTCAATTTCAAGAAGATCTCAGGCTTGGGCCTGACTGGGCTGGCACAATTCATTCCGGAGATCCGTCATACGAGAACCGCGTACCTGGAGACACCAAGCAGTGTGCAAAATGGAGGAACACCATGAAGGATTCCACATTAATGGGTGTTCAAGAGGAATATTGGAAACCACTACAGGAGAAGCACTTTGGCTGGGTTAGTGCAAGGATAAGATACGGATATATTCTCACGAATTATGAGGCAGTGTTCATCCGTCGTACAAAATCACAAGAACCACCTGAACCTCTTTCTGTGACCGGGTCCCGATGCCACCCTCCACTGGAACACAATCGCGTGACACCTTTCACCTCGGCTATATCAGGGACCTCCGCAATGTCTCTTGATTTTTCGGGTTCGCCATACACCGGTACGGGAAACCCAGATATAAATGAAGCACCATGGGAGATTGTTGTTGCACCATGGGCAAATTCTGGTAGGACGCAGCTATCTATCAACTTGGGAATCTGGTATGATTGCATTGATGATGTCAAGAGTACGTCCACTTATCTTAACCAGTACTTCGGATATGCAACAAAGATATGGCCATTCTAACCGACGACCAGCAATGTGCTGGCTGGTGAAAGGTACTGGCCCTTAAGATTCTCCTCTTTCATGATAGCGGCAACGGAGGTCCTGGGCTCACCCGACGTATCCATAACGAGAAGAGTGTTATCCGTTATAGGTGTATAATTATCGCCAACCCCCTCTTCTTTCTCTCTTCGCCCCTTTTTGTTTGCTTCACTCTTCCGTGAGTGACAGAGTCAAAAGAGAGCTCTTGTGAACCTCTGCGCTTCCCAGATTGAAGTTCTCGAATCAGTCATGACGAACTCTCATTCTGCTTTGTGGTGGTAGAAATTTCCCGGAACTTGTCCTTAGACCTTTAGATCTCGAAGTACGCGTGGACGAGGTGGGAGGAGAGAACGTTGCAGGCTAGAGCAGGGCACTCTCATCTTCTCCTGTCACGACGGCACTTTCCTGGATTAATTTTCCTCTCCAGATACCATGCTCTCTCGAGCCAGTTCTTGTTACTCAAGAAAGTTGAGAGCATCCCCCAAATGTTCGATCTCGATGGATTTGGACGACCCGATGGAAGCACAATGACAACATTCTCCCGTTGGATGGTCGGTCTAATCTTCCACGGACCATTTCAACGACCAGCGGCTTGGTGAATACATTGGTTGGGTAGGGACGGTACGCCTGGTTTCGCCGAGACGTTGATCTCGACCTCGGGTGTTGGCCCTTCTGGCCGACAACTCTCCCTCTGTGGCCTGCAACATGCAGAATCATAAGGTAAACCATTCTGTTCTCGCCGAATTTCTCAGCCAAAACCCCTCTGCAGTTATGTTCCGGAGATTCGGAGGCTGAATTTTCGCGTTTAGGATTGGAGCTGAAGACAATCGAGGAGCTCGATCCCAGTGTGGTAACAGGTCCCAAACAGCCTGTCAATTATAGATGGGCAGAAACACACGCAAATCATACACACACACACCCAAGATTGCAGCTGCTGTCACGGAGGTAACGGCTGAGAGGACCCTAAAAAAAGGCCCCCCAATGTTCCTCCAGGAGCCAGTCTTTCGCAATTAAGAGCATGGGAAACCTACATCAATGCAATGATCTAAATTCGCGAGAGGCTTGAGAAATACAGTAGGTTCCGTTGCTCCTATCCCGATGAGGCACTCGCTTGCCATGCCGAACAAGAGACGCGGCCATCTCCATCCCGCTCAACGGCTAACATCGTCCGCAGATGGCTCGACAGCCTTCTCGCCATGGCGATAGGCTCCTCAACAAGTCTGACGAAGATGTCGGGGATCCTCAAGGAGACATGCAAGAAATACCGAGCTTCTACCCTCGTCAAGGGCTGACCCGTCCCACCGGCTGGATCTTTTTGGACTGAAGCGTTGTGTCTCAACAGACCGAAGCCAGTCTAGAGTGTTATCCATCGACGACGCATCCGACAGCGCGGTCGGACAAGGTGTTTTAACTATGATTTCCAGTACCATATCGGTGATCTCCATCGTGGTCCTCTACTTCATCCACGACCCTCCTTCATAAGGGTTGGCTTGATTTTCGTGTTGACAGCCGTTTACGCTGTCGTCTTTGTGCGGGGGGTGATGCTCGAGCTGGATAAAATGCTGGCTATCACCACCGCACAAGTGTATCGCCACGTCCATGACTCTGTGTGTCCCCACACTGCCAATAGTATCGCCATAGTCCGGGGGCCCTACATTAGCAGCACTGCTAACCGAAACGATTCCACAAGTAACATGCCGAACAATCAAACATCAGCTTGATAGCCTCGCAAGTCCCTTCTGGTTCTCTCTTACCAGATATGACGCTTGTCTGTTTCAACCTCAAATCAATTAGCACACGAATTCCATTTCATATGTCCGTGATCACGACTCGAGGAATCTGGTCTGCCTATTTATCAAATTTCGTCTTCATCTTCAGCCTCAAGACGCGACGTGATTCACAACAGCCGTACTTATATCTATATTTATACACAATAAAAAGTCATGATCATCAAACACGACTCGATTCGCATTGGCCCTGGCCACCCCATGACATTCTACCAGAAAGGCGACTCCTCCTAAACCAATCCGACATCGAGGGCTCAACGCCTCGGTAAGCTAGCCAGAAACGCATTAGCGAAGCGAGAGCGGACGGAACCATTTTCGGCGGCCACCATCCTTCGAACCTTGAAAGTTGGATCTTGTCAAGTCGACTTTCGATTGGACATCTTTTCATGTCTTCTCTGCGATAGGATTTGATGATACGAATTTTAATGGATATGATATACAAGGCCTCGTAGCCACTATCGCTCTTCTAGAAAGAGGGCAACTAACCCGTAAGCCTGGTGGTCAAACCCCAGAATCTCTCTCTCTCTTTTTCCCCCCCTCCCTCCCCCCTATCAAATTCCCTCCCATTCTCCCAGTTTTTTTCCAAAAAAAAAAAAAGAAAAGAAAAGAAAAAAGAAAAAAAATTCCGACCATGCCTGCATTCACCCCCACATCACACTCATTTTCACTCCCTTCCTCGCCTGGCTTATAATCCGTGCCTACCGAGTCTTCATCAACTACCTCTCGGCCCGCAAGCTAGGTATCCCCATCATCGTGGTACCCTGTTCCCGGCAAGAAGCCTGGTGGATCATCCTCTCCAAGAAGTTCCGTTGGCTACGCCACATCCCCATACTCGGTTACTGGGTCGACAACGTGCACCGTCGGCCCGGCCACTCGGGCACACTCGGCGACATCCGCGACGACTGTGTCTTGGTCGCCATGCACGTCCTGTCGGCAGCCGGATTCGGGCACGCGCACGATTTTGACGGCGGTTTACGCGAAGTCCCGCAAGGCCACACCTGGAGTCTGGTTGATGTCCTAATGGTTTTGCTGCAGAATCTTCGATATACATTGCTGTTTTCAAAGTCGATGCTGCTCGGCATGATGATGCCGACCCAGTACCGCGAGATTAACGCCACTATGGAAGAATTTCGCCAGTACATGAAGGAGATCATCGCGGAGAACCGTGCGACCACCCAGGGTGGAGGCGGTGGAAATGCTACGAGGGCGGATATTGTCAGCGCCCTGGTCGAGGCGGATGAGGCGGCGAAGCGAGAGGAGAAGCCCAACGTTACCGTCAAGAACAGTTCGGGTTTGGAGGGCAGCCACGAAACCTATGTATCTCAGTGACGGCGAGCTATTGGGCAATCTGTACGTGTTCAATTTGGCTGGATTTGAAACGACGGCCAATTCCTTGACATTCACCATTTCCTTTCTCGCTGCCAATTCAGATGTGCAGGAGTGGGTAGGCGAAGAGATCGATGCTGTCGTGAAGGGCAAAGACAATCTGGACTATGAAGAAGGTTTCCCCTTGCTGGTGCGATGCTTGGCGCTGATGGTATGCTCCTGGTCCCCCCGGCCCGCATGTAAAATCCAGGTTCAAAACTGACGGCGTCTGCTACAGTACGAAACTCTGCGTATCTGGGGCCCTGTCTCCGACAACTCGCGTTGGTGCGATGGCGAGTCCCAAACCCTGCGCATCAAAGGACCACGAAATGGTCGTACCTGCCAGTACATACGTGACCACCAACTTGTACGGCATCCATAGCGATCCGCGCTGGTGGGGTGCGGACTCGCTGGAATGGCGACAGACGCGCTGGGTCCGAGTTGACGAGAAGACGGGCAAGGAATCAATCGCGCCACAGCCGCCTGGAGCCGCGTTTATGGCGTGGAGTGCTGGACCGAGAGTCTGTCCGGGCCGGAAGTTTAGCCAGGTCGAGTTTGTCGCGGTCATTTCGTCGCTGTTGAGGCGCTACAGGCTGAAGCCGTTGGTAATGCAGAGTAAAAGCATGAAGACGGAGGAACAAGGGAGACGAGCGTTGTTGGAAGTCATTGACGATTCGATGAGTGGTGTTACGCCGACCATGAGGAGGCCGGAAGATGCCGGGGTGGTGTTTGTCGAGCGGTGATCCGATCGGATCGTTGGACATGCATGGTGGATGACATACCCGTGTTGGAAGATGTATGCCACGAAGCAATTCAGCTCATCCTCTTCCCACAGTCTCCCATCTTTCAAATTCTCCCTCTACAGCTTCGGCCACGTCTCCCTCGATTTCCTCTGAGTCTCTGTATCTTCTACCAGACTCTGACACACCCCATTCGCCCTTTTCCTCAAACGCCTTCATCATTTCTTAGTCTTTCTGCTTGAGCTAGATCAGGGTATATGAGCGTTTTAACTCAATCCCATGTGAAATACCCCCCGATCCACATTGATTGTCAATTCCCAATGGATGGCGAGACTAAGCAAAAGTCATTCCCCGAAGTAGAGAAACAGCAAATCGGAAACGAACAAGTCTGGTGCTTCACTTAATGGTCTCTTCCGTTGGGGGCTGCTTCATTGGGTGACTCCGCAGCCGCGCCCTTTTTTCTCCAACTTCCAGCCCACAAGTCAATTCGATGCAGCAAAACACGGCTTCGGGAGGGGAAAAAAAGAAAAAGCTAAAAAGCAATCCACATCCCAGTCTGTCCTCAGCGAGAATCGAACTCGCGACCTTCGGATAACTTCTTGCGTTTGTAACACGCAAGATCATAGTTGGTTTCCAACGGATGGATCTATGAGACCGACCTGGAATGATATTAGAAATCTCCCCGAATTACGTTCGAAATAGATCTCAACTCACGTCATAACCGACTAGACCATGAAGACTTGAATGCAAGAATTTGAACAAAAATCGGTAGGTAAAATATATGAAATTAGATTAAGGAGTCGCATGGCAAAGAGCTTTTGCGGGGCAGGCACTTGAGCGGAAATTTGGCTGAATGCTCCGCGTTACTCGCGCCCCAGGCGGTGCAGCATTATATGCGCCCTAGCGTTTGTCAATGCCCGTTGTCAGCACCGCCAAGCATCGGCCACTAAAGAAAGCAAGCAGCCTTCTCGACAATGTTCAGCTCGTGTTCGAAGACAAAATGTGTCCCAGAATCCACCAAGGTCCCCATTGAGACTGCTGCGTACAAAAGCGATCCAAAAAGAACGGATCCGAGCTCCCTTTCATAAGAGTGTCTTCAGGGTGCAGAAGCAGCCAAAATGTCCATCACAACCAACCTCGACGACCCGCCTGTAGGCACCAAGTCACACACTACGAAGACTTCACGGCGCCGGTACTCTGGGGACTGTGTAGATAAACGACCGGGCTCCTTCAGTTCCAATGCCTTATAAGTCACTGATAAGACCCTAGCCATTATGAGCGGCCTGAGATAGTCACTAGAATTGCCAACATTGTCTCGTTCGTGATTGAGGGAGAATGCCGCACTCCTTTCAGAATCGACAATCTGAGCTTCGATAATACGCGCCAGGGGCAGCAGCCTAATTTTCGATTCCAACACACGAGCGGCGCAGTTACCATCAAGCCTGGAGGTTTTTGGCTATCGCCAAATATACCGTGGTCTGGCTCATCAGATCGACAGGTCCTATCAATCTGGATGTCTTGAACGTGCCATCAGCGGTCGAGGCCACCAATGTGGTGCCCGACTCTGTAGCTGGAGGAAGTGGCGAAACAGTCATTCTGTTCATCCACGTGGGACCATGGTCAGCTTGGAATCCAGTGGTCCGGATTAACAACTCTCGGGTGACAGGGACTCTATCATCGACAGCTGGAACAGTACCTCAGTTCGTTAATATCCTGATCACCATTCTGGAGCCATATGACGTCCAGATTGTCGGACATGGACGTCACAAGCTGTATATCCATTCAAACTGCCAGAGAAAGCCAACCCAATACGGTAGAACTCTTGAAGTTCAACGGCATCCCGCTCGCAAAGGGCGGTAGGACTGGAGTTCGGGTATTTTGCGGTGGGAAACCGGAGAGAGTGGATCGATCCCAGATTTCAACGCCACACTCACATGGTTGGGAAACTATAGAGATCATCCAGACAGCCCTCTGTCTTCAGAACAAGGTATCACCACTCCATTACCACTGTGGACGATGTTGTCACACCAGACCTTCACCAGCATTCGACGGTTGACTTCGTCTTACCCACGACCGGACTCAAGGGACCGTCAAATCCCTGCGACCATTACCGAAGACGTAACGATGCTGGAATTTCACCAAAGGTTTTCGACACCAACAGACATACCATTCGCCAGCATGGCCTCTCTGGAGATGGACCCGATATCCCTCGTCGTGTGGCAAGGACAGAATCTCATTGTGCGAAAGTGTGCTCCATCGGCAGTATTTGCCGATGCCATGAATGTGCTCCCCATTGCAGCAGACGAGGTGAGCATTTTCGACTACGGCAACATGATCAACATCACGGACGTTGTAAGCACTCCCAATAAAGGCCAAACCACCCCCTGCGCTTTATTTTTAACTAGTAAAACCATACAACATCACGCTCAGAAAGATGGCGATTCTCTGGAACGAACGGCCGTATCGGTGGAAGATCGTCGTCCGGGTGTTCAGGACTCAGTTGCAAAATGTGCTTGTAGGTCAAACGGAGCCGATGAGGCGTGTCTTTTATGACATATTTGCTATCGTGCAAGACAGCCAACGGCCTTTGAGCGCTGTGGCGCCTGAAATGGGTCATTGTGCTGGTCGAACACATGCTGTGTTAGGTCCCGCGGATCAACCACGCGACCCCACCCAGTTATTGGCTACCGGATGACACAGGACAAATCGACCCCGTTGGTATTGATCGTCGTAATGGGAATGATAATATCTTGGTGGAGATCCTTCAGCACTTGCGAACGGCTTGTTCTGGGATCACATGAGCTGTGCACCTGCTTATCCGCACGACGGTATAGTCGCCCCATATGAGGGGGTTCCTGGACGTTAGTACATGGGTGGATCGAAGAATTTGTCCTTTCCTAGCAAGACCAGCCCAGAATACTTGAAATGAGGAGCTCGAAAACGGTCATGACAAAGGGCAAGATGATGCGGGACAAGCTGAGACACTTGCCGAATACGATCTACGAGGTGCGGCTCGTGTTCGAAGTAAAGATGGAGACTGCAGTTCCCGTGGAATCGTCGGGGGACAGGCCACGTCGATATCGAGAGTGGACTTAAAGCGCAGATAGTTGAGGTATCCTCGTTGAAGGACAGCTCTGCATTGGCTGTTCCAACATCGGAGTATCTCATCACAGTCAAGAGGTTTTCTGGAGAAATCCTGCGTCTGTCCTTCCATAACTAGTGGACAGCGTCGACGTAAGATGTTTGGGACCGCACCGAAGTAGTAGAGTCATTCTAGTTTGTGACAAGTATCCCTAGTTGAATGGTATGAGGATGTCGCCGCCATCGAGGTGAGCTATCGGGAACAGGTCATTGAAGTACGAAGTAGCCGTTAGCATGTGCCAGTAATTTCCAACGTTTGTGTGAGTGAGGACCAAGCATCGGAAGCCTCGAAGGGCATCCATATCGCGATGCCGCTGGCTAGTGACCTAGCTTGTGTGTGAGTATGGCGATGTGTCTGAGAGAGTATGCGTTCATACCTCACATACCCCTATGCCCAGCCGATTCTATAATCCAGATATCATTATCGCTTAGAAAATGCACAGATGTGCATTGATCCATTCTAGCACGGTGACAGGATGAATTCGACGTAAAAAATGATTGATGTATTGAAGCAGCAGTCTCGCTATCAGGAGGTCGCTGCTGAATGTACGGCAATGGGGCGCTTCCTCAGGTCATCAAACTCGGATATTTAACATTGACATTGACGCTGGCATTTCCTACGGACTCAATTCCAGGTGTCGGGCAGTGATCTCGTCCTGCTGCTCACATTGGCTGAGTATGAGGGCCATGTGCGACAGATTATTTCGGACCAGAACAGATACCCAAATCTAATGTTGAAGTACCATCTCCACGTCCGCTGAGCTGGCAACCTGTTTATCAACGCTTTTGACGCTTTGCAAATCCCCCGCCACGGACCCGCACCGACCTCGGTCTCCACTCTAATTTGTCCCTCCAACGTTGTCACAAATTCCAGTCTTTGCTTTCTAAGGTTAAATCCATCAGCACTTTGTGCGGAAGCAAAGTAGGCTACGAAACGTACCGTAAGTAGCGCACATCAATGAACCGGAGTAAGCAAGTCATGATGATGGCTGTAAATAGGAGGGCCATCGCGGATTCCCAGCCATATTGATCTACAATATTTGATTAGCTGGAGCGAAAAGTGGGATTGTGCACAAACACATACAGTAAGGCGCTTGTTTCGCGGGCCACATCAGAAAATTGGACCACGCAGCAATAGCATAGTCCCCAGTGATAGCGACGCCCACAATGAGTGATCGTGCTTCAGGGTCTTGTGGGATGCTGGGTTTCATGAGCCATGGCACACTTCTCCATATCCCGATAGAAGAAGACTGCGAGCCACGCAAAAATAAGCGGAGCCGTGCCAAGGACCATAAAGTTGATAAAGTAGCTCGCACAAGCGGCCGAGAGGCTGACTTTCAGAGGATGAGATGTCCAAATACTCATAATGATGTCCGGTATGATTCCAACGGAGGCTTGGACAACAATCAATGGCCACCGAGCTTGGAAGTAATCCGAAGCGAAGCCCCAGATCTAGACGAAAACGACTTGTATAGAACTGCCACCAAATAGGAATCGCGTTGACTTGGGCTACACTCCATGTCTTCGTCCCATCAGGGTTTTTCAGACTCTTCAGGAACAGCCCAAAGTAGCTGTAACCGTTGTTTCCTAGGACCGTGCAAATGTACAAAATAACCACGAAATAGGTGACCCAGGAAGAAAACGTACGCCTATTGGTCGTCAGTTTTTTGAGGATAACAGGAAACATATTTCTTGTACTTAGCTCCGGCCCTGACACGGACTTTGGTTCTGCACGACCGTGTCGAGCAAGCCTATGCAGGGCAATCTCGGCATCCTCTTTCGTGAACCAGAAGGCCCGTGGATTAGGTCGATTGGGTAAATCAGGAAGCATAAAAAACCCTGCGAAGCCGCAAACAACGGTGATGATCGCATTGATCATGAAAGCCACCTGATGCACCAAGCAGGAATTGTCAGAGACTTGACCACCCCACAAGGGGGTGGAATGGCCACGTTACCTCCAGCCCGCAAGGCCACTGTGACCTTCCAGCGTACTGCTGATCGCCGCTTGAATGGCACCAGACACCATGCTTCCCATCGCTTGGCAGGAGTGATAAAACCCCATTCGTTGGCAAGCTCGAAAGGCGTATACTAATGCACTGATAGAGAGGTCAATTTGCGTACCCGAGATGGGCGTACTTTCACGCCCAGAGGCACCATCATCAGGTCCTGACGAGCGTTGAAGGTCACCTACTTAGAAGAGTCATCATCTCGGGCCAGGCGCTGCTCTCACAGAGACCAAGGAAAGCCCGTATAACGTAAATCTGACGTGCATTCTGGGTTGTGGCAATGAGACCCGTGAGAATGCCCCACATAATCTCCAAGCCAGAAAGCCAGAAGCTGGGTCATACATACGTCATCACGATTTGAGACGGGATCAGCATGAGACAATAGCCTACGTTGAAATAGGTCGTAAAGCTGAGGCTCTGGTGTCAGCAGGGATGACGACCATCGCAGGGAGAACCAACTAGTTGAGCTCGTTGCCAAAGAGTTTTAGGTCCTCCTTCATTCCGGAGACGTATGCATTGTTGATATTCGACTGATCCAGAAGAAAGCAAAAACATATCGAGGCGCCTGACTAATCCGCGTTCTGCAGGGTTGTTCCCATGTTGAGCAGGGGTAATCGGACGTCTGAAGTGGGACAAACCCATGGTTCCAAATCGATGCTGGAAGATAAAGTGAAGGCCATCGGGTAAGATGGAAAATCAGCAGGAATATGTACTTTAACTCAACATACCAATAACCCCACGTCTCTAAGACATCGCGCGAAGAGTGCAGATTCGAGTGGAATAGAAAATGGCGGGTTGCTGGCCCAAGGAAGGGCCCGGTCCCAATTGGAGCGGTCGACGCCGCCGCTCTGGCGGAGGCAGCTCCGCTCTGCTCATAAGTACTCGAACGCGTTTGATGCATCCCGGCTGGACTGGGGTCACTCTGCTACTCGGGAATGGGCGATGAGGGCATCATGTTCTGGATCTATACGGTGTGATAAACCAATGCTCCTGATTCGGAGCTGGACATGTGTGGCGGCGTCGTCCGACAACCATCGTTACAAACGTACAGCGCCGCCGATCGTCTTGGCCTCGCTACCGCATCGAAGCTACAACATCGAGCAGATCCCGCGTAGTTGACATTTGAGGTCATGTACTTATCACTGCCACCATCTCTTTGCTTTGGCAGGCATTGCAACTCCCCCCACGCCTGAAGCAGACTGTGACCGGCCGGACGACCGTCCAAATAAGTAACAGCACAACTGAAATCAACATCTTCCCAGTCACGATCAAAGGTAACAATGTCGTCGCCGAAGTCTTTCCCCGCGACTGTTGTCATCATTGGGGCGGGTGTGTTTGGGCTGTCGACAGCGCTGGCCATTGCAAAGAGGCATCCTTCGACGGACGTCACCGTTGTTGACCGTCTAACTCCTCCTGCTCCAGACGGGACCAGTGTGGATACGACACGATGCATCCGTTCGGGTAAGATTTTGTGCATTAGACCTCGACCAATCGAGAAGATGTGGACAAGAGTATACGAAGAGATTGGTTTGACCAACGCCATCCGCAGATTACGGCGATCCGATTTATACACGACTGGCAAAGAAATCTCAGAAGACGATTCAGCAGGACCCAGATCTGAGACGATATCTCTTTCCACAAGGCATGACATTCATGTGTGGTGGGCAGCTAAGCCGCTTCACGGATATTTGGGGAGTGATGCTGGAGCGTGCAAAGTTCCTGTCTGATCCGGAAGATATCGTGGAGTTATTGACTCGAGATGAAGTGTATCGGCGAATCCATGGCGAAAACTCTCAACCGCCTTCAATGGCGGACCTCGGAGGGAGATCGCAATGGAACAAGGCTTCCTGCAATCTTGAGGATGCTTTCATTGATGCGAAAGAGTGCATTCAAGTGTACTATGACCGTTGCCTAAAGCATCCGTCAATTGTCTTCAGGTGTGGCTCTGCTGTTGACCATATCGATATTATCGACAATCAGTCCAAGGGAGTTACGCTAGAAGATGGAAGCACAATTACAGCCGACCTAGTCCTCGTGGCGGCTGGTGCGTGGTCCAATCGGCTGGTTTATTTGGGAAACCGCGTCGTACCAATTGGCCATGAAGTCGCCTGGATTAAAGTCACACCGGAAGAGGAGGCGCGCTGGAAGAATATGTCTATTACGACGAATCTGAGCACGGGCTTGAACATGTTTCCCCCCTATCGTGGAGAGATCAAGATACTCCGCAGATCGCCGGGCCGCAAGAACACCATCATGGTGCGATATCCCGAAGATGGTTCAATGAAAATTCAGATCTCTTATCCACGAACCATCGTGAGCAATCCGACAGACGTGATTCCCGCTGATGCTGAGGCTGCGATGCGGAATAATCTGCGTGAGATTATGCCCACTCTAGCTCACAGACCATTCGATAGAACAAAGATATGTTGGTAGGTTCCACGATTTCCCATATCTCATCTCTCGTGGCAAGTCAGTTCAAGTCAACTCATCGTTAAATCGGAACTACAGGATCAGCACAACCCCCACGGCCGACTTCCTGGTCGCTCCTCATCCTTCTGTTGATGGCATCCATCTTGCCACTGGTGGTTCGGCGCACGCATGGAAGTTTCTACCCATCATTGGCGACCTAGTCGTCGATTCGATGGAAGGAAGTCTACCGCAAGGGTTGGTGGAAAAGTGGGCTTTTCATAAGTACTCAGAGTGCAAGGATGAGAACAGTCCTCGAATGGATGGCGAACCACAAGAATTGCAGGACTCGGTACGCCATCGCCTGTGATCATGATCTAGAGGGCTGTCTCTTTTATCTTCAGGAGAAATGTCCAACAATTAGTTGGTGTACATTGATTGTTGTTGAGTGCTCTGTCTGTTTGGCAGCTGGCCCTCCCAGATTGCCAGTACATGTACAGGTTTTGTTGGCCCCTTTTCTACTCCTGTTCCTACCCTATATCCTGAATAGGAATGATAACTCCATTTCCAATAACGGGGCACTGGCTACAAGAAATCCAAGCCAGGAGAAAATGTTAGATAGAAGAATGAACAGTCGAGGACAAATATAGGTAGCTTTTGGATGAATCTGCATCGAGATTCCGATAAAATGTAGGGCGGACAGTCCTTTAGTTCTGTTGAATTCGATGAAATGTTTGATAACCTGATACTTGGACGTTGTTGCCAATTGCGCGACAACCAAGGATGCTAGACGTCTCAATTATCCCGCTTTAGATCTATTCGAGTGTGGTGGCCTTGAAGGAATTTCTACGTACGTTCGCTTTTGATATCGTCTCCTATTCTCGTCTTTATACCCTGATTGCATTTCCATCATCGACTCCATGACTCCTATGATGACGGCTCGCAGTACTTGGAAACATATAAAGGCGCCATCTATGGCCAGGTCTAATATCACGGCCTGCATGCGTTGTCGGCAGAAAAAGAAACGCTGTGATCAGAAGCTATCAGTGAGTGTCCTAAACCAGGTGCCTTGAAGTATGTTGGCCCACAAGTACCAGAATTAAGCGACATGTCTTCACAGAAATGCGGCTTGTGCGAAATCGCCGGGGTTGATTGTGTTGGCTACGATGCGTTGACCTGAAGACGTGTACCTAGAAGGTCGACATATTGACATACCTCAACTGATAGACGTCAACTGACATAGTAATGAAAATAGCTATGTACACAGCCTCGAGGAACGTGTAGCTTATCTGGAACTGAAGCTTCAAGAACATGGCATTCATGATGGTGATATCGAGCGCACCCAGAGATCAACTTCTCCATCATCGTCGACCTTCGCCCCTCAAACGGAAACTTTGCCCCCCGGAAGTGGCTATGAGGGAGCTGACACCGCTGGCCGCAGATGTCGGCTCTGAAATGGCAGCAAAGGCGACACTGGATAGAGTTCTGAGTTTGGTGGAGCGTAGCTCTGCACATGAGCCGGCATTTTCTAATATCCTCTTGACCGAGCTCATGAAATCGAAAACGGTTCCACAGGTAGCCACATTCCGGAGCGCCGATCAAGCCACAGCAGAAAAACGCCTTCAATCTGATATGGTGAGTGACTTGGAGACTTCTCCAATTTCACTTCCTGCCAAAGAAAGTGCTCAAAACCTCGTCAAGGCTTACTTCCAATTCGCAAACCTTAGTCTGCCATCGCTCCATGAACCAACATTCCAACAGAAGCTGGAGCTTCTTTATAACATGCCACGAATGGTCGATTTGGCCGAAGTTCACACCAAGACCGAATCCAGACTCGCTGTTTTCTTTGTCCTCGAGGTTTTCGCAGTAGCTCTCTTGACATTGCAAAAGCAAGACCCGTCGAGGGTGCCAACTTCGTTGGCGGACCGATATCATAAAACCGCGCTCAGAGCCCTGAGCGAAGTGGGTTTGCCGAACGGTGTGGAGGGAGTGCAAGCACTCCTTCTCGTGGGGCAGTATTCGTACCATCACCCAACCGTCTGGGCTGTCTGGAAAACGGTGGGTGCAGCCCTGCGCCTGGCGGTGGAATTAGGCCTACATCAAGATCCACCACCGGGTGAGCTGGACTTTCTTACGCTGGATACCATGAGGAGAACCTTCTGGGTTGCGTATGCGATGGATAGGAATATCTCCATTTCCTTGGCCATGCCATCGTGCCTATCAGATGGTGCCATCACAGCCAAGGTATGCGAAGACCTTTCCTGGTCGTATTAATTGTTGAGCTTTTGGCAGTTTCCAAGTCAGGTGAATGATGAGTTTATCACGTCGGAGGGAATTGTAGCAACTGATGCAGATTGCCTGGGTTCCAAGAGTGTCGGCCTTCATGTCTTTCGATATCGCCAGATTCAGTCCGAAATGCGAACAGTCCTGTACGAAAAACCATCTCCGGCTTGTGCTCCAGTGGACTTGGACCAGTGGCAGCAAAACATGCACACGCGCATTCAAAATTGGTATAGCAGCGCTCCACGCAGTGACCGGTGGACCATTCATGAACGAAGAAATCTGGAGAACTTTGAACTCACAATTCCATCGGGCGTTGTTCTATCTATATCATCCATCGCTCAACATCCCATCTCCTTCTGAATCGGCATTGGTGGCTCTCACGGAGGCGGCAACACGCATGATCCAGCTGTATCGACGATTTTTCGATGAGCGCAGGCTCACGATATATTGGCAAGCCGTGGAAAATCTATCCTCCGCGGGTACGGCTCTGATGAACAGTTATTTTAACTCACTTCGGGTGCAAGAGCGTATCACATTTCGCTCTCTTGAATCACTCGTGCACACTTGCTCGTCTGTTCTGTGGGGAATGGTGGAGCACTTTCCGGCGTTCAAAGGAAAACGTGACGCATTTGGTATCGTGGCTTCGAAGATATTGGCAGATCTCGATAACGGCTCTGCAGCTCCTAGAGAAGCGGGGAAATTGTCCATAGAGGACAATGTGAGTACTGGAGAGCGCAGTCACCGTTCGAGGGATACCGAATATGCTCCCTCCCCTGTACAACAAGAAGGGCAACAACTAGTGTCTGGGGCCAAACGGGCGGACCAGTCTTCTTTCACGGCTATGTCTGCAGTATTTGACGACCAAACGCAAAGCCAACAACCTCAACTACCACCACCGACGACAGGGTCCGAGGTATGTCCACCTCATGCGCTTTTCTCATTCTCAGATTTCGACATATCTTTTGACTGGGAGGCTTTTGAAGACGCGAATGGATTTCTGACGCCAACATGGATATAAGCATGCCAATATATATATAATGGAGGAACCATATGCTGAATACTTAGGCCCTCAATTACATCCTACCTAGTGTCGCCCCGAATCCGAGGACTAAGCTCAAGGGCAATGGGATTGGACAGGTCGACAGCGATAAAGTATGTTGAGGTGACCGGTCGGTCAGATAATCATCCCAAACATGTTGGTGGGACATATGCTCGCAACTAGACAAAGTCCAATGATGACCTTTAGACCGGGAGAATGTTACATTGGTTCGGTACAACAATGAAGAACAAGAGCGTCGCCACAGCATATGTACGCAAAGACAGCATCTCTAAAGTTATTCATTGGTTGTACGATGAGATACGGGGTTCGGATAGGTGATTCGCAGGGGCCTTGGGCCTTAGGCCGGCGGTTGTTACCTCCTAATTAGAGAATCTTAGGGCGACGAGATCTCGGCCGGTTGTTTCCTAAGCCCATGCTTGGTCATCATTAAGGATATTGAGGGCAGAGGAGATGGAGATTGGTGACGATATGGAAGTTTGAACTTCTGCGAAGGAATTGGAGAGAATCCCGGCCCATGAGTCACGATGTAATGTGAATTCTCCTCTCAGCAGCAGCAGCAGCAGCCACGATGGTCACTATCATCGTCTGTGACCATGTCAAATGCATGTCGAGTTAGGAAGAGAAACCCTGAGACTGGGAAACAAATTCTGGCGCCCCTCATAATCGGGCGCTACTTCGCACAGGACCATTGAAACTTACGCTTCGCCGGTCATTTTTTCTGACCCCCCGAAAGATCGAATGCGGTGTGTCTCGAATTTGAAATTGTGTCAAAGAGGGCCGCAAAGAGTGGGCGGGGCGGCCAGGTTCCCAGGTTGGTGTTGGAGCTTCATGACAAATGAATAGCTGTCACTTGAGAAGGATATCGAGTCGAAAGGGATTACCATTGATGAAGACGATGAATGAGGGTTCAGAGAACGCCGTGAAGGTGAAGTTTCGTTCCAGAGGAGGTCCACATCAAGGAGGAGATCATCCTCCACTTAGCGAGAGGGATAAGTGCGATTCGGAGGCGGAGGCGGTTGCCAAGGTCCTCTGCCTCTTGCGAGACCGACCAGGATTCTGGTGGTCGTCTGGTAGGCAATGCTTCCGTGCTCACGGAGTAGATAGGCTTTCTTTTTGTGCCAGGTCTCGTGGATCCTTTTCGTCGTGGTCTGGGAAGTGATGCTCGAGATCATCATTCGCCGCTTCGCCTTCTTGATCGATCCAGCTTTGAACAAGGTATCGGCCGCCACTTGCCTCTAACCGTTTACCCATGACTCAGGGCAATGATAATGGATTGTTTGTGCTCTATCCGTCAAGATAAATGGCCAGTTCGAAGGGTATAGATACCTTCCAGAGACTATATGTCTGCTTTAAGTCAGCAATGATTAAGCCATGGGGTGATCATGATGAGAATTTTTGATTGCAAGCTCCTCAACATGAGCTCAGCAGTATCATCTACGTTGATAGACTAGGGTTGTTCTGTACCCCTGGTGGTATGGAGAGAAGACAAGCTAGCCAAGGCTAATATTACACTCGCCATTTCGAGTGCGATGTCAGAAGCAATCCTTGGCAGGTCGGAGAGATCGAGTGACACTCAAGGCAATTACATCCGTGGGACGATATGCAGGGACCCAGGGCTTGAATGCGTGGAAAGTTTCCATGTGCAGCAGGCTCAAGGGCCTCCCGTCGTCTCGCTGGTCATCGTGATATCGAGATACCCATTCGTAGCGGAGACGAAATCGCTTTCCGGGAGCGCAGGAAATCCAGTAAACCGGCCAGAATTTCGGAGCCGGAAACTGCGCTCGAGGGAAGCGCCCAGTGTCCAGCCTGGTTGTGTTGGGTCGGCGGCCGTGTCAAGTTCAGTCCAGGCCTAACGATTTTCTTTTCCATTTTTCCATCTCGGAGTTTGCGAAATTTCCTAAACTGCCGTAGGCCAGGACAAGAAATCCAAGGTCCTCTCTGTCGACGTCAAACACTTCCCACCAATTCTGTTCGGCCAGCTTGACGCCAGTTTCTCGTGCTGCAAGATAGATGGCTCCAACGGCAAGTGCATTCGGTTGATGTGTCAGGTAAAGAAACTGGGGGGAAAGAAGAGCCCCGTTCAAATGCTCGAAGACTCTTTGCGACAGTTTCGGCGAGGAGACACCGAGCGCTTGAAGATATGTCATAGCCAGACCATAGGGCAAGGCCACGCGAGTGTCGAATCCAATCCCGGCAAGTATCATGCTCTCGCACACAAAGAGCCGTTGTCTTTCTCTTTCGTAGGTTCCTTCCGACACAAAGTATTCGAGGGGTTCGGCATTGGTAGATGCCCCGGTCGGGTTGACAAATTTGAGCGGGGACGCTTTCGATATAAGGTATGCGTAGACATTGATTACAGATCGAGGGGAGACCGGTGTCGCCGACGTCTTTGCCGCGACATAGATGGATGCCGCTGAATATGTTTTGGGGCTGAAGCCGTCGCGATCTTCTGGTCTACTAGAGAGTAGAAATCGCTGAAGCAGGACAATGGCATGCGCAATGACTTCTTGTGAGAGGCGGAGGAGGATGCCGGCAGCTGAGGTGAGTTGACCTTGCGCAAATCGAATCGAACGGGAGTGATCGTCCTCAAAGTCGCGGAATCTGACGAGCTGATTGGAGGTGGTTAGGGGATTTGATAGGATCTCGACTGCAGAAGCCGGTACCATGATGAAGAAGAGCCCCCCGAACTCTGTAGAGTCCAAACAAGAACATCCCACTCTTAGTTGGACAAAATATCTGGTCCGGCGCAGCACTGATCAGACACGCGCAGTTCAATCTCAATCTCAGGTTGCTCTCTATCGCTCACCGATCAGAGTGGAACTTGCGGACCAAATTTGGATCTCTTGTTCGAACCCAATCCCGATATGCATTCATCAAATGGCATCCATTGGATACCACAAATTTGAGCTGTGGAATGAAGAAAGCTAAGGTACGATGCTTGTGAAAAAAAAATTCATATGAAAGTTAAGAAACAACAGATATCGCCCTAGGCTATCATTTTCCAATCGTGGGACATAGATTGGCGAGAAGTCGGCGGCGCTTTGGTCACTGTCCACTGAGTTTGGCCAACTTCGTACTCATCCCGTGTGAGACGTTTTGCACCCCGTTCGGCTTTTCGAGGCGAGAAGTTGACCCGGTCCGCGATAGATCCAAGCCACACTGAAAGCGCCGTACTCAGCTTTACAGCTATATAGGTCCTGAGCAGTTCCCTACATGGAGCCTGATCACATGGCGCGGCCCAAATGGATGAAGCACTCCTTCCTGGTCGGCATGTGACCAACAAACCCAAGAAAGAACGAGATCCCCAATTCATCGACATTGACAGGTCAAAACTTCACCCGGTCGTGCCCATGAAGACGTTAGTGCTCAGTTTATCCAAAACTGGAACTGCTTGTATGGACTCTCTCATTTCATTTTCCACTTCTGAATGATGATCTGCAGCGATGAAGCAAGCCTTTCTTTGATCTAGGGTACTCAGGTGCCTATCATATGACGGATGTCTTGACTTAGAATCCATAAGGTACAGACATGAGGACTCGAGCCTTCGATGCTAGTTGTGGAAGGGAAAGCACTTTGGGGAGAGAGGAACGGGACCAGCTGCTGGGCCATTGCATGCCCGTCAGCATTGGACGACATCATTAATCTACATTTTCCGTAACGTCGTGGCAGGCCGTCACAGACACGCCATGCGAGGAATTCACCCACGAGCTGATCGAAGCACGCCCCAGAGCCAAGGTGACTCTCTTGACTTGGGGTATTGATTCCTGGTACGAATCATACATGGACACGGTCAGCGGATCCTTGATGATCTATTATCAACGATATCGCAATACCTGGTTAATCCAGCGCTACCCGAAACCCCGATGGCCTGTCGGTGATCTTTTTGATCTTTCTTTCAAGTATCTGGGCTAGGAATTGTATCCCGCGTGTGTAAAGAAACATCTACCTCGACCACCAGGCGCGTGTTCGCATGCTGGTGCCCAAGGATTAGCTATTGGAATTCGATGCCACACAGGGTTGGGAATCACTTTGCAATTTCTGGACATTCTTGTGGGGCCTGAACTGAACTATTGAAAATAAGTCCATACATTTCATTGTCATGTTCCGAGTGCGCTCAAGGGCAGGTCATGGGCGTACACAATCATGAGCTCTAACATCTTTTCTGCCTCTGCAAACGCTTCCAATGCGTATAGATTATCCACTAGCGATTCGGCGATGTTAAGATAGCCTTCCGGCGTGAACGGAGGAGAGCAAAATTCCTGGTCATTTGATTCGACAGCGTGGCGATCTGTGCACGGTAATTGAATGATGACAACCGATCCTGTCAGGTTGCTGGTATATATACACGTTGTGTTGACCCCTTTTCTTCTCCTATTCCTACCCCTAAATCCTGCATAGGGGTGATAACCCCTTTTCCCAATAAAGGGGCACTTGCTACTATTCAACCGTTCAATCAGACCTTGTTCGACAAGGCTGCATTGGAGGTGTTCAAGGATGCTGCGGATGATTCGCGATATGCGGGTAAAGACGCCCGAGTAATCTATAAGTATTTAACAGAGAACAACCTGTAATGTAACATAATCCAAGGGCCGGGGGAGGAACGCATTTGCGTCAAAATGCGGCAAGGCCAGAGCCCATTGCGAGGCCCAAACCAGAGACTGTCTTGGCATGCCATTACCTTGCATTTGAATCATCGTCTTGTCCCTATCTCCCACGTGTTTCGCAACATGTGGATTTCGTAGACATATGTGGGTGTAACAACAATACTAACAAAGGGTGTAAAGAGAGGGATCATAAATCGTTGCGAGTACACAAGGTAAGGTGTGGAATGGCAATTTACTGAAACCTGTCTATCTATCTAAGGGTTCGAAGGCTCTTCTTATACCTTCGATCCTTTCATCTTCTTGCCTCCCTTTCGACGTCCAGCCCCCTTCCTGCCACCTTTACGATGGCTGGGAATTCGTGGCGTGATATTTGGGTGCTACAGTGGGAGTGGTCGGAAGCTCCTCCCGACTAGCGAGGGTATTAAAGAGGGCCGGAAGCGGCCGCCAGTTTTGATGTCCAGGCGGTCGACTTCCTCCAGACAATACCACCAAAGCCTCCCAAGTCGCAATCACAGCGATTGAATCTTACCGAAAGCATAAACATGGCAGCGCCAACCGACGACAAAGCCTCTCCAACCCTAGACGACCTCTTCGTCTTTGGGCTGGCCAATCGACGGGCTGTGGTGGGCGACGCCTTTGTGGATCAAGCTCTGGAAAAAGGGCTCGAGCGAATTCGCATTTCCCGGCCAAGAGCTCGTTACAACATGGTGCTGGGGATGGGGCATGGGGACGGCCTGGACTTGCCAAACGAGATCGCAGTTTGCTTAACATTGGCATGTTGATGGTCGGATGGAATTTTTCTTCTACGAAGCCCTCGTGGTCCCGCTCGAGACCACTGCTCTCGGTTTGGTCATTGGCTTCTGGAGTGATCATGTTCCTGTCGCTGCGGTATGCATGTCTAGACCACTCTTTTCTTGGCTCGAATGCATCGTCAATGACCTTCATATATGTATGCAGCATTCCCCTTCCACCAAGGTATGTATGTAACTGTCTCACACTCACTACCAGCAAATCGAATCACAGCCATTTGGGTAGGTACTATTTATAGGCATGCTATCGTGAACGGTGTCATCTGAACTTTTATTTCTTCGATCGACCACCACGAACCTTCTGGGGGTGGGCCTTGCGTTTGTCCGAGGGCCTACCCAACCAACGTTGATTCAGGGTCGACGTGAGGAGATATTTGGCAGCAAAGCTGAACAATACACATAGTAAGTTGTTTCTTTTTTCTTCTATCTGGTACAGCTGAATATATATCTCGTCTCGGTATGTCAGAGCCCGTTAATGTCCAAATTCCATTGCTCGGATGATCCTTCGCTCACCATCAATTTTTGCATGCGAAATCGTCGCTAGGAGAACTTGAGACCATCAAAATCCAGCAAGCATGGAATGGAATTCTTCAATATGTTTCCTCAACTCTCAGAAGCCCAGAATGAGATCGACCGATCATCGCCACACCTTACCGACGTTGCTGCCGTTATGAACAGCCCGTGCGAACAAGAAATCATGGTCCACGACAGAGGGGCTACTCCATCGAGTCACATGGATAATGTCACCAATACGAGAGCGACGAAGGAAAAAGACGGCGCTTCCAGGTCTCGAAATCCTGACGAGAGACCGACGAAACCAAAGACGACGGCGGCTTCATGATAGCTAACCCGTCTTTCACTTCCGTCCTAAAATCGTGATTTTATGGAGGACTTGTCCTATTTCGAAGGGGTTCAGGGGACCGTCAGACTATATTGTTATCGAAGCATGTACGATGCGTTTATACATCCCTTTCACAGGTCTTTACCAGCCTTTTGGCTCCACTGAATATCACATCAAGAACGACACACTCATTTCACGCACCGGCTCAGTGTATATTTGTTGGAACGTGCAAGCCGGATATTTTTTTTCAGTCGTAATGTGAATCGTTATCTTTCAGCCCAATCAACTCATTTCCGTCACCCAGTTCGCTCAACACCTGATCCTGAAACCGTCGAGCTGCTCCTTTGTTTTCATCTGTCCATCCAGCTCTCTCTCCTTTTCACCGTCTGCCTTCATCTCATTGAACACTCTCTCTGCGGTCTTCATTGCTTCGACACCTGAGGGGACACCGCAGTAGACCGTAGCATGGAGTATGGCCTCCCTGATTTCCAACTCGCTCAGGCCGTTGTTCCTCGCCCCGCGAATGTGCACGCCCAGATCTGTGGAGCCTTGCCAGCCATGCGGACGAAACCACCCGAGACTGGGTGCATGACCGTCATCTCGGCGATGCAGCTATTGACGAAAGCCATGTTGACGCTGTAGATCGTGTACGCCAGGAGTAAGTTCAGCGGGCCACCCCTGGTTAAGGCGCCACCGATGCTGATGAAAAGTGCAGTGCCAACGGCACCTCCCACGGCAATGAGCTGAATTTGCCGATTATTGAGGCGACGGTGAAGTTGATCGGCATTGTCAATAACAACTTCAGTCATCGCACCGGTGTCGACGACATCGCCGGTCATGACCTCGGTCTCTCTGACATCTTTTTCGTAGAGGGAGTTCTGGGTAGCCATAGCTCGTGGTGCCTTGGGAGAAGTGCAACAAAGAGGTGATAGCTTGCAGAATGTGGTCACGTTCCTTGGGCAGAAGAATGTCAGAGGGCGAGACGAACCTTTTGTGTCTATATTTCCTTCAAGCATTTATCAGTCAATATGAACTTGGGCTCTGTTGGGCTAAGCCCGAGATTGGTGTAGTAAGATCAAGCGACGACTCGGATAGACCAGGCGGGGCTCCGGACCCAGCTGAGGTTCGAGACAGAAGCAAACGGTTTCCCGGTACCCTCCCGTTATCTAGAAGCATGTATCTATCCAACATCCAGAGCCAGAATGCGTCCACCCTCACTCGGTTACAGATCCCGAGCTACACCCCGTACCTAAGGAGCACTTGAGACGATGATACGAAACGTGAGGGCACCAATGAGACTCGACCCCGTCAACGTGGATGCTGAAGGTCGTACCTGGGCCTCAGCCTTACCTGTTACTAGTGGTGAACGTCGCACAGTGTCTAGGCCAAAGACTGTCGGGATGCGGTTCCGTATGATAAGGAAGCGTAGGATCTACTGCAATAGAATTGGTGGCAGTGTTTGGCATTGGTTGTCGGTACGGACGTAGTGGTGGCCATTCGGAATATGAACAATATGGGGGAAAGATAAGAGACACGGTCCGGAATGCCAGATCGATCGAGATCAGCTACGATAAACTGTTCCTGTCCGCTTCTTTATCTACTCGGGGCTCAGTGTATTTGACCATTCATTGAACTGATCGATCGCTTCCTATGACATGACTTGGCCATGGCCCTTGGACAGTTTGAGAGCTACGCAACTTTTGGTTCCGTACTCTTCAGATCGTCGTTATCTCTCTCCTGGTAAAATGTTTGGACATGCCTAAAAACCCAAATGAGGGCAAGTCGTTCGATTTGTTGCATCAATGACTGAAGGATGTTGCAGTTGAGGTATGACGCCTGAAATGGCATTGATTCCGTACACGTGGCATGGAACGGATCTCATCAGCTCACTATGGAACTTTGTCTCGCTTGTCTTGGAAGCTGGCCCCAAAACTAAATGTCGTTGCGTCACAGGCCACTTTTCCTTTTCTCACGAGTTCTGTCATAGGGGCTCTAACAGGGACGCGATCAAATTCGAACGTCCATCTGTGCAAGATTTCTCATTGCCGCGTGTGGATACTTGGCCCATAATATTTTTCTGCGGTACACAAATCGTGGTTACTTACATAGCCTCATCGCAACTACATCCCAAGCTTCTCAGGCTTGATAGCTGGGCTGATCCAAAAAGGGACACGTCGAAGAAATGTATGAACCAATTCGTCTCAAGATAACGTTCAATGAAGCGATAGTTAAATTGTCCTTCAGGTTTGAATCGTCTTTGAAGGCAGATTTTCTTCGTACTGAGCTTCCCATACGCTGTTCTCGCGCTTCACAACCTCGCGATAGCGGACGGAAAGAGAAATTCTTCGACAAGGTCCCTCACTGCACGTGCAACCCCAAAACTATAGATGTACCCAACTGCTCCGAAACCTGTTGCCAAGAGAAGGAAAATCGGCGGCGAACTCACCCCCCTCTTGGGAAGAGGTGATGCCGCCTTGTGCTCACCCTGGCTCGCCCGAGCCGGCTGAGAGATCGCCACCATCCCTGCCATCTTGGCGCAACCGGAGCGACGCCGGCCCTGCCTTTCTTAGGAGGGTGAGTTCCCCGCAGATCTTAGCGATATTGGGATTCGTTACTCTACTGCGACCCTTTCCACCATGGTTGGGCAGATGAAAAGTATCCCGAACTCTCAGCCTGATTTGCTTGAGTCGGAAATCCTTGTCACATCGCCGTGGGTTGTCACCTTGGCTCTCAAGTGGTGGAGCTGAAAAGCCCTCAGTTACGGTGCAGCCTCGTTGCCCATCGGATGATTTTCATGCAACTGCCTCGTATTCTAAGGCGCAAGGCAGAAAGCAGGCAACCTTCGAGGAAGGATTTGTGCTAGCGTCACTGGCAAAGCTGATTATTAGTCTCGACTTCTCGCAGCCGCCTGATTCCTCGTTGTCAAGTTTTCCTTTTTGGGTCTCTCCATCTTCAAACATCAGCTACCTAAGTCAATACAATCATCTACACTCTAGACTCATGTCTGGCCAGGCGAAGCAAAATTTAACCAGCCTTGGGTCTGTATCCATGTGCGTGGCAATGGACAAGTCCGGCAGCACGTGGGGAAAGACTTTGGCGACGGAGGTCTCTGTGGTGAAAGAGATTTGCCGACTTCGCGCATCCACAAACATCCATCCTGTCAATCTCCTGCCTTGGTGCGATTCAACCTTGAAGCCAATCAAACTCCCAGAGAACAATGTCGCCATGGAAGCTCTCACAGGAGGCGGCGGGACAAATCCAGGTGTCCTTTACAAGTCTGAGGACTGTCTAAAGATCATCCAAGACTCGGATCTCTGGTTTCTTCTCACAGACGGCCAAATCGACGACCGATTGGTTGAAAACTTCGCTCTCCAAACCACTAAGAGCGGTGTGCACAACAAATCAGTTGTTATCATCGTATTTGACAGTTTCAGTGCCGGCCCCCCCTTTGAGCGCAATATCTCTGTGGGCATTGCGCTGTATGCTGTAACTCCAAACAGTTTGTTCTTGTTCTACGACCTATCCAGTGGTAAGATCAAACTCATGCAAGCCAAGGGTAGCTTCGCGAGTTTGCTTCCCAGGAAGAACAATGAGTATGTGCAGCCAAAAATCAGTAAATGGACGACGTGGGCCGAACTCCCTCAGGTGGCCTTGGAAGATCTCCAACGCGTGCAGGTGGCATCTGTAATGGCACTCACTGAGCAGGAAATGGCGCTTCCAGACGGACTGATTGTCAAAATGGAGGACCTCCTGTCTGGTGACGTCGACCCAGGAACCATCGAGCAGATCATGAAAAATGATGATAATTTAAAGAGTATCGTCCTGGCCTCCATGATGAGAGGAACCGGAAAAGAGCTTGATGCTTTTCTGGAGTCGCAAAAGTTGCCTATGCCGGAGAGGAGTACCCTACGCCACGACGTCGGTCAGGCGCAGAAGGCGGTCACACAGCTTCTCGAGGCATTGAATAACCACTCAGACAAGGATGAGCTAGAACGTCTCCGACAGGCTTTACGAAAGGCTCATGAGAAGAATGTGCTTTACATGAAACATCAGAGACGCGACGAAGACGACAGAAGAGTACAGGCCGTAGCACAAAATCAGAAAATGAGGTGGGGCCAAAACAGGGGCCTTCTTAAGAAAGGCAAGCCGGACAGGTGGGACCTTGGCGATAACATGGGAGATGTGGACGAGTGGGACTGCGAGCAAAGAGACTGGAGAAGGGAAGAAGCGGGCATGTCTGCCGATCAAGTGTTCTTGCCTGGGTTCATCCGGAAAGAGCCTATCGATGAGTTTAAGGGCAATTGCATGCTCTGTCGCCGAGACTCGGTACTCGCTCTTCTCCTCAAGGCGCCTCCAAGTTTTCAGACGCCGAACTTTCCTGACCAGGGGTCATACTCCAGGCTGACCTTTCCATTGGCAATGGGTAGCTTTGCAGAGCTCGATGTCATGTCCTATTTTGTCTGTTGTGACTGCTGCGCCCACTATCTCGTGCACAATGGCATGTCACCAGAAGGGGAAACAATCATCAATGCACTTTGTCTGGTTGGGGTCAACAACAACCAAGGCGCCTGGCTCGAGAGGCTGGAAGCCGCTGTCAGAGGAAGATTCGAAATCAAGGATCTTTGGGCAATTTATCTTGCTATCTTGGACAAGATGATCACTGAGAATGATATGCGTCGTGCCGCAGCGGGTGCCAAATCACTCTTTTCTGATGCTGCAAGCTGGGTCGTTCAACGCCTTGAGAAGATCACACAAGTCTCCTCAACATTGAGTCCGGCGTTCGGCGCTCAAGACTCCTCGCAGCTGACGGTCCTCAGTGACATTCTTGCAAACGAGAAATTTAATGACCCTGGCAGGACTGACAATGTCGACATCTACCTCCTTCGATACCCACTTCCTGGCTTTCCAGCGATCTTCCGGCTGTTAAGAAATCATCTGGGCGCCGATCAGCTGCGCCAAGTTCTTTTCCAGAGACTGGTGTTTCATCTGATCGAGGCGTTCTTCAGCGAGCGAGGTGGCACTGCCATCTCACCACAGAAGCAGACGCTTCTTGATAAAATGCTGGGTCTCGACACCAGTGACGGCATAGCTGCACTACAGCAAGATAACATTGTCGCAGAGGTCGCAGTAGGGATGCTTGTGGACCAGAATCTCCTAGAACCAGGAGTGATTTCTAGCTTTCGAGCAATCCCCGAGTTCGAGGACATCGAGAGACAAGCTAGACCAGCTCTTGCCGTCTTTCTGCATTATTTGACGGAGTCTGGAAGGTTGTATACTTCCTCTGTTGCGTGCTTTAATGCCCTGAAGGGAAACTCATCGACGAGAGAGGTGCTCCAACTTCCACTTAAAATCGACCAGAAGAAGGCGAAGGGCGTGATTTCTCAAATTCATTTGTAGTTAGGACAAAGTAATCGGATAGCGATCACTCATTTCGTTGCCTGAATTTTCGTCTCCCTTCTTGTCTGATATTGGGGGCTTCGGATACCGCTAAGGGATTCCCCTAGTGGTCTAGACCTCATATAGATTCCACCCGAACGCGGGGTTCCTAAAACAGATTGCTGCCAGCCCTTGAAAACCCGTTATCATATAAGTATGACCGAAGATTGAGAGCCGATGGGGAATAATATACTTGACAATAAAATTTTTGCTGTAGTAAAGAAGATTTCCAAACGTGATCGAGGACGACTAGCGGCGCTGTTTGGCCTGAAATACCCTCCTTGGAAGCCAATAGGAGCTTCAGGCCCTAACCGCAGCACGAACATCATTTCGTGATAGTAGTCCCAGCGGTGACAATGGAATAGTTATCTGGGAAATCAAAAGGCCGATATGGCGCATCTCCTGCTCCAGATCCATCCGACAAGTTTGACTCATCATCGTACTGAGCCTGCGCTGGCTCCGAGATACCGGAGGAGTGAAGATTGCTCGAGCCAGGCCGTGACGTTGGAACAGCCTGCGAGTCCGGCGCTTGCCCTTCGGCATTGCCAGGCTGTCTGTGACTTAGGGGAGGGTTAGTGCTCAAGGAAATCGAGTGTGGCAGTTTTGGTGAAGACCGTGAGGAATGTTGTGAGATATGTTCCAGAAGCTTCTCTTTCAAATTCGTTCCGTGATATCCAAAGTCATCTGTGGTGGCGGAGAGTTGATTCGCTGCCGAGACGGTAGGCCTCAGCGTGGATGAGGTGCTCAGATTAGAGAGCTTAGAGTAGGTGGTTGTGTGTCTTTGCGCTGAAATCAGCGGATCATGTCGTTGGTCTTGTTCTGGTGTCGATGCTGCCTGTTGGGCGCGAGACGGTTGACTCCCCGCCGAGAATAACCAGGAGGATGGAAAGTCCGTAGGGTATTTAGATGCGCCGGAGAAAGTTAGAGAGAGGGATTCTGGCGCAAGTATCGTAGTTTTTCTTGAGGGTTCGAATGAAGAGGGGTCGAGGCGAGGCTCCACCTGCCGAGTCGTGCTCAAACGGCCGTTGCTATCGACGGTCCAGGAGGTGGGGAAAGCAAGAGCAAAACTCGACATCGCTTGATCTGAGCAGTGTCCCCAAAGGTTGATCTGTTGTACCAGATCTTCTGCCTGCGCACTGTGTGAACCGAGCAAAGTGTTCAGGCTGAGAAAATTGCAGATCGAGATGCCTCGCATTGCTGCCCACCTTCGTCCTTGTCCGCAATGACCAATGACATCAAAGGTCGGTGAGGCTGAGCTTGAGACATTTAATCTCCACAAGCTCTCAATGCCAGTAGAGAACGTTCTCCACGGCTGCAGTTTGGGAGTAGCCCTTGCCTCACAAAAGTGTGAGAAACAGCGATGACTTCGGAGAATGGGGTTGATAAGGCCACCGGTGCCTCTAAGAGACGCCGTGTTGGCGTACACACTCTATTTGGAAGCAAATACATCCCTCATCTGTTGGTCTCCCTCCTAACCTCAGTGAACTGCAGCATTCATTCGATTTGGACAATGCTATGTGAAGAGGACGTGCCGTAATGCTGAGGGAACTAGGGACAATGGACCTGTCATTCGCCAAAGCATGCAGGCTCTGGGTTCGTCAATACTATCTAGTGAAACATCTGTGCGGGTCATTAGTCTACAAACGACGGGTGGTAAGTGATGTCCATCATCACGTTGAGCTGTCCGGTATGATAACTGAGTTTGGTCACAGCCAGTGTCGACAACATTTTGGACGCAGAAGGTCTAAGTTCTTATCTAAAGGTCTCAGTTCATTGTCTCTTTTGGCCTGCCAATTCTGATATCGAGAACTAGGGACGCAGGCAGGAAACCAATACCACCGACACTTTGTACGTCATGGATGCTTTGGGAATTCCAGGGAAAATGGATGTGCTGACTTGAGCGACTGGACAGCTTTTTCAATCGGCACTTGGTCAGTCATGGTCAATTAATTCCTACAGATGCAAACCGGCTACGTGTTTCACCAAGCAGGTTCGAACTCTTCTGTTCTGAGTTCCATCTCTCGCCTTCCTTTGTTACATCCCTGGCTAACATTCATCAACCTTCCGCACGAGAGTTCCCATGTCAAGCAAAAATCTCCAACAAGCGATTGGACTTCTGGTTGACAATCCCTGTGCGAGTTCAAGTTGAATGTTCTGACAATCGGCATGGTCAGAGTTCCAGCATAAAGGGAAAGAGCCAGATGAATCCATTGAATTATCTTCACCTGTCACAACCCAAGCCAAAAGTGGATATCCGGGGATCTAAAGTGGCCATCTACTTTCATTTCGATCCGGACACTGGGAGAAGCACATCCTTGGTTTTCAATTTTCAAGATGGACGCTGGCGAAAGATTGTCGAAGAGCCGATTCATCGAATGAAGGAAGTGTTGACAGGATGCAATAAGCCTGAGATGGGCCGTGATCCGATTTACATCCAAAGCGTTGTCTTGACCAGTGCTATTCGATGGTGGAACAATGCTCTCAACAGCTTTAACGACCAGCTTATCGGTTACGTGAGTGACCTTCAAACTACCTTCCGCTGCTTTGCGTTTAACGAACAATTAAATTAGGAGGAAATCTTGATAAACCAGGACCTGAGCAGTGAAGAGCTATCTCAATTTAATACAGACACAAACCGATCGCTCCATTGCATGGCTGCACATCTACACCGATATGGGTCGGAGCTGACCCAGCTATCTGAGATCGTTCAAGACTTCAAATGGTATAACAACGACTTCCATGACGAATTTGTCCGCCTAGGACTTCGCGAAAAAGATGCCCTGGAAGGTTTCCTTCGGGGCCTTGACCACGTCAACACCCAAGTCTGTAGCACTTCAAAGTTCAGAGACGAGCTCGAGCAGAAAATAAACAACGTCCTTGCGGTGGTACGCCATAACCCTGACAGGGAGACTCTGTCATGAGCGCTGACTTGTACCCGTAGCTTGTCGACAACAATCAAGCATCGAATGACCTCCTACTGCTAAAGAACAGCACAGCCATGCAGGACATCCTGAATGCCAGCCAGATGGAGGCAGAGCAGTCTGGGCAGGTGGCCGCTCAGACAAAACAGCTCACCGAGGAAATGAAGAAAATCCTGCAGGCGACGCAAAAGGACGCCGAACAATCGGGGCAGATTGCCGCGCAGACGAGGCAGCTCACAGAGGAAATGACCAAGATTCTTCAGGCAACACAGGAGGAGACAGCCATGTCGCGACGAGTGGCGCTGCAGTCTCAGCGGCTGTCGGAAGAGATGATGAAGGACAGCGTGGCGATGAAGACGGTAGAATTTCCATCACCGGCAGGGTGAGTCTCCGAGATGAGTGCTGACGAATGTGTTTAGATTGCACTACTGACCACAATATTCCTTCCTGGCACGTCGTTCGCGGTAAGTGAGACTCGAACTTCCGCGTCTCAAGGATCTTCCAAGATTCTGACTCGGGCCTCCTCATTTCCAGGCGATTCTCGCGATGCCCTTCTTCACAGATACAGCTTACCTGAGCCACGCCAGCCGACTCTGGATCTGGGTTGCCCTCACGGTGCCTTCAACGGCGATCTGTTTCTTTTTTTACTTCGAGTGGAGTAAGAAGGAATCAAAGAGGAAAAGGGAATCCATCCAGAAGGACGAGGAGTTGGTCAATACGGCGATGACGCCAACGCTAGCACCGCCGCTAACACCTCTGTAATCATTTTCGTTGTGGGTTTTTGAACTTGGTGTTTTGGGCGACGCGTTTGGGGATAAATAGACACGCGCCAGGGGGCCGAAGTGTTGACATTATCCAGACTGTACTCATGCCTGTGCTGTAGCCTGCGGCAGCCTAGACGAGTAACTGTGCATTTAAAGTCGTTCATTATCCTTAGATAGTCAGATAGACAAGTCTCCATAGCCCAATGTGCATGCACTCCTGCATTCATTCTCTCAACACGAAGGCACGGGCCGATGCGAGAAGCCAAAGCGGGCCAATCAGGATTTCGCCAGGAGTCGCGCACCCCCGGCGCTTGGTCAACCAGGGTGCTCACCGAGTAGCTATCGGGGCCCAGCCGACCACAATTACAACAAATATATATATGGCAGTTCAGTCCAGTCCGTTTGCCTCATTTGAACTGAACGAACTGCTACTACTGGCTGAACTAAACGGACTGCCTCTAACTAAGGCTGCGTTTACTCCAACAATCGTCCCGGCGGGAAGATAAATGTCGCAGAGGTCTATTCCTCCTTCCGGGGCATGTCGTTCCAGAGGATAGGACACACCAGGGTGCATTCGCATTGCTTCCTTGATACATAATTGCCTGTAAACCCGTATTTAGCACTTAAAATAACAATGCAATGTAGGCCAAGCCGACTTACAAGTATGGAAGCTGTAACGTGCAGAGGGTATAGTAGAGAGGAATCACGTGCACACAAGAATAGGGTGAGGAATGGCAAGGACTGAAGCCTTGCTGTCTTGCTACTTGCAACTATCCACGTTTATATAACACAATATGGTCGTTGGCCCCAATATTCAGCTTCTATACATAGTATAGTTGTTGGTCCCAATATTCTATACATAGTCCCTGTCGGTGGCTGAGTGTTACAGAAGCTCAAGACTCTTGCAAACGTGACGAATCGCGACAGTTTTCCAGCCTTTTCGGCGTCATCTAAGTCTATCTCTCGCTGAAGCTTTTCATAGATTCTGCGGTCCCGCTTCACATAATAGAAAACAGCTCTGAGGGAAATGGCTGTTGTATCACTTCCCGCAAGCCTGTTTTGTCTCTTAGTATGGTCCGACTCAATGAATATGCATCTGGTACTTACAAAATATTCATCAAATGATTCATCATGTCACGCGTGCCAATTTGAGATCTCGTTGCCCTTCCCTTGTTCACGTAAGGAGGCTAAAAAATCAGTCCTCTGATCACATTTATCGGACGAGGTTAGATCTCGATCATCATATTCTTGAAGGCACTCAGCCAGGCTTGCAAACAAATAAATCAAATCAAATCGAGCCTCGAATTTGATTTGATTTGATTTGATGTGAATCGATTTGGATCTCATTTGGATATTTGGATAGCCCCTCTTTTTCCAAAGATAATCGGATCCAATCCATGAATTATCTCGACATCGCGGCTTGTCCGTTCACGCTCAGTTACGAAGCATCTCGAGTGCGATTAGTAGAGCCTGTGTGGGTGATCTACAGACTGGATCCGATAAAAGACCCCCTCCGTCGGATCCAATTCATGGATCATCTTGTTGAGAGGATGGATGCAGAAATGCATGCACATTGGGTTATGGAGACTTGTCTATCTGACTATCTAAGAATAATGAACGACTTTAAATACACAGTTACTCGTCTAGGCTGCCGTAGGCTGCCGCAGGCTACAGCACAGGCATAAGTACAGTCTGGACAATGTCAACACATCTCGACGTCGAGGCTCGTCCGTTCACGCTCGGTTACGAACTGTTGGACAATGGCAGACCCGACGCTCATGGACATTATCAAGATGGAGTATGACCTGTACGACTACCACCTGCGCGAGATCAACCAAAACCCCAACTATGGGTGGCTTTGCAACATGTTCTATGGGATTGGTGAGCGGATGATAAAAGGGGCGGGACGAGGGTGAGCGCGCGGGTGAGCTCGATGCAGTTTTTACTTTCCTTTTGCCACCAAAACTATCAGCTACACAGTGCCGGAAAGCGAAAGAAATACAGTGTCACTTGCCGTACGCGTGCACAATCAGGGTTCTCAACGAGCCGAGACGATTTTGGCAAGACTGAGTGCTCGCTTGATTACATACACCGCCTATATTGCTGCAACTCATTGTTCCCATTGAGTTTTGTACTCTCTGATTCTTTATAACTCACTGCAAGCTGCGTAGCTAGATCGCTCCTTGGAGCCTTTTTATTCTCTTCTTTCTTGTAGACTTCCTCGAGATATCTGATTATCAAGCACCAGTTTGTAAGTCAAGGTTTCATATCACAGCGGGTGTTACAACAGTTGTTACCCTCTGCTACTGCCTATCGTTGCCTGTTGCCTAGAATTACTCCTTGTCAAGTATGATCAATCGAGCTTGTCAGGGTGGTCCATAGACTGGATCCGATGGGCGACGCGGGATTTCATCGGATCCAATGCGTGGATCATGTCAAGTATGATCAATCGAGCTTGTCAGGGCGGTCCACAGACTGGATCCGATGGCGAAGGCCCCGGAAAATGGTTAATCCGGTCCATGAATCCAAGGGGGGACGAGACGAGACGAGCGCTTGGCAAGACGCTCACTACTAACGAGACCAAGACGAGACGAGCTAGGGTTTTGCCCGAGCCTGACTAGTCTCGCTCAGTCTCGGCTCGTCTCGGCTCGTTGAGAAGCCTGTGCACAATTCTCTGTCCATCTCTAATTTCTTCCTCCACCCGTATGGCAGTTTTCCTTGAAGGTCGAATGCCTACATTGTGTGCAAGGATCTCGAGAGAGGGTGTGGTAGCCAGGGTACGTAATGCACTCACGTGGTACCACGTGACGACAAACTCCGCATAGATAGGCGTAATTATGTGTACGGTCAACTCCGTCAGGAGCTTAATTAGACTCTTCACAAATGAAAGAACAGTACTGAGACTAAATGTCGGGTTGATAGGAAGATAGTGCCCATGTAAATTGAGCGACACCTAAAAAATACGGGTGTAAGTGGCTCGAAAGAAGCACCTCCACAGAAGTACCTCCGCCGAGAGAGGACGAGGCTGAAGTGGAAAAAGGAACAAAATCAACCCCAGAAAGGCATCCAAGACATCGAATCAAATTCCGAAAAGGAAACTGAGAAGAAAATATCCAAATCTCCATCGTTGTTCAGATCGATATGTCACACACGAACCTCTCACACCGCCGAACACATAATCTCCTCTTAATCTCCAAGCTCTTAAGCCAGCGCGACCATGCCTCGCCCTTCACATTAGTCCTCGACACGTTGGAACAGCCCGGCAAACCGCTGCTGCGTGAATACTTGCGGCGAGCCCGGCTGGGGCGGACAAGCACGATATTCCTGTCATTCGAGACGTTTGTAAAGGCGAAGGACGCGAACTTTTTCATCAAGTGCTACGATGATGGGAGACCAGTGGAGAGAATTGCTAGAGAAGTACGGGATGTGGTGGAGCATGCGAATAGCAACAGTACGTATTCTATTGGGCGTGTTTTGAAAACAAGAGGACTTGGGCTGATGCAAAGGAACTAGGATTCTTGATCATCATCGACTCACTTTCAACGATTGCTTCGAAGTCAACTGACCCAGCGTTGAATTTGAATCTTACAGCATTTCTGTCGTCATTACTACAGCCGCCACAGACCAAAGATCCTGAGCAAGGGCAGCCTCAGATTTCCTTGGTCGCGGTGTACCACACCGATGTTCCCCTTCCATACTCGTCATCGTCATCAGCTTCTGCACATTCATATTCTCCCTCGCCGCTATCTCTGCTCTCGTACCTTGCCACCACGATAATCACCGTCCACTCCCTCCCAATTCTCCTTGCTGCGAAGTCAGCACGTGCAAAATCGCGGGTAGCGCCTGTTTTCGGCCTGGCGGAAGAAGTTGAGGGTGTAGTGATTGGCTTGAAACCCAAAAGTGCGACGTTGAGGCCGGAGGAGCGGGGCATTGTGCTGGAGCTGGAACATCGGAGGAAGAGCGGAAGAGGGGTGTTGGAATGGTATTTCCTGCCGACTGCAACCAGGATGCAGCAGGGCGGTGGCCCTCAGGCGTTTCGCGAGATTGTCACTTTGCTAGATGACCACCCTCAATTCCGCAGGCCAAAGGAGCAGGAAAGCTCCGGGCAGGACTTGTCTGGAATGACTTTCGAGCTTGGGTTGACAGATCGACAAAGACTGGAGCGGGAGGGAGTGGTGTTGCCTTATTTCGACGCCCAGAAGGCCGGCGGAGGAGGCGAAGGCGGTAGGATTTTGTATGACATGGGCGTTGAGGATGATTTTGACGAAGAGGAGGACGAGATATGAACGGGTTTTGTAATCAATCGTTTCACATGGACCAAATTGTTGCATTGCGAAATGCAGCGGCTTCTGAATGAGCAGAAACTGGGGTGTCACGCTCCTCGCTTATTTCACCCATACAATCATCGAATGCCATTCAGAAAAACCTCCAGATAATGAATATGAGCATGATGAGACCCAAGCCAGCGAACGGGCCATACTGGTACGATTGTCAGCGTCACGCAATGTGGAGATGTGAGTCCTCACATACTTGTTTCAACATCAACTCCCAGTTTATTCGCACAGCTGCTTTTCGGTATTTTTTGCTGTCCTCTCTTAACCGACCACTCATTTCGCCCATCCTCTCCAGACTATCTCCACGGTACAACAAATCCTCAATGTTCTTGGTCATGACTTTGGTGACATCTTTCAATTCATCGTTCAGTTTGTCCAAATTCGCACTTGCCCTGCTGTCTTGGTACGTCTTCTTAGTTCGTTGAATGAATGTATCGAATTCCACAAATGCATAGGGCCGGAGCGTCGCCGACAAATACTGCGGTGAAGGGTAGATCGTGGTAAACTCCTGGGCCAGGTCGGAGAGGTAGGTAAAGGCCAATTTGCGAGGATAGGATCGGTCGCAGATGCAGAGGAAGCAGACAGAGTCTTTTATGATGTAGCTGAAGCACATTAGTGAGCAGTCGAGCTTGGAACAAGTTGAATCGATGGCGCTGCCTACTGAAGGGAGTATTGGCCAGATTCAATGCTTGCTTGTTGCTCAGAATTTCGGTTCAGCCGCCTGAAGATCATTTTGGCCTGCGATTTGACCTCGGCGAGTTCTGTTTCGACCTATCCATCCCATAGTGAGCCTCTGATCCGGGCCCACCCCCATTCAACGCCGTTCCGCCTCGTAGGAAATGCCTACCTGCTCATCATCGACAGAAGCCGCAAGCATAAGGCCTGTTTGTGCTCGACGTGATTAGTAAATGCTCCATATTGACGGAAAACATGAATAGACAGCCACATACCGTCCAGCCTAGCTATCTGCGTTGATTTCACCATTGTGTCATCTGTAGGTCTATTGTGACTATTAGAATTATTTCTATACCCACCCAAGTGAGCACTGTGTTTACATATCACGTGATTTGTGTGACACTGATAGGGCTAACCACCGCCACAGCACCGCCACTATATTGTCACGTGGCACATCCTCTCCACGGCGACACGTCATTGCCGATATGTATGGACTAGCATACATTCAACCTCACGATCGCACATCCGATTCATGACCAGTGGTGTACGATCGATCCATGGCTACCGCCATGCCACACCACATGGCGCACCTTCATGTCTATCGTGATAGACACCGCGACATCTGCTATCAGCAAAAATGCCTGCGTCATCTTAATTCATCGTTGCTTCGAATGAAGCGGTAGACGTCCCATTCTCAATAGCACGAAGAGCTATCAATCATGGACACACCTCTCGAGGCTACAAATATCATGATGAGAAGTACAAATTATCTCGTTCGTTATGACGAAGTGTCGTACGTTCTCCCTATCAACCTTGCCCTACCCACGTGACTGGATTTTCAACCTGATGGACACTCATTGAGCGTTGGTGTTTGACTCACTGCTTTTATGGCTCCTCTGCCTGTGTCTCATCCGCCAGGTTTCCCTCTCACCTTTGTTTCCTCACATCACCCGCTCTATCGCGCCCATGACTCCTTCAACCATCATTTCTTGTTCAGCCTTGTTCATACCCTGGCGCAACAGGGCCCACCAAATCCCCCGAGTCCTCTATCTCAATTATATCCCGGAAGTCAAGGCCCAGCAACCTTCATATCCTTACTCTGTCCCCGCTCGCACACCTTCAGAGCCAGCTCCTCCTCGCTCCGCCCCTGTCCCATTGTTCTGCCCTCGTCTCTGTAGTGTCTTTCCGCCTTTATGTGACAAGAGGTCAGAATCTAACATACTGTTACGCATAGCTCCAGGAAACAAAGTCAAATGTTTCGCCTGGACCTGTAGGGCAAGTGTCTTCCAGCCGGGGGACGAGTTCTGGTGGTCAAGACTGGAGGATGTGGAGCGGAGCGTTCATCTCGTTTTCGGGCCGGATGACTGCCCACAATTGTGAGGGAGGACAAGAGAGACAACTCTCCTTGTTGAGGCCGGAACCGTCAACAGAGGATGGGTGTGCTTTGGTGCTAGCACTGGCCCTCAAGACATCGACAATCTCCCCCTTGAGTTGCCACTTCGCGCCAGTCGTCGGAACTAGCCAACAATTCCCTGAGAGTGATCCTACCTAATGCGCGATGGTAATGTCCAGAGGATCCTGGATTGGTACCGGGAGGCCTGATACGCCAACGCTGCCGCCGTCGCCGCCGCCGCCGCCTCTCTCCCCCCAGAAGGCTCCTGGTCGATCTCCCTTCTTCTTCCCTGAGGGAGATGCCGATGATATTCCAAATTGATCCGGCCCAGCAGAATGATGTCGGACGCGACAGAAGAGGTGGTGTTTGTTTCTTTCGAATGAGAGTTTCCCTGCAGGTACTGATGGTGAAACATTTCGGGCTAGACTAGTGGTATCTCTGGGGGGGTCATTGCTGATTCCTCCTTCGCAAGTTCGACCATGATACAATATTGATACAAGCTAACGTACTCAACTCGTGCTTGCCACTCCTACGCCTTCGAAACCTGGGGTTGCCATACCCAAGCCTGCATTCTCTCTCCACCAAACTTCGTCTCGTCAAAAAGATCCGCATACCCACAATACCCAACACTCTTGAAGCCAGCGCTGCGGTATACCAGATTTCCAATCGCACTAGCCGTCAAAGTGATAGGCACGAGTTCTTCTTGCGCCCGCTCGAGTCCCCATCTGAGCAACAATTTTGAAAGCCCACGTCGCTGCCATTGCGGATGCACCTGCAGAAGTTCAAGATGCCAATACTCCGGAAAGATCTCAGGATCCCATTTCTCATCTGGCAGATGATTGAGATGCTCACGATTGAGCGTTGGATTCAAACTGGGAAAAAAGGCGTTGTACCTTTCTTCTATGGCAAGCAACATTCGTTCCACCATGTCGAAAACACCACCACGAGCACGTTTCTGCCAGGATCGCGCGACGGGAGACGAGCCATGCCGAGTCCATATTGCTACGCCAATCACCTCAGATTTGTTCTGATCGGATACATCCGAGTTTCCACATGGCAAGACATTACCCCGAGGCTCAACATAATCTTCCGCATCTGTCTCGAGAACGAACGCAATGGTTCCACTGTCGCCTGCAACCTTGGAACGGATGAAATACCATATGCCTCGTCTCAGTGAAGTGGGATATCGATCTTGATCATGAAGGAGGTAGTCGGCCAACGCATCGGTTTTGTCACATTCGATCGTCATAGTGACTAGCGAAGGGATATCGGCTCTTTTGAGCGAGCGGACATGCATCGCGGATGCTGCGGAAATGTTTTATGATTAATATTCTGAGAGAAAAAAAATTCCACGAGTCTGAGAGGAGATATTCAAATGGCTTTGAGAAAGACTTGTTTTCCCAAGAGAAGTATGCGGTGGATTGTGCTTGCATTTGCTGGAATTGGATCATCAAAATTCTTTTGAGCACGCACAGACGTCAAGATGGCAATGACCATAGAAGAGAGATTTTACGTAATCCGTTTGTATCACTCATGAAGAAATGAGTCTTGCGATACAACTTGCAATCAAACATATATTGTGAGAACGCGTTCCGGGTTCCAAGACTTCGACTTGCATGTGGCCATGACTCACCATCGTTGCAATATGCTAATGCCCCCACTCATCTCCCCCAACATAGCCACAACATCCCGATTCCCTTACGGGTCGATATCAGCTCTGATTGAGATAAGTAATGACTGGTGTAACGGATGACTCGACTCTAAACACCACGGTACGGTCTACTCAGTTGTCTAGAAAATAAACACCTGATCCGTAGGATGCGAAACAGCCTCTACCTGGCTCTTGCACCCCAATACCTCCAAATCTCTCACCATTTGCTGGGCGAATCCATCTGGTCCACAGATGAGATACTTGGAACTCTCTTCTACAGGAGGCAGGAGTTCTTTCATTTTGAAAATGTCAATCCTGCCATGAAGCTCCTTCGCCTCAGGGCTCTCATCCGCCGCAGATAAGAAGTAGTGCACCTTCAGCTTTCCCGGATATCTCTCCGCCAATTGGTCCAACTCTTTCTTCAACAACGTTCCTTTACGGGTGCCGTTGGCGTACAGAAGTGTGATTGTCGTGTCATCTTTCTCATCTTGGCAGATCCGCTCAATCAAGGGAAACATGGGGGTGATACCAGTGCCAGCGGCGAGCATGCCAAACTCAGAGCAGAGGAAGCGGTGATACCCCTTGTAGCTTCCTAAAGGCCCGCGAGCAGAAAGTATGGAATTCAGAGACAGGTTCAGGAGATGCTGTGACATAGGACCGGAGTCATAGATCTTCACCGCCAGTGTGATGACTGTATAGCCCGAAGACGAAATCGTGGAAGAGAGGGGCGTATAACTTCTGGTGATGGTCGTCGGGGCAGTGGGTGTTGGAATGTGTGCGAGAAGTTGAAGATGTTGACCAACCGGCACCGTGAGGTCGGCAGGGGAGACGGTGCGAAGAGTGAATCGGTAGGCGGATGGTGTAAGTTGGGTTTTCTCAATGAGCTCGACCGGTTGGAATTGCGAAGGATTCCTTTGGAGTTGTTCACGTGTCGTATATTCTTTGGTAGTGAATTCTGGGGGACCAGCCAAGGCTTTACTCGGTCGCATCACTGGCGGGTAGATCCTGAATCCCTTGGTCATGACAATTGTCTTGCTGAACTGGTAGCTGATGTGGCCGAAGATGGCAATACTCCCCAACGACGATAGTACAATCCCCTTCCAGAACGCAGGAAGAGTGTCTAAATATGCCCGACCAGATTCGACGCTCACCAACTCCGGCCACAACAGTTTCGATCCGAGCAGTGCACATGAGCACATCAGCAACGTCGAAGCGGCATCCTGGCTTATGGACATCATGAGAAGAGTGGGAAGTGATCGTAATATACCCATCCTAGTAGGCTTGATGGGGAGTATGGGTTTAGATTTGAAGGCGATTCGGGTTTTGGTCACCGCTTGCTCGTCTTTGGGCAGCTCGCCGATGTGGAATCGCGCCAGGAGATCCCGCGCGTCGTCGCTATGCCCGACATCTTCGAAAGCGGATGTCGCATCTTGTCCGGACACTTCTTTGAGGATCTTGCCGCCACCAGGATGATGGTCCAGGTAATTTGTGATATCGTACACTAATGTCTTGATGTCAGAAAGAGCGGGGAGCGCAACACCATCAAGCCGGAGAGTCTGCCCTCGTCTCACGAATCTCAGAAACTAACAGTACGCAGAGGGGGGGGGGGGGAGATTTTGACAACTCACCCTTTCCGTGCACGATGATCCAGACGTCGTCACTCCCTCTTTGCTTGCTCACTCGCTCTCTGGAATAAATCGCCTTTTTGACGAAGTCGGCGACCATGGCTGCGACTGGGCGGACCACGGGCTCATAGACAATTGAAAGATCAGTGAGAAGGACAAAATCTGGATGATACTCTATCCTTACACAATCTAATCTGGCTTTGGTGTGTCTTATTGCTGTCCCTGAATTCCATCGAAGGAGCAATTATCTCAATCGGCCGGTAGCTGGCGGGATATGCATTCCATCACCCGTCCTCCTCATGAAGGCTGGAAGAAAAATGCTCCGTCATGTGCCATGGTGTTTTCACCGTTTACGGCCGTGTCCACGCGATACACGAACATAAGAGCCAACAGCAACTCTGCTCTCCCATCAGATTGGTCAACACGTCGGCTGAACCGAAGAAGGAGGTGGTTGATCCTTTCCTGCTCACATAAACTAGCCGAGCGAGAAGGCGGCCAGTCTTTGATGCATCACTAGATCTTGGACATCTTCTCCTTCTGCAAACCTGGAATCATATGCTGTCCGAGGACCCTGTGTATCCGCAGTTGATTGTCTATCAATATCCTATCTTGGACGCTGATGTGCGACCCTTTTTTGCATTACCCCCTTGGCCTATTTGGGCCGAGAAGCCGGGACAGGGATCCCTTGAAGTGTGTTGCAGCTGCAAGTTTAAGCGACTGAACACTGGGTTTTCTCCGTGCTCAAGATGCGCTTGATGCTTACAATTCTCACCGTAATAATCAGGTTGTTCCGTTTCCGGAGAGCGGACTCCGAGAGTTCGACAACCCAGATGGCAACCCGCCGATACCAACCCTCCGAATTGGCCACCTCTGACAAGACCGCCGTCAATGTACTGTGTCGGATGCTCTAGTATCGTTCCCCGCTGCGAAATACCGTCAGCTACTTTACAACAGGGCGAGCTTCGATATCTTGTCCTCAGCATAAGGCCAATTAGTTAAGTGAGTGTTTTCTTCCTTTGGATGCCCATCATGTCGAACCAGCTTCTACGCCTTGTTGTGCTCTTCCACACCGTCCCTTGGATCTCCATTACCTGCTTGTTGCTTGCTCTTATTGTTTCCGCTGCGCCGTCCATCACACTCGTCCAATAGTAGCCACCATGGGCCTTAAGCAATATGGCCTCAAGCAATTTCACCTTCACGGTGATGAGGCTGCAAGCCGCAGAGAGATCGATATTGGCGTGCCAAGAGACTTTACAGATCTGCAATATGGCATTGCGCAGGAGTACACAATTGTGAAACCTGACGGTATGCCATTTCCCGAGATGCCCGCCACCCTCCTACTGACTGACCAGGCGTGGGTTTCCAGACTGCTCAGAATGTTCAACTTCACTCCGTTGAGGATGTTCTTGCATATGATGGCCCCATTGCTGTCACCGTCGACGGCTGTTCCATCCGTGAGCCTCGTGGAGGCCCGATGCTCCCCCTTGTTGGGAACTACTACGAGCTGTATCCTGACCATATGGGCAATCATCAACGACTGTTCAAGAAGTATGGTCGTGTAATCAAGACCAATGCCATGGGCAGAATCAACTACCTCACCGACGATCCCGACATCACCGAAATCGCTTACAAGGAGAATCATGGTCTGTTCACCAAGAAAACCAGCGATTCCAACCACCCATTGTATGGCATCCGAGACAATACCGCTCTTTTCACCTGCGACACCAATACGCCATCGTTCAAACTGACTCACAAATTCATTCCGCCCAGCATGTCACCAAAAGCGGTCCGACATTATACCCCCATCATGCAAGAGACAGTCTCAAAATCTTTTGCCGTCTTCGATCAATTGGACCAGGCTGGCCTCGCCTTCAATGTCTATCAGTACATGGTCAAGCTCTCAGGACAGACCCTTTGTCGATTTGTTCTTGGAATTGATGCTCATCATTTTGATACACCGGCATCCAAGCTGCATCCCATCATGGTTCTGCTCACGCAGATTCTTGAACTCAACAAAGCCGTTCAGACTCGAGGTGATTGGTATTCCATGCTTCCTTTCGGTAAGAATTCAAACTCTTGATTCCCTGCAAGACATTGACTTTTCTGGAGGCCCGCCGAAGAAATTGCAGCATGTTCGACTGGAAATCGCATCAGTGGTCGATGATATCATCGAGACATGTCCTCGTGGAGGGACCGAAGACCTTCCGCTCGACGAAGCGGCTCTCAATGCTAGCTGTCTCGTCGACTATCTAACTCGGGCCACCGACGACAGGGGAGACAAACTACCTTACGACCTGGTCCTGACCAACACCCTCTCAATTCTTGGCGCGGGATTTACCACAATCTCCGCACTGCTCTCGTGGCTTCTCTACTGTCTCATCACCTACAAAGGCCACCAAGAACGTTTACTACAAGAATTCGTCGACCACGGCGTCGACGAAAATACCAAACTCACTCCGGAGTTGGTCGACAACATGACATTCCTCGACAAATTCATCAAAGAAACCATGCGAGTACACAGCCCAGCTTTCCAAGCCGGCCGAAACGCCACCAAAGATATGATCCTCCCCGGGGGCTACAAGCTACCAAAGGGCGCTATTTTGATTCCAAATTTCCCTGCCATCCATACCAACAGTGCACACTGGAGCAATCCTCACCGCTTCGACCCCGACCGCTGGGACACCGATGAGGTCAAGAACAGACACAAAGCGGCATACCTGCCCTTCGCCATGGGGCCCCGAGGCTGCATTGGGTACAACTACGCTTTACAGCAGATCAAAGTCCTCCTTCCGGCTCTTGTGTACAGATACCATTGGGAGGACGTAAGCCCCGAGGCCGTCGAATATGATCCGGAGTTCCAGGTCATTCGACCGCTGAATATCTATGCCCGAGCTGTGAAGAGGACACAGTGGCCTAGCAAGACGAAAATGCCCAAAGTCAAGTTTGCAGGGAGTGCTTGAGAGGAAATGTGAATATGACGAAAGAGGCTAGATCGATAAGTATATCATATCGTGGCATGGGGCATGGGACAGACTGAAAGATAAGCATGTGACTACGCGACTGATTCGCGTTACGTTGATCTCTTGTCTTCTCGATGCTCCACTGTTGAAGGATCTCCATAGCAACAATCCTGCAGGGTCGACGCAACTATTCTTCATCGCATGCGAAACATGCCGTCTGTTAGAATGCTCCGCTATTTCTTGGATGTTTCTGGACAGGGCCACGTGGTGGTAATGTTATTGGAGACCCTGCTCGGAGCCCGCAGGATCATCGGGAGACACATGACCGGCCGTGGGATGCGTGTGTGCCGAGAAGAGACGAAAAGAAGGTCCATATCTCCTTCACTGGCTGGCTCGAACTGTCTTGCAAAGAATCCGGACATGTTCCACTCACGCAACCAGATTCGTTCCTGTGATATTACTGCTCTTTCATCTCTCTTGGCCGTCGTTCTGTCGATATTCCGTTATTTCTTGGATTGAGTCATCAATATCGGCCTCAGATTGGGAGTTCAGAGTCTTCCCTCTTGCGCATTCGCCCTTCGCCCTTAGACATCATTGAGTCACGACCGAATTTGTCTTCCGTTTTCGTCCTAGAGACTTGGTACATAGAATAGAAAGGTTGATACAATCCCGATCTGTTGCCCTCTGCACCTTTTATCCTGCCGCAGAGTGGTGAGAAGCCGTATTATTATCGGCAGACAATAATTTCTACATAATAAAGAGATAAAAATTTCTCGGAAAAATCTCTCTGCAGAGTTCCCTGCACCCGTAGAGGAATCTCTTTCCGAGTGTCGGATACGCAGATGCATTCAATGGTAACACGCCCGAGGACGGAAAAAAATCGCGGATGCTCCATCCAAGGTAAACAGCAAGCGACTATCAACTTTCTTTCCAGCTTTCTTTGAGATCCGTATGCTGCAATATCGTCCCGCCGCTCTGGATCGGAGAAATAGTCGTACCGCGAAGTGGTACTTGTCCCGTTGCCTCCTTTACTCCGTCGCTCACGTTCAAATCGCAAAGCCCGAGCATAACCATATCCGTACCCACTCGCGTCGAGCTCCTCTCTTTGGTATGAATGGCAAGCGGGAGGACTTTCATCCGCCTTATGGTCCGTCCGATGCGCACGACGGAAAACTCGACTGCTATCTTTTTCTCGACTCTTCCGAATGCGCACCTATCGTGGGACGCCCTCGACATTGCGACGTCCACCGGAACCTCAGTCAGAGTTGCTCTCTCCGAGCTTTCTGTCCTGAAACCTTCAGCTCGGAACTGAGCCTCAAAGAGCCTTTTCTTTTCTGGTTGCTCTTGCTATAGGTGCGGCGGGTTTTCCTTGTCTCCATCGACCTCGCACAAAGTGGTTCCAAATTGTGGGATGTAACTGGAGTCTTTGGCAACGAATGTTGTAAGTATGGCAAAAAACCATCTGTTTCAGCTGATTTGGGATATTGTGAGAAACCTCTTTCTCCGAAATTTCCCCCCAGGTTGTGAGATTGAATCTGCTGCCGTGAGTCTCACTCGCCAGGCTGATTGTGATAGAATAGCACCCACTGCAACAGAGTGAACTCATCTAACACTACCTCAAACAACTCTCTTACTGTGGTAGAATTCAGACTCCGATCAAACGACGGAGCCGCCGAGTCGGAAACTGCTACCCACCAACTCCTTGGCCTCATGTTTCGATACCACGCTTTCTCCCTACCCCTAGGCTACCCATTATCCCGTTGGTGTTGCAGCTTCCCGACTCCCACGCAGATTGAGACGTTGCATTGAGCCTCACAAATTCCGTTAGCCAGAATATTGCCGACGCGCCGCTAGAGATACGACACATCGGGCCCTTTATCAAAACCCTTTTCGGTTGAGTATTGGTGTCGTCGATCACTCAACTACTTCGGCGTGTTTTCTCTCAGGTAGGAATGTTGAAGGTAGGTGTGAGGTGCTCATGGGCCACCAGGACGACCTGTCGTTGAAGATATACAAGCCTGGTTTGGTCTCCAGGAACTCTTGTCCGGTATAGGGCCATCGAAGTGCATCAACATGAGTCTGTGAGGACTTACCGGTTTCGTCGACAGGAAGAGTTCTAGCTCAACGATAGAGTGTTCTCTCTGTGTGATCCAGTTGCTCCTTCACCAAGTCAAATTGGACCGTGCTCCATCACATCGTTCCAAAATCAGGTCGTTAAGATGCGTGTTCTCTGCCTCCACGGGATGGGCACCAATGCCGGCATCTTTGAAACGCAAACAGAAATCTTCCGCAATCTCCTGCCCAAGCACTTGGACTTTGAATTCTTCGACGCCGACCATGAAATTGAGGCCGCAGACGGTGTGGGAGATATCTTCCCCGGCCCATACACATGTTGGTACCCTGTACCCACCAACACCAACGTTCAAGACGCCCATCACTTTGTCTGGGATGTCATCGAGCAAGAAGGGCCCTTCGATGCTGTGATGGGATTCAGTCAAGGAGCCGCTTTGGCGGCCTCTGTCATCTTGACCCATCGGATCGAGCATCCCCGTGAGCCGGCGCCGTTCAAGCTTGCCGTGTTCATCTGCGGTAGTTTGCCATACTGCCTGGATGACAAGAGAGGGGTCGATGTCGCAAGTCTGTTTGCGCAATATTCTCCTTCAGGAGAAGTGGACTTTATCAAGTACCGTCCCACTTCGGATGACGGTAGTGCCCGGGCTCGACCATTGCTGCAGCAGACCCAGACCACCAGGAGTAACGATGGCCGATCCATTGCCGACTTGGTCGACGCATTCGACAACCTGTGGCTCAAGGAAGTAAAGAAAGATGATACAACCCTGTCAATTGTCCCCGTTTCGCCATCCGCATTCGATAGCGAGCCAGCCTCACCCACTGACTCGGACTCGGCCATCTTCTCCCCGACCAGCGGCTACAGCACACCTCTCACTCCCTCTTCCAACATTGGTGACGAGGGTTCCTGGTCCCCGAAACGGCCTTCAACCACCGATTTGTCGTCGCCAGTGACAATCCGCCGCTTCCACGCAGACGTGGACAAGATCCGGATCGAGATCCCCACCGCTCACATCTACGGTCGTACAGACCCATATAATCGACAAAGCAAAGAGCTAGAGCGACTCTGTGATCCGAAGTGGGCGACGGCATATGAGCATCCTGAAGGCCATGTCGTTCCTAGAAACCCGGTGGTGAATGATTGCATTGCTGCTTGTGTGGAGAGGGCAATGGCCGCGGTGGAGATCTGCGGGAGATGAAGAGCGCTGGAGAGAAATTGGTTCGGGATGAATAGGCCCCGGACACCAGAACATAGAAACCTCAAAGGTGACCAGTTACAAGCGTGGTTTAGGAGACCTAACGTCAAGGTCACCTAGCCTAGCTTCGACAGAGTATAGACCAAGCTTTGCCCAGAATTCGAACTAAGGATGCTTGTCTGCTGGATCGAGACTAACCTTATGGCGGGTCCATTTATCCACCCATCAGTAGCATCATCTGCGGCACACGTCCGGGTGAACGAACAAGTGTGGTGGTCAACGAACAGAGCAATAGTGTGGTGACACGTAATCGCGGGGTCGTCCTGAAACTGCGAATTCGGTCATAACTAACTTCAACTTCGCCAGCGTCGGCGTCAGCTCCCTTCTTTCTTCAATCTCCCGTACACGGATCCCAACACTAATATCTGATCATCATATATACCTCCCGCAAGAACTAATCGCCAACGGCAGTGGCAGAGTAGTCCAGGATCCATGATGGATGCCCAGAACCAACAAAATACCTGGAACGCCCCTCAACTTCGGCCTGGGACTGGGACGGAGAGGGTGGTCTCTCAGCAACCTGTAAGTCATGCCGCCTCTTCTCGGTTGTGACTAGTGTTGAAAAGTGCGTATTCTATCGCATGTATTCGTATTGTATCCAGCCCGACCTTGATCAACATTTTACTTATCATGTTCCTTAAATTGCAGACTGCTCCCCCGGCCATGGATACAACGAAAACTCCCGTCGGCCTTCGTGGCGGCGGGGAAGATGAGGATATTTGTTGTGGCTTGTAAGTACAAGTATACTCTCCAGGCTCAGTCCAGTGGAACAATGTGTACTGACTGAACAATCCTCAATCCACAGGTGCGCTGGTTTGGCTTGCTACGAATGCTGCAAGTGTTGCTGCTAGACAGAACACATATAGCAGCTCCTCAGCCAATCCATACCCAGCTCCACACAATGACCGATGGATTCGGGTACAACGTGCATTGCGCCGCGTACGGAGGACAGTCCCGGATTGGTAAGGCTAAAAAGGAACGGGGAGTGCGTTGAGACTGACATGATAATGCTTGAAATTCTGGTGGATACTGGAGGATGCTGCATGTAAGAAGCCACAATACCGATAGGAGCAAAAGAGGTAGAATGAAAATGAATAATAACCGGGCTCTTTGTGCCAGAAATGGACAGGGCTTTGAGAGGATAGAAGCCGGGTAAGGAATTACAGCCAGATGGCAAGGTTCGGTTCAAGCTGGTGTTAACTTTCCACGAACGCAGCACAATACGATGGCAATGCGATTTTTGCCAGAGTCAGAATGCCTCCTCGGGTACCGATGGAGAGGAACACTAACTTCCTTGTTCAATAAATGCCTTTGAAAGAATTAACATTCACGTAATCAATATAGAAATTCATACTATGTGGTATACCAAGGACATTCGCGCTTCATGAACGTCGTCTTGGTATATATAATGCCGACGCTACCGAAATCATCAGTGACAAGATCATGTCAATTTCCAACGCCATCGTTGTGCTGTGCCATTGGGCACCCTTTCCCTCACTATCCTCGAACTAGATTTCCTTTCTCCCACCCTTCTTCACACACCATGATACCACAATGCTCATTCATCCCCAAATCTTTGACCTCTCCAAAGTCATTTCTGTTTTCAGGCCGCCATCAGCCGCCATTAGACCTGAGCCACGATGAAGTCGTTCTTGAGTTGTGGTTGTGTAGCCCTGAGCTCGGGTTGGCACCAATACATACGTATATTGTAGACACAGTTGACTATGACTCCGAAGCAAGGCTGTACACGTTATTATGTGATTACACTTCTTCTAAGAAAAAAAAAATCAGGGCGGGAAGTTGTTTAACCCTGAAAGTACTATTGGAATGATAACTCAGATTAGCTAATCAGGTGCCAGAATCCACAGCCTTACTACTCAGCCTTGCCAATGTGGACAATTCTGCAAAAAGGGGTGGGTAATTGCGGAGAATTTCTCTCCTTGCTAAGTGATTCTCGGTCGACATGGTCACCGGCGGTGACCACAGCCGGCGTCCTTTCCTTTAGCCCCGTCTCCGATCGCGGTACAGCAGTTTACAAACCCAGATACATCTCTCCAGTTCATAGAAGAACAGAGTGTCTGGGATCTCGCTTGAATGGTTTCCATTTATCCATGAAAGTTACAGGTGTTCACTTGGAGCACGTCAACGGACATGGGGATCCATTACCATTCCAGAGCATTCACAGATATCGCGGCTTACACGAAGCCTTATGGGCGAGCCACGTGGTCCCACCTTGTCGACATGGAGTTATTGAAGAGCAGACTGGCGAAGCGACGCCTGGCATGGGGTTGCCACCCGGCGGGTATCTGGGTATTGAGGCCTCCAGGTAGGCCGAAGAACGATCCATTTTCCGAACGTCTGGTAATAGTGCTTGTTAAAGGGGAGAAGAGAGCGAGATGGCTAGCTGTGGTGGCGGCGTCAGCTTGCGACCATGTGAGGCAGCTAATGATTGGAAGGAGCAACTCCTGGGATGGGCGATTGTCATATAACACTTCTGTTTCACGCAATCGCCTGAGCCAACATTTATCCCAACGAAATCTTCCTACTCCTCCTTCTTCATTCCTCGTAGAATTTCATTCCCAAGCACACCGATACTTACACCGACGAGACTCCCTACACCGACGTGTCCGAGCACGATTTTCCACCCTTGTTTCCCCAATCCGTTCACCCCGCCGCCCCGGTACCACCCCACAGCAAGCGCTCCCCCTGCCCCGACAAGGCTATAATTATCCATCTCGACCTGGCCCTTGTTGTGAAGTAGGCGATAGGCACGGTCTTGCCACTCAATCTTCTCTTTACCACGCATGTAGAAAGGAAGCATGATAGCCATAGCGGAGAAACCGATTAGAGAACCGACGCCAGTGCTGCGGAGGATCAGGGCGCTAGTTGCAGGTTGGAGGGCTGAACCTGAGATGGAGGCAGGGGAGGTGGATGAAGAAAAGGCGGTAGATGTTGTAGAAAAGAATTGCCTTGCTAAACCAGACATGTTGGCGTCGGCTTTGAATGGAACAACACCCCCTCCTGCTCCACCTCCTGTTCTAGGAATCAAAGACGAAATATTCCGCTGCGGATGCTGTTTTACTGATATGGAGTTTGATATTGTCTTGGATGGCAGTATAGATCGTACTCCACCGACAAGGATTCCCACTGCAGCACCTGATTGAAAGCCGCGATGTAAGACGTGCGTGGTCAGGATGGTGCGTGATAGTGGCTGATCTTCGGCATACTCTGCGACTGGAAAGAGGGCAGACATTTTGAAAGATATTTTCTCGTCCGAACGCGTTTATGAGGTGATTGATTGCGACAGAGATCGAATGGAAAAGTACCAGTACAGTATTCCGTGGCTTTTGTGTGCAGAATACGTTGATTCCGAAAAGTTCCGGCTTCTGGGTTGAGATGCGCTGACAGTAGTACTGGCACTGGCACCGGCAGATATGTATAAGTTCTTCAATGACGAATCAGGCGAATCAAGTGAAATTTGGACGATGGAAAAGGGATGCCTGTTCGAAGAAAGGTTATATGTGTAGGATGAGAAAGCATGAGAAATACAATCCCGAACGACAACATCAAAAATAATTTCTGCTATTAATCAAACGGCGACAATGACGATGATTAACACAAATGCGAATTATAATTATGAAGACCATCACATCGCACGTATCAAGCACAAGCTCCAGGCATGGCCTACTCCGTACGCGTGTTGGAGTCCGTGGCCACCAGAAATCCTCTCTGGCTGCAACCCCTCTTCGTTTACCATACAATCCAACCGGGACGGGGATCGAACTGGGTCATTGTCCAACCAGAACCCCTTCAATTGATGTCACCTGAACTCTGTTCTCAATGATCGGGACTCAATTCCCCCGACTTTCCAAACCTTGCGGCCGGAAGCCGTTCGCTTAACTAGTGTAACGCGGAGCATTAGGAAGTCACCGATTCCGCAATTGAACTTGTGTGGCTGAATTCTATCGGTTCGACTGCAACTCGAGTGTGTTACCACTCGGTTACGTCCTTGATAGGTCAACCACGATTTGGTGTCATTTTGAAGGAATTTCTGGCGGAATAAAATATAAACCTGAATATTTTTTATCCTTTTAGTTTTGGAATGTCTGGTTGCGGCTCGGCGTTATGTGGCGACGCCAAGAGCTAAGTGCTGGCCAATCACGTAAATATATGGCTTGGCATTGTCACGTGGGCACGTGGGCACTCCCCCTTGCTGCACCGTCATCGGATCCAATCCGTGGACCATATGGCCGAGGGGGCACTCTACTCGATAGAAGTCGATATCCTCGATATCGAGATGATTCACGGATTGAATCCGATGAAATACCACGAGCCATCGGATCCGATCCATGGACCATGTCTCCGGGGGGGGCACTCTACGACAATATCCTGTCAAACTTCTTGTGCAACTTGAATTTGGAGTACCCTGGCTCTTCCAATGAGTGTAGGATAGAGCCCATCTGTACATCTATCTACACAGCGTACGTCATCGCTGTTGCCTATTAATGGTGATACAACCTAGTGAGCGAGTGTGACAAAACGAGTCGGTTTGTTGCGAACGATAGTTCACCAATTGTTCAACATTTCCACGTCTGTCGCGGATGGCGATAGATCTCTTTTCAATCCCCGCTATGTATTCCGAGCCAGAATGGATATTCAGTCTTGCAGGACAGATGGTGACGGCTCAGAGAAGTCGACTTCGAGCGGACATTATCGGCGCAGCCCAATGTACATCATCTTGGGAGGAAAGTGGGGCTATCCAATTAACCAAATCAAATCAAATTCGAGGCTCGATTTGGTTTTATTTATTTGTTTACAAGCGTGAACCTGAATGATCTTCGAGCGAGTGGATTTCACTCCAGGATCTTCTTGATGTTGGTCTGGTCCAGCTGAAAAGACGACGAAATTAAGGGTTAAACTATATCAAGGTGTTGACGGACCTGTAGATTTCTGCCAAGGACTCGTTTACGGAGCATATATAATTAAAGCGACCACCTCCAGCTAGTTAGCTAATGCATTCTCTTCCCGCCGCTACAACAACATGCCGCTGCCATTTGAGGCGACACGCATTGTCTTCCATCGTCGTTTCCCCAGGATCATGCTGGCTCCACGAAATTATCTGGGGAATGATGAAGTGGACAAAGCAGAAGCCTCGTTCCTTGGGACCTATCGAAAAGGAATGCAGCTATCAACACATCCAAACACAAAATTTCTCGAAGAAGACGGATTGAACCCTCTGCCTCGGAGTTCGATTTTACTGCTTTATCTCGTAATTTCTATCTGAAATCTCCCGAGAGGAAAGAATCTGTACCCATTTACGCACCCAGCCAGCGTACTCGTCGGTCCATAGAAGCCTGCTTTGATGAAGTTACTTCTATTCCCTTTAATCATGCATAGTGTTTGACTTTGTTCCATGCACCACTTCGGGTTGTACTCAACATTTCAAGTTCCTTTGAGCTCCGTTCACGATTCTCTGCTGCCTTCATCATTTTAGACTTCCTCCACCGTTCCGGTTTCCTTCGCAGTTTCGGTTTCCTTTGAGACCCCTATGGCGGATATTCTGAGATTACTGGAACCTTTGCTCAAATCCTGTTTGATATCCTCCTCACATCCGAGAGCGTACTCGCAGAGGCCCCACCGGTGAATTTCGTTGATCCATTCAAGCAATGCGACCACTCCTCGGTTAGTCCCACAGGTCCCAGTATCAAGAATTCGTACTGTGCAGCCGGCCCAAGTCGCCTTCTTCGTTGTTTTGGGTTCAAAGAGCCATACTGTCCAACGATTTTTCTCCATTGTCAATCCATAATGACGAACCAATTTCAATTGTTCGGGAGAGGGATGAGGAAAGGCGAGGACCTTCAACTGATATCGATTAAACAAGGAAGCCAGGCCATCGACAACTACCTGATTATCCGCAACCTTCCTGTCGTAAGTTGTGGCTTTGAACTCAATCGAGAAATAGGGACAAAATGTACCCAAAGCCTTCATATGTACGATGTGGTTAGCACGTTCTCGATATTCGGGGTTTATGATCTTGTCGCTAAGCCAGAATTGACAGTCGGCGTAAGTATCAAAGCCAAAGGGTTTGGAGGGTGGGGGCTGTTTCGAGATCATTGGAGGTTCATCCCACATGATTCGGTCCGAGCTTTCGCGGGGCTTGAGCGAGACTTCCACACACCGTACAGCACAAAGCTGTCTTTCAACATCGTCCTCAAAGACGGCGTACGGTCCGATGAGCAGTTTCTGATAAGCATATTCCTTGGACTCGGCTTCTCAAACGTCAGCATTTCCCATTCTGCCATAGGACTTGAGCAAAGACGTGACAAATTTGGTGTCCATAGGCAGGAACAACGAATCATCTACATCCCGGTCAGCTCTTCCTGCAAGGGCTTTTTGAACGACTGATCGGTAAAATTTGCATGATTCAGCTGGGTTCGAAGGTCTCTCGGTGCCGAGATGGCCGTGAGCCCCGTCTGAGTTGGAATTCTTATATTTGTGTATCTCAACCCCCCGCGGAAGTAACTGAGTATCTTGGAAGTCAGCGTCGTGGACCGTGGCTGTTTTGGGGACCTCCATTCTAGGAGTACTGATTTTGGAGACAGATGTCGGGAGGGTGCATTTTGGAGTCGTATTTGATCGAACCTGGTTTCTGGTTTGGCGTGCGTATCGAGGTGTGTTTTTTTCCATGACGTCTCGCCAAAGCAGTTTGATTCGGTACGGATCAGTCTCTTTAATCGTGTCTACAGAAAATGGCGGAGAGCATGCCGAAGAGTAAGCTCGTCTTAGGCCTCGAGATAGATTCGTATTCTTTGGCTGGGCGGACGTCCCTGCTTTGGGTTCAGATTTAGAGAAGGAAAATGGTGGTCGAACCAAGTGACCGGTACGGTTGCCTGGTTTAATGAGTCGCGAACACGTTCACATGGAAGGAACATACCAGGTTGCAATTCACCTGCCATTGCACCTCGTGGTTGCCAATTAGGATAACTTTTTTGTTAGAGTATCGCGCCTTGTATCGTTCCGACACTTGATATAAGGCCTGATGGGGTTCGTAGAATCTTGAAATGCAAGTTTATGGCCGGGGCTCATGTTTATTTACAGTTTTGGAATGATTCAAAGAGTAATGCGCTTAGCTAACACGTGACTTGGTCATACTTTCTCGGGCAGCGCCTATTCTGTACACCCCTTTGGCTAGTCAGTAATACACCGATAAACCTGCCTATTCTGTACACTCAACACACTTTGCGCATTGTTCTATACACCTCTCTATTCGCCCTGGTTCTCGTTACCTAGCGACGCTCGAATCTCCACGGTAAGTGGCGTGTTTGTAGAAGTGATCTTCGGGTAGAGGGTAGAGAAGCAGGATATACAATTCCTTCCTGCACGGTCGTGCTGACTAAGGTAACCAACCAGCGCCCATAGGCTTGGGGGAAACCGCCCATAAGCGGGGCAGTCACCCCCAGCTTACGGGCGGTTCCCCCCCGACTTATGGGCGGTTTTCCCCCCGGCTTATGGGCGGTCCCCCCCAAGCCTATGGGCGCTGGTTTGTCAGCACGAGGCATCGACCGTGCAGGGGATAGAGGGTGACCAATCGAGCTTGTCAGGGTCGGTAGACTGGATCCGGTGGGCGACGGGGGATTTCATTGGATCCAATCCATGGACCATCTCGACGTCGAGGCTTGACCGTTCACGCTCAGTTACGAGGTGATTAAATAGAGCTTCTCTAGGTGGTCCATGGACTGGATCCGATGGGAGCTGGCGCGGAAAATATTTAATCCGACGGCGGTGGACCGGAAAATTGTTAATCCGTTAAGGGTGGACGGGGAAAGTTACATCACGTAATTAGAGATGACGTCAACTTCTAACCAATCAGAGGCCGGTGTAAAGAATATAACTTATCACGTGATTAGTGTACTAAATAGTATTTTCGCTTACTAATCAAGGTGTACTGAATAGCCAGGGGGGTGTACATTCTCGTGGCGCTACTTTATGTGAGTCCTGTGTCCGCTTCACCTAAAGGGAAACTGCTCGTATGTGGATTTCTGCCAAGGATTCTGGCCTACGCTAAACTACATTCGTTTACGGAACATATACTGTGGTATCCAGGGTAATTTTCGCTAGTACGGCACTAAACCACGTGACGATCCACGTGATCTAGGCCTGAACGCCTGGAACTCTAAGGAGGGGGGATTGCCTAAAAGCAACCCAGAACTTAGGGGTTCCTGGACTGGCTAGTTGGGCCGTCCTAGGCATGTGATAGGCACCTTCTAGCTGAGCGACCCCTATCAACACACCTGGAAGCTATTCTGTTTACCTGCCAAGACCTTCAGGTGTACTAACGAAAATTACCCTGGCTACCACAGTACAGTATAAAGCGGCCACCCCCAGCAGATAGTTTTAGTTAGTTCATACATTCCCTTCCCGCCGCTACAACCACACCTAGTCTGAAAACAGTGCTATGGCCATCCAAATAGGTTCTCAAAGATTAGATTAGACTTTGTATGGATGAGAGTACGAGTGTACAGGAAGAAATCTGATGCACTCAAGGGATTGTGTCAGACAGTTGGTGCCTAGTGCCAAGAGCCCCTATTCTGGCCTATATAGGGGGCTTTCCCCCCATTCATAGTTACACGAGTTTTCACCCCTTCTATCCGCATCTCGCTCTATTCGATAGATTGACATGCGACAGAACGGATGACTAAGAAAATAACGCCAAGCGACCTAAGATATGAAGGGTGAGCAGCGGATATATAAATCCGCCCATCAACCTTTGACCCACGCGTTTTTGCACCCCGCCAACAACGCGTGCTCACACTCTACCCTCTACAGCTCAACCAAATTCACACTCTTTTGCTCTCCAATGGCGCCCAATAAGGAGACATGTCAAAGAGGGAATGCCAAGGGAATATGAATTGAATGCTCTCTTTTCTAGCAACTGATCCTGCCAGGTTGCTGGCGTTGTCCGCATGATGGAAGGTATCAAGGAATGCCAAGGAACGGAAGGGCAAGCGTGATTCAATAGTCAAGCGATGATGGGGTGAGATGAGCAGGTTATAAGCCTGCGTCTCGCCCGGTATCTAGTGTCTTGGCAGGGGCCGCCCTGACAGAAGGTACCTGAAAACACCCCATTTTCCTAGGGGTCTGAAGTACCTTTCCATCTACCTTGTCTCCCTCACATAGTTGGCGCTTTTTGATGCCCTTTCCACGACATCGTTGACTCCTTTTGATGGAGCCCTTTGCATTCGCTTTTCCACGCCTTTTTGCACTCGATTTTGGTGTTGTGGTATGTTAGACCCTCTCTGCCGCCTGAGTAGCCCGTCTGTCGCCTCCGTAGTTCTCCTGTTGCTTCGTGGCCTCGCTGCCGACCCACTTCAGGGCCGTCCTAACGCCCTGTGAGCTTCCTCTAAGTCCTGAATGAATCCCGCACTCTTTTGCATAGTTGTATCTCGCAATGTTAGTGCACATTCTCTTGCCTCTACCTCCTGCCAGGTACCTTTCCATCGTTCGGACAACGCTCGCACAACTAGGCCGGATTGGTGTTTAGCATTGTCGCTGTGGTACGCGAGTCGCCGTGGGTTGTCGCTCTCCCAAGATATTCCCATTGATGGTGCCGAGTGGTCCTAATGCTCCGCGTTACTAGTGGCACTCAATGGGTCCCCACGCGTTAGCTGGTTGGGGAGTGGTTTCGGCGGGTTTGGACCCTTGATTCTCCACTTAAGTTGTACTATAGATACGGTAGCGTCATAAGGCAGCATTTCGCCAACAAAAGACTTGGGGCGTTATCACAACGGAGAAAAAAAGGAAGCCTTATATTATACCGAACAAGCCCGGCGAAGAAACAGGTAATGTTCGTTGTGTCTTTTCGTCGAAATAGTGCTTGCCGTGTTGTTATCGTACAAAAGTGGAAGTAAGGTAGAAGTACTATGATTCCACTAGAGGAAAGGGATGACGCCTTTGAATTCTTGCATAAAGTGTGTTGTGGATTTTGCCATACTCAATGCATTTATTACGAACAAGTCTAAAATTGATACAAGGGCATTCACTCATATCAATCAATCCGGTATTGTCTATCGTATTGCAAATCCCCTAGCGTTGTTTTCTACCATGGATGCCCAACCTGAGCGCCGGCCCATCCACACCCAGGCATCATGCAAATGAAAGGCCCCATCCCTTAAATTCAGGCTCTGACACTTCTCCGCTGGGGTGGGTCGGGCTTCATCTAATCTAGATAATCACCGCAATCAAGAGTAACAAACAAGCCAACAACAATGTGTAGACCGGTTTCGCTTTCTGAAAATTTGCGTACAGTCGATTGAGGAGCGGCATAGCTTCCGACCGGACTGAAGGTGAATTCATTGGCTGTCTTATAGATTGAACCCTCTTTTCATCACCGTTTGTGATTGAAGTTCGTTTCTTCTGTGCAGCGCAGTATTCATCCAAGATACCCTTGTAGTCACGGGGCCGATAAGTCGAGAACATTTCCGAGATAGGGTTTGATTTGCGGTTGGGTTTGATCCCGAGATCACGGGCGAGTGAATCGACGTACTAGAACAGAAGAAAAAATTCCGAATTAGCGAGACAAAATTAGGGCCAACCAGTGAGATGGCGTGCATACCGCAAGATAATCGTAGATGGAATATGCATGCTTTCTGCCCTGTGCGAGATATCGCTTGGCAGTCCATGAATTCCAGAGTGCAACCTCCTTCTTCATGTCCTCAAGCGATGGCGTGGGCAGTTGACCAAGCAGATACGCGCAGCTCCAAAGAGATTGCATCTCAGCGACAAGCGGTGTGTAGACGGAGTGGATCTGTCCGAGGAAAACGATGGAGTTGTCGCCTTGCTCAGAGAGTTGTGGCGAGACCAGACGTCTGTAGAGTCGCCAGGGTCGATGTTCGCGGTTGGACGGATTTTCATAGGTTTGATGAGGGATGGAGACGAGATTGGGCAGGAGTTCGTCAACGGTTGTATCGGCTTGGGCGTCGAGTTTCTTCCAAGATGGATCCTCGGGGATCTTGGAGGGAAGGCCCAGTGTCAAACGGAGATTTTGGTCGTAGACGGACAGATTGTCTTTCCAGCCTGTGCAGAGGATGACAAAGTCGGCGGCAATTTTTTCTCCGTTCTTCAGGACCACTTTTTCATCGACGAACGAGGCGATTGATGTTCGGTGCACAGTGAGATCGCCTTCGTGAAGCACTTTCCAAAAGTTTGGAACACTGGCCAAACCGAGTCCAGAGTTGGCCCAGAAAATGCTGTGAAATATCAGCGCCTGTTGTTCAAGAGCAATATTTGGCTCACCCGTATTTGAAAGGCACTGGCTCGAGCTTCTTCATGTTTTCAGTCTTGTCGTAGCCAGCCGCAATCTCGGCGGTCCAGGTCAAGTATCTCCAAAAGGCATGTGTGATAGTCCGACCCAATGACGACCTTTGCAAGAACCAGTACCAGAAGCCCTCGGCCTGCAAAATCGCTGGACTGAGGACACCCAGAGCTCGGGTACCCATAAGATCTACACTGTTGAAGAGACCGAATACTTGCGTCGGAGGAGAAATTGCCAATGGGCCTGTCCCATCTTCTCGAATGATCCAGTCGACTTTCTTTCCGTGTTTGAGAAGATGGAAGACGGTGTCATAAGCCGACTTGGCAGCCCCGAGAACAACCACTCTTTGTGTCTGTGGTGTGTTGATCTGCTCTGCCTCAATCCCCAGTCGTCCAGAGTGGATGATTGGTTTGGAGAAGTCCTTTTGAGGGAAGTCCGGGACGTATTTCTCGGAAGTTACACCGCTGGCCTGGATGACTTTGGATGCGTCAATCATATATGTCGTGTCTCCGCTTTTGACGCTCAATCGCCATCTGAGTTTGCCGTGCGCAAGAGATTCCACCTTGGTGACTCTGGTGTTGAGCCGGCATCTGTCGCGCAGTCCATAGTCTCGGGCAAAATCATTGAGATACTTGTGAATAGTCTCTCCAGAGATGTAGCGGTCTTTGGTGATTCCCTCCTTGGGCATGGGATAGAAAGAGTATTCAAAAAGCCCATGGCCGACCTGAGCAAAGAGATCGGGATAGATACGCTCCTTGCTCCAGACACCACCGATCGTTTTGCCGTCGTCTATCAGAAGCAGATTGGTATCTGGGGCAAGCTCCAAGTACGTTCGGGCGGCTATCAGTCCGTACCATCCTAGATCATTTGTTAGGAAATCTCGTCTGAGGCGGAAAGAAGGGGGGGGGGGTTGCTCTACCTGCACCAACCACAACTACGTCAAAGCTCTCCTTGGCCATAATTCTATCTTCTAGGCAGAGAAATAAAGTAAATGGTTATGGATGCAGGTGAGGACGTCTACTCTCAGTGTTGAATTTCTTATATTGCCAGACTCGGAGTACTACGGCCATCTGAGAGGTAACCTGACAGGTAACCTGACAGGACACGGTGGAATTCAAGTCCGCCCGACGCAGGGTCAACTATACCTTGCACCACACCGTTCGCCGCTATCACGGATAGAAGCCTGGCGAATATTTTATTTGGTATTTGTTCTTCAATATCGGAATGGCAAGGATATTCGCCCGAGTTGTTCGAGGCCCTCGGCGGGTTTACGCGGTGGCTCCTATATTCTGATTGGATTAGAGCAGACCGTTGCCCGGTTAGGCTTCAAAGAGCTAATTCCTAGCACACTGGGTTAATGCATCCGAGAGATCCTCATAGCATTGGGGATTTATGAGGACTTACAGGAGAAGAATTCTGTGAAGAGGCAGAGAGATGAAGACGAAAGATGAAGGGGGAAGCCAATTGAAGACTTGGGCTTGTCGCAGCTGAGCTCAGACATATCAGATGAGTCATAGTAAGGAATTTATTCTCTAGTAACGGTAATGCCCAATTATGCAGTTTGCGCATGATCAGAAATTCCATTGTTTCATCCATGTGTCCATCCAGCTCGGTGACACTGCCTCAAGACCGGCCAAAATCTTGCTAGCTTCAACCGTCTTCTTCGTCTCCAGCATTCCCTCTAGCACGGTATCTGCTGATTGCTGCTTCAACGCTTGATAGAAATCCAAGAGCCGAAAAGCTGGAATGCTGCGCGGATTCTCTGTCATTGATCGTCGTGTCAATTCGTCCACCCACTCTTCATAAGAGACTTCCTTGATATCCGCAACGCCGATGTTCTTCTTGATTGTCGGGACTAGAGTGCTCCAGTCGGCCGTTCGAGGGTTGATGGCGTGGTATACTTGCATATTTTCGTGTCCTCCGTCTCTTCTGAGTGCCATCTCTACCAAGCCCTCTCCAAGAATATCCACCGGTACCCAATCGACATGTGGCATTGCACCCAAAGAAACAGGAAGCATCTTCATCACCTTCGAACTTCCAATGATTGTTGGGAGCCATTCATGTTTATTCCACATACCCTGACCCTGTCGAACGGGCCCTGCAATCTGACCAATTCGACACACGGTAGTTGGCACGCTACCTTGGACAAAAGCTGCTTCGAGGAGTCTCTCAGCAACATATTTGGACTGCGCATATCCCATTTGCTGAGGGACAGTCATGTCGTGGAAGATTTCTTCTGGAATGGTGCTGTTGCCATGGTTGGTTTGCCAGCCCATCACCGTGCTGATACTGGAGATGAAGAATATGGATGCCCGATTCACCGACATGGCGGAGAGATCGATGAGACGCCTTACTCCTGCTATGTGAGTTTCCTCAAAAGATGAGAAAGCCCAGTTGAAATCAACAGCCCAAGCATTATGGATAATTTGGGTAACTGAATCAACTAATTTCTTGTGGAGAGCATCCTCGAGACCGAACCGGGGTTGAGAGACGTCCACTTGGTGAAAGCTGACCTTGGAGAAGTCCGTTGAGAGACCTCGATTAGCATTAGACCTTGCTTGCCGCTCTGTCGAATCATCGCTACGATTGAAGCAGTAAATGTGCTCGACCTCTGGATTCGTGATGAGAGTGTGAAGAATGTATGATCCTAATGAGCCTGTTGAACCGGTAAGAATTACTGTAGATCGCACTGCATGTCGCTTTCCCTTCGCCAAGAGTATATCTGACGACCAGCGGTCCAAGGATCTTTGCATCTCCTCCAACGAAGAGTCGGCGGGGCTGGCACCGGTCTGCGAAGTTTGGAAAAGCGCATATACCTTGTCGGTGAGTTTGTTGACAGTCGGATGGGAGTAGAAAATGCCGGCCGAGACCAATTCAGGACTGACGCCGCGTCTTTCAAATGCCATCTTGATGTGTTTGACAACTATCAGGGCTCCAAGCGAGTCCACGCCATTGGCAAAAAAGTCCGCGTCCAGACTGGATAGAGTGACGTCGGAGGTTGCAGACAGAACCGTCTGCAACGCTTTCACAAACTCACCGCGGCTCTCTAGTGGGAGGTCCATGAGGTCATGGGAATCGGCCGCATTGTACAGATCGCTAATTTCCGGTGCATACATGTCCAGCGTCAATTTTCGCTGGATCGTCCCTTTCCCCGCCCGCAACATTGGCTTCTCCGAAGAAGTGAACAGTACCATAGACTTTGCGAGCCTTCCATGTGCAGGACATTCCTTGTTCGCTGTTTCGATGACCGGTCGCAGTTTTTCCAGGAGGACATTCCGATCTTCATTTGCTGCCGACTTTGTCAATTCGACTAGAAGAGCCGTTTGAAACCTTGCTTGTCCGACAACGAGTGCTCCAGCCACAAAATCCTGAGATTGAATGATCTGCTCCATTGTGACGGGATTGAGCTTTTCTCCGTTGACAAGAACAATTACATCGTCATCCCTAGCTTCATATCGCCATAGTCCGGGTTTGCGAGGATGCTTGGAAAACAGATCTTTCATGGAGTATTCTTGAAGGTCTGGAAACGTCGTGAAGATTCCTTGAATCGGTTCATATTCTTTCTTGCGCTGGATTACCAATTCATGGAGGCCGTCGCCGTTTGGTCGCATCTCGATACCACAATGAGAGTAAAAGCGGAAGTAATTGAAGTCTTCCTGGTCGGGGACAAGCATGGGCAGAAGCATCGCTTCAGTTGAACCGTAAAGATTGATAATCTTGGTGAATTTACTCAACATATCACCTGCTGCTCGTGGCAAGGGACCACCTCCGTACATAGCTCCCTTCAGAAGTCGAAGATTTTCCAAATACTTCGGCTCTTTTGTGAGGTCGTCCCAGATGGAAGGGGCAAGCAAACTCGCGTCGGGCTTGGCGAAGACATGGACAGCATTTGCATTCCTGGCTGTCATTGGAGATTCAGGGGAATCTAAGATGACTTTCGCCCCGGAGAAGACTGGCATTGCACAGATCATGAAAATGCCGGCTGCGTGAAAAGCAGGCATAGCGATGAAAAAGCTATCGTACTCGTAGATGAACTCATGCTGTACCAGGTTCAAGTCTGGTTCCCAGGGAATATTGCGGAGAGCATCGATACAAGCCAAAGCGGCATGCTTGACGACGATGGGTTTTGGCAACCCGGTGGAGCCTGACGTGTGAAGAACAACGAAGGGCTCCTGCTTTGCGGTGGCGAAAGATTTGCTGAACGGAAACGGTTTCATCGGTGCTTCAGACAAGAAGTAACTCAGGTCTGGAACGCAGAACACATCTAGCGGATGAAATTGATGGCAGTTTAAAATCAATTGGGGCACTTTCGACGGCGTCAAAAAAGTTCGGCATTGAGTAGCCTTGAGAAGTGAGACATTCCCCTCGACTGAGTTTCTGCTGGAGGTCAAGAGCAGCTACAACCCATTAGTCATGACCCCTGTGTAGAAGACATGTTATCAACTCACTTTAAACCCGGCTTTTACAGCACCAAGAGTGAAGAAGCAGTATCTCAAATCCGTTGGACCTGTGTAGCCCACCGTCTCAAATTCTTCTCTTTTCGTCAGATTCGCCTGGAGCCAGTGGGCGGCTCGATCAATTCCACGGGCGTATTGTCGATATGTGATATCTCTAAATCCATCTTCTGGATTGTTTGTGAATGGAATCGAAGCGAATACCTTGTCTGGCTCGTCAAATGCGATCTGATCAATCAAATTTGGAAGAAGTCGCTGTCCGCAGGGCGGGTCAGTCGTGATGGAACCCATTTTGGTGACCGGGCAAAGCGTGAATACAGAGGTATTAGCTAGCATTGATAGCGACTCCCCGATCAAGCTTTTATCACAACATCTTCCGCGAACTAGACGACCCTTGCGGCCGTGTCAGACAGAGCATAATGCCGGAGACCCACTTCAGAGGCTTCAAGGGTTCAAGGGTTTGATAGATAGACCCGAACGATAGCTTCAAGTTTGAATCGCGGAAGGACCTGGTGCACAGTAATCACAGGATAGAGAACAGACAGGCAAGACGAACGTGGATAGAATGTTTCGCCGAGGATACTCTGCCTCGTGGGTGATACATGATCGACAACCAAGAGACGGAGCATACACTATTCCTTTCGGCGGGTTTTCGACCTTGTCTCGCAGATAATTTCCGAAAGGTATGACAGGGATCTTTATGCGCTTTCTAGGATTAGACTTTGATGGTGCAAAATGCATAACATATTGAGCAAGATGGTAGCGGAACTTGACAAAGAAATTCATGGTTCTCATGCGCGTAAGGTCGTTCAGAATGATTATCCTCCGCTTCATGTGAAGAGACTACCTCAGCTCCTCAAAACTTTCCACCAAACTCTCCAGCAATGACTCCCCTTGCACCTCTACAATACCTGTCGTAGTCAAATCCTGTGCCATTGCGCGAATCTTTTTGATCTTTGACAGTATCAGATGTGCGAGTATTCCCACGGTCTCATCGTGACCAAGCATCAGTCTCCCAATCAGAATGGGAGGAATCGACATTGAACTTCGGTCTGAAGAAGTAGAACTCGGACTTTCAGGTCCGCCATTGTCACCGTTCCGAGGCTGACAGGGATTTTGGGTTCGATGGGCTTTCAGCTCTTTAACTCCAGTATCGTACCAGGAGATGATTTCGAACAATAAGAGGGTCAATGCACACCTGATTGTAGAGTCTGTGTGACATGGGCATTTCATGATGATAGTGGCTTCCTCGATAGCCCTCTCAGTTCTATCCAGAATGTATTCAATATTTCGGTAGAGAGCATTTGACTCTTCGTCGGGGTGTGAATCTGGAGCTCCAAACATGCAATTGGTAGCAGATTGCTTCTTGAGCATTTGAAAAGCCTCACATATTCGGCGGAAGCAGCTACCCGGAGCTGCTGGCAGCGAAGACGGTGTGGTAGTTGGGTTGAAGAGGAGAGCGTCCTCAACGGCTTTGGAGGTTGCCACCTCGATGTCCTTTCGTGGAGTTGGCAAATCTTCACTCTCAGACTCTGATTCTTCTTCAATGGCACATTCTGGCTCCGGCAGAGGAGGCCAAAGGTGGGAATCGATTGTGTTGGTGCGAAATGTGAGCTGTGACTCTGCAACACGCTGTTCATTTGGCGGAACGACGCCGCTTCCGCTCTGGCATGGTGCAAGATTTGATAAGATGTCATTTACCGATGGCCAAATGGGATCAGGTTCCGTGTGAAAAACAGTTGGTGTGGTCGCATATTCGAGAGCAGGGATAACAAAACCCCCATCAACATAGGAAGGCGATAGTGAATCCATTTTATTGGTATTTGCTGATATAGTCGGTGATATTCCTGGGTTCGTCTGAGCTTGTTCGAGCTTTGAATTGATATTCTCTGGCTTTTTTCGCTGTCTTCTTCTGCCTCCACGCTGAGAGGATGAGTAGACACATTTCCGGCCTTTGTTGATGCAGCGTTCACATTCTGGCTGCTGCCTCGGACAGCCAACCTTGAGCTTGGCGCAAGGGTCACAGCTGAGTTTCAGTTTTTGAGGAGTTGGCGTTGGGTTTCTTGATGAAAGTGAATTGGTATGCGTCGAAGAACTTTGACAAGCCGCCCCTTGAGGAGTTACAAACTTCATAGGTGAGGTCATCATGTTGGATGAGTGGTTCTCGTTTGAACTCGTTGCGCATCTCCCGTGCCAACGATTTATGGATCAGGCGGAGCCCTGTAGATGGGACAGCCCACTCGAGGACGGATTAACTGCTTAGAATTACCCGCAAACCATTCAAGCCGTCCGTACTTTGCCCCGTCAGGGCCAGGAGATCAACTAGGGGGGATTCTTCACAGCGGGGGTCAGTGCCCTCCGCAGGCCGACGGGCAAAAAGGTATAATTGAGCAGAGGATTTACACTCGAGATGCCTGGTTGAAATGCGTCTATTGTGCCATGAGAATATCATGGTGGAAGAATGATGCATCTCCTCGCGGCGACTGACCAATACTCTCTCTTACGTCCGTACATCGGTGGCTGCAGCCTTGTTCATCTATTCTTGGCCGACCATCCCGGGCCCGTCTCGGCGGGTTTCATAATACTAACTCATTCTCAACGGTGCGGTGGATTTGCTTTATCCCGTATCATCGTGAATTGTGCTCAAAATTGTCATAAACGTGGCCATAGCCATCTCAGTCCATTGGTGCTGCACCACTGAATGTTCTCGTCTCTGCGACTCTGGACGGTGAGGTGCAGAGACTCTGTTCTCTTTGGAATTTCCACGCTGGTAGACATCTGTGTTTATATGGCCTCGAGGAAGCGAAATGTGCATTTACCGGACCTCAAGGGAGCTATTGACTCGTGTCGATTGATGAACTACGATAGAAATCTGGGAAAAATTTAGCAGAATGGCTAGGGTCGCTATCAAAGCCCAAAGTAATGTCTCTCGTTTTCAATTTTATTCTTTTTTTTTCTTTCCATAGTACAGTATCTAGCCTTTTCTATCCCCCACTTGTAGGTGTCGTTTCTATGAAGTCCATGCCAAAACCTTCACTCCAGTCAACAATGTGGAAAAGTGTTATCCCATGATTTGCCTTCATCGAATCCAACATGGTCGAAATATATCCGTCATCAATATCCAGAGTAGCTGAAAGTAGTCCATGTCATCAAAAACAGCGTATGGCTTGGGTGTTTGAGCGAAGAACGAGTGAGTAAAACTTCCGTGACTTAAGCACCTCCGGCAGCGGCCTCGATGAACAACTTTTCTCTCTTGAGAAAGAATGAAAGGACAAGACCGAGGGCACCGGCAGTCATGCAGAGAATCCAGGCTTGATTGATGGCGTCAACGAAGACACTGTAGACTTGATTTCGCATCTCAGCCGTGAGGTTGGCGAAGAAGGCGGGATTGGTGCCTGAGATGGCAGCTACAACGGTTTCATGACTGGCAGTCGGGATCAGTGCCTCGATGTTCTCCACGGCACCCTCGATGAACAGTGTGTTTGCAATCGTCAGGGCGATGGTAGATCCCGTCAGTTGCCCACAGGTGATAAAGCCAGTGGCCAAGGCTTTCTCTTCCTTTTTAACCAAAGCTTGAGCAACTGCAAAGGATGCTTGAACGAATGAGCCGCATCCGATGCCCACCAGCACACTGTAGCCATATATGGCTGAATTGCTGGTACTCGGAGTGATTGTGTAGAGAAGAGCGCTTCCAGCTAGGGTCAAGGCGGATCCAAAGATGTACCACGGCCAGACAATGCCAGTCTTACTCATGATGCCTCCGTTCAACACGGAAAAAAGGATCAACATGAAGATGAACGGCAACATCTTCACACCGGCATCAAGAGCATTAACTCCATGGATAAATTGGAAGTAGAGCGGGAGAAAGTAGATCGGGAGAAATAGGGTAGTGGAGGCTGAAGCGATCTCCACAAATAAAATGACTAAGTCCTTGTTCAGGACAAATGGTACCGGGAACAGTCGCAGGTCCTTAGTTGTGAAGAAGCAGTAGGACTGTTGAACGGCGAAAAGAACCCAAAGGACCCCGGATAGGACAAACAAGGAGATGACTTGTCCACTGTTCCAAGGATAGATCGCATCGCCGAAGCTAATGCCCATGATGAGAGTGAGGAACGCTCCAATCGACAAAATGGCTCCTGTCCAGTCAAGGGTCTTCCACAGCGCCACGGTCGATTCGTTAGGTCGTGGCTTGCTGGCTGGGAGGAGGAAGAAGTAGACTGGTGCGCAGACACCTCCGACCAAGAGATTGATGTAAAAAGACCATCGCCATCCAGCGGAAGACTCCGTGAAAGCCCCGCCAACAATGGGACCCAGTGCAGTTCCGGCACCCCAGGTGAGACCGGTCATACCGATGTACATCGGGCGTTCCTGGTCTGTGGTGAACGCCGACAGCAATGACATGACTCCGATGTACATGCCCGCGCCCCCAACACCACAGAGAGTCCGACCGACGATGAGAGCGTTCATGGTAGGGGCTGCTCCGCACAAAGCGGAGCCAGCCTCAAAAATGAAGACACACACCATGTACAGGATCTTGCCGTCAAAGAGGCTGTACAGTTTGCCGTAGACCAAGTTCATGCTCACACCGCCAAGGACGAAGCCAACTGCAATCCACGGGAGTTTTTCAAGAGAATTAAATCGCTGAATGATGGCCGGTTGAATGACTGCAACGATGGTATTGTCCAACGAGAAGAGAAAGGTTGAGGACAGAATCGAGACCACCACCAGTCCCCATAGTATGCCGTGGACTTTTCGAGGTGCCGACTGGTCTTCTTTGCTGTCTGTACTCGAACCTGAGCTGCTTATGCCTTGGACCTGTTGACTTTCTTTTTCCAAATCTGCGGTGGGGTTTAGAACAGGTGGTGGCTCTTCAGTGACCTTCTCGGTCTGGAAGTTGGTTGCCATTGTTGCCAAAGTGGTCTCTGAGCACACGGAGGCTTCAGTGATCACAATGGAGAGGCTGCCGATTGATGCTTGAATGATAATCTGAAAGGGATGTTCACGAAAACACCAGTTTCCCGATTTTATCAATGAATAGGTCGTTGTTGGCGCTGACATATCACGGCGCAAGAAGACCGGATTCCATTTGTGCACCTGGTTGAGTTGTGTACGGTTTCGGCCTTCGCTAGGTGTGTTTTTGCTGGAAATTAGTAATGCCCCGGCTTGGATGTCAATTTGGGGCCGAAGCAAGGAGACGCAAATCAGTTGGTGCAGATCTTCAGATACTCACTACTGTCTAGCATGTCGCTTTACATCGATTAGGCTGTAGTGTGGTTCGAACACAACATGGGAGACTTGCAAGGTGCATTGGCTAGGGGGCCCAATGGGAGGCCAAGAAACCCGCCGAAGGGGAGCGGGACACCACCGCTGCGCGGATGCCTTGGCTTCAAGGCCAAGCAGGGTGTAGACAGATGCAGCACTCGATTGGCCATCACGGGAGGTGGATGATCTTCAGATCTGCACGGAGGCGAGTTCAAGATGCAAGTGGAATTGAACGTATGAAACTCCGGACCGAAGGAGATTCCATATCGTGGCCTCTGGCGGAGCTAAGTTTATCCGAAGAGGGAGGCTCAGCCTTGTCTTACGGCCGCAAGGTTGGCGCGTCGCAGTAAATTCTGTGCTCTTGCTCTCTGCAGTGATGAGGACAGTGCTACATTTTAAATATTATACGAATATAGTATGGACGGCGCTTTGCAGCAGATTTGCCTTTCTCCGGTGGATGTATTCACGTCCAAGCGAGAACACCGCCGTTCGTGAATAGTAAAGGCGCCGTTCTCCGACGGCATGGTCTGTTTCCGAACGGGCCAAGCCATATGGGGATTAATACCATACAATACACCCAGTTCGGGACCTGCCTGAACCGTTCCAGAATATGGCGTTGTCATTCGTGAATGGTGGTATTTTTGATAAACATGAATAGCGAGATCTACCATTTCACAAAGGCTCTCTATGTTAGATGGAGTTACTTCTGATTTGCTAACAAAAAGCGTGTAAACTCGAAGCGTCCACAGACTGGATCCGATGGGTGGTGGCCCGGAAAATGTTTAATCCGGAGGGTGGTGGTCCGGAAAATGTTTAATCCGTTGGGGATGGGTGGTCCACAGACTGGAATACCACTGCCCATCGGATCCAATCTATGGATCACCTCGACGTCGAGGCCCGTCCGTTCACGCTCGGTTACGAAGCATCTCGAGTGTGATCAGTAGAACTTGTCTGAGGCGGTCCACAGACTGGATCCAATGCGTGGATCATGTCGATATCGACATCTATCGGGTAGGGTGCCCCCTCGGCCACATGGTCCACGGATTGGATCCGATGACGGTGCGGCAAGGGGAGTGCCCACGTGCACACGCGATACTGCCAAGCCATATATTTACGTGATTGGCCAGAACGTCGCTCTTGGCGTCGCCACACAACGCCAAGCCCTAACCAGGCGATTCCAAAATTAAAAAATAAATTCAGTATCATGATTTGATTTGATTTAGATTTATCTAGATATAATTTATCTAGCCTGTTCCCGTATGGTTTCAGGCTAATACAGAACGTTGTGAAACTTGTATTAGCCTAAGGCTGTTCCTGTACGAATGACGCTAACGGAGAACAGCGATTGTTCTTGCTCGGACTGGAACAGATGTCTCGCGCGATTCAAGCATATACTTCCAGAAAGCGAAGCAACACGACGTGTCACAATACTTTGAAATTGTCATCGAGAGAAACTATAGAGGCGCGGAGATTTCGTTGAGGCACCCCGCTTGACTACTGAAGTGGATGTGCCGAGCAAAACTCTGGCGCGCCCAAACTGACATCGAGAAGACTGAAAGACGCGAGTTCAATTTGCTGAAGGACAAAATGATTAAAGCAATATACTAGCCCTGATACATCATTTGCAACGCATGCGTACTCTCATGAGGCTAACTATTACTTGGGACCCACTTTTGTTTCACCACCAGTTCTATCCCTGGAACAGCCACATATATCGAACCTTGTAATCCGATTGACCGATTCCTCCACACCTTGAATTCAGTTGTCGTCTGCAGGAGCAATGACGCGAGAGATGCGAGTCTCCACAGCCATCTTACCCTCATGGAGCAAAAATCTGCCACTTCCAACAAAGCAGCCTTTGCCGAGAGCAGCCAAGGATGGGTGACCAGCTTCGATGCTAATGGAGGAGGTGATGTTGCCGAAAGGAGTGGTAGCGGCATTGGGAGCTTGTGTGAAGATAGCCGTCATCTTGTCGTCGATGTCGGCGTGGCCGGTCCAGCTGACGTAGACCATTGCTCCCTCGGTGGTCTTGACCACGGCTTTAACATTGACACTGGCGTGCTCTTTGGAGGAGTCGATGTAGAGGTAGTCGGCAGCAGTAACGACTTCGCCTTCGATCTTAGGGCCAGCAAAGTCATCAAGAGTAGTCATTTGGCCGGCATTTAGTTGATAGACGGCGAAGTCGCTCCCATTGGCCAGTTGTCCTACGCGGTTGGCGCCGGTCACCCACATGATGAGGTTGTAGGCCGGCTCGAGCTGGCAGAATCCTGTAGCAGGCATGGCTGGCTTGTTTGCAACGGGGATGGTGGTAGGTGGTGGTTCGAGAGTGGTTTTCTCAACTACTTTCTCAACTGGACCGGGTGTTGAGGATTTGAAGATGCTCAAAAGACTTCGCATGGGGTTCGAAGACTGAATTAGCTGTTCGTAGTTCATCGTCATCGCTCAGGCCGCAAGGCGACTTTATTGTTTTCGAGAGTCACTGCAAAGTCTGCATTCATCTGCGCCAACGACCGCATGGCTTACTTTGTTGACAAGTTGATGTCGGGGAAAATGGGAAGTTTCGTCGGCACGTTGGCGGTTCGCGAGCCTGGAAAAGACGATGGAGTTGAGAGCGAGGCTGCGCCCCCCTGAAACCCACCGACAAGATTGGTCCCGAAATGATATAATTGGGCTTTGATCTCTCCGACCCCACTACCCGCGCTGCCTTGACTCGCACCCACTTCGGGAGATTCGAGATATCTCCTCCGCCCCGGTACATGTCGTTCACGACATACCACTCTAACAAATATGAGCAGGTGTACAACAGCGGACTTACCTTTATGTTTGCATTCTTGCCTCTCCTCGAAATTTTGCCGCACCATAACTCGGAGTTTTCTCTTGTAAATTGACTTGACCGTCCTCGCAACTCCCATCAGTGCCAACCGTCAACATGCAGCCCTCCACATCCCATGGGCCGACCACGTCGCTCAGAGTCCCCTCTCCTCTCCGAAGCCTCTTCACAAGCAAGTCCTCGACGGAGCCGACCTATGTCATATTTCCCATTCTCAGTGCTATTTTCTTCTACCTCCTTTGGGTCGTCATGTATCAAAACGGTTCGGCAGACGCCATGAACGCAGCAGTCGAAGCTGCTTCCCTACCTAACGGCATGGCCCTCAAAGTTCGCTACACTGGGATCCCACCCATCGACGGTCTCCTCGCCATCTTGGTTGCATTCACCTATCCCGTAACCGACGGTCACGACAAAGCCTCTTGGCTACTGATGGTTGATATTGTTTCCACGCTCCAAACCGGCCTGCTCTGGGCCTACATGGAATCGCTGAGATTTGGGCGCAAGACGGCTTGGATGGCATATCCATCACTCGTATATTTGGCCGTAAATGCCATGGGTGCTGCTGCCATCTTGCCCATGTATTTCTACATCCAACTGCGCAACCACCCCGGCGAGCACTATATCCAACTATGGAATGCGAAACCACTGATGTTTTCAGTCGCAATTGGAGGACTGTTGCCTGGGCTGGCTGAGATCGCGAGACCGTTATTCCCCGCTTCGCCTCTCGAACACCAGAACATCATTGCAATCATGCAAGTCTCGCCTTTGATGGTCTCAGCTATCCAATACGTGGCATCGAATCTCTATCCAATCCGCAACATTGATGTTCGCACGAGAAAGACGGCGTATGTGCCTTCAGTGCAAAACGCTTTGGTCTTGGGTGGCATTGTCTCGGCCCTGTCGCATCTGGTCATCGTGGGCTACGTTCTTCTCGGGGGCCAGTCGCTGCTGTCGATTTATATGCCGAACTACAACAAAGCATTTCAAGCCCAGGGCGAAGCCAAGCTTTTGGAGGGCTCACGGCTCTTCCTGCAGTATGACTACATCGGAATCACGGCCAGTGTGTTGCTGTGGTGCTATTACCTTGTGATAGGTCTTAGTGGTGTGGATAAAACTCTATTACTCATAGGACTGGTGGCGGGAGATCTCATATTGGGTCCAGGGGCCGTTGCTAGTGGAGTCCTTTGGTGGAGAGAGCACAAGATGTTGGAACAAACGCAAGCAAAAAAGAAGGCAATATAGACAGAAAGAGGCAGCAAGATAACTTTATCAAGATGACAATAAATTGGATACGAAGTGCTAGGATATAGGATGAGCTGTTCTGGGCAGGTTTTCGCCGGGTCACCCAGCACGGAAATAGGGTCCAGGGTTTGAATAGAATCAAAAACACGGTAGCCACAGAGAATTTACCGCCTCTTCCGCGAAATCACTCTCTTTTTCAAATTCAATCCATTGGGCCTCAAGAAGATACACGGTTGCACAAAGCCTGCTATTACGCAACGAAAGAGCACAGCAATCAGAACATTCACCTGGAGAATATCGAAAAGAGACATGGGTGCCAGCAACTGACACTCCTAACAACGTTCGGACGAGTCATTCACTTGTGCCCGAAATACTCTTTGCCATTCCCCCCTCCCCTTGGGCCCCAAAGTGGCAGATCGTCACCGCTAGGTATAGAATATGACTGGCTGGCAAAACTGCTACGGCACTGCATCAATCACCCTTGCCACCGTTCGGCGGGTTCGGTCAGTTTTTCAGCTTCGCTTCAGTCGGCCCATAGCAATGGTTCGCTTGAACGATCAGGGTTGACTCCTTCTTTCTGATGCTCCTCAAGGTCCGATTATGGTCTGATATTACTTGAGTCGTGATTATGCTGTAGGAATGACGACTGTGGACTGTATGTTTCAACTACTCTAAATCTCTAGGAAATCCAGGCATTGCGGACGACAAAATGAGGCTCCTTTGTTTGCACGGTTATGGCACCAACGCCAATGTCCTCACAAATCAGCTTTCCACATTCTTTTCCGTCGCCGACAGCAGTATTGAGCCGGTCTACATTGAGGGTGAGGTCGAATGCCCCAAAGCCCGAGGTATGAAATGTCCATGGTCAAGCTCACATCCTCTTCCCCGTACATGTGAAGGAAGGAGAACTGATCAATCGTCCCATGCCTTAGGTCTGGGTGCCTTCGCTACCGGCCCCTTTAGCTGCTACTACGACAACTTCGCGCCCGAATCGGTGAAGCGAGCGCACGAAATGATTACGGAGGTCATCGAAGAAGACGGACCCTTCGACGGCATTCTCGGTTTCAGCCAAGGTGCCTCGCTCGCCGCTGCATACCTGCTACAACACGAAATCGATCGACCTGACACGCCTCCACCGTTCAAGTTCGCCATGATATTCTCGAGCATCATCTCATTCACGCCAGACGAATCCTGCTGTCGCGAAATAGTGGATCATCTGAGCGACAAAGACGTCGAGCAATTGGCAGGGTTTCCCGATGCAGATTTCTCGGCCTTGCCCCAGGATGCAAAGACACTGTTCCAGACCATGGCGAAGGCCCTGAGTGCCGGGGTCGACGGCGGGTTTTTACACGGGCATCCGGACCAAGAGGTGTTTCGAAGGAGGGATGCGGCGTTGATCCCTCGGATCCTTCATCCAGAGCTGATCAAGCAGCGAATTCGGGTGCCAACGGTGCATGTGGTGGGGAAAAAGGATAACCCGTTCATGCTAGAGCAGAGTCAATTGGTGTATCGATTGTGCCAGGAGGGCATGGCGAAATGGCTGGAGCACTCGGCTGGTCACGATGTGCCGAGGAACGTGGCTGAAGCTAAGGAGGCAGTCAAGGCTATGGAATGGGCTGCGAAAGAAGGTGAGGAGCAGTCGGTGCTGTGCAGATTGTAAGTCAGGCATGGCCCGCAGGTGGCGAGGTGTCATGGTGAGGTGCCGTGGTGAGGTGGTCCATCTGTTGGAGAAAGTGCTTGGAACTTCGGCTACGTGCTCTTGTTGCTGTCGACGGACAAAGAAGATGAGATCCAAGGAGAGGTGGAGCAGAATTTCAACGCCCATAGGAGTGCTCATGGTGGGTATAGCGGGCCAAAAAGAGACGGCTTTACAGAATCATGTTTCCATCGTGTGGACAGGGCTAGGTGTGCCGTTGTATGATGGAGGAGCAAGTCGCCCCGTACCGAGTGAGAACCTCCAATCGTCGCTGCACCGGGTATCATACAGCCTTCAGGTCTCAAGGCATTTGCATTTAGAAGACTGGGTTCCCTTTTGCATGCTACGTATCAGCTCTGGAGTTTCCGAAGACCCTTCTTGTCTCCGAATCTAGGGAGAGCAGCATATGAAACTTGCTTCTTCGTTGCCAAACTGAAACCGAATCCTTGGAAGATTCATCATCACAAAGCGAGTTTCGCCTTTGCATCTGAGGATTTTCAAGCCCCCAGACTCTCGACTAATTGATTAGCATTGAAGTAGGGATCTCTTTATCGTCCGTGATCATGATGCTTTCTGCGATGCAGGAAATCCGAAGTATAGCCACGGTCACCGAAGCAGAAACCCCCGGTCTAAATATCTGTACCTCCAATGTATGCAGGGCACAGGTAGCCGTACAAGGGTGATCCCAGGAATATCTTAGGAGTCCAGCACCCCGGAATCCCGATGGAACTGCAGAACTGATACTAGGAACGAATGGAAAGTCTTTACGTCATAAAGTCATGGCCTTCTAGGATCGCTTCTTGTTTGTTTTTATTTCCTAGGTTGGAGACTCCCCTCCCCCCACGTCGCGCTCTCGGCATGATACTGACACAGTTCGGTTAGCTTTTCGGCGTCTGGAAAGGCCGACGAGCCTGCGGGATTCAATTCGTGGATCTGACGGATTCTGACCCTCGTGGATGTCAACGTTAGATTGCTACTCTAGGTTCGCCACTCCCTTCTCAAGTATAGTGGGGGGGGAACTGAGATTCGGTCTCAATGTGTCCGAGTTTTGATTGTATGGCACCAATTCGTTTTGTAGCGTCCTCTGTCAGGTGCGAAAGACCCTGATCGACCCTCAAGATATTATTCAGGGCGATCCGGGTTTGGAGGACATTCACCTCTAGCCGTTTGAAGGTCAAAACATTGTCGAGGTTGGATTGTGTAGATGGAAGTCCACATTGGATCAGCAACTCACATACTTCCACAATCTTCAACACCATCGCCACGACAAGGACTATGACGGACTGGTTGACTGATCCAGATCCCGTGGGGGGAACAGGTACCGGATCCAGAGATAGAAACACGCTCGTGTCTGTATTGGACCCCACCGCCGCGTTGTACTGGGTTTTTAGTACTTTGCAGGCTGCTGTACAACTGTCGTCGACAATTTTGAGAATGGATTCGACTTGGTCCTTGGAGCAATGCGAGGGGACATATCCCATAATCATGCCTGTTTGGATTGTTTCATAGCATTTCTGAAGCCGAGACGTAAGACCGAGAAGATTCGAATACGAGTCTTTAGATAACGTATTGCCGTCACTGGCCGAACTGGGTGTGCCAGGTATGGTGATCGGTGTGTTTGCGAACGATGTCAACGCAGACATCCAGGAATTGGCTCCGTTAGGGTCTCCATTAAGTGAATCCAAGCTGGACTCACTGGCACTATGCATCCGATGCTGCATGCCATTCGATCGAGGAACTTGGTCAAAAATGCTCGCATCACTGCTGATTTGGCTGAAGTCGGTCGGTGAAAAGCTCATACTCATATCCATGTCACCCACGTCAAAAGCCGGTGCACCGTTGATGTCCAGGAACCCGTCTGAGAATCCCCTTTCGAGACTGTCTGTGGTGGCTCGACGCATAGCTGGTTTCGCAGGTTGTCGCTGCGGCGGCGGCTGTTGTTGCTGCTGCGACTGTTGCGGACTCGGCCAGATGGCGTACATTGGTGCGGGAGTAGAAGATGGTGACTGTGTAGAGCCTGTATTTGGCCTCGATGTGGAGAAACTTCCTGGTTCAGAATCGAGCGTCATCTTCTCATTTTTGGCTATGGCCGCTGCAACGGCACTGGAAATGGCCGCAGCATTCGCCGAAGATTTTGGCTGGGGGCCTCCAGGCTGAGTGAATTTTGGCCGGCCACTTTTGTTTCGAGGCAGAAAGAAACAGAGCCGACTGTTGTTCTGACAACTCTGGCACGATCCCCCTTCATGGGGAATATTGCATCGAATCTTTCGGTTATGACACTCTTCACAGGCGTTTCGAATATTGGGCACCGGAGAGCAATCGGATCTCGGCTCTGAAGTCATTGTTGCACGTGCAGGATCAGTGAACAGTGAGGGAATCTGAGGATTCGAGGTTTGACCTTCGAACCCGAGTTCATGGATGCTGGCATGGGGGTGGTTCTTGTATGTCTCTGAGATGATGGCGTACTGTCAGGTCCCACGAAAACGAACTTCGCAATCCTAACCCATAACTTTCACTTTGGGCCTAGCTTGCAGCTAGGAAGCTGCCCTTGAAGGCTGTCATTAACAATCCACATCAACAATCTTACCACTGCAGATCTTTTACAGGCTCAAGAACATGCAGAATTGGTCGGAAGAGTGTCAAGTGACGGGGCTGAACATGCACATGGTCCCGGATGAACGAGAGACAACAAACGACACGTTGGCAGGCAAATCGAATCGCGTTGGAAGCCAAGCGCGGGTCCCCTGGATGGGGACGAGGCGACCAGGGGGACCCGATGGACAGGGGCCAAGGGAAAGAGTGGGCATCTCGAACCGGGGCATGCTTTCCATCTCCCACTCGGTGGATTTATTCCTGCTACCTAATGGGAGTGTAACTACAGTGACGCGGTGGATCAGACAGCGCGATTCAACACGAAAGTTTCTGATGTCCGATTTCCCTTTCCTCTCAGCCAACTCTGGCAAATGCTTAAACATATTGACCTCAACAACCTCCGCCGACGGGCTTTGATGCAACAACATCGAGGACCTTAAGGAGATTTTCTAGCCTGGCAGAGCTCGAGAATCAGTACTAGGAGGTCCCTGCGGATGCCGTCCATGTGTTTAAGTCATGGTGCAGCAAAATCGAGCACTCTAGCTTCGACAGGACAATTCAAATCCGCCGAGTGGTTTGCCCGTCAACGTGGGACGAGCCCACCTTGCTAAGATAAAAGCTGTACATCCCTGGAGGATCCAGAAGCTTGTTCATTGAATGATGCAGGGCCAAAGGCCATCATCCAGTCAAGGCCAAATCGTCGGTACATGAAGGAAAACGCGCACCAGGCCCTCTTCAGAGAGATTGACGGCATTGATGAAATCGCCCATGAAGCTAATTTGCAATGGGCAGGCTTGGAAACAGCACATCTCCTCATTCACCTCGCCATCGACTTGGTATGAGAACTGTGTTGTCCACTCCGTATTCCCCTCTTCTCTCCAATTGATTGGAACAGATGTATCATGTTCGATAAACGAGCCAATAAGCGATGAAGTATTCGCTACAAAGAAAATGTTGGTTAGTGATCCACCTGATTCATGTATGTTCAGTCGCTAATATAGACGTATTTACCTCCGGCCACCTTGTCCACATTCAGAAGCGAATATGTCCTAGGACGGGCGATCTCCCGAATAGTAGTATTCGAGATCTTCTACCCCAAAAGGTAAGTAGATGACAGGTAGGGAACAATTCCTTCTAGGGTGGGAGACTTGTCTCCAAGTTGGAATCCCTGGCTCAATTCTGCAGGGACGAATCCATTCAGGTAGGGAGTATGAAGAAGGTCAGGATGAACGTGGAAAGACACCATTTTCGTACGTACCTGGTTGATCCCCCCCGCGCCTCCCCCCCATCCTAGGAACCGAGTATTCCCTTTTCCTCCTTACCCACCGAGACTGTCTCTTCCCCCGACTTCGAATCTGTGTATACCACCATGCCTCCCCCTGCTGATTGCTTATGTTCGTCGACCGGCGTGACGATTTCAAAGTCAGGAATCTGGTGGAACCCTTTTCACGGCTCCGGAGGCTTCATCGCCGACTTACTCCACGCCTCGGCCCATCAGAAGCCTGCGAAGAAGCCCCCGGGTGCATAAGGTCTGGCAATGCAGATCCCTCCCTCCTCAAGTAAAGATCCATATGACTGGACAGGGTGGCCATCCAGTCGGTAACGTTTGAAATGAATCCGAAGTAGCAAAACAGGCACAGGAACACGCCTTAGGAAGTGGCTAGAACCCGACAATTGGTCTGGTCCCTCCGATACGACACCTTATTTCGCTCCATTTGCTCTGATCAGGAGCAACCGATCCCTGTAGAAACTCCGTCCCAACTCGCCGAAGGAGCCAAGCTCTGAAGAGTCGGTTGATTGGGACTCCGGTCCTCAGCCTTGCAGCGACATCACGGAACCCGTCATTCGCAGCCTTGTCACCACTTCAGGCACAAATGCCCACGATATAGATTGAGCGGTGCCATGGCCACTGTGGTAGACTCTCTGTCATCACGACTCTTCCACCTTCCTCCTCTCGGCGGACAAGAAATGGTAATTGCATTGATGACAAAGACAGTTCACCCGTCCACTCTTTGGTTGAGCACTTGATCATCATCCCCGCTCTCCTGTATCAAAGCAACCATGGCACACATTGACGACAAGATTGAGCCAATCGCCATTGTTGGCTTGTCTTGTCGCTTCCCCGGAGATGCCTCGAACCCAAACAATCTGTGGGATATGATGAGCAATGCTCGACGAGGACACTCCAAGATCCCGGCCGACCGATTCAATGCTGATACTTGGTATCATCCAAGCCACGACCGACGAGGAGCAGTACGTCTCCCATCGTATACATCTTTGTTCTTTCGGTCAATACTGACATCATTCTAGGTCAATGTCAAAGACGGCTTCTTCCTCAAGGAAGATGTTTCTCTCTTTGATGCTCCATTCTTTTCCATCACCGCAAAAGAAGCATCGGGCATGGACCCCATGCAGCGCCTTCTCCTCGAGGTCTCCTATGAAACTTTTGAAAACGGTCTGGTGGCCTTCGCGGAACGCGTCTGTGTACTTTGACTAACTGAACGTTAGCTGGTGTCCCTATCGACCAACTCGTAGGCAGCAAGACCTCCGTCTTTTGTGGCTGCTTCACGGGCGACTACGATTTGCTTTCTAACCACGACATTTTCGACCACGCACCAAATGCCGCGACTGGCACTGGACGAGCCATGCTCTCCAACCGCGTCTCCTGGTTCTATGACTTGAGAGGGGCCAGTTTCACGGTCGACACGGCTTGTTCGTCCAGCTTGTATGCTTTGCACTCCGCCTGCCAGTCCCTGCGCCTGGGGGAGTCGAAACAGGCACTGGTAACGGGGTCCAACCTTGTTCTATACCCGAGCATGATGCATTCTCTCACAAACATGCACTTCCTCAGCCCTGATGGTATCTGCCACTCCTTTGATGATCGCGCCAACGGATATGCAAGAGGTGAAGCGATCGGTGGCCTTCTCTTGAAGCCCTTGAAGCAGGCCCTGACAGACGGAGATACTATCCGTGCAGTTATCCGCGGCAGCGGTGCCAACCAAGATGGAAAGACACCGGGAATCACGCAACCATCACCTGAATCTCAGGCGGATCTCATCCGTTTCACCTATCAAGAGGCGGGTTTGTCATTCAATGACACCGGCTATTTCGAAGCACATGGAACCGGCACTGCTCTCGGTGACCCGATGGAGCTCTCTGCCATTGGCCAAACCTTTGGTCGCGCCAGAGAGGCCAGCAAGGAGCCTCTGTACGTCGGAAGCATCAAGACCAACATCGGTCACACCGAGGGGTGTTCCGGTCTTGCCGGCGTGATCAAGTCGGTGCTGTGTCTGGAAAAAGGGCTCATCCCCCCAAATGCAGGCTTTGAGAAAATCAATCCTAAACTCCGTCTCGATGACTGGAAACTTGCCCTTCCCATGTCTACAATGCCATGGCCTTCTCCCGGCCTCCGCCGAATCAGTGTCAACTCCTTCGGATATGGAGGTGCCAATGCCCATGTCATTCTGGATGACGCTTACCACTACATGAAGAGTCGCGGCATCATGGGCAACCATAGCACTGCCGTCGAGGACGAAACTGGCTCCGATTCTGGTGTGAGCGTGGGCGGCGCCAGCACTCCACCATCCCACCCCGATGTGTCCTCCAGATCGGGAGACAAAAAACTCTTCGTCTTCTCAGCTCAAGACCAGGCAGGTCTACCACGGATGGCGGCTAAGTACCGTGACTCACTTGTCGACAAGGCCGACAAGGAGACGAAGGAGTCTCTTGGAGATCAAGCAGCCTACCTCGATGACCTGGCTTATACTCTTGCCAGCCGCCGAACGAAATTCGATTATCGCAGCTTTGCCGTTGCCGACTCAACGAGCACCCTTGCTGCCTCCTTGACCAAAGGCCTTCCCAAGCTTAAGAGAGCATCAAAAGATGACAACATCATGTTCGTCTGCACTGGTCAAGGCGCCCAGTGGCCTCAAATGGGCCGACAGCTCCTCTCGAACCCAGTCTTCCGAGCCGCGACTGCCGAATCGCAGAAGTACCTCGAGAGCTTTGGCTGTGAATGGGACGTTTTCGAGGAGCTCGAGAAGGAAGGCTCGGAGAGCCGCATCGACTCTCCAGAATTCAGTCAACCCATCTGCTCCGTCCTTCAGATTTCTTTGATTGAACTGCTACGCCACTGGGGTGTTGTTCCCAAAGCAACTGTTGGACACTCCAGCGGTGAGATCGCCGCCGCCTACGCCGCCGGCTATCTCAGTCATGAGGATGCGATCAAGATTGCCTACTGGCGAGGGGTCTACTCTGCCGATGTGGGCAACCGCCTCGGTGATCGAAAAGGAATCATGATGGCTGCAGGCGTTTCCGAGGAAGAAGCCCAAGAATATCTGAAGCAAGTCCCTGAAGGCTCCGCGGTGGTGGCTTGCATAAACAGCCCGTCCAGCGTGACGCTCTCGGGCGACGACTCATCGGTGTCTGAACTGGAGCGCCTCCTTCAAGCCCAGGGCAAGTTTGCCAGAAAGCTTCGTGTCAAGACAGCATACCACTCACCACACATGCAAGTCATTGCCGACGACTATCTCAAAGCTATGGGCGATCTCACACCCCTGAAAGGAAATGGAGCCGTCATGTACTCGTCTGTCTCGGGCAAGCTGGCAGCTCCAACTGAGCTTGACGCTTCCTACTGGGTCAGAAACATGGTGAGCGCCGTCCGATTCAACGACGCTGTGACGGGTCTCCTGTTGCACTCGCAAAGCAAGGGACGACGAAAGACTCCCGTCAAATGGAGTGCCGCAATTGAGGTGGGTCCCCACGAAGCTTTGAAGGGACCTGTCAACCAAATCATGGCTGCAGTCGACAACAAGCTCTCTTCAACCATCACCTACGCCGCTCCCGTCCTGCGAGGAAAAGACGCTGAGATGACTGCATTGGAAGCAGCTGGTCACCTATGGGCTTCTGGCCACACCATCGACTTGGCCAAAGTCAACGGACAGGATAATCAGCTGAGCAAGACGAAGGTGCTTTCTGATCTGCCAACATATCCTTGGAACCATTCTAAGGGGTTCTGGTACGAGCCTCGCATGACCACGGCCAAACGATTCAAGAAGGAACCTCGAACAGATTTGTTGGGTGCACCAATTGACAACCAGAACGATCTCGAGCCACATTGGCGCAACATTCTCCGAATCCCAGAGAATCCTTGGATGGCCCACCACGAAATCACCGGCACCATCCTGTACCCTGGTGCTGGTATGCTCATCATGGCCATCGAGGCGGCCCGCCAACTGGCTAATCCGGAAAAGACGTTAAAGGGTATTGAGCTTCAAGACGTTACATTTGGCCGAGGCTTGGTCATTCCATCCGCAGATGAAGCCGTCGAGACATCCCTGAGCCTCCGGCCCTACAAGGCTTTGCCAGACTGCTACAGCTGGACCCTCTTCTCGTTGCCCCCAGGCAGCAACAGCTGGACCGAGAACTCATCCGGCCTCGTCTCTCTTGTCTACGCTCCTAGCGAGGAAGTCGAGGATACGGAATGGCGGCACCACGCCGCCGTGTATGAGGACATCAAGAAGACCTCCACCAAAGATGTCAATATTGAGACCTTCTACAAAGATCTCCAAGCCATTGGGATGAACTACGGAACTTTATTCCAAAACCTGACACAAGCCCAAGCTTCTCCCGATACCCATCGTGCTCACGGAACCGTCACGATTCCCGATACCAAAGCGATCATGCCTCACAACTTTGAATATCCTCATTGGATCCACCCGGCCACGTTGGATGCCATCTTCCATCTACTATTCATTGGATTCACAGCCGGTGAGCCCATGAAAGAAGCCGCCGTCCCCATCAACATGGAGAAGATGTACATTTCTGCCAACACCCCTCAGGGAGCCGGTGCCAAATATGTGGGATATACGGAAGGCACGATGATCGACGGTCGAGATCTGGCTGGCAAACTTGTTCTTTCGGATGAAGAATGGTCTGAACCCAAGGTCATCATCTCCATCGCCGCAAGAGAAGTCTCTTCTCACGACAGTGGGAGCCACGCCGATGACAACTCTGATGAGACCAAGCGGACTGCCGTCCCTATCTGGAAGGAGGATCTCGATATCATGTCTACCAGTGAGGCCGAGAGCTTCCTAAAGGTTAATGGTGGCGAGAGCAATTCACAATTGGCTCTTCTCCTTGATCGAGCTTGCCATAAAGACGCTGATTTGCGAGCACTATTCTTTACCACGGACGTGTCTTCGGATCTCAACGAGGCTCTTCTCAAGTTGGCCCCTCTGAATAACCAACGACTGCGATTCCAGCAATGTACTGTGGTCAGTCAGAATCAAAGCACTCTCGACACAATGAAAGCCCAGCTCGACTCTGATGGCTTGTCGATTACTTACAAGACAATCGACCTGGATGCAGCCGTTTCTGAACAAGGATTCTCGACGGAATCCTATGACTGTGCCATCATCGGCGCATCAGACTTCAGAAGGACAGCCACTGCCCTCAAGCCACTCGTCGCACAAGGAGGCAAGCTGATCATCACCGGCGACAAGCCTGCGGATGTTGCAGGCCGTGAAGCGTGGCACTCAGCTCTTGCTGAAGCCGGTAACTACGATCTCGGACTGTGCATGGAGAATGAAAAGACGGTGCTTGTCACAGGCTTTGTTGGATATGCCGAAGAGTCAACGTCAGAGCTCCAGGACCTCGTCCTTCTCAGAAGAGCCGAAATCAGCTCCGGCCTTTCCATCCTCTTGGACAAGCTCGTGGAGAAGTTCTCCAGCAAGGGCTTCAACACACAGGTGAGTATGTCCATTTCCCATCCGAAAGAACTCTGGGACCGCTGACTTGATATTTTTCTCCTTTTCAGATTGCCACATTGGACGCCGCTGTGGACGTTAAGGACAAAGGCGTGCTTTCGTTCTTGGAAGCGGAGACCCCCTTGGTCATCAACTGGACCAGTGGTGAATTGGAACACTTCAAGCGAATCGTCGCCTCGAATCCCTACATGCTCTGGGTCACCCGGGGCGGACAAGTGATCACTCGAGACTCGATCCCGTTCGCCGTTGCAACGGGTATGCTGCGGACGGTGCGCACCGAAGTTCCACAAATCACCCTGCCGCACATCGACCTCTCTCCCGGCGCGAATTTGGAAGCAGACACCACCATCGACTTGGTCCTCAAGGTCTTTGACTCTACGGCTCGCGATAGTCCCAAGACTCCCGAAATGGAGTATGCCGAGACTGACGGCAAGGTCATGATCTGCAGAGTCATTGAAGACAAGAGCATGGATCGCGAGCTGGAGCTCTACTCTGTGAACGTCAGACCGGTGATGGCTCCTCTACACCAAACCAACAGACCCTTGAAGCTGGCTTACGACGGTCAATCTGGAGCGGCCAACATTCGTTGGCTCGACGACGAAGAGCCTGCAGCAGAACTTGCGCCATCTGGCGTGGAGATTCAAGTCTCTGCCATCTCCCTGACGGAGAACGATCTCCCCTCGATCTCCAAGGGCTCTGTTGGTCGCGACGCCGCCGGGACCGTCACTCGCGTGGGATCCGACGTTTCCGAATTTAAGCCCGGCCAACAAGTCGCCGTCATCGGGTCAGGAACATGCAAGACTCACCTGTCTCAGGACAAGTCTCTGGTCCGCGCGATTCCAGCCGGCCTGTCTCCCGAGACAGTAGTGGGCCTGCCCATCATCTACGCCGCGGCCTATCACGCTTTATTCAATCTCGCACACATCAGCAGCTTGGACAAGGTCTTGATCGAATCCGCACACACGGCGTTGGGCCAGGCAGCCGTGCAACTCGCCAAGTCAACCGGAGCCGACGTCGTTGCGGCGGGCGACATTGCTTCCCGGTCAACACTCGTGAGTTACGGTGTGCCAGAAGACCATATCTTCGATGAGAGCAAGGAATGGCAACCTCAATTGGCCCGCTGGGTGGGTGGCTTTGACATTGTCTTCAGCTCTGCTTCAGGGAAGACTCTGAGAAGCCTGTGCTCGCTGGTCAATGACTTTGGTCGCTTCGTCAATATGAACTCCGACGCCGACGTGGACCAGCTCCACGCGACCATCTTCAAGCGCAACATAAGCTATGCCAACGTCGACTTCGACCACCTGGTCAACGCCAGGGGCTCGCTGATGAGCAGCCTCGTGACCAAAGTCTTCGACAAGCTCGAGGCCAAGGAAATTGGTTCACTTCCTCGGGCTTTCCAATCCGCTTCGGAGCTGAAGGATGCTGTCGAGTCCCTCGAGTCAAAGCAAACTCGAGGCATCATCACGCTCAACTTCGGAGAAGACGCAATGGTGCCAACGACTCCTGAGAAGCCGGCTCCGCTCCAACTCGACCCCACGGCAACATACATCCTCTCCGGCGGTCTGGGTGGATTGGGAGCCAACATTGCCGAGACCATGTTCCAGGGCGGGGCACGACACTTGGTATTCCTCTCTCGTTCCGGCGCCACCACTCCAGCGCAGAAAGCTCTTCTCGCTGGCTTCGAGGCTCGTGGATGCAAGGTTGACGCACCCCAGTGCGACATCAGTGATGCCAGCCAACTGGCCCAGATCCGCGCCACGGCCGCCGAAAAGGGTTGGCGCATCAAGGGCGTGATGCAATTGGCCATGGTGTTGAGAGTAGGTCTCCTTTTTTGCTCTTTCCTCATGTCGCGCGCTGCTGACATTCATTTCTCTTTAGGACTCCGTTCTCGAGAACATGACGTACGACAAATGGGTTGGCGCCACTCAATGCAAGATCCCCGGAACCTGGAACCTGCACACATACATGCCCGAGGACCTGGACTTCTTCATCGCCCTGTCCTCCGTCGTCTCGGTGATTGGAAACACCGGCCAAGCCAACTACGCCGCGGGCAACTCATACATCGATGCACTGTGCAATTATCGCCGAAGTCAAGGATTGGCCGGCACCAGCTTGAACATCGGCCTGGTCAACGACGCGACCCACTTCACGGCCGATTTCACAGTCGAAGATTTCCTCGCCCTCTATGGACACTTGGTGCCCGTGCAGGTGGCAGACCGAGAAGTCAACATTGCCATTGAGGCGGCGATGCGCGGTCACACTGCCGACGGTGTTACGGTGCCCCCACAAGTGGTTGTCGGCATCCGCGCGGACCTCGATCGCGAAGGGAGCGTGACGAGCTTGTGGCCGAAGGATCGCAAGTTCGATCACCGTGCCTCGACCAGCACGGACAGTACCAGCGGTGACGGCAAAGTGAAGCTGAAGACCGTCTTGTCCGGAGCGACGAGCGTGTCTGAAGCCACCGATGCCGTCGAAGACGCACTCAAGTCCAACGTGGCCAATTCCATGGGTTCGCTGCCGGAAGACGTCGACGCGGACAAGCCACTGCACTCCTTTGGCATTGATAGTTTGAAGGCGGTCGAAGTCCGCAATTGGTTGTTCCGAGAGGTCAAGGCTGATGTCTCGGTGTTTGAGATTTTGTCTCCCATGCCACTCAAGAAGCTCGCCATCATGATCGTCAGCAAGAGCAAGTTTGTCAATGAGGATGTGGCCAAGGGTGCCAGCGAGGAGCTGCGAGAATAGGAAGGATGAAGGAAACGAAAATTCCAAAGATCACAAGATTGCAGGATATGGAAATGTTTTGGAGGATTGATAGACATATAGAGAATGGAGTTGATGGGTATCATTTTGACATTAGGGAGACTAACAACATATTTGACATTCCCCCTTGTGCAAATTGTTTTTCTTCCCCTTTGAGATCCCAAAATTTCTTTTTGGGGGGGGACTGGGGGTTGGGGAACAAATATCTTCAATCTCTCCTTCTCTCTCCCGTTAGTGCTTCGACATCCTTCTTTATACCCAGACTGAATCTGCCATAATCGTGAATTTGGTATCTGCCTTGATGACAAACTGAGACGACCGTGATGATAGCTTTGAACTGGTAAGTTTATCGGAAGGATGGAGGGAATTATTGTGACCGGTGCCAACTGGCAATGGTGTCGCAGGAACCAAGAGATCTGTAGTCAATAAATCAGGAAGGATTTTCTCTATCCATATATATCTCTCCCTCTCCTCGACGTGCGAAGGGAGAGCGCCGTCAACCCGGGAAGGGATGTTCAACAAACGTGAGAATTCGCCTTAGCATTACCATCGTAAGGTCTATCCAATACTCACAGCCTCCTGCCACAATCTATCACGTTCTATTCCAAGCGACATCCTACCTATCCTCAATCCTGTTCCCCTGTTCATCGAATCTCACCACCCGCCCGGTGAGCAGACTCTCCTGCAACGCCCGCCCGATCTTCATGACCATGTACCCCGTATCCAGCGCAACAGGCACCGGTTTATTATTCAGCACACTGTCGACAAACTCGGCGGCCTCCGTGGCAAACGCATCCTCAAACCGCTGCCAATATTCAGGCTGCACCTCATGACGCATGCCCAACTTATCGGCCAGCACGACATTGTTCGACTTTGGAATCACGTTCACCATCACCTTGCCCTGTGTGCCCGTGACTTCGGTACAGACATCGTGGCCGTGCGACTGGGTGCGGCTGGAGTAGAAGTAGGCGATTTTGCCGCCGTAGAACTCGACGATACCGACGCCATTATCCACGTCGTTGGACTCGGCGAGTTCCGGATGGTGTTTGAGCGTGCCGACCGCGAAGCACGATTTGGGTTTTGGATTGTCCATGAACCAGAGGGCCAAGTCGATGTCGTGGATCGTACAGTCGACGAAGATCCCCCCGTTGCGTCGGGCATATTGGACGAAAAACCCCGTTTCGTCCAGCAAGTCGCACGTGTTGCTGCGGATGAGATACGGTTCGCCGATCGTGTGGGCTGCGACTTTCGCGTGTGCATCGCGGTACGAAGCGTCGAAGCGGCGGGAGAAGCCCGCCATGACTTTGAGGTCGGGTCGTGCTTGGGCGGCCTGGATGATAGTTTCGACCTGGTGGTGATTAGCGGAGCACATAATTGGAAAAGAGGCCCATCCGGACTACCTCATCCAACTTGGTGCTAAGTGGTTTCTCGCATAGGACATGGAGTCCCTTTTCCACTGCTTGGATGGTTTGACTGGCGTGAACGTCTGTGCTGGTGGAGATCCAGACGGCTTGAAGACCGGCGTGATTTAACATCTCCTCGTATGAATCGTAGGTTTTGATGCCGAAGTCGATGTAGTCGGGATTGTTGCGAGCCCATTCCACTTCATGAGGTGCCGCGCTACAGACGGCGACTACTCGAGCGCGATCGACTCGGGCCTGGAGTGTAGAGACGTGTCTTTTGCCCTTGTGAAGATTGTCAGTGCTTGCCGGAATACATGTCGGTCGATGGATTTCGACGTACCATTCGCCCTAAGCCAGCGACGGCAATATTGAGCATTTTCCCCTCGCCCTCCATAGTGACGATCTAGATTCGTATTGCCCGGAAGAAATCCTCCCCGTTCTAGCTGCTGACTTCTGCTGAATATGGTCTTTAGGGTCCCGGATCAAGGTATTTCGTAAGTATCAATCCCGTTGTGAATTTTCAAGGTCGTCCAAAATGCGGGGGAACCCAAAAAAAAAGGGAAAATGGTAGAATGATAATGAAGGAAGATGATGATGAACCACGTCTCCAGAAATCGAAACTTATATGTCCAGATGTTCCGACGCACAATCTATGATAACCACGATGTGTCACAAAGTACGATGGATGGATTATGACCGAGACACGCTGGTCACCAAGAATAGCACACTCACCGCATTGGACGGCCCCTGTCACAGGTTTAGTCAGTAGGCAATTTGCCTTGTGGACTCTTTCAGGGAAAGTTTCATTTTCCTTGTGGTCGGTTGACCTTCCGAATTGTCAGATATAGCCGACATGGTTGAGCGGAGAGAAGGCGAGGGGTTTTGTTGGTTCCAATCACTCGGAGGTGGTGGAAGTGATCAGCAGGGACCAAGAAAGGTCGGGAAATTGATTCCAATGGAAGTGTGTCATGGTAGATCAGCGTGGTGAGGGTGACCGGGTTATCGGTATACAGGTGAATCTAATTCGGCTATTGCCGTCCCATTACCCTTCTCAGCCCTATCGAATGTCGGTACATCTATCCATGAAGTTTTTCAGCTTTTTCATTTCCCGGTCGTTGAGTATTGACATCAACACCCTTCCGCTCGACATACTCGGACCCCCGAGTTCAAGATTTGTCGGGGAACCCAAATGGCACACCAAATTCCGGGTAAACAAATCGGGTCACACCATTCTTGGAAATCTCGGCCAACGAAGCCAGATCGGCGTCAGACAGGGGAACGATCTTCTTGTTCTCATCAATGCGAGAAGGAGTGACAGACTTGGCCAGCACCGAATTTCCCCGGGCAATGTGATAGCTCAGAAGAGTCGAACTGGGCGTCGTTTTCTTTTCCTCGGCCAATCTGACCACATGGGGATCTTGCATCAATGGGCTTCCGGTGCTTCCCAAAGGACTGTATGCGGTGATGTGGATGCCCTTCTCTTTGCAAAGGTCCACAATCTCTGGTTGCGGGAGCAACGGATGGTTCTCGATCTGATTCACGGCGGGGACGACGGCGACCTGCGGCAACAATTCTTCCAGGTATTTCTTGGAATAATTACTCACCCCAATGGCCTTGACTTTTCCGGTCGGGAGCAGCTTTTGCATGTCCCGGTAGGTGTCGACATGTGATCGTTCCCGGATCAGATCTCTGGACCCATCGGGCAATTTGGGAAACTTCTCATGGTTGCCGTGGGGGTTCATGGCGATGGGCCAGTGCATGAGGTAGAGGTCGACGTAGTCCAGGCCCAGCAGTCCCAAGCTCTTGTCGAGGTTTTGCTCCACGCGGGTATGATATGTGCACCAGAGTTTGGTCGTGATGAACAGGTCCCTCCGGGAGATCCCCGTGGCAGCCAAACCCTCCTTGATCCCTTCTCCGACTTCTTTCTCATTTCCGTAGACGTAGGCACAGTCGATGTGTCGATACCCGGACTGGATGGCATGTGCAACCGCCGCACGGACTTGCCCTTCAGGGCTTTGCCACGTCCCTATTGAGGAATTAGTCTGCGATTTGAGAAGATATTTGGCCCTGTGGAATCCGCGTACCCAGACCCAAGGCAGGGATAGTCGCTCCAGTGTTGAGCTCGAACAGGATGTCGGTCATGGTGTCCGGCGTGGAATGAGTTCTTGGTGGTCTCGTCTATCAATCTATCAGGTGAGCAATCGACTGGGAAATGGTTGGGATGAGGATAATGGCGCAGGCAGATTTTGTGAAACGGCCAAAAATTATATCGATAAGCCGCGCTCTTTCCCTTGTTGTGTGGTGCGGGGTGAAGTCCCTCTCCCTGCCAAATACGAGGGGAGACCAGGGATGCATTGAATTCGCCGAGCCGTTTCCTCTTCAAGGTTCTCGAGAGATAGCCATTTGAGGATGCCGGATAATATTAGCGAGTCGGAGTAGTGACCTTGGGGTCAGTTACGGGCCAGGGCTCTCTATAGGGCTCCCGCCTGAATGGTTATATGACACTGGGTCAGCTCGGGCCCTGCGCGTCATCTCGAAGGTGGGATAAGATTGAACCATCTCAGACGTGGGGGCATGGGACAGACGAACAATGGCAGGGTTTCTAGAAACCAACAGGGACGAAGCCCGGCTTCTGCCTCCCTTCCCCCTCAGCCTTTCCAAAGCAGCCGAAAAGGGAAATTCTCACCGGGACCCCGCCTAGTCACTCTCCACCGATGGAATGTCCTTTGCCCCGTGTCCCGGTCTGCTTCTCTTTCAATCCTTCTTCTCCCAGGCTGGAGAACATCTTGAAATCCAAAATCATGGTCATATTCACACCCTTTCTTTGGAAAGACCCCGGTTTTCTGTGTATGTCTGCCCGTTGTTACACACCGTATGGACTCCTGGCCGCTGGTTCATCCCCCGGGGTTGTCACAAGGGTTTTCGGTCTTTTATTCCTGGCTCTTTGTGCCACATGGAATCTACTGGTATTCGACTGCTCCCATCCTATCCCTCCAAGTGTCGGCGTACAAGCTCGGTATGACGAAATACACGGTTCATGTTCGACAAGAACTCACAACCTCATGTGTCAGAACCGTGACTGAAATGGTCATTCTGGGAAAAAGAAGAACTGGGATGATCCTCCCAATGTCGTCCGCCAAAAAGGTCACCATGGCAATATTTCCCGCCCAACCCATGGCCCGAACCCACCAGTTCCACCAGTGGCTGTGGCCCGCGTGTCGGTGATCCGCTTAGCGTTAAATCCTGGTTCCATCAGAGTTTTGCCCCTTGATATCATCGTCCCAATGCAGTAACTTTTCAGATTTTCCGGCTCGTCGCTTCTGTTCACAGTCTGGGGCAGACGAATCCTCTTCTTCACATCCAATCACCATGGTGGAATCAGGTCGGGTGTCTGGTCCATTTGCTTGATGTCTGTTGGAGTGTAGAATTTCCTGGTAGGTTACGGGGCCGAATACTTGGTTTCCTCAGCCGGTTTGCCTGGCTGATCGTGAATGGTTTCCACCATCATCACATCTTCACTGTATATTAAACCCAGTCTTCCGAACCCAAATCATCTCCCGTCGCTTCTCATCGTTCATTCTATTGTTCTGAATATACAAATACCTCCCTCGTCCTGGTCGGCCCCATATCAATCGACTTTCCACTCATCACTTCCTTCCTTCCCGCTCGGTGTCACACAGCACCGATCTCATACGAAGAGCTAGCTACAGCAACTTGAGAGTCCTGCCCATAGTCGGTCGCTCCGATACGTCTCAGCCTCCAAAATGGTCGGCATTCTCCTCGAACAGCCTTCTCACCCTACACAATTCCGCCAAGACCGTGATGGTCTCGCTCTGGAAGCCCTTTGCGATGAGATCGAACGCGCAGACATCCTAGCAGACCAAGCTCTTAAGCGGCAGCAACAACAACAAGGCGACGACAACGACGAGCCTTCTCGATTCGACGCGGATAAGGACAAGAGTCAATTCCGTCAATACGAGACGGCCAGCGACCGAGTCAAGAACTTTTACCTGGAGCAACACACCAAGCAAACCGTGGCTTACAACCTCAAAGCCCGAAATGACTTCAAGTCCAAGACCCGGGCGGAGATGTCAGTCTGGGAGGCCATCGAGCGCCTCAACACGCTCATTGATGAGTCTGACCCGGACACCGAGCTCAGCCAAATCGAGCATTTGTTGCAATCGGCCGAAGCCATGCGCCGAGATGGCCGTCCTCGTTGGATGCAATTGACGGGCTTGATCCATGACTTGGGAAAGCTGTTGTTCTTCTTCGATGCTCAAGGTCAATGGGATGTCGTGGGCGACACCTTCCCCGTTGGCTGTGCCTTCGATGATAAGATCATCTACGGCCACAAGTCCTTCGCCGCCAACCCAGATTTCCACGACCCCATCTACAGCACCCAGTATGGGATCTACGCACCTGGCTGTGGATTGGACAATGTCATGCTCTCTTGGGGTCATGACGAGTATCTCTACCACGTGGTCAAGGACCAGTCTACCCTTCCTGACGAGGCCCTGGCCATGATCCGCTACCACAGCTTCTACCCATGGCATCAACAAGGAGCATACCGAGAGTTCATGACCGAGCATGATGAGAAGATGCTCAAGGCGGTCAAGAAGTTCAACCCATATGACCTCTACAGCAAGAGCGATGAGAAGCCCAGTGTCGAGAAGCTCAAGGTATGTTCATCACACCCCGACTGGACCTTTTCGTTGGACACAGACTAACATCTCACTACAGCCATACTACATGGAGCTGATCGATGAATATTTTCCCACGAAAGTGATCAAATGGTAAATGTGCACATTTGTCGTCTTTGAAATGAGCGACGTTTTGGTCATTTTAAATATTTTTTTTTCTCGATATTAGGGCCTACAGAGCTTGTTTCCAATTCTAGTTCAGGAGAGCGGCATACAGTGATGAACATTCCTTTGAATTCAACACACCCGACAGCGCTACTTCCTACCAACTAGATTCATAGACCAAAATGCAATTTGAATGTCATGGGATGTGGGAGATTGACACCAATAAATATTATGACGATAACCACTCTAATCATGGCATTAAGCTAGAACATGGCCGATGGATTGAGGGTGTTCCATGCACGTCGTCCTAATGTGACCAAACCGCATATCGCACGGAGTTGTAATGGCTGGTGATAGGAGCGAAAATACTACTGAACTTCTCTCTTTCACCCGGTCCAACCTGGCCAACACGTCCTCTTTCATGTCCCGGCCATGATAACCAGAAAACAGCTTCACCCGTGAAAGATGAACGGCAGATACGGAGGGCAGATCCGACGACTCGTATTATTGCAACCCAGTCGACCATGTACTCTGACACTTGCAACCGGGGGTGGATTTCGAGTTTCGAGTAATGAGAGCAATGTGTGGCAGCCGGAAAGGACCATGCATAGAGAGACCCGAATCCTACTTCCTACCGACGACCCACTGACCCCAGATCCTCCACATCAAGGTCTTCACGGGCCAGCTCTCTGAACAACCACACGAGGAAAGCTGTTCTGTCTCTTGGCACTCCCATGCACAAGCACTTCGCATCAAAACCAAGCGTGTCGTGTCGCTGATCTTCAAGTGCGGACTGGAGCATTTCGCTTCGGACGGAAATCGACCCTGCTCGAACGGGCTGCATGCATATGCCATCCCCGGAACGGGAGAAATCTTCGTTGGTTTCGACTATTACACGATATACGTATGCAGGTCTCTTCGTATGCGTGTCAGTCAATGTTTACCGTGGTGCCCGAAACCGCCTTACCCCTTACGGATACATCGCAATTTTCTCCTTTCTCAAATCTGCAATAGTTCCACCACCTCCACCACGAATCACCGACGAGCGGGTTCCCGTGACTAACCTTCCTGCGACTAACCTCCTGAGACCAAACGTACAGCTTCGGTCACCCACAGCGACCTTTGCAAACTACCGACTGCTTATTGAATAGTCTTCGACCGGAGAGCCTCCCACCAATCCCAGACTTCACAGTTGACCGGCCACAGCTTCACTGGGTTAATGTATCTTGAGGGCCCCCCAGCGCTTCGATAGCATTCAGGATCCAACACCTCACGAAAAGACGGTGCACTTGCCCGTATACTATGTCTCAAAGGCGTCACCGTGTCAAGCCGCCGAGAGATAGTCTGGAGGCGCGCCCGCGCTCAAACTGTGTTGTGGAAGTCGATCACGTTGACTGCCTGGATGCTGGTTATAGCGCTGCGGAGACGAATCTCTGCCTTCTTTGTCTCATCGAGAAATGGCAAATTAGTCAGCATCGTCACATCATTCTGACGAACACAGAAGAGTGCTGGTCTTCCAAGTGATTCCAGTACACGTCGACATGAATGCTTCTCACGAGAACCCGAATGGCTCGACTTCTGGCAGAGCTTCGCAGGATTCTACTTTCGTCTGGCTAGGCGAACATTGGCGTCTGTCTTCATCCGCAGCGGTCAACTTCATCATTATGATGTTGCGAAGTACGGCGGAACCGGTAAAGTATGGAGCTCTAAAGGCCTGGTGAATGATGTGATTGTTGTCTGGACGAAGGGAGCGGCGACATAAAGTTAACTGCAATCGGCTCTCTCTAGCGGAGTTCAAAGAGTTGCACAATCTCCTTCGCTGTTGGCACTTGGATGAGGTCGGTGTCTCAGAGAAATGTGTCCTTGACAATTTCAGTTGTGTCAATAATATACACGCGTATATTGTCGAGGCTTGATCCATCTAGATTGTGAATGTGCCTGTAAAACCACATTAGAGTACCAAAAGTGGTGAGCTAGTTTACGCCATGAGAGCATCCCGGTCGCCAAGTTGATCTTTCCATTTAACGTGTCTGTACAGCTCGGAGGCAACGTGCTTGTTATCTTAATCGAAGATGTCCCGAGTCTGGCGTACAACTGCACGAGAGTCTTTCGAAATTGACCAAGAACTATTCGTGGTGCCGTCTGGCGGAGCCAGATTCATTCTCCGGACAGTCTCAATGGAAGATGCACATGCTCCTCAAAGCTCACGGCAATGAGCGTATTCGAGATAGCTTCGACGGTCATGTCATTACTCCTATCGTTGGCAACAACGTGGTTAGAGGGCAAAAGGACGCTTCAGAGTGACATCAAATAGGGATGCAGGATCATGGTAACGAGGAAACACAAAAGGAAGAACTGGAGGGAGAACGGAACTCAGGGGTAGAGACTTGGGGAGGTCCCCTGTGGTAGCCAGGGCACGTGATTATCTCACGTGACACAATGTGACAGCCAACCCCACGCATAGATAGGCGTTCTCTACCGCTGCGTAGCACCTAGCCAGCAACCCTTGGCCCTCCCCGGCACCTATACTCCCGGCCAGCAATCTGAAAACAAGCCCAGGCGTTAGTGACCTGTGAGCCGATCATAAATAGCGCCAGGGAGCGCCAATCGCCATCCGCCACATCGATATTCGGCTCTCGCGCAAGTCATGTAAATGGATCAAGGCCTTCAAGAAGATTGGTAAAAGGTAATGCATTGTAGGAGAAAGCATTTACAGTCATCGTACTGTGATGCCATGGTTATTTTCGTTAGTGTGGCGGTGGTGTGAACAACAGCCCGAACGCCTCAGTGTTTGCTGCCAAGCTTGTGGACCCCACCGACAAAAAATAAAGTGGCAAGAAATAGCGGGTTATGCTTCCGCCGCGTGCAAGCTAACTTCTGGCGCGACCCGAGACGCAAACTCAACACACCAACCCCTCCATCTCATTCATAGGCCCAAAGGGCGCCATGCAAAGCCCAGATCAGCCTTACACTGCCATGATTTGTCTGCTCATGGTAGCCCGTAGGCACCAATATGGTTGCCTCCCATCTACTCGACTCTTTTCCACCTTCAAGCCCCTTGAATGTGGGAAACTCCTCACATCGTTCGCAACTGCGGCCATAGTCGATGCTTCTTAATGACCCGCGACCTCAACTTCTAGCCGCAATCCACAAGTCCGCATGGAAGCCGTTGGGGCAGCCGCAGGTGTGGTCGCTCTAATTGAGCTGGCGGCCAAAATCAGTTCTGCCTGCGGTCAATACTTAGGTGCGGTCAAGAATGCAACAAAGGATATCAATCGGCTTCGAAAAGAGGTCCAGGAATTGCAAGGTCTACTCGAACAGGTCCACCAGCATCTTGATGGTCCCAACGCTGCCAGACTCGCCGCTTCCAGGGTGATGAAAGATGCGATTGAAACCTGCAGATCCGAGCTTCCAGTGTTGAATCAGAGATTGACTCCGACCAGGGCGCGCAAGCTCATCAGTCGAGTGAACGTTCAAGCATTAAAGTGGCCTTTTGAAACTGCCGATGTGGACAAGTTTCTTCGTCGATTGGAAAGATGCAAACAGTCCATCTTGCTCGCTCTTCAAGTCGACCAGACGTAAGTGTTTGGGTGCTGTCGTTGGTATCATTCCACCACGCTAAGCACATGCTACACAGTCACTTGACCTTAGCCCTACATCACAAAGTTGATCTCGCGAAGCTGCCTTCGGCTGAGGGAGCAGCCTTCGATTCGCATACGGACGAGCAAAATGCAAGGTGTCACCCTGACACGAGAATCGATCTCCGAAACCAAGTCAAACAATGGGCCGTTGATCGACGAAGTAAAGGAATATTTTGGCTATGTGGGGTCGCAGGCACGGGAAAATCCACAATCTCACGGACGGTCGCTCAACACTTTGCGGAGGAGGGTACACTAGTCGCCAGCTTCTTCTTCAAAAGGGGCGGAGGTGATCGCGGAAACGCGTCACGATTCTTCACCACGATCGTTAGCCAAATGATCGTGAAGGTGCCCGCGTTGTCGCCATTGGTCAGTGAAGCGATCGAGGCAGATCCAAGTTTGACGGCCAAATCATTGAGTGATCAATTCGAAAAGCTTTTCCTGCAACCACTGTCAAAGATACTCACCCCGAAACCGGTGCCAAGGCTGATCATAGTAGTTGATGCGCTGGACGAGTGCGAGTCGGAGGGACACGTCAGAACCATGCTGTCTCTGTTATCTCAAGCTCCGAACATCACATCTGTGAGTCTTCGGACCTTTGTAACCAGCAGGCCGGACCTGGCGATCCGGCTCGGCTTCAAGAACATCTCTGGTGGAGTGTATCAGGATTTTATCCTTCACGAGATCCCTCGGCCGACAATCGAGCGCGACATTGCCATATATTTGAATACCACGTTCTCGTCAATACGAAACGAACATAATAGCCTTTACCCTCGTCGCCCATTGCCGTCTGACTGGCCGGGAGATGCAGATATCCAAACTCTGGCTGGTATGGCAGTCCCGTTGTTTATCTTCGCCGCTACCGTCTGCCGGTTTGTGGGAGATCACAGAGGTAATCCACGACAACGCTTGCAGTCCGTTTTGATTCAAGCTGCAAGGCATGTGTCTCAACTGGACCAAACTTATTGTCCAATCTTGGATGCGTGGCTCACTGCCCGGCCGGCCAAGGAACACTCTGAAGCGGCTTTCAAAAATGTGGTTGGCTCAATTATTCTGCTTGCCCGTCCGCTTTCTGGAATCGCTCTCGCAAGTCTTCTCGGAATTGACGAGACAGTTGTGGACAGCACTTTGATTGATCTACATTCAGTTCTCCGTGTTCCGGCTGATGGAGAGACTCCAATCGAACTTCTACACCAATCGTTCCGCGAATGTCTCATCGACCCCAACAAGGAGGGAAATAGTCCATTTTGGATTGATGAGAGGAGAGCACACGAGATGCTCACAAGAAGATGTCTTGAGTCGATGCGGCGTGCTTTGAAAAAAAATCCCTGTGGGATCTTGAGTCCGGGGACGTTGCGGTCCGACATTAGCACTCAGATAATCGACCGCACCCTCACTGCGGATGTCCGATACGCATGCCAGTACTGGGCCTATCATCTAGAACAAAGTGGAGGACAAATTGCCGACGGGGATTCCGCCCACAACTTCCTTTCAGAACATTTTTTGCATTGGCTCGAAGCATTGAGTTTGATAGGACGGATACAGGAGGGCGCTGCAATGCTTGGACAGTTAGAGGCATGTCTTGCCGTGAGTGAGATTTTCGTCACACCTTGCAATTCCTATTTCTAACATCGACATTCAGCCCAAATCTAGCGACCAGATCGCCAGTCTGATCTTCGATGCCGAGCGTTTCCTCGCTAAAAACCAAGCGTTGATTGAGAGCGCGCCTCTCCAGTTGTACTCTTCTGCGCTCGTATTCAGTCCTACCACTAGCATTGTGAGGAACTTATTCAAAAGCAAAATCCCAGCTTGGATTCAGGGTTTCCCGAATGTGAAATCTACTTGGGGTGCAGAGTTGCGAGCGCTGGAGGGCCACACTGATTGGGTGAGTGCGGTGGCGTTCTCACACGACGGCAAGCTGCTGGCGTCGGCATCGGACGACAAGACAATCAGGCTCTGGGATCCGGCAACTGGGGCGACGGTGCAGACACTGAAGGGCCATACTGATTGGGTGAGT